AGGAGGTTTCGATTTGGTTCACATCAAGGATGCTTTGGAAAACACTTTCGTCACCAGATTGAATAACGTTTTCGTTATTGGTGAAGAACACGGTAAGCCATGGGTTTCATTGCCAAAGGGTAAAGGTATTAAATTATCTATTACTGAAGAAAGAGACAGAAGAAGAGCTCAACAAGGTCTTCTTGCTTAATTGGGGCGAAATTTTGCTGTATTTAGTTCGTTTGGGGTAGGTGTGTATAATTGATGAAAAATTTTACGATTGGAATGCACGTATTGCACTTTGTAGATTGCGTTTAACAAGTAGATTGGGTGAAAGCGGTCAAGCTCAAGAGGAAATTGTTATCAAAATATTGATAAATTCTCAACGGTTTTAATGCAAGCGTTATGAGGGTTTAAAGATATTATTCCGTTTGACTAAAACCTCATATATTTAGCATTCTCGGGGAGTTAGTTCTGGAATCGTTTCAATCCAACAGGGTTATCTTTTCTAGGAAGAAGGTGGAAATAACTCTTCACTTCGAAACATTTGGCTTGGGTGAATCGATGTCATTATTGCGTCTACTATTGGTGTTGCAAGATCTTACATTGTACTTGACTATTTCCTTTAGTTTGATACATCTAAAAAAGCTTAGAGCTTGTAACAGGAACGTGACCATTGTAGACGTTTCAAGCTCTAGCTTTCGATGCCATTTACTCTAATCTTTGTCTCTAATTTGTATACGTGAGAGAAACGTGGGCTTCGGGTGTGGATTCTGTCACAAAGACGGCGAAAGCGAGATCGTGACTCTCCGATTATTTAATGCTCAAAAACAGTTGCTGAAAACAACCAGACAACAACAGACAACCCAACAGAAACTATCCCGGTCATGACCTCACGATACAGAGTGGAGTACGCTCTTAAATCACATCGAAGAGATGAATTCATTGAATGGATCAAAGCTCTACTTGCGTGTCCATTTGTATTGCATGCCGATATTGAAAGTTTTGATACTGAGTTTCCTGAACTATACAATCTTCCTGAGGATTCCGACCGATACTACAAGAACCATGAATTGAAGATTGCTCAAGACTGTCAAAGTAGGTATTTGCAGATATTCAAAGATGTTGAAACGTTGATTGAACATACCAGGGCCATTGACAAGTTAAATGACCAAGATCCTAGTCGAAATGCAACTAGTCGTTTAAGAAATTTAGTGCCTTCAATAGGAAGGTTCTTTACTAGTTTACCTTTAGCTGAGGCATTTTTGTTGGAGGATCAGAGACGGGCCATAAGTAAACGAAGATTAGTCAGTCCTTCGTTCAATGATGTTCGAATGATTTTGAATACAGCCCAAATTATGGCATTGACCAATATCAACAATAACAAAAGTGACACGCACATTAAATTGATCACTTTTGATGGGGATGTCACTTTATACGAAGATGGTCAATCCTTAGATGAATCGAGTATTATAGTTCAGCGATTGGTGGCTCTACTTCAGTTGGATTTATTTGTTGGGGTAGTGACCGCCGCCGGGTATCCATCACAAGCAGGTGCTGCTAAGTACTTTGAACGTTTGAAAGGATTAATCGAGTACTTGAATCGTGATGATTGTATCTTGTCCCCACATCAACGAGAGAATTTACTAGTCATGGGAGCAGAATCAAATTATTTATTCCGGTATAACAATAATATGAAGGGGTTGAAATTTATTGATAGTGATGATTGGTTATTACCCGAGGTGAAGAATTGGGATATCAATAAAATTGACTATATCATGCACACAATCCATGATCATTTACTGCACCTTCGTATGAAATTCAACCTTGAAAGCACAACTTCAATAATTAAGAAGGAAAGATCAGTGGGGATAATCCCTAATGCAGGGTGTAAGATCTTACGTGAACAATTGGAAGAAATGGTTCTTTCATGTTCAAACAAGTTGAGTATTGTATTGCAAAGTACCAAAAATGCACCACCGGCAGACACTGCAAACGCAGCAACAACAACCAAATCAGCCAGATCACTTGCATTGAGCGATATCAAAGTATGCGCATTTAATGGAGGTAGTGATGTTTGGGTTGATATTGGCGATAAAGCCCTTGGAGTCGAATCGTTGCAAAAGTACATTTGTCAGCTGGGAGACTTGGATATATGTCCCATCACCAAGTCAGAAAGTTTGCACATTGGTGATCAATTTGCCAGTTTGGGCGCCAACGATTTCAAAGCAAGGTTGAGTGCATGTACGGTTTGGATTGCCAATCCAGCGGAAACAGTGGCCATTTTAGATGATTTGATCTCATTTATGAAATAAATATTATAGAGGTAGAAAATACAAGTGGAAAGTTGTAAGTTTACATTGATCCAAAAAGTATATGTGTTTATTGTCTCTAGCTCGTCATTAAAGGTAACCCATAAATCACGGGAGCTGAACCATTTAAATATTTCAAAATGCACACCTCTCGACTAAACCGGACTGCTTCGGCAATGTTTACTTTTAATTCACCGTCATTGGTGAGCCCCCATTTGTTAAACATTGATATTGTAAATGCATCTATATCCTTATCAGTAACATCCCATAAATTGGCAAGCACGAGAGGCGAGCCACAATTTACCCAATTGAAAATGCCACCCAGTGGTTCAAAACATCCGTGATCGTGTAACTCACCTGAGGAACAGCCGATTAATAAACTAGGTGGTAGATTACAATGCTTCGTAGCATGAAACAATGTATTGGGCTTGATGTATTGATCACATCCACCATGTCCAATGTAAACAAACAACTTAGCATCAAGTATATCGTCAACAATCTTATTTTCATCTGGTCTAACACCAGCTACCCCTTTCCATGTTTTGCATTGTTCAAGTAACGGCTCAAACCTTTGTTGGCTGGTTTTCAAATCACCACCTGGATTGATCAAGTAAAACACACAATCTTTATCGACTGGGGCTTGTGTTTTTAATGCGTTGACGAGGATGGAAACACTTGGCATACGACTAACTGATTTATTTCTCAAAAATTTTAACGATTCCCAAGGAAAGAAAGAACAACGAGCACTGGGGATTAAAACAATATGTTCAGATACATCAGTCTTGCGTTTGTCGAGCAAGTATTCAATTGAAGTGTGCAATTTCTCAAAATTGACTCGATTGGTGTCGACACCCAAGTGAAAGCTCAAAATTTCCATCAAAAATGCAAGTAAATCATCAACACAGCCACGATCGTAACTCTGCATCCCATAAAAACATTCAATAATTACATCGTTTAAAGCAAGAACACGAGCAATCTTGTCCGATACATGAGTTCTTAAAATCTTTATCAAGTCCAATTTAAATTCCTCAAATGTAGATCCAACTGGTTCAAAAATGCCCTGGAACCCACCAAACCAGAACTTTTCAATGTGTTGCAAAAGATCCTGTAATTCATAATCCAAGGTGAATCGCGTTTTCCACCACTTTTTCCGATCCTGTATAGTCTTCACTAGTGAAGTAGTGGAGTAAAGGGTTGATTTGCGATTCTCTTGAAAGATGCGTTTAAATGCCACCTTCATTTCATCAAATGACAATGTCTTGATTGATTCGCGTTGCTTAAATCTAGTCAATGAAAGACGCATGAAAGTGGGGAGCCGCCCATCAGAGCGCAATTTCGATAACAACAAGTCTCCAGTAAGGTCACAAATATCAATGGTGATGACACTCCAGTTGGAAGGCAATAACGCTAAATCAGACTTGAATTGCGACAATTGTTGTGCATATGATGATTTAGACTCCAATAATGTCAAATCGGGAATGAGCTCAATTTCATCCACGGTTGAGAGCCATTTATTGTCGATAAACGGTTTAGTCTTGATCCAATCTTGGATAAAATACAACTGATTCAACAAATCTTTTCCTCGATAGGCACTAATTGATGATATTAAATGTACACATTGCGATAGCAAATAAAATAACCTTCGTTGTTGGAAAATGGTGAATTCCAATCGCTGTGCTTTTTGCAATAGTAAATCCTTGAGTTTACCTAATTCTATAAATATTTGCATTGCATCTGGTTTCAAGGCAACCTCTCCAACGGTAATCGATGGGAATATTTGAACACAATCAGGAAATGAACCAAATGTTTTGAAATCATTCAACAGGTTGATGCAGTGGGTGAAGGAGGTTTCAATCTGTTGAAAATCATGCGACGGGGTGATAAATTGAAGGAATGGATACACTTGCAATGATGGGTTATCAAGGTGTGGTCCTTTAGCTTTAGCTCTCACCTGCAAGGAATCCACAACCAGCTTAAAATAACATACGGTAATGTCATCCTTGACAAATTGACGCTTATCTTCAGCATCCTTTTTGAAATTCTCCAGATCCAGCAACAGTCCGAAAATTTGAATCTTGTACCTGTTTATTTGATTTACTATAGGAGCCTCCACCAGATCATTCAATTTCTTCCATTCCTTTAAATAAAGGGGTATATTCTTTGACAAGCCTAAATCAATCAACGAGTCGATGGCAAAATTATACCCTTCAAGTAATAAGTGATTGGTCTCCCACATGATTTCATTTGCCAACGACTTATCCGAATCGGGACATTTCTTTGAAATCAAATAAAGTATTTTGATTGCCTTGCTGATGCAAGAATGTACAACAACACCATCACTAGCATTGATTTGTGCTGTGAGAAATTGTGATTTGGCCAAGATGAGGAAATTCTTCAATTTATCCCAAATAGAAAACGATTTGGACTGTGAAAGGTCAAATTCGGGTCTCAGTTTGAGTACTGAGATCAAACTTTTGAACTTGTCTTGCGCTGTTTTGAAATTATTGACAAGATAATGCTTGATACTTTCGATTTTGTAATTCACCACGTCTTGAAACCGAAGATGCTGCGTCTGACTGATCAAATGTTGAAGCAGAGCTAGTGAATCTCCCCATGATGTATGATTGGAAAGTTTGGCTGACACATGGCATAATTGAAAATGCAAAAAGATTTTAAATTGCTCATTAAATAATGGAAGTTTCAACAACGTCTCAGTAATGGACTTCACCTCTCTATCCATACCATTGAATCTAAGCAATAAAATTGCACTCCTTATTATAGATATTTCAAATTCATCCAATTGTTGCGAGTGTTGAGCCCATTGATTGAGGCTGTCACAGGTCAGAAACAACACATCCTCACTCCAACCTTTTACATCCATTTTTGTAATGCCAATACCAATAGACTCAAGCAAACTGCAATCTTCTGGCTCCTTCAAGTCTATATACTCAATTCCTCCTACATTGTAATACGCCAATTGCACTTGCAGGTTTAATCGACTGTCACTGAAGTTTAAACCCTTTACAATAGCATTGCAGATTAGTGTCCGTTGTGCTTTCCAGCTACCTATTTCCTTGAATAACTTTATCACCAAGTTGAAGCGAAACTCTTCGTCCACTTCATTAAAACAATGTACAAGTTGTATATTACTCAGTAGCATTCGCACCACTAAGCTGACACCACTGGCAAGTTTGCTGCACAATTCACACGCTTGTAGCAATACTTTCATCATACATGGACTATATTGACTAACCATCTTGAGTTTTCCCACAAGATTTTCAAAGTGTTTTTCAAATGGCTGGTGCTGCAAAATAGTGAACTCATAACTGACTGCCAAGTCCAATAGATTAACATCATTGGTCTTACTGCCTAACTTGAATAATAGGTTTGAAACATTGCGAATCCTCTTAACTTGAGTGTATTTATTGTAAATGTCGTACAATTGTTGAAGAAACGGCACTAGATCGGGATTAAGATTTGACTGACAAAACAATGTAACTGAATCTAGTAAACTCATTTGCTGGTTTGATAAGGCTTTCATATCCAATTTACTAAATAAATCAAGAATCGCCTTTACTGAGTTGTAGTTTGTTGCTTTGAGACTGGATAAAAAGCGTTTGTCATTGATTAATTGCGAAGCATTTGGTGGTAGCGACACATCAGTCCCAGATACAGAAACTATCTCTGCATGCTTTATGTCCAACAGAGAGGTATTCTGCAACAAATCACGACCAATGCCCTTGGTATCTTGTACGAAAGGTTCAACTCCGGGAATCATGTCTATATCGTCTGTACCATATTCTTTCGTAAATTCCATCAATTTGATCCTTAAGCACGTAATTTCCAATGCATACACCTCCTTTTGTTTCTCCAATACTTTAACGAATGCCTGTATCAATTTAATGCAATTCTTCTCATACTTTGCATTAAAAGGTGCTCTATTTATCCAACGTCTTTGATTACTAGTAGTGAGGAATAAGTTCGGCAACCGTGATATCACCTCCATCCTTTGAACCTTTGTCAACTTGTTCTTTGCTAGACTCTGTGCTAGCCATTGGAGGGTGAAAAAATGATATGCAATAATTATTTGGGTTAATTGAGGATCACAATCAACAGTAGGTATGCCATCTACTACTTCTGATAATTTAATCACTCCTTTGCTAACGTTCAAACGGGTGGATATCTGTTGGTAGGCGTTTTCCAATTGATCATAGATCGCGTCATACTGCTTCTTTTCAAATAATTGCACAATCAACAACTGATGTTTCTTGACCACATCTAGCCACTGGGTGTAATTCTTTGCATATATGGAGTATAGAAACTGTAATTTAATATGCACCGATTGCACATGCTGAATATCAATGTTTGGCAATAACTCGTCAAGGGCCGTTAAACACGAAAATTCAAGTGATTTCACATCATGTTTCGGGAGGTTGACTTTTCGAGAAGGCGTAAGTGGTTGGACATGCAGTGACTGCACGTAGGATAGTAGAACTTGGTCCAAGGAGTCCATTACCCTCTCTTTGATCCAGTATCACTCTTGTGTGTGGGAATTACAAAAAAGAAGAAAACTGAAAAATTGTAAACAAAAACAAAAACAAAAACAAAGGTGGAATCGATGCTACCAATTTCCCACATTTTACACGAAGTTACGCTAAGGTTGATATACACCAAAGTATCAGCTGCACTAAGCATTCATTCCTCTAAAGCACCAAATGGAGTACTTCATCAATTATTAAACTATTTACAATATGTTCTAAAACAATCTTTCACCTCTATGTTCTGCATCCATTTCCTCTTGACTGAACTTCTCCTTGTCTTCTAACCTCTGCAACGCCTTCCTCTTTGCCTTCACTGTCTTTGCCTTTCTCTCACCTCCATTCTTCTTGACTCCTCTCTTGTGTTCTCTCAATGGTTCTAAATTATTAACAAATTTGTGTTTCCATCTCAACATGTATCTTCTTGTTCTTGTATCTATACCCATTTCTTTCATTTTCTTACTTGGTGTTTCAATAAACTTGTTCAAATCTCCTTCAAATAAATCCAAGTGTTCGACGCAATTACGGCCAATCAATGTAAGGAATGTCTTGAGATCATGTACATTTTCTTTCGTATGAGTTGATGTGTTTGTCTTGTAAGCTATAAATGACTGGGAAAAGCTCCTATAAGTAAGAAAAGATGCATATCTTGCGGTCTGAGCCACCACAGTGGTTCTTTGTATATTCAAGGGTCTTATTAGCGATCTAAACATTGGTGGTTGGTGGTAGTTAGTCTCTTGAAAATTTTCAACTTTCCGAATTTTTTTTTTTTTCTTTTCATTTTTCATTTTTTGGTCTTAAAGAGAGAGAGAACTACCAAAACGAATCAAATCTCCAGACTAACTGACTGACTAACTTACTGAGAGACGCACACACATCACTTTAACACGACCATTTACTAGATCCTTTCTCTATAAAGCTTATACTTACAATAAGTTTTTGTTTTTAAATTCTTCCAACAAGGAGTGACCTAATCTAGCTGGTGATTTTTCAACAACAACACCGGCAGATTCCAAAGCGGCAATCTTGGACTTGGCATCACCTTTACCACCAGCGACAATTGCACCAGCATGGCCCATTCTTCTACCTGGTGGGGCAGAAACACCAGCAATGAAACCAACAACTGGCTTGGCACCTTCTGGTCTAGTCAAGTTGTGTTGTTTCAAGAACTCTGAGGCTTCTTCTTCGGCACTTCCACCAATTTCACCAATCATGATAATACCTTCAGTCTCTGGATCATTCAAAAACAAAGTCAAGGCGTCGATGAAGTTGGTACCTGGGAATGGATCACCACCCATACCAATAACCAACGATTGACCCAAACCGACAGCAGTAGTTTGAGCAACGGCTTCATAGGTCAAAGTACCTGACTTGGAAATGACACCAACCTTACCTCTCTTGTGGATACTTGATGGCATAATACCAATCTTACATTGTTCTGGAGCAATTAAACCAGGACAGTTTGGACCAACTAATCTGGTCTTATCTTGCGTCTTCAAGATTTGGGCAATTCTAACCATATCCTTTTGTGGAATACCTTCGGTGATGGCAACAGCTAATGGGATTTCAGCAGCAATTGCTTCTTCGATAGCACCAGCGGCAAGTGGTGGTGGAACGAAAATACCGGTAGCAGTGGCACCGGCTTCCTTAATAGCATCAGCCACGGTAGCAAAGACAGGTCTGTCCAAGTGTGTTTGGCCAGCCTTTCTAGGATTTATACCACCAACAACTTGTGTACCGTAAGCAATTGCTTGTTCGGCGTGGAATGTAGCTTGTTTACCGGTGAAACCTTGGTAGATAACCTTGGTGTCTTTGGTTACTTTCAAGTTTGGAATAGTGGATGCATAGTTTTTCACAATTGGGGTTGATTTGAAACCACGAATGAATTGTTTACTCAACATGATTGAACGGGAATATGTATGAATGTGTATTGGGGTTGTAGATCTGAAAAGAAATCAGAGTTTTAGAAAAATTTATTTGAACGATTTTGTTGACCGACTTTTGTTTTTTTTATGAAAGATTTTTTTTTTTTCTTTTCTCTGCATTGTGGTTTGTTGAGAGAAACCAACACATCGGTTTGTAAAATGCGTGGATTGTAACTACAACCGAGGGAAGGGGGGAAATTGTAAGAATTGAGAGGGTGGGGAGAGGGACATTGTAAGTACGATAGGTGGGTACATGGAGAGACCATTTGCATAACCCTGATGGATGTGTCTTTGATATGAACGTGTCCCCTATTTGACCCTTGCATCTCCGAGGTATCTCGTCCTTACGCAAAATCGTGTTCTGTCGCCGGGACCACAAGGGGACAACTAAACCACGGTTTACGATTTATCTATTGTGCTGTTTGAACAATCAACTTAAGCTTGTTGCTTAATGTTATCTTATTCTTTTCTCCTGTTGCTGCATTGACAGTGCAACGTCCACTGAGTAATCCTTTCCAAGGCTTTTCTCTCTGTCCAATACCATCACCACCGCGAAAATGAAAAATTGCCTCTTCAAAATTTGACTAACCCAAAAGTATTACTCTAATAGTACCCAATCATGCTGGACCCCGTAAACCCTCCCACATCGCCACCATATACTGAATCGGGGGTGGCCACGCCTCTCCCTTCATCACAACCGGATTATTACCATCTGGAAGACAATCAAGAGCCACATCTGAAAAGGCTAAAGCCTAATTCACCAGAGACTGAAAATGGCACACCACTGGGGGCCAATACCAACGGGGCAACAACACCTCAACCGTCTACCAGCAGTGGACAACATCAGCCAAAGAAGCTGAGTGCCGAAGCGTTGAAGCGTCGAAGAGAAAACCGACAACGGGCAGCTGCTGCATTAGCACAAAATTTGAAAAACTCTGGTGTTGGACGATTCGAGCAAGAGAATGGATTTGGTTTGACAAGTGTACGAACTATCCCATTGATCAATCAGAAAAACTACTTTACTGAGTACTTGAAGAAAGATGAGCAAGTGGGATTTATTAGAAATTGGCGGTTTGAACGTGATTTGGCAACAAAGTTGAAAAAATTGAAACAAAGTGGAGGCAGTTTAGAAGAGTTGAAGAAGTTGGAAGAAACAAAGAATTTCGATGATTTCGATTTGAAAAATATCGAGAATGAATTGAAGCTGAAAAATGGTGGCGCCACTGCAGTAGCTGCTGCTGCTGATGATGAAGAGGAGGAAGATGACGAAGGTGAAAACGAAACGGAGGAAGTGCGTCAGGAAAAAGCCAGAATTGGCGAAGATGTTATTGTCTTGCAGCCAGGATCAACTTATATTCGCATTGGCCGTGCTACTGATGCTGTGCCACAAGTGATTCCCAACGTGATTGCCGTAAAAACGAGCCAAAATTCGCCTGAACTGGATGCCATATTACCCCACAGACACGTTGATGGCGATAAAGTTGTTATTGATGATGATGGCGATGATGGTGGTGATGGTGGTGATGGTGGTGATGGTGATTTCGAACAACAACGACTCGCTGCATCTAAGGACTTTCGCGCTAGAATGAGGTACTACAAACGGAGAATATTGCCCAATTCAAGAGAAACCGTCGCCAACTACAACAAGAAACAAGAGCCGGAGCCTATAGCCGACCACAATGACCCCAACAAGAAAGAATGGATCAATCCTGATCCTACAAGGACATACTATACTGGAGAAGAGGCGTTGGCTTTGAAGTTGGAATCTGGGTGGAAACTTCGTTATCCAATGATCAACGCCAACTTTAATGAATATTGTCCTGATTATAAATCACGTCAAGATTTATTGGGAGATTTAGTCCACATCATTGAAGATGCATTACAAAAGATGGAAATTAATGCCACCAGTCTTGCCAATTTGAAGATTATGTTGATCATACCTGATTTATATGATAAGGCGTATGTTGAAACTTGGTGTGATTTGCTATTGCGTTTTATTGGATTTGGTAAAATTGGTATTCTTCAAGAAGCAGTAGCCGCCACATTTGGCGCGGGTGCTTCGACTGCTTGTATAGTTGATGTTGGTGCTCAAACTACCAAAATCAGCTGTGTTGACGAAGGTATGATTATTAATGATTCGCGGATTTTACTAAACTATGGAGGTGACAATATTACTGAAACTTTTGTCAAGTTGATGTTGGAGAATTGGTTCCCATATCGTGATATTAATTTGGTCAATTCATATGATTGGCAATTGGCCCAATCGTTAAAGGAAAGTTTTATCACTTTCCAAGATGCTGACATTGCCATACAATTGTACAATTTTTACAACCGGAACCCATTCAAGTCGACAGAAAAGTATGAGTTTAAGATCTTTGATGAGGCTATGTTGGCACCTATGGGATTATTCTTTCCTGGATTGTTCCAGTCTCCACAAACCCCACCACTTCACAGCTCTAGCAAACCGCATAACCTAACTGTCAAGCATTTATTCCCACAGGCCTTGGATCAATATACGAGCAAGCCAAATAATCCCACCAGTAAGAGCCAGACCAAGTTGAAGACGAATTTGAATTACTGCGACTTGGACGAACTGCAACTACTTATGAGGCTAGTTGATGCTGATGACCAAGAGGGGGGTGTGGAGAAAACTTCCAATGAGGTGCTCAGTGTCCCTCTAGAAAAAGCCATTGTTGAATCAATCACCAATGCAGCATTATCCTGTGGCGATTTAACCAAAATGAAGAAATTTTACGACAATATCTTGATTGTGGGAGGTGGATTAGCCAAGATCAACGGCTACGATCTAATTTTGACCGATAGATTAAACATCTGGAGGCCGCGCATATTATCCACCACGTCATTTGATTCTATCATTGAGCACCTTGAGTTGGAAATCAAACAAAATGCCATCAAACGCAAACAGTTACTAAACGACGCAATAAACCAAGCTAAAGAGGCAGCATTACCCTCCTCTTCTGCCAATCCCGAGGAAACTCCCAACCAAGAAGTTGAAATTGAAGTATCGCAAGATATACTCGATTCCATCGACGAGCAGACTGAACTACAAGTAGACCTTGCCCATATTGACAATTTGGTCAACCAAGGGGCAATCATCCCCATCACTATCTTACCAACGCCGCGTGAATTTGATCCGCTGATGTTGACATGGAAAGGTGGGTCCGTGTATAGTCGGTTGAAGGTTGTTAATGAGATGTGGATAAATCAAAAGGATTGGGATTTGTTGGGTAGTCGAAGCTTGTATTACAAGAGTATATTTAATTATTGATGGGGAGTTTTATAGAAGGTTGTATAAATGTGGATCTTATTGGGTTGTTTCTCCAGGCTTTTCATTATAACATCTACGAATCTGATTTTATGTTATTCTAAATCTTTCTCCCTAGAGTCTCTTAGAATCTGTCACTAGCTTCAAAGATAACGGACTTTGAAAAAATAATAACACATCATCCTGCTCCTGATAGAACAAAAAGAAATAGATTGCGTTCTTTTGTGTAAATTACACAAAGCCATTAAAAATTAAAAGAATGGGGAAAATCAAATCACCACCATTACTCACTACTATACACTCCCCGCATTTCTCCAATAACCTCCTCTTTGCTATTTGCCAATTGAAAAACATTGAGGGAAGGATGGAGCCCAATATAGTTGAGTTAGTAGAATCATATATCAATGAACCATTCCCCCAAATTCTATTAGTTCATAAAGTACTGGGTATCCATCTTCTTTTGATTGCTCTGCAAACTCCGAAAGTCAACAAAGATAATATTTGTTTCTTTCTTGGCTTTGTTTTGTTCGGTATTGTAATTCCGAAATTTAACATTACAAAACAAAGCACAATGCATTGGCTGGATAAGCGATAGCTTTATTTTTTTGGGGGGAAAGGGGATTGATTAATAATTTTGCTTCTAGTACCGACATTTAATTAAATGCCGTTGAAGATTGCCCCATTGAGTAAGCATTAAGACACCTTTCTATTACCCGTTACGACAGTGTAAATTCGATTGTCATTTTCTCAAACTTAAAACTATACACTCTAAGTAGGTGGCAATTCTACACATCTTTCCTACAGCCACCTCCTCTCTTCACGCTTCCCCACTTTTGGGTTTTGTTTTGTTCTAGAACCGCCGTAATTACATCATCCTTTAGCAGTTTTCATAAATGAACAGTGACAGCTGAGATCTTCAATAAGCAAAACTCAGTCAGACAGAGATATTTTTGTGATGGTTGCTTACTCGGCTATCAAGGGTATTAATTTATCTTTTAAAAACTAAACAATATACATTATAAAATATAGACCTTCTTCTCAGTGATTCTCCTTATTAAAAGTGTCATGTCCGTAAAGTGGCGTTTCTTCGGTTGCATCATCATTCAAAATTGTCAAATTCTCACCCTTAGCAATCTCAGCCACTTCAACACCACTAATGACTTTGATCCAATCAATCTTTAATGAGAAAGGGCCATATTGTTTGTCAAGCAATCCAATGCCTACTGACTTGACTTCTGACTTGTTGAGTTCCGATCCATCTTGAATGACACCCCAATTGGTCATGACAAAGTCATTAAGTGGAATCACCACTGTTTCCCAATGTCCTGGGTTTTGGAGAAACAACCGATGTTGAAACAAATCGGTAACCAATGGCGTATTTGCTTGTATATTGACAATGTATTTCCTTCTGTCGCCTTTAACTCTGGCTGCAAGGCAATTGTATGGTGTCCAATCCCAGTACTTGTCACCCCATACGATGCTCAGTGGTTGATCTCTGGTCCTAAACATGGCATAGCCTGACCTTGTCACTTGGGGGTTGTCCTTAGGCAAGTCTAATGACAAGTTGCCATGAAAGTGTCCACATTTCTCAACAGGATCGTAATCAAAGTTTGATGAGCTGTATCCGCCAATCTCTTTATCAGACCTCGTGAGTATATTGCCTATTGTTGTTTCTGGCAGCGTCTTAAAGTTGAGTATGGTGTTTGATGATTTGACTAATTCATTTTGTTTGGCGAATATGTTCTTAAGTAACTTGGTGGGACCTAATGTTTTAGCTGACATAATATAATTTGATATAATTTGATCTGATCTGATTTGGTATTACTCCCTGTTTTTCTTTTACTAGGTATTATTCTGTGTTTGTAGGTTTTGCTGTAACTGTAATGCAATTGCAAAGTGATATATTAACTTTGAGAATAGTTTTTATGTTGTATATATCAATTGAGTAATTAAAAGTTGAAAAATGGATCAACAAGTATATAAGCTCTCTCTGTAACAAGGGGGGGATTGTGGATATTTATATATTAAGAGAAGTACGGTGGAAAAATAAAAAAATAAAGCAAATGACTTTTTTGTTTAAAAAAATAAAGTAAAAAAATAAATTGGAAATGGTCGTGTACTGATTACTAAAATACATCTATTTCATTTTAATTAATAAGAAGATAAAGAGAGAAAGAAAGATAAAGGAAAAGTCTCTTTATTGTACAAAACTCAGATAGAAAAAAGGAGGGAGGGGAAGAGGGATTGAAATGATGAGGGGAGTGATATTTATCATATTGTTGTATATGAGTAAAGAAAGCAAAGCACGGCAACGCAATGCAACGCAACTTGTTTTTGTCTACTAGACAGAACAGATCCCACCCCTACAATAAGTAGGTGACACCATTTTGTACACCTGCATTGGGATTATTTGCTAACCTCAGTATTGTCTTTACACGACTAGAAGAGCCAAAAAAGACAAACAAAATAGGACAGAGTTCAAAACAAAGGACGATTCTCCTCTCTGGGCAGAGAAGTCACACAATTGACAAAAGAGAAAAGGAGGCAGCTGCTTCGCCACTTTCTCAGTTGAATCAACCTTTTGTCTTCCCCTTTTCCTGTGATTTGAAAGGCGTAGAAACTGAATGATTGTGGTTTTTCTCTCTCCATCTCTCTCCCTTTGATGTTTTGTAATTTTTCGGACTTTTGAATTTGTGTAATCTCCGTTTACCCCAATAAAACCAATAATTAGCTACAACTAAAACCAACAACTAAACTAACTATTATTACTATTATGATGTAAAACTAACCAATCAATTGCAAAAAATCCTTATGATATATATTTTTCTTATCAATCGATAAACCAAAAGAAGCAACAGGAAAATTGTGGAGAAAAACAAAAAGACAAAGTATGCACAAAAATTCTTCATACAAAAAGAATAAAAGAAGAATCATGAGACCATACAATACAATGCAATAGCAAGCTTTAAACACTTGAGATCATACCATTACTCTGTCGTTTTATACTAGCTTATAATTTGACTGTTTTGCATGGTCGACCAGTGCTCCTAATGATCCTACGCTGTCATGAAAATCACATCACTTCTCATCTGTCGTCTCCCTCTTATCCAAGTCCTCCGCTTGTTATTCTTCTTCTTTTCCTTCTAAGTGAGCAAATACACGACTAATTGTATGGGCACTAGTGCTTGAGGGTTTGGAAAAGAGATAAAAAGCGGAGAACTAGAAAAAGAAATATCGATGTTTGTGCGAAAGCAAACTACAACAAGAAGAACCGAGGAAAGAAAATCAGAACCACAGTCCTAGATTCTGTTGACCACAGGTGTAACCGCTACGCTCTAACATCTGATCTTTCGATAATATACATATATATGACCTGCTCTGATGTTTCAAGACAATGCTAATTGAGTGATTTATGCATTATGTATGTAAAATCAGGTGATCAAATTACTCTCATATAACCACAGACTTGCATTCCACTTGACACTAAAGGAAAAAGTACATTTCATTATGCACAGCCTCTTGATTACATATGAATGTAAAATAACTACAACTTCGAAGTCAAAGCTGAAGATCCATAAGCTAAAAACCATATGCTAACCAAAAGAAGACGTCACATTTATAAAGTAACTTTTCTTCAGTCTCGCATTGGAACAGCATAAGCCATGCATTGGACTCTGTCTTGAAGAATATTGTGTTTAATCTGGGATGAATCTTTGGTGTGGTACCGAGCCCCATTCCTTCTCGTGCTGACGTCTCAAATACACACATTTCAACTAATTTTTTTTTGCAACATTTTGAAACGAACAAGTTTAGAAAATAAAGACACCTAAATTCAAAGGATGTTAATTAGAAGAGAGCTCAAAATCAGATAAAGTGGTACATGTTTCGCTGTAAAAATGGACTCTAATGAACTTACTTGTTAATGAACTTACTTTTAATATTTCAAATATAAGACAAAGAACCATTTTTCAAGCCGAGCTTCGGAATAGATGGTTAGATTGAGACGGAAAATTGGTAGATCTCTCGTATCTTTGATATCCCATATTTTTGTATCCAAAACAGCAATTAAATCAAAGTCAGTTGCTTTTGAATACTCAACACGTTGGAAGATTCCTTCCTCAATCAAACTACTATTATCCTTCTTGGACCCCCCTCCCCCCTACATCTAGTATCTTTATCACATGAAAATGTGAAACACTTTCTTATTATCTGGAGTGAGTGGAAAGATATTTCCTTAAACGGAAATCACTTTTGGCAAAAACGTTTGCGGTTATGTCAAAAAAGAGAAAAGAAAAATAATAAAAATGCATCCGCACATTTTATTCAGCCTTACATACATGTCAAAGCATAGAAAGAGATAAAACCCCTTATCAGGCAGACACATATATATATATAACCGTTACCAATTTACAATAATTTACAAAACTATCCTTTTCCTCCCTTCTTTCTAGATTCTCACAATTGATACAACACCAGTTTAAACAATGCCCACCAGATCTAAATTCTACAACCCTTCAACAGCTCCTTACTACAACCCCGAAACCGAGAGAAAGGTTGCTATAATTACAGGAGGCAATTCAGGAATTGGATGGTACACAACTCTTCATTTGTATCTTCACGGCTATGTGGTTTATATGGCCGGTAGAACTGAGCTGAAAGTTAAAAAGGCGTTTGAAGATATTGAAAAAGAAGCTAAAGCCAGAGTAGCAGCAAATAAGGATGCTAAATCTGATCATGTTTTTGGTGAATTGCATTACATCCATATTGATTTATTGGATTTGTCGACGGTCCCCAAAGCAGTTGCCGCATTTGCTGCTGCTAAAGAAGAGAAGTTGGATGTGTTGATAAACAATGCTGGTATTATGGGTGTGCCATATCAGGTGACAAAGGACGATTATGAAATCCAATATCAGGTCAACTTTGTCACTCATTTCCTTTTGACTCTTCAATTGGTTCCCTTTTTGCAAAAGACGGTTGAAGCTGGCAGTACTCCCAGAATTGTCAATTTATCATCAATTGGACACAACTTTGCTTACAAGTACTTCAAGCCAGAAAAGAACAAGTTGAATGCGTTCCCCAATAGTATTTGGACTTGGGTCCGGTATGGTATTGCCAAGGCAGCTGAGATTCAAATCACCAAGGAATGGGCCATCAAGTATCCCAAGTTTTTGTCAATTGCTATCCACCCTGGTGTCATTTTGGGTACGAATTTGTATGATTATTGGCGCCAAATCCCTATTATAAAGTACCCAGCTAGTGCCATTTTTGCATTGTCAGATAAAGTTATGGGAGTTTCTAATGAAGAAGGTTCGTTGGCTACGTTGAGAGCAGCAATGGATCCAACATTGAATACCAAGCAAGATAATGGTGAGTTTTTAGTTACTGGAGGTATTGTTGAGAAGCCAAGTAAAGTTGCCAGCAATTTGGAGTATGCCAAGGAGACTTGGGATTGGAATATCGAACAATTGAAGAAACGTGGGTTTGATGTGTAAGAAGGGAGAGGGACCAATCAGTTGACAACGGCAGGAATTGTTTTTAGTTTCAATTAGCTTGACATTGATTCAAATTGGACTTTGAGTAGTTTTATACGGGGAAAGCGAAATGTAGAAGCGTACTATGGGGATCACACGTACAGAAAAAATCTTCGCACATGATGCCCAATTAGGAAAGTTACAGACGAGCATACGTCATTAGAATAAGCAATTTATGACGAAAGTTGATGACCACTAAAAGCTTTTCTACATAGAAAGCACTTCCCATTTCAACAAGCTTTGTGCCTGCTTTCGGTTCCTAAGAGCAGTTCCATTTAGACAAAACGAGTGATTCATAAATAGATGAACCACACTGTTTTAATAAACCACACAAAATAACAATAGATAACGATAATTTTGTGCAATGCCCACTACTTCTCAACCCCTTCTTCTCCCCCCTCCCCTTTCTCCATACTAAAAAAAAAAGAAAAAAGCTTAATACCACTCAAACTCTCCCGATTGCGAGTGTCCTTTTTATCAAACATAGATGTTTGGAATATTAAAGTACGTGTTGGACTGTAGTCTCCCCATTCTCATTTGTAACTAAATACTAACCTCCCCTTCCAGTACACTAATCTCACTAGTCTACCCCGTGTTTGCTTCCATCGTTGCCATCATAGGCAGCATCAATGAGCCTAATTTGCCATCCCATTTAATAGCCCTACAACGGTGGCTCATCTACTGGGCCACTTTAGGATGTGTTACAATTATTGAAAACACATTGTCCTTTATAACATTTCTTCCAGGATACTCGTTGTTCAAGATTGGGTTTCACCTTTGGTTAGTTATTCCCATGCTCTCTGATGGTGAGGACTGGAAAAACTCGGGGGCACCATGGCTTTTCTTTGAGTATATCAAGCCGCAGTTTGAAGCTAATAAGGAGGCGATTTATCGGTTTGTATCTAATCCTTTGGATTTAAGGACAGTTTTGAAATTGAGTGCATTGGCAGATACGAAGAAAGAGGAGCAGTCTCCTACTGCTGCAACTGCGACTGGTTATGATTACGCTGCTGTGTTGGATAGCTCCATCGTTATGGTAAAGAGCATGTTTGTAACAAGAGAAGTTGCTTCCGAAACGGCCGATAACAGTACTGAAGACTTTGATATAGTTGATAAGCCTGACGCTGCAGAAGCTTACCAAAGAAAGAGCTACTTTTGGTGATATAATGCTTTAGTTTTAATTAAATCTGTCCGTCTCTATTTACAATCCCAAGTAGCTGGATACTTGACTACGTGCTGGGTTCAACCCCTCAAACTTCTTTCCTCCTTTTTTGGCCAGTTTAGGAATAAACCGTTCAACTTTACTTGGCTCATCAAATAATCCATCATAAGCCTCCAAAGGTTTATTCTTATCAGCACCAGAAGCCATATTATGTTTAACAATTTCTTCACTATTTGTTTGTTGCAACTTCAAATCATCAATCTTCTTTTGCGGAACTTCTGGCCAAATAAAAGGCTCAGCCATATCGATGGTCATTTTCTTCAATTGAGGCACCCTATATCTAGCCAAATCGTTTATATTTCTTGTCCATTTGGCTGGTTGTAACTGTACCGTGATGTTTAATGCCCTTAACCCATAGATGTTCCACAAGTAATCTCGTAAATCCATTTTATTCATGGACTTGGGCACCAAAAACTTGGCTTGATACGGAGTGTGCTTGGCATTTGGACGCAAGAGACAAACCCTACCACCGGGCAAGTACACTTTATTCTCACCCTGAGTGAAATGAGGCTCTTCCATGGCTAAATCTTGTTGGAACTTTTCAAATTGATCACGAGCTCTTTCTGAATCGGTTTGACTAATAAATCGGTTAGGTATTGGCTTGCCATGTTCAACGTATAGCTTGGCCAATTCTGAGTTGGGGAATAAAGTTGTCGTTGGTGATTGAGCCAAAATTGGCGGTCTTATTCTGCGGAAACCATATTTGGGCGGATTAAGCTCGACTGAGTCTGTCTTGACTTTTGGGTATTTGGCAGGTGGTAGTTTGTGATGTACCGATCTTGTTGAGATTCTTAGGAGGGACATATCCTTTGGAGAGTAAAGAGTAATGGCAGAAAGACACTAGGTTTTGAAAATTTTCAAAGGTCGTGTTGGGATAAAATGTTGAAAAAAAAAATAAAAAAATAAAAAGAAAAAAAAAAAGGAAAAAGAGAAAAACAAGAGAGCTAGACACACCACAGACCATTCTTTGCCCTCCACCCAGACCAACTCACACCATCCCTCCTGCATCATGTCACAAGAGCAGTATGATCCCTACATGTACGATGCTGACTCGCAAAGCATCACCCCAGAGGACTGTTGGGCTGTGATCTCATCCTTTTTCCAAGAAAAGGGTTTGGTATCACAACAATTGGACTCATTTGACGAATTCATTGAATCAACGATACAAGAATTAATTTGGGAAGATTCACATTTAATTTTAGATCAACCAGCTCAACACACATCTGAGAAGGATAACAAGAACAAGAGATATGAGATTACGTTTGGTAAAATGTACATTTCCAAACCAAGTCAAACTGAAGGCGATGGTACCACCCATCTCATGTTCCCACAAGAGGCTAGACTACGTAACCTCACGTACTCGGCTCCCTTGTATGTTGACATGTCAAAGAAGGTTTTTGAATCGGATGACAATGATAGAAAGGATAATGAACTTGACTGGAAAGAGCAGATTGTGCAAGGTGAAGATAGTCATAGTCAAGTGTATATGGGAAAAGTGCCCATTATGGTGAGATCCAAGTTTTGTATGTTGAGAGATTTGGGTGAACACGAAATGTATGAATTAAAGGAATGTCCTTACGATATGGGAGGTTACTTTGTTATCAACGGTTCAGAAAAGGTGTTGATTGCACAGGAGAGAAGTGCGGCAAACATTGTTCAAGTCTTTAAGAAAGCGGCGCCATCTCCAATATCACACGTGGCGGAAATCAGATCAGCCATTGAAAAAGGGTCAAGGTTGATCTCGTCGATGCAAATTAAGCTTTATGGACGTGACGAAAAGGGCCTGTCAGCAAGAACAATCAAGGCGACGTTACCCTACATCAAGGAGGATATTCCCATCGTGATTGTATTTAGAGCACTTGGTGTTGTTCCCGATGGTGATATCTTGGAACATATATGTTACGACGCAAACGATTGGCAAATGTTGGAAATGTTGAAGCCATGTGTTGAGGAAGGTTTCGTTATTCAAGAACGTGAAGTGGCACTTGATTTCATTGGTAGAAGAGGTGTCTTGGGTATAAGGAGAGAAAAACGTATACAATATGCCAAAGATATTTTGCAAAAGGAGTTGTTGCCCAACATCACGCAAGAGGAAGGTTTTGAAACGAGAAAGGCGTTCTTCCTCGGTTACATGGTAAACAGATTATTACTTTGTGCATTGGAAAGAAAAGAACCCGATGATAGAGATCATTTTGGTAAAAAGAGGCTAGATTTAGCAGGTCCTTTATTAGCCAATTTATTCCGTATCTTGTTTAAAAAATTGACAAAGGATATCTACAACTATATGCAAAGATGTGTTGAGAATGATAAAGAGTTTAACTTGACCTTGGCAGTCAAGTCGCAGACCATCACTGACGGGTTGAGATACTCGTTGGCTACTGGTAACTGGGGTGAACAGAAGAAGGCAATGAGTTCAAGAGCCGGTGTGTCGCAAGTCTTGAATCGGTACACCTATTCTTCAACCTTGTCGCATTTGAGAAGAACAAACACTCCTATTGGAAGAGATGGTAAAATCGCCAAACCAAGACAGTTGCACAATACCCATTGGGGATTGGTGTGTCCTGCCGAAACCCCCGAAGGTCAAGCGTGTGGTTTAGTCAAGAACTTGTCCTTGATGACGTGCATCTCTGTCGGTACCCCATCAGAACCAATCTTGTCATTTTTAAGAGATTGGGGTTTGGAACAGTTGGAAGATTATGTTCCATCAAACTCGCCGGATGCAACGAGAGTGTTTGTCAATGGTGTTTGGGTTGGTGTGCATAGAGAACCTGCATCGTTGGTTGACTACATGCGTGATCTTAGAAGAAATGGTGACATTTCACCCGAGGTGTCTATCATTAGAGATATCAGAGAAAAAGAGTTTAAAATATTTACTGATGCTGGTAGAGTTTACCGTCCATTGTTTATTGTTGATGACAAGCCAGATTCTGAAACTAAAGGAGACTTAAAATTACGAAAGGAACATGTCAATCAATTAATGGAGTCATCGTATGATGGATTAGACGATGAACCTTCCTACACGTGGTCTTCGTTGGTAAGGGAAGGTATAGTCGAATACGTTGATGCCGAAGAAGAGGAAACAATCATGATTGCCATGACCCCCGATGATCTAGAGGCATCAAAGAGTAATTTAACTGAAACTCAGCAACAAGATTTACAAATGGAGGAGCAAGAACTAGACCCGGCAAAGAGAATCAAGCCAACAGGTAGTAGTAATACACATACATTTACCCATTGTGAGATCCATCCTTCCATGATTCTTGGAGTTGCCGCATCCATTATTCCATTCCCCGATCATAATCAATCGCCACGTAACACCTATCAATCTGCTATGGGTAAACAAGCTATGGGTGTGTTTTTGACCAATTATGCCGTGAGAATGGATACGATGGCAAACATCTTGTACTACCCACAGAAGCCTTTAGCCACCACGAGAGCAATGGAGCATTTGAAATTCCGCGAGTTGCCAGCCGGTCAAAACGCCATTGTTGCCATTGCCTGTTACTCAGGTTACAACCAAGAAGATTCTATGATTATGAATCAATCATCTATAGATCGAGGATTATTCCGGTCATTGTTTTTCCGATCCTACATGGACTTGGAAAAACGTCAAGGTATGAAGGCTTTAGAGACATTTGAAAAACCATCGAGGTCAGATACGTTAAGATTGAAGCATGGTACATATGAGAAATTAGACGACGATGGGTTGATTGCCCCTGGTGTTCGTGTCAGTGGTGAGGATATAATTATTGGTAAAACTACGCCAATTCCTCCCGACGCCGAAGAATTGGGCCAGAGGACTCAATACCACACCAAGAGAGATGCTTCTACGCCATTAAGAAGTACTGAGTCTGGTATTGTGGATCAAGTGTTGTTGACAACCAATGGTGATGGTGCCAAATTTGTCAAGGTGAGAATGAGAACCACAAAAGTTCCTCAAATTGGGGACAAGTTTGCATCGAGACACGGTCAAAAAGGTACGATTGGTGTTACTTATAGACATGAAGATATGCCTTTTACAGCTGAAGGTGTTGTTCCGGATTTGATTATCAATCCACACGCCATCCCCTCTCGTATGACGGTTGCGCATTTGATTGAATGTTTGTTATCCAAAGTCTCTTCATTATCGGGTCTAGAGGGTGATGCATCGCCATTTACGGATGTTACTGCAGAAGCAATCTCCAAGTTGTTACGAGAACATGGTTACCAATCGAGAGGTTTTGAAGTTATGTACAATGGACACACAGGTAAGAAGCTCATGGCACAAGTCTTTTTCGGACCTACTTATTACCAGAGGTTGAGACACATGGTTGATGATAAGATCCACGCTAGAGCAAGAGGTCCGGTTCAAGTCTTGACTAGACAGCCAGTGGAAGGTAGATCAAGAGATGGTGGTTTGCGTTTCGGAGAAATGGAGAGAGATTGTATGATTGCCCACGGTGCTGCTGGTTTCCTTAAAGAAAGATTGATGGAGGCATCGGATGCATTTAGAGTACATGTGTGTGGTAGCTGTGGGTTGATGACGGTGATTGCTAATTTGAAGAAGAACCAGTTTGAGTGTCGTTCTTGTAAGAACAAGACAAACATTTATCAAATCCATATTCCATATGCTGCTAAATTGTTATTCCAGGAGCTTATGGCTATGAATATAACCCCAAGATTGTATACTGAAAGTTCGGGGGCTAGTATTCGCGTGTAATAAATAGAAAACAATGTACTTCATTTTATATATTGAACTTTCTTTTCTCTATATACAAGAATTTATAACTGAGCCAAGTACTTTTTCCTAAGTTCAGCTCTTTGTGCCTCATCATCCTCCAACTTGGCCATTTTGGCTCTAACTTCCTTCATTTCATCGGCAAACGCTATTAGATTCTCTTTGTAAGGATGCTCATCACCGTCAAACACCTTCAACCTGTCAATCCTCACCAATCTATGTTTATTCTTAGGTATCATCCCTTTTACTGCTCGTTTCAAAACCTCGCCATACCCTTTGTTGGAAATCATTCTCTCCATAGGAATCAAGTTCAACGTACCTGGACGCGACGTATGGTGCCAGTATGTCTTGTCTTTTAATTTGTTACCTGTAATTTTCAAGTGAGCACAATTTGTAACGACAACGTAATCACCATGGTCTCTGTTGGGGGTATAGGTGGGTTTATGTTTGCCTTGTAGCGTGATGGCGATCTGCGACGCTAATCTACCGAGCGTCCTTTGGTCTGCTGCGACATCAACGTGGTGCCATACACGAGTGAGTGCCAGTACTGAATTACCAATCCTTTGCGACATGTGGAGGGAGGGGGGAATCGATAACCTTCTAGTGAAGCTTAAGTGAAATTTTTTTCAATTCTGTTACAAACAACAAAAGACATAATTTTTTTTTTTCTCTTTCAGTTTGAACGAAAATCTCACGAAATTTTCACCCTCCACCATTTGTATCCTGTGTTTTGTCTTTCGGGGAAGGGAATCACACAGAGCATCACGCAGAGCGTCACAACGGGATATACACACTAAACGCTTCAAACCTCATTCTGTATTATATTGTAACAATTATAACACCTACACAAGGCCTGATATTAATATAATGTTTTTCTTGAAAGATTTATCATTAAACCTAACGTTGCATCCTTCATATTTCGGTCCCCAAATGGACCAGTACTTGAGAGATAAACTATTAAGTGATGTCGAGGGCACATGCACGGGTCAGTTTGGGTACATTGTCTGCGTCCTAGATTCAATGAATATCGATGTCGGTAAAGGAAGAATAGTTCCTACAACAGGAATGGCTGAATTCGAAGTGAAATACCGTGCTGTTGTTTGGAAACCATTCAAGGGGGAAGTTGTTGATGGTGTGGTGACTACCGTTAATAAAATGGGATTTTTCGCTGATGTGGGTCCATTATCAGTGTTTGTCAGTACGCATCTAATACCATCAGATATGAAGTTCAACCCATCGGCTAACCCACCAGCTTATTCGAGTCCTGATGAAAACATAGAGAAAGGGTCCAAGGTTAGATTAAAGATTGTGGGGACCAGAACCGATGTAAATGAAATCTACGCGATTGGAAGTATCAAAGAGGATTATTTAGGCCCAAGTCCGTTGTGATCGCGGTATGATTAGAGAGACAGTAGACAAAAAGATGGTGAGAATTAGATGGTTATAATTATCAATACTTGAAAAGTGCATTATTAAAATACTTTTATTTGCTTTTTTAGATCTTATTCGTCATCACTGGAATCGAGAACTATTGGGTCTGTTGAACTTCCAAATGAAACCATTTCCTCTATTCTTCTCTCTCTTTCTTTCAAGTCTTTAGCCCATGCGTCTCCTAGCCGTTTTATCTCTTCGGGTTTCATTTCCTCTGGTCCCGGGGTTAATTCTTGATATGACAGAAATTTACTCATTAATTTTCCGCTCCCCAATTTACAGTCCAATATATCCATCAACTTTTGTTTTTCGGTGGGCCAAGTTTCCATTTCTCCAAATAACAATTGCTCCTTCTTGCTTGATTCGTGGCTTCCTCCACTGCTCTCAGTTGTTGATTTCCTGGTGGCTGTTTCTTTCACTAAAGAATCCCCATCTGATTGTAGCACCGTTGAATCTTCTGTCATATCATCGGCAGGGATAACAAAATTCAGAGGACTTGAATCGTCAACAAAAAATGAATCGTCAATTTTGAATTGACCTTTTTGAAGTTGATTGGTTGGTGGTGTGCTTGTTGGCGTGTTGGCAGATAGGCTTTTGGTAAATGGACTGTGGTTCATTGCGAGTAGAGATTGCAGTGTACTAGATGGAGATGGTATAGGGCCTGAGGTTAATGGATTGTTGCGGCGATACTGCCATTGATAACGAGGGTTCATCAACGACTGACATGGATCAGTTGCATATCCCACTCCTTCATGCAAATTTTGAGACCCTAAATTCACATTTCTGGTTGGATTGACAGTTTGTTGCTGAGCCGCATTCCTGACTCCGCGACTCTGACCATACACATTTGGCTGATGTCTGGAAAACAAACTAAACGTATCTTGTCTATTGGCGTTAATCAGAGCTGGCGCAGGAGCAATTGGGACATGATTTGGTTTTGGCACCTGCTCTATAGTAGGAGACGTACCAATTTGCGTCAGAGATTGAATACCGCCGTGATAATTAACAGATTTGACTCCTTGGATTGAGGGAGTGTTTATCAACAGAGCACTGCCATTGATATATCTAGGCACTTCTTGGCTCTGTCGCAGTGGATGAACTTGACGCTGAGACATATCTTGTTCTGATCCAACATTATATCTGAACCGTCTTTTAACTTGATCAATGCATGATCGCACAAAATCAATCGTGGCCACCTGCCTCTCTTTCTCTCTATTTCCCCTTACTTGATCCAACACAGCCTTCTCCTGAGGTGGAGTTAGGGTATATTTCCGCATTACAAGTTGAAGTATTGCCTGCGTATCTCTATCAAACTTCATCAAGTGTTGATCTAATTGCTCACGAACAGCTGCAAACACTGCTCTATCGTACATTTGCGGAAGGCTGTTTGATGGGCCAGACTCGGTCTGGTATTTTCTCAGTGCAATGTGTGATTCTTGCAATACTGTACTTGTCAAAGGATGCTGTGGTTTGTGTGTTGAAGCAAAAGGCGATTGATTCGCTGATTGAGATAGTGGGGCGACAGCTTCCGCTTGCAATACTTCAGATGAAACTCTAGGTTGAATTGTTGCCCGATTAGTGGTACCTGTTTCATCTTCACTAATCAGTGTTTGTTCCTCGTTTCGATCATCGGTCGATGTCAGCCTCGCATTTTGGTTTTCCTCATCGTCTATCTCCATGGGCGTTAGTTCCTCCACAAAAAATTTTTCAGTGTCTGAATCTATATTCTCCACTGGCTGTTTATATTCTTCGGTGGGTATCTCGGGTTGACCTTTCTTAACTTGCACCCTTGGATCGGTAAGGTCAATATTGGAGTATGAATCTGCGCTTTGAGGCTTTGGTTGTTCACTAAGGTTAGTTTCGCCACCTTCATTATTTTCCTTTTTGTTTTCAGAAATTTCTCTTAATGTTGAAGCAGGTATACTTTTGTTTGCATTATTCTTCAGAACCTCGGTTGGTACCTCATTGCTTATAGTGCCGCTTTCTTTGTTGTCATTTTGCAAGCAAGGTTTCTCCTTACCACCCAGTATCGCTTGATCGTTTTTTAAACCAGCATTTTCGTCTTGGTTTAGATTCGGAAGTAAACCTAGACTACCCAAAAATTGGTCGGTATTGTTAATCAGGTTTTTCTGATTGTCGCCCTGTTTGTCAATATCACCATGCTCAGCGTTCTGCTTGCTAAGACTCTTGTCTTTGTGTTGGTCCTTTCTTTCCGAAGGTCGCTGCTCACTTACACCTTTAAACGCATCCAAAAGTGAAAGTGGAGTAAGATTTGCAGGCTGTCCTTGTAATCCCAGTTCTGGTAATTTTGTAGTAGAAATCTTATTCTTTTCTCCCAAGCTAGGTTGGCCTGATTCTGAAGATCGATACGGTATCAGTGCCTGATTTCCAATATTATTCTCAATAATATGGGGCTGATGTAGTGCCCCCCGTGTTTGAGCAAATCTTTGATATTGTTCTTGAGGAGGAAGAGTCTGTGCTGAACCCTGCAGTGCCGTTGTTTGTTGTTGGGTCAACAAGTGGGAATTGTGGGGAACTGGCTGCAAAGACAGACGAGTATGCAATCGCTGTTGAGATTGCCCTAAAGATACCTGCAGTGAAGGCAACTGCTGTTGTCCTTGTGATTGCATCTGTAGCTGCTGCTGTACCAACTGGCGGATGTGCTGCTCTAGCTGTTGCTGATCCGGGACAAAAGCATTCCGGTCAGTAATGTTCTGAATGTTGTGTTGCTGTTGTTGCTGTTGCCGTTGTTGCAATTGATGATTCTGGATTTGTTCCAGTGCCGAAGATGGACTGTGAGACACTTCAACAGTAACTTGTCCATTAGTAGTATGACTTGTGTTGATTGGAGCAGAAGAAACCACCCGATCTACATGCTGCGTGACCCCAACTGTAGCGTCGGGATTGTCTTGAGGTTTAATACCACTAGTACTGGTCGAGCTCCCGTTTACAGCAACACAAGGTTGAACGTTACTAGCAATGGTAGGGCCATTGCCTGCAGCATTATGGAAAGCATCTGGAGTAGGTGCAGGGGTTACCTCTGCGTGACCACTAGGCAGAGGTGAAGCTCCTATGCTTGTAGTTGTGGTTGTGGTAACTCTCGGAATCTCTAAATCTTCATCCTCTTCGTCACTCAGCAAAGTCACGACATCGTGCACAACACTGTGTCGATCACGATCCTCTGCTTTCACTTTTATTCTTGGATCCTCTTCCTCGACGTATGGGCTCCATTTCCCATCTTTTGCTATTTTCACATAGACATCCTCTGGACCGGTGTTCTTGAGGATTTCCTCAAAATACTCACAAACGGCCAATTCGGATACGTCTAGAGGACATGAGCAGTATGGGCATTCCCAAGTTGGCGACTCATACTGCTGGGTCATGAAAATCCTTACATCAAAGCATTCAAGGTGCTTGCACTTGAGAGTCTTGACTGGCGTTTTTATTCGCGTATATGTGTAGGGATCTCGTAAGGTTAACAATGTATCCTGTATTTCAATACCATCCGAGTGCAGATCGTCTGTATTTCCTTTAATATGTCGTATTGTATGACTCTTAAGGATTTTAGGGTTGCTTAGGATTTTATTAATAACGGCTTCAAAAGGTATCACTCTCACAAAGTACAAGTAAACATAGTAGGTCTCTTCTTTGTCTGTATAATAAAGACGTATCCTATTCAGCTTGGGAGGCGATAGTAAATAGTCTGTTAGATCTACTGGTTTTGCTGTTCCTGATTTATGTCGAATACCTTGGTAGTTGTTGTTGAGTAATTTCTCTCCATTCACAAGAAGTCCATGGGGTATGGGATACTCGATCTCAACATCATCAGATGTTCGTCCTTTACTCATCTTTCTGCCACAAAGCAAATATATCCTAATACTGGGATCTTTTCTTTTCAATGTATTATACTCCTCCGTATTAAATACAAAATTAATCCTACACTCACCTTTGCTCTCTTTTGGTGGACATACTCCTGGAGAAACATGCACTTGTCTTATTAAACGGAAAAATGGATTATTGATGAAATTGATGTGGTGGTCCCTTACCGGTACGGAATCCTGTGAGTGTAACCCTTCACTGGAAGGGACATGTGGAGTCATAGCATGAGGAATACTCCTGCTTTCGTAGTAATGGTAAAGGTCATTGTAATTTGGTAATGCCTCATTGTCTTTGATGCCAAAGACCAAATCTCTCACTGCGTTGAGTCGTATAGTATCGTTGACATCTCTTCCAACTTTGAAATAGCATATAATTCTTTGTATAAGCTCGTCTTTTCTACCCCCGACTATCACCCCCAAAGATCGACAGACACTCTTTAACTCTGATACTTTAAGTTGGTTAATTCGTCGTTTTGTATTTTCATAATCTTCTGATGAAAACCTAATGTAGGAACTCATTCTTATCTCATTTGTTTGTGCTGGCCACTGTTTAAGAGTCGTCGAATGTTTGTCTTCTCGCTGTGTCGTTTAATTACCTCTTAACTCGGTAGTCAAAATGGTCAGAGCTATGCTCTTTGCAGAAGTGTGTTTTTTTTTTTTTTGTTGTTTACTCCTCTGCCAACCACAAAACTGAATTCAATATGGCCAACAGAAGAACATTCAACAGAAATCGTTACCCATCGATAGAGGGCGATACTAATCAACAGAGATAATAGTAGTCAGCGAAGATAATACATTAAACCATAAACACGAAGTTAACTAAAACGTTGCTACTCCTAATAAACTAGCTGCGTTTTTTGCATCAACTGATGCTGCTTGCAAGGAAGATGTCTGTGGCTTACCCTGTTGTCTCGCCTCTTCCTCCTTCTCCAACGACCTGAAAGTTCTCGACGACCACGAATCGCCAGAGGGGGCTTGAGATTGTAGCAAATTATGCTTAATACTAGCCAAGTTGTCACGGTTAAGGCGCGACAAGCCACCTCTTTCGTCAACGCTCCTAACGTCCAAACGAATAGCTTCCAAATTTTTCAAGATTTTACGATGGTGGTCTATTTTGTGAAGGGTATAAGCCTTGAGTAGACTCTTGAACTTTTTTTCAACAAAGTCGACAACTTCATCTTTTTCATACAACATTTCCCCCGATATCCTCTTAATCTGTAAGTTGAGCAGTTCTTGCACTTTCGAAGCATATTCAAGTGACCTTAACGCTTCATCCACCTTAATAGGGTCTAAGGAAGCTTTATTTTTCATTTTATTAGCATGAACTTGCTTTGCATTGGTTTGCGCCTCTGCTTGTATCAACTCACGCATAATCAAATACCTGTTAGTTAGGGCCTCTTTAATTTCGTAAAAGTCATTGACAAAATATTGAATTGGATCACCCAAGATACCCATTTCGCCAATTGACTCCACAAGCAAAAGATCCGACTGCACTTGAACAATCTTGCTCAATTTCTCCCACATGTTTTTCATACCCGGATGGGTCGTTTCAAATTGTGACAAGACAGTCAACTTGTTTGACATGTCATACACATGTATCGACAATTGCTTTTCACTCTTGGAAATTTTATCTAGCAACCGATGCATTTTTTGGCACGTTAAATACGCATTCTTTATAACTGGTCTAAACTCTGCCAATTCTTGGAAAGGGTCGTATGGAACAGGAAACTGTTTCAACGTCTTTCTCATCAACCCACTGGCAACTGAAGACTTCTTGTTGCTATTTATAACACTGTATCCAAAATCACTCTCAACAAAAAACACAAACTCCTCGTCTCGAATAAGAATTGGGTTCGAAGTGATTCGATCAAACCACTCCTGCCATACAAACATCAACTGTTTCCTTTCATCCTCTCCACCAGTGGGGTAAGAAGTGACTGAGCTGGGAATTACAGGAACAAATACTTCTAAATTTGACATAGCCAAGTACCTGTTGAATTTTACTACCTCATTGAATGTCCGACGTACATCCTCGTATTCTTTTTGTCTGAATTTAGGAAGTCCTTGCACCCGAACTGACATTCGTAAAATGGGGTTTTCTGGTTTGTTCCTGTCAATAGATATAAGTTTAATATGTAGACTATACTTTTGGGCAAACCGCTCCGGTATTAACTTTCGTAAATCGGTTTTTGATATAAGGTCCTGACTATCCTCGTTTTGCTGGTTCTGTTGGTCTTGTTGGTTTGTCGGCTGGGCATTTTCATTAGGTAATTCTTGTGACACCGGGCTTTCAAATTGCAGCTCAGTGTTGGGAAATTCTTCCTCCTCTGGTCTAGCAAATGGGTTGTTATCTTCAAATTCGTCGCTATAATCCATTGGTTCAGTTGGTGGGGAAACAGAGCACCTCTCTCTGGTCGGTAGAGAATATTCAGTTGAAGGTTTTTTTTGTCGAGCTCCGCGCTACACACTAAATTTATATGCAGTATCTATATATCTATTAAGTCAGTAACAGAATCGGGCTTACTTTCGAAGCCACCGTCTTTCCCAACAACATCTTCAGTAGACTCTTCATTACTCTTTACCAGATCGTTATTTTCATGGTTTGATTCTTCGATTTGCTCGTGTAGGAATGCATTATCTTTTGAGAAGAAAGATGACAACGCAGGAGGAAGTGTTAGTTGCTCTCCTTGTAATGCTTTCTCATCCACGTACACCAAGAAGATGAATTTATCATTTGGTTCATCCTCTATATAGCTTTTCACTTCACCAAATGTACAGTTGGTGGTCTTGAAATCTAAAACAGCTCCGTGTGGTGCATCGGCGAGGAATAACACCCATTCGCTGTCTGAATTCACCCTGCGCCTGTACGCATAACGGGTATCTGAAAATACAACACCAACTAGATGATATTTTGAAGGTATATCCAAACCTTCATCCTTTTTTATCTCCTCTATGATATTCTCTTGATTTGTGGTATCGAGTTTTGCGTAGTCGTTATTGATTGTCTTTAATGCTTCATTCAACTGGCTTGATTCATTTCTTATAGAGTCTGATAGTTTGGAAAGATCTTCGTGTCCCTCTTTCTCTCCGATGTTGTCCAAATAGTCCTTTGTTTTATCTAAAAAGCTCCTGATTTTCTTTCCCTCAAAGGAACTCAAAGACATGATTCTTGACGTAATAGTCGTCCTTTCTTTTGCTGACAAAAGTCTTTTTCTGTCCATCTCTTCGATCAAGGACCTGTATTTTGATGTAAACAACGCTGGATAGAACGATTCTCCCACGCTTAACGAAGGAACTGGTCCGGAGCTATCGTTTGGCGAGATTTGGATCCCCAATATAGGTGCGATGCTTTTAATCTCATAAGACTCGGAAGACCACAATAATTTACCCAACGATTCCACCAAAGTTGGTTCTCTGCTGTCACTCTCGAGGTTGACGCTTTGGAATGTTTTCAACTCTCCTTCGTGGTCTATAGCTTGTGAAATAAGGAGGTCAAACTCTTTATCTAACACTGATTTCACGTTTTTAGCTAGGTCTGTGCCAACTATGGTCAATAGGTCGTCCCAGTCTTCAAACTCGTGCGCCTTAAATGATTCAGACACATTATTGTAGAATCCTTCTGCACTTATGAATGAACGTTCACTAGCCGTACTAAAGAAACCAATAAGCCGTTGCATGGCTGCGATAAATGACACACCTTCGTCGGAATTTGATGGTGACTCTTCCTGTTGATCGGTGAACCAGCTTTCGCTAAATTCTTGAACTACATCTTTGCTCAATAGTATCTCGTTGAATGCATGAATTTGGCACAAAATCACGTACAATGGTATGACAAACCTTCCTGGTGTATTGCCTACTTTGGGAACAACTGCGGGGATGGTTTCGGTGCTCCTTAGAAATACTCTTGGGTCTTCAAAAAGTTGCGGCCCATTCAAATCAAATTGTTCTGATTCGCTGCCCCATCCACTACTATATGCATATTCTTGTGACTCCAGTAGTGGAAGTTGTGGAATATCCTGAGGGTTTGAAATTGCAACAGTACCTCTGTTGTAATCTTCATCAAACATTTGTGCTTCTCCTGGGTGTTTTTCTTCAGAGTCGCCAAATAGATAGCCAATCGCTTGTTCTAAATCGTTATTGGCCTTTTTCAATGCCGACTCTGCTTGGTCGTGGGTAAACCCCATTTCCGCCAATTGCTTAATCTTTGAATCCATGTGTGAATGTATGGATGGTGTGGGTGATAGGTTTGCTTGAGGAAAAACAAAAACACAAAATTGTTTTGATCGATTCAACAGATTGACAAAGGATTATGAGAACACACAAGACACATCAAAATAATTGAAAGAGTAGAAAAGTATACTACTGGCTAGTTATAAACAGCAGTCAGGAAAAGGCTTCTACTATAGTGGAAGCCACATACTGTATCCACCCCACAAAACCTCTCAATACAGTTAAATTTCCCCGATTCTATATCCTCTAAAACACTACAATAATGCACTACAACACTTCACTTCACTTCACTTTTACGTCCTTTCCGTTAATCTACATTTAAACTACCATGATGCATATCCAGCCCCTATCTCGTTATCTCTTACTTGTCTCCTCCATTAATTAAAAAAAAACAAAAAAGAAAAGAGAAAAAAATTAAAAACAAAAAGAAAAAAATTTTGGAATTGAAATTTATATCATCTCTTTGATGCAAATTTTGAGATTACTCTGTAAAACAACATACATCAAACCCATCCCAAGAATTGTGTCTACTACTATACCCCGAAGATCGATGTCTGTCAGCACTATTAGTCAAGAGTTATCTAAGTTAGGCTTGAACCAACCTGAGCCAATAAAGGACACATACCCTGATTACAATGTCGTTGATGTGTTTAGAAATTACATTGGTGATGAATTAAACCGAATTTCTGGCATTGATAAAGAAATCATTGTTCAGGCTTTGGACACACCAAAGTTACTAGATCAAGGTGACCTTATTGTACCCATCCCCAAGTTAAGGTTGAAAGGCGTTAATCCAGGAGAAAAATCCAAGGAATGGGCTGAAAAATTCAACAAGGGCAAGTATATCAGCGATCTTGTACCACAAGGAGTTTTCCTTCAATTCTTTTTTAACAAGTCGATTCTTTTTGATTTGGTCATTTCTGATGTCTTAAAGAGAAAGACTGACTACGGATATTTACCATTGGGAGTCGGTAAGAAAGTTGTGGTGGAATTCTCATCCCCCAACATTGCCAAACCATTCCATGCCGGGCATTTGAGATCGACGATTATTGGTGGTTTTGTTTCCAATTTGTACGAAAAGATTGGTTGGGATGTCACTAGAATCAACTATTTGGGAGATTGGGGTAAGCAATTTGGTTTATTGGCCGTTGGATTTGAAAAGTATGGATCGGAGGAAGAGTTGGCAAAGGACCCAATTAACCACTTGTTTGAAGTTTATGTTAAAGTCAACAATGACGTTCGTAATGAAACCAATGAAGCCACTGGTGAAGTTCAAGAGGGTGCTATTGACGCCTCGGAGCAAGATGAAAAGAAGATTCAGTCTTCCACCAACGAAAAAGCAAGAGCCTTTTTCAGGAGAATGGAAGATGGCGATGAAGCTGCATTGAAAATCTGGAAAAGATTTAGAGACCTTTCTATTGATAAATACGTTGACACCTACGCCCGTCTTAACATTGTTTACGACTACTACTCTGGTGAGTCGCAAGTTCCACAACAAAAGATGAAGGATGCCACCAAGTTGTTTGAAGAAAAGGGTTTGGTTCATGTCGACCGTGGAGCCAAATTGATTGACTTGAGTAAATTCAACAAAAAATTGGGCAAAGCTTTGGTTGAAAAGTCCGATGGTACATCTCTTTACTTGACTAGAGATGTCGGTGAAGCTATTAAACGTTATGAAAATTACAAGTTTGATAAAATGATTTATGTTGTTGCTTCGCAACAGGATTTGCACTGTGCTCAATTTTTTGAAATTTTGAAACAAATGGGCTTTGATTGGGCACAAAACTTGGAACACATCAACTTTGGTATGGTTCAAGGAATGTCGACTCGTAAAGGAAATGTTGTTTTCTTGGACAATATCCTTCAAGAAACAAAGGAAAAGATGCACGATGTGATGAAGAAGAATGAGGACAAATACAAACAAATTGAAGACCCAGAAAAGATTGCCGATTTAGTTGGTATCTCGGCCGTTATGATTCAAGATTTCCAATCGAAGCGTATCTTGAACTATGAATTCAAATGGGATCGTATGACCTCGTTTGAAGGTGACACTGGTCCATATTTACAATACGCTCACTCTCGTTTGTGCTCGATGCAAAGAAAGTCGGACATTTCTGAAAAAGAATTGGAGTCAGCAAACTTTGATTTGTTGGTGGAGCCATGTGCTGCTTCGTTAATTAGAACATTGGCCCAATATCCTGATACTATTAGAAGAGCCACCAAGAACATGGAGCCTTCAACCATTGTAACGTATTTGTTTACATTGTCCCACATTGTTTCTCAATGTTATGATATCTTGTGGGTCTCGGGACAAGAAAGGGAGTTGGCTGTGGCAAGGTTGGCTTTATATGCCACAACAAGACAAGTCATTTACAATGGTATGACTTTGTTGGGTCTTACTCCCGTTGAAAGAATGTAAATGGATATATAGTGTTTGCGCCAAATTATGAAAGGGTCGATATCTTGTGTATACAACAAATCAAACTATAGGAAATTGTAAAAATCTCCGATGGCATCTTCCTTGTGAACGCGCTGTATTTAGTCTATCTTTAACATTTTTACCGACTGAAACTTCAATATAAAATCCACAGCGAACAGAAAACAGTGGCAATACCTCTCTTTGTCCATGTGTAATAAATTCAAAGCCGCAAAAATCTGACGTGTTTTTGATGAGATACAATCAAAAAAAGGATACCTCCTAGTTATTATTCAGCACCAACATTTCACTATGCTGGTGCAAGTCATAGACCCTTTGGAGACACATTCTGAACTAGCAATATTAAGTGTGTGGTAGTGTGTGTGGTAGTGTGTGTGGTAGTGTGTGTTTGATGACCATACTTTATCGATAGCAAATTTAGAATCCATTAATGTAAAGTTACGTAATGATTTCTAAATTTTATTTTAACTCCATTCACACACACTACCACACACTATTTTTCTCTTTCATCTAAAAAGAAACAGAAAAAGAAAAAGAGAGAGAGAGACACAGAAAGAGAGGCAGAGAGAGAAACAGAGAGATTAATTAAATTCAAATTCGCACATGGAGAACGACAAAAAATTAAAGAACTTTCCGTTGCTCCCTTTCTTCTTCTTCTTCTTCTTCTTCTTCTTCTTCTACACAGACAGATCACTTGCTGAATACTGGATAGAATAGATTTAACCTTCAATTCCTCAAAACAATGTTCAAATACACTTCACGTACCTTATTGAAAGCTACTTCATCAGTTGCTAAACCAACCGTTGCTTCTATTGGTTCCATTAGAACTAAATACTCGTTGCCAGAATTGGATTACAAGTTAGATGCTTTAGAGCCACACATTAGTGGACAAATCAATGATCTTCACTACCATGTATGTATTTAATTTCCAACCGCATTAGCCTGCAAGAGCCATAATACTAACGTTTTCCTTTCCTTTTTTTAGAAACACCACAAGACTTATGTTGACAACTTGAATAAGTCAATTGAAAGTGCCGTTGAAGCCAAGTCCAAGGGCGAAGTCAAGAAACTTGTTGCTTTACAAAAAGCCATCAACTTCAATGGTGGTGGTTACATCAACCATTGCTTGTGGTGGAAAAACTTGGCTCCACAAAGTGCTGGTGGAGGTCAAGTTCCAAGTCAAGATTCAGCTTTGGGTAAGCAAATTACTGAACAATTTGGATCCGTTGACAAATTGATTGAAATCACCAATGCCAAATTGGCTGGGATTCAAGGTTCAGGATGGGCATTTATTGTCAAGAACAAGGAGAATGGAGGACAAATTGAGGTCATTACTACTGCAAACCAAGACACTGTTACTGATCCAAGCTTGATTCCTTTGGTTGCCATTGATGCATGGGAACACGCTTACTACTTGCAATACCAAAACGTCAAGGCTGAATATTTCAAGGCCTTGTGGAATGTTGTTAACTGGAGAGAAGCAGAAAGAAGATTTGAATTTTAAAATATAAGTGTGTAGTATAACGCTAAACAAACAATTATATATTTAAGCTTAGTTTAAGTGCTGTGTAGAAGGTACCTAAGCTGTCTTCAATTGTCAGCACTAGAAGTTAACCAAGTAGGTAATGGGTTTGTAGAAAGCATCTCCATTTCAAAGTATCTCGGACGAAGTGGGTCTGTCGTTATTTTCTTGGCGAAAGGAAGTAGATAGAGGTACAAGTCTAGATAAAGTTTCGGCCCCGAAAACATTATCGTCTTTATTACCCACCACTATTCACCTAGTGACTCTAAACCGACTAATTGCCGAAAGCTTTCAGTCTCCAAATAAGAACTTCGTACTACTCTATTGTTATATTTATAAAATCAGAATTAAAATGTATTATTAACAGTTATAAAATCGAGAAACTTTTTTTAAAAAAGGCATCATCAAGCTGATCCTTTTTAATCAGAAAGACAAAATTAAATACTTTCCAAATGTGAAACTAAACCCATGATTCCATTTTTTCCCTTATTCTTTTGCTTTGCTTTGTTTTGCAACACGCTGTCCATCGTCCAACACCAGTCTCAAACATCAAAGTTTGAAAACAGGGCATGCAATGCATCACCCTTAGGTATCTCCGTGTAATAACTATGCGATGCACGTTTAAGTGCCGGTATCAATTTATCCCATCGCAATATCCTTACTTCTTTGTCAAAACCCCTAGGTTTACGGATATCGTAGGCCATTATTCTTTTCGCTAGTTCTGAACGGTAGTCTTGGTTACTCGGTTGTGAATTCATATCGTCGTCGAGATGGGGATATGTGTATGTAGCAGCGGCAGCGGCGGCAGCTGCAGCACTATTGGCAGCACTGTTGCCTGTACTAATGGCATTGTTATACGACACGCTGCTATGCCTTGTTGATGAAACTGAGCTAGAACCCATGGATGCACCCGAGGATACCGAGGACGATTCACTCATTCGCGAACTTATTGATTTCTTAGACCAAAATGGAACCAAGTTTGATCTGACTCTACCACGTTCTCTCCTTCGCTCACCAGCATCAGCAAAGGCGGAGCCAATCAACAATTCAACAATTTCAATTACTTCAACTGATGTAATGTAGTACTGGAATTTGTTCCCCGTCTCTGGATCATTATTGATAAATCGCGTGCTTTTAGATCCAGGCGTCTTGGCATTGCCAGTCTCATCATCAGATGATTGCGATTCGTAGTCATCATTGGATCGAACATCACACTCTAAACACGACACTTCAACAACGTCGACATTGGGAGGCGCTGGTAACGTTACTGGGTTCTCATCAGCACTGCCCACAATGGTGAAATTAAGGATCAATTGCTGTCCGTCTTGAATTCTTTCAATTCGAATAATTCGACGACGATCCTGTTTCTCCAGGACCGACCATTTGGGACAACATATGTCTTCAACTGAAGCACCAATCAAGTTTAATTCGACCGGTAAAAAGATTGAATCGCTATTGAGCGCCTCTTTTGGTGGTCTGGTGCTACTACCACCAGCAGAGACTCCACGTAATATACGATACCTCTGTTTGTCCAGTGAAGGATGTTGCACGATTGAAGTAGTGAGCACTGGAGATCTATTTTCCTTTTTCGCCGGTGGCGTACGGCGTTGTCTTTGTGTAGGTGATATTTTGCTTGACTGCTTTTCCGGCACTTGCTGACGAGTTGTTGTTACGGAACCTGGGGAACTAGTATACAGAAGTTGATCAAATGATGTACTTGAGATGGCGGACAAGGGCGGTTGATTACCAAGTGATTGGTTGCCGAACGAATCAAAGTAAACTGATTGTGATTGTATTGTAGTGTTATTTGGGGCAAACAGTGGTGGAGAAGAAGATGCAATGGGTAATTGTGGTGGTTGATTAAACATCGAAGTTGTTAATTGGCCTTGTTGTGGGTATTGAGTGTCTAAGTTCGACGTGTTTGTAGGATAGTTGAAGTCGTAGACAGAAGAATGGCCAGCATCCAATTGTTGTGTAAATGATTGAATCGATGAAGAAACAGACGAGGCCAATGGATAGTGGTATTGTGAGGATGGCTGATATGAGAAGTTATCAATAGGTTGGCTAGTAGCTTGTAGTTGATTGTTGTTGCTGTTGTTGCCTGGCACAAATGAACCTGAGTCATTGTAAGTCCTCGTCAGTGGCGTTACTGCGCTCAAATTGACATTTACAGACTGCGTGTAGAAATTGTTGGTATTTGCTGGCTCATCGTTGACGGTGTTTGTAGTTGTGACATACCCCGGTGGAGTCAAGTCTTGATTGAACAATTCAGTGTTATCCTCGTCAAGCAAGTAGTTGGCAGCAACAGAATTTAGAGAGAACCCTTGTGAAGATGTTTCATTGGTAGATTCATCAACTGCATAGACGGGGTTTGGATTGTTTGTTGCATTGTTAAGCTCATTAGGATCTAGCATATCAAAGCGATTGAATTGTAGCAAGGGAGATGTAGCAGTAAACATAGGACGTAAGTCGTGTAGCAATGTATGAGATCCTTTGCTCGTATTCCTTTCTAAACAGCAAAGAGGGATGAATGTATGCTAAGTAGCGTTTCTTAGTATAGGCCCCACTGGCAGTCAAGCAAAAGATGTGTGAGTAAGGGGAAGTAGTTTGAAACGCTAGTGTTGAACTAGTGAAGCTTGAGGGGTAGGGTGATTTTAAACTGTTTATATATGCACAACTATAGTAGTGGATATTATATATATATGGCTGTGCGTTTCCTTCGTAATAACCTATTCGACAGGTGAATGTGAATGACCCTTTTTCGTCAACTGTGATGGAGTGGTAGTCCAATTGATATGAAAAAAAAAATCAAAAGAGTCTAAGAATCAGTAAACGTGCAAACAATAGTCCCTATATATATCTTACACATTTTTTTTACTTTTCGATAGAGGTCTAATTGAAAGAATTACGTAACAATTCATCACTTACTTTACTTTACTAACTAAAAAGAAAACAATTAGTATTTAGTGCAACACAAACTTCAAACAATAAGACTATGCATATATACATAAAAAGAAAGTCACTAAAAATTTAAAAATTTATAAAATTATAAATTTTATTTTTTTATTTTTTTATTTATTTACATTACACAAACCATAATTTCCTATTAATAGTTTCTTTTCTTTTTTTTTATTTTTTTTACGTCACTTAGGCCCTGATGCATATTATATTATGTGAGTGAACAAAATTTTTTTTTTGTTTAAATTTTAAAGAACTGCAACATAGGAGCATAATATAAACCTTTTATTGTTTTATTGTTCTGTAGGCGTGTACTACTCAAAAGCTTCATTTCCTATTTTGTGTGTATTACGAAGGAACTACTCTATAAAGAACCTTTATGCCCTATTGTTATCAAACAAAATGGCAGTGAGGAAAGCTTTTGTATGTATTGAAGATTAATCTTTGTTCCGAGAATTAAGCAACAGCAAACAATCAGTTATAAGAAACTATACATTTAATGTAGTTGATCTAAACAAAAGCCTAATTTTCTTCTCTTTTACTTTTAGTTGTTAGATTCAGTGTATGACGACATCAATGGCACATCTTTCAAAAATGCCACATGATGGATATGTAATTACACCGATATGGCGAGCATCTGATTCGACTCAGATCGTGTACCCACAGTAGTATAAGCCTCTTTGCAGAAGCGCTTGAATGACTGCAAATCTTTGGTTGACAAACACATTGTAGTACACGGTTTAGAGGGGAATGTGGCTTTCAATCTTGACGTGTGTTGCTGTATATATTCTTGAAAGAACTACTGGCGACTAAATCTAAGATATAGTTTTCAATATACTGAATCTACCCTTTACTCGGTTCCCACTCTAGATACAATCAGGGACATTCGCCTAAAATTGCTCTTTTTGAAGATACGACACAATCAAGCCTCAACATTTCTTTTCGAATAGACCTTCATAAGGTATCTCTTACGGCCGAACGTTTAATTTCATTTCATCTCATCTCTTTACATGACATCACAACTGTATGTTACCATTGACGGAAAAATTGAAAGCAATGATAAACATTTTTCCGTATGCTGGGGTGGGGAATCGTTTGCTTCCTCGGTAGAAAGGCGGGACGGCATACAAAACAGATAGGTATGGGCCCCAATTAAAATAAAAAATAATAATAATAAATAAAAAGAAACAAGCGCTCGTACATTTACGTCCGTTACTAATTAATTAATTAGCCTTTATTCAAAATTAAAGTTTTAGGCTGGTTGTTTTGTGGTTGTCAGCGAAGAATTATGTTTCTTTTCAATATAAGTTGATTGATGGAAAGAGAAAGCCAAGCACTCGTTGGAGAGACACTTTCATCTGCCAAAAAAAGCTGTAACACTTTAATGCTTTGTACAACGGTACCTGAATCGCAATTAACCTGCTGTAAGCAGATTCCTTAAATGACTGAATAGTATAGCTCTATGAATAGAGTTTTGCGAACTATTACTTGTGACAAAGTTACTCATAAGTTTTCCCAATTGGAGTGAGGAGGGGCAATACAACTAGATCATTCTTTACATTTATCCGGGACACAATACGGTAAGCTCAAACAAGACCAATTGTTTCAAACAAAAATAAGCTTTGATACACCTACAAACCGTCCATTTGGAAAAACAACTAATAAATAACAAAATACGCGTTTATGCATTTTTGGTACTGTCCTAGAGGACTTCTTGCCCGAATAAGAATTGCTGAAACTGGTAAAGCGATGTGGTTTTTATTTTTCTTAGGTAGAAGTACTGTGCTAACGTATCTCTGCCAATAGTTTGACTAAAATAGCACAGCTTTAAATTGTGAGGGAATTGTTCATTACTGTCTATTGAGTTTTCTCAAAAGCAGACTATCTATACAAAATCAGAAGGGTGTTCGTAACTTGACCCCCGCCTCCACCCCTTCCCAATTAGACTGAGATCAACGTTGAATTGCAAGTTTGTTGTTGAAAGTGGTAGCACAAAATGCACATTTCCGATGCCGTGAACCTTAAAATTCTAAACTTGATGGAGCTCCATCAGTACAGCCACATCGAACGAACGTTAAATGACCATAGTTTCCAAAAGAGGGTACAAAAGAGAGAGAGACATGCGTGAAAACAAAAGAGGCCAACAACAACTGATTTGACTCTGTTTGTGTACCTTTGTATGAATAAGATTTGTCTCTTTTAATATTTTTTTTTTCAACATCACAATATTACAAACCAAAATTTTAGATCACGCATACATTATTATGTGCTAGTTATTGTTTCAATTGAGCAATAGCACATCTAACGCGTTTGCGTCATAGAGAAAGAGATATATAGAGAGCGACGTTAGGGGTCAATTTACGACACCTTCTCCAAATTTATCAGAAACCCTCAATGTAGTCTCACTTACTTTCGTGTGTATCCAAAGTATGCATTTATTCCTTCTCTTTTAGCTGCATGATAGGTGTCAGAATTATGACATGAAACGACAAAGTTTAATGAGAAATAGTTCTTCACTAGCCACTTCTCAGCAACGCTAGTGTTAAGAAACATGGTTTTCCTAGAAGACCAAGCATACTTTTTTTCTACCATCAATGTGTCCTTTCCTTATTCATCACACTGTCCTCTTCCTATATACAATCTTCTTTTTAGACTAGTAAATACGTCTAGAAAAAATAATACACTTTGCTGTTGGAAATATATAAGGAACTAATTTCCTTTCTTAGGGTTCTTCCGGGAGTCGTAAACAACGCTCGAGTGATTTTGTAACTCTGAAGGAATGACCGGGCGCAGTAGCAAATTTCCATTGTTTTTACTTTTCCATTCTTTTTTTTTTATTTATTATTTTGTTCTTTGCTCATCTAATAATTATTTTCTTCTTTTTTATTTACCAGAAGTAGAAAAGAATCTTCTACGACACGACGAGCATTTACAATACGGATTGTAAGTAACAAAAAAAAAGTGTGGTATGCACACAATTTCCACTCGCACCAAGATCTATACCATTCAGGATTAACTTGGCACCATGTATGTTCGATCGAAACGAGATCTCAACAAGTTTAAGCTTTTATCTCAAAATATAATACGTCATGCAGATGGTGCCGTAGTGAAAGCAAAAGAGGGGAATCCAAACCTTAATTTAACCGGGGAAAACCAAAACAAAAAAAATAAATAATAAAAAATAATTCGCTAGCTTTTGTACTTTACTTTCTGATTTATCTCCGTCTAAAGTACTGCAAAAAGAAATGCAAGAAGGGGTAAACTTTGTACCCCAAATCTAAATGTGTTGTACGGCGATTTTGTTTTATCAAATTTTTCCGTTTTGTATTTTGGACGATGTTGCATCTTAGTTGTAACAATAGTAAGCTTACTTCCATATTTCCATATTTTGCAAAAATATGCAAGATGAGTTAAAAATTTAGTATTTGCACAAGAGCAAATGCTTTTTCTTTTTTTTCTCATGCGAGTGAATACAACAAAAGCAAAACCATTTGGGATTATATGTACGAGGCGGGCCAATGCTCCTAACCAATTTATCCTATCTATATATTTGGTTCTACACAGTCGTTGAAAGCATACAATATCAATCATTGCCCCTCGTCCTTTAATAACCTTTTAGTGTTGGTCACTTTAAAAGGAATTGATCACTGGTAAGTACGAATCTTGAGCTCCTAGATGATCTCTTCGAAAAACAATATACAATTAAGCCTCGCTGTGGCTGTTTGGGTGGAGAAGAAAAAAGAAAAGATAAAAAAGAAAAACAAAGAACAAACAAACAAACAAAGAAAAAAGTTTAAAAGTGACCTCATATTCTCTATTGTTCTTCAACATGCACACTCTTTGCCATGTGAAAGAGTGTCTAGTCTAGTTCAGAAGACTCCTTGCATGAACAGATTAACAATAGCAATATATATGACGTCTTTGTATGTGCCTTTGTTGTTGATTGCTTTGCGGAAAAACTTTGGTTGTCGAAAGCGGAGAAAAAAGAAATAGAAATAGCATTCAAAAATCAAACCTCATACGAGTAGACGTGCTAAAGATCTAATTGTATTGCTATCCGATTTAGTGGAGTGTAAGAAAAGAGAGACCAACAGTAAATTTTGGCCATGCACCAGATCTCCGATACATACAGACAAATAATATGCCGCAAACAAAATTTATCGTCGGCGTTTATTAGCTATTCTGGCCGATACGAAGTATACAAAAAAGAGCCAGTGACTGCTTAATTGACCCCATGTGCCCACTCTGTCAGGAAAAGAAAAGAAAGGAGAGGAAAGAAGAAATCGTTGACATATCGTAAGCAATGGTTTGGACGGTAGAACAATAGAATGTTAAAAAAAAAACCTTGGCAACTTCTCCTTCAAGAAATCCTAATCTATTTTATCAATTCTTTTCTAGATGGAATAAATTTTAGTTTCACCCAAGGTTCTAAAGTTCGGACTGTGTGTCATTGCTGTGTCAAAGCCTCCCTCATCTTTTTCCTGACGATCATATGGCTGGGCCTTTTCTTTTTGGAGATCCTTCACTCACTCACTCACTCACTCACTCACTCAATCACTCACCCACTCACAATCGACTTTTTTTCTATTTCGCTCTTATTGTTTTCTATTGTTCTCTGCCAAGTCGGAATAATTTTTAACAGCAAAATAACAATAAATCGAAAAGGTTGCTCGAAAGAACTAACGCGCAATTGACAAGAAGGAAGAGGGTATTGTATTTCTCTTTTAGTAATTCGTTTTCTTCAGAGACAATTTTAAAGTCAAAGTTCGTATTCAGGCCAAACTGATCTTGCATTACAGGAGGTCACGTTCAGATTAGCCAAAAAAACAGCGCCACACTTTGCCTGTCGATAATCTGCAAACTTTGTCTGCATATTAAAAAAAAAAAAGAAAAGCACTATCCACTAACCACTCAACCATGGGATCAAAAGATTAGCATCGCAGCAACTTAATTTTAACTGCTTTAGAACTTCAATCACGAACTGTGGAGACGTGCTTTTCAATTGTGGAGACACATATCCATTAGTTTATTTCGTAGTCAGAAAAGTTTAGACGACCGGAGTTAACGAAAGAAAACGTTTCATTTAAAAAAAGCAAGACTCAAGCCTAGTCTGTCAAAAAGAGAAGTCGAAAATGAAAGCTCTTATTCGTTAGAGGTATTTGTGTGTATGCACCTGATCGCCCCAGTACAGGGAAAAAGGGCCGATAGTTTACGAAAGGTGAAGTAAAACACTCCTCTCATAGAATCTATTTAAGCCTCCCCCCTTTTTTGGCGAGAGTGTATAGCAGTTGCACACGCTTATTGGATATTCACTTTTATGAGATTTTACGTTTTTGTGAGAGCAAAGAATAAAGAGTCTAAGTATGGGCGTCAAAGTGCATTTCGAATGGGCGTTTTTACGTGTTTAATCTATCCTCAGCTCAAGGCGCATAGGTTAAGAACCCATAACGGCGCTTCGCCTTGTGGTTTGATAAATTTAAGACGGCGTTTTGTGGAAAGAGGTCTCTTGGTTTTTCTTGGTAATGAAATCAATGATCAACTTTCAATCCAAAGCAAACAAGGCAGTGCTGGCAACTGCAAAGGGATAAAAAATAGGCATTAAATGCAAAGCCAATAAAGTATAACTGACAATTCAAGCACAGTTACGTTAAAAAAGAGGCTATAAATGAAGTAAGGCTTTGGTTGGTGCTGTTTTGCAGTAAGGCTTTTTCTCCACCTACTCTTGACTCAGCTTCAGTAGTCATCACGGTTTAATTATCGGTAGCATTGTGAGAAGCAATGCATTTTTTATTGTCTTGATTTTTTAATGTTTAACTTTTCTTCTTTTTCTCACAAACCCTGATTTTTTATATAAAACATTACCCTTTTGTGCATATGTATTTTATGTGCAGGTATAAACACAAAATTAATGCTGCCCAATTACGGCATTTTCGTATTGTGAATTGAAAATAAAAAGACAAAAAAGAAAAAAAATAACCATCAGCGTATATCGAGATAACCAATCTAGCATCAGTAAATCGTAGGTCTTTAAATTAGTGCCGCACGTTCAAATGATATAAGGATTAAAACATGCATATGCCTTAATTTCTCATGAGTGCGATTGAAGATAGATCATACCTCGGTTCTATTGGAGTCACCAGTCACCAATTTACATTTACGCATGATCCTTTAATGGTGCTTGGCTCTAAGGCGTTCAAAATAATAAAGAAAAGCCTTCTTTAAAGTATTGTTGCTCTAGTTTATTTTGTATCTCGCACACACCCTTTCACACAAATAGGACATTCTGCAGGATGCAAGTGAAGGAATTAGGGAAAAAAGAAAAAAAAAATTGTTTTCTTTTTTAATTTCCCTCTGCACTAATTTACAATGAACGTCGACTGAAATCGTAGATGCTGCTGTATAGCCCTTTTCAAAAGGGTTACGAGTTTCACAGAGAAAAAAAAAAGACCAAGCTGTTTAAATTACATTAAACTTTGTACTCCTTGGTTTCTTATCTTTAACCAACCTATTTTCAGTTAATGAGATGCCACGTGGATTAGATCGAAATCACTAAAAAAAAAGACGTTCTATAGGATCTAAAATTTTCGATAATGACCTCATCTCCGGATTTAACGCATGCTCTAATTGGATTTTGTTGTTTTAATTAAGAAAGCCCTGTTGAGTATGAATTTTTGTGATATGCACCGAACAAAATTATAGCCCGTTTTTTTCTCCTCCTCTCGCGTTAGACAATACAAAAATACAAAGGATGAAGAGAAAAAAAAAAAAAAAGATTAATTGTGGTGGCAGTGGTGGGACTCAGTATAAGCTCACTTATATACCGGAAATGTGTTGAATTGAACAATGAACAATAAACAAATAGAGCGTAGGACCTACGTTTTATTACCTAGCTGTATTTATGATTGGCGATTTTACCTACTCATTCAGTTCACCCCAATACATTGACTGAGAACGCTTTATGGTTGTGTAAGGCAGTGGGTGTCAACGTAGAGTTCAATGTCGAAGACCCTTCTCATTCTGTAGTTTCATTGAACCATCAACAGCTTGAATGAGCTAATCTAGTAACCTGTGTACGGTTGTCAATGAGATATACCGGTATATTTTCAACATAACCAATAATTGTTTTGTAGAAAAAGCCACTTTTTGAATTTTCATGTGAATTTTTTTTTCTCGCTATTCTGAAGTACATCCAAAAAGTGACAGGTTTCTGACGCATTTTTGACTGGCTTTTTGTAGACTAGACCGCAAGTAGGACCAAGAAACACGGGCAGAAACTAGTTACATAAAGTTTTGCCAAACCAGTAATTAACCTCGCCCCGCGATGGGTTTAGAGAGCTAGCTTGTGCCACTCCATAGAAAAACCCTGCATTGTTCAAGATTGATGAATTGAGTTACAATGGAACACAGACCCAAACTTGGTGATTTTAGGAGCTGCTTTAGGGCATAGGCGATACTAAGCTGCGTGTCTTCAACTATAGCTGTTTCCAGGAATAGGTGGTTTATGATACTGCTGAATATTCATCGTATCACTTTATCATCTATACAAAAGCACATTCGGAGTAATATAAGCTTTAAACTGACGTTGATATCACTACTCTTACGTCCGGATGCATTCGCTGTCCGCACAATTAGAAGTACTTAAAAATTTTTGTATGTACTTCTCACAACGGAATTCCACATTGCTACGAAAGAGTAAAATTGGAACACCTGCAAAGGCAATCAAAGTTGAAGATCAGTTGCGTAAAGTACCTGTAATTTGTCCTGAGAGTGGAAAGAACTCACAGTGACAACAGTCTAATAGCTTTACACCCAAACGTGAGAGGCTCATTTAGCGGCCTATGACTGCGTTGCATTTACTATTGTCAGTACTTCAAGTTACCTCAATGCCTGGACCATATAATAAAAACGTTGAACAAGCAATTCCGGAAACTGTACATCTTCCGAATTTACTCCACACTCGATACCAAAGTATATAAAAAATTTACAATGTCAATTTCAAGAAAATATATATTCGGGGTTAGAATGTCAAAAGATACAAGAATTCAAAATCAAAAACGAGCAGCAAACAAACACCTATTTAGTTGTGGTGGTTCTCTTTCTGTCGTATTGTGGGTAGAACTTGGAGAACAAAAAGCCGTCAAGTAAGACCAAGCCGGTGATGACGGAAGCATGGATACCAACAACAAGGTTGTGGTCGCTTCTAATTCTGTATCTCTCTAAGTAACCCAAGTATCCAGCGGCAGCACCCCCGGCAATTACAAACAATTGAGTTACGACAACTGGGTTTTGCAATTCAACGGCGGTTCTAGATACAGCTTGTGAAGCACAATTTTGAGCGTTTTGTCCTGATTTTTGCAAAAATTGGCCAAATTGTTGAGCACCTCTTTGTATTGATGCGCTGATTCTGGAAAACAAGGATCTACCCTCTTCTTCCAAACGATCCAATTCCTTTCTACTGGCATCATAGGCTTCTTGTCCCTTTTCGGCAGCAGCATCGTAAATTACTTCGCCTCTTTCTCTTGCGGCTTCATACAACTCCTTGCTAGCTTGCTTCAAATCTTCAGCTTCTTCTTCGCTTGACTTCTTCAATTCCTGTGCCTTGGCTTTTCCTTCCTTCTTCAACTCTTGCGCCTTGGCTTGACCTTGTTCCTTCACTTCTTTGGCATCGGCAGATGCTCTCTTTTTGGTGTTTTCGGCATCTTTTTCGAGATCCTTCTTGAGTTGCTCGTGGGATGGTGGGTTGCTGTTTGCCATTTTTTATGTATCAATTGCTATTGAAGAGGGAGGTGCGAGGGGGGTCGTGTAAGTTTTAATTATAAAGATTGAATAAGTCGTGTTGCGATTGAAAGTAGATTTATATATAAAAAGATAATATATATGAAATCTATTAGTGGTTTAATTGATATGTGGGAAATGTATCGTTAAAGAAAAGTGGTTGAAACTGGTGTGTAAAATTTAAATTTAAATTTTGTCTTTCTTTAAATAGGGTGACGATTAAATATAAAGACTGAAGTGAGTATGTGTGTGGTAAGTTAACGAATGATTTTCTGTATTTAAGGAAAATAATGGGACAAAATTAAAATAGCAATCAAAAGATAAAGTAACCACCCACACAACACACACACTCATAATCATAATAGACTAATTAGCAAAGAATTAGTCGACACACAGTCACTATACTATTGTTTCACTAACATCAATAGTGGTCCTTCTACCTCTTACTCTGTTGCTTACTAAATGACTCTTGTCCCCCTTACAAAAAAGCCCGGTTCATTAGTGCCAGGGAAAAAATAAAGGACAAAGAGGTAAATTTACGACACATGAGTTTAGCAAAGTCTTGTGACTCCTTAAACAAAATGAAAAAGTCAGCTCCGATACTTCCCTTCTACAGAGAATACATGTATACTCTAATACTCCTGTATGACCCTTACATTGAGAAATGTAAACATGTATGCTCGGCCAAATGCCATGTAACTTAGAACAGTAAATATCCCCGAACATGCGCCTCGAGGACACTCGTCTTAACCTTGCTCCCACACTTTGTGTTTTTATTGTCACTCCGTGGCCCGCGTAGTACAAAACAGTGTCGGAAATTTAAGGAAGAAATAGACGTGACGAGGAGAAAAAAAAAAAGAATAACATCAAAAAAGAAGCAAACGGTGGCAAAATTCTAGAAAAGGGTGTCAATGATGAACGATGTACTCTTAAACCGAACCATTCCTCTTCCTGCTGTGTTTGGTCATCTCCTATAGTGAAGTAACTTCCTCATTTCCCCACAGTTCATTTAGTGTCATAACAAAATTGTTGCCCCAACTTGTATATCACGTGCATATAAAAAAGTAGGGCTTTTACCTCTTCTCACATTCTTGTCCTCAAAACAAAAAAAAATTTCAACTTACAATCAATACCTCTGCTCAAATTTCCTTATCCAAAAGACTCGTCGATCGAAAACCAACACCCCGGCTTTCCACGTAACATTCCGACAAGTAAATATTTATAAAGATGTCATCAGAAGCTCCAAAAAGACAATTCGGTGGTAAAAGAAGAGGAGGACCAAGAAGAGGAAGAAGAGAAGAAGAAAAAGGATGGACTCCAGTCACCAAGTTGGGTAGATTGGTGAAGGCTGGTAAAATCACCAGTGTTGAAGAAATCTACTTGCATTCTTTGCCAGTCAAGGAATTCCAAATCATCGATTTGTTATTGCCAGAATTGAGTGATGAGGTTATGAAGATCAGATCTGTTCAAAAGCAAACCAGAGCTGGTCAAAGAACTAGAATGAAGGCTGTTGTTGTCATTGGTGACTCAAACGGTCATGTTGGTTTGGGTATCAAGACCGCCAAGGAAGTCGCCTCTGCTATCAAGGCCGCTATTGTCATTGCCAAATTATCAATCATTCCAATCAGAAGAGGTTACTGGGGTTCCAACTTGGGTCAACCACACTCTTTGCCATGTAAGGTTACCGGTAAGTGTGGTTCAGTTACTGTTAGATTGATCCCAGCCCCAAGAGGTAAGGGTATTGTCGCTTCCCCAGCCGTTAAGAAATTGTTGCAATTGGCTGGTGTCGAAGATGTCTATACCCAATCTAACGGTTCTACCAGAACTACCGAAAATACCTTGAAGGCTACCTTCGTTGCCATTGGTAACACCTACGGTTTCTTGACTCCTAACTTGTGGAAGGAAACTTCATTAGCTCCATCTCCATTGGACGTCTATGCTGAAGAAGCTGCTGCCGGTAAAAAGAGATACTAAGTTATTTAGAATAGTTAAATAAACGTAATCTTTTTTGCTAATCACTATTTAGAATCTACAATATCCTCTTTTTGCACAATAAACCATGTCAATCCCTTCAGGATTGCAAATCCATGATATTAGACACCTATACTGTACTAAAAAACGAAAAAAAAAAAATTTAAAAATGAAAACACAATATAACTCCGCTAGCTTATTTCTCCATTTATTGTTGAGCGACTTGTTCCATAACTTGGTCTTCACCAACAGCAAATTGACGCTCATTAACTTGATTCTGAGATAAATCGGCAGAATCCTTTGTCCATGTATGAGGCACCATGGTTCTACCTTCTGGATGCTGGTACATACATGTTGCAATATGACAAGCAGCACCAAAACGGCACATCTCCTTAAAGGGGTGATTAAAAGTACAGTCAACTCTGGTGCACTGGATACCAGCACGGCAAGGCACACTCGATGTTGCATGTCTTCTAACACACTTGTAATTAGTACAATTCATACCGTATTTACACTGTTCCAAAGAAATCTCATGGAGTGTTGGTAATGGCTTAACACCAGCAGTTGGTGCACGCGGATGCGCTTTTTTACATTCATCGTCTTGACAATTGATTCCACCGGGACAAAATTCCAAGGTCTCGATCTTTGCTTCTGGGTTTGCTGGTGTAGGATGGGCAAATGGACAATTCTCTTTAGCGCATTTGGCACCAAATTTACAAGACCCTTGCTTCAACTCAATATACCTCTTTTTTTGTTCCATGTACTCCTTATTTGATTCCTCTAGCTTGGCAATCAACTCCTGGTCTTGATCTGGATGTAAAAAGTTACAAGTTCCCGGCGGATTGGGGCAGTTGGGATACGCAAAACACTCTTTAGTTGGATGTGCAAACTCACAATTTGCAACTGTACATTTGGGGAAACGAGGACATCTACCCTTTGGTTTACGAGTTACAAACTTTGTGACATTGTCTTGACCGTTATTTCCAGATGCAATCAACTGCTCCAACTTTGCCGTCGCTTGTGGTGGTCTCGTTACATTTCCACGGTCGCTTGGTCTTGACTTACCTATGCCCTTGGTTTGGCTACCGGTACGTGCAATGGAAGAGTCATTGCCAAATCTCTTGTTTCTCAATGCGAGCTTCTCCCTCTCTGTCATTCGTTTTGGTCCTGCTGGTGTGCTGGGTCCTGTTGGACGCTGTTTTGTATGAATATCAGTTGGTGGAGCCCCCGATATGTTGGATAAACCAGACTCAGTTTGTATACTCGGGCCAGGCCCTGGAACATAATTTGGGGCCTGGTTTTGATTAACAAATGGGTCTGCACCGCCTGTACTGCTTGCCTCATGTTGGACTGGTACCTGTCCCACCTGTTCATGTTTGCGCTGAATATTGGCAATCTCGTCAAACACAAGATTTATAAAACCTTCATCCCCAGGAAATTCCTTCACGTCTAATATCTCTTCCAAGACCTTGTCTTTGGAATCTTTATTTTCAATCAAGAATATTATGTATTCGGCAATGTCGTGTGCTTCTTCATTGTCTACACTATATCGGCTTCTAAGTTCGCTTTCTAACCCAGGTCTAAGCTCTTCTAAAATTTTTGGCGAGATGTTGAGTGGCATGATTGTGGTGATGTGGTTAACGTGATGGCAAATCAGTAATGATTTATGTGATTTGTAATGTGATCAGGAGGATTTATTTTTCTTTTTTCTTTTTTTTTTTCCAATGTTACTCTCTATTTAATTTTTTGTGCGTCATTGTACCCTCGCTGAGCTTGGCCAATACTAATGTTACTATTGGCTTTGAATTGGCTGCACAAATTATACTCTACTTCAAACTAATCTAAACTTATCCTCTGATATCTCACCAAGCAAATTCTTAATATCAACCAACATCTTATCCAATTGCTCAGAGATTGTCGAGGCAACTAAAATGTACGAATACAACAAAATGAAATCATCATTTTTCAACACGAGTCCATCATTCTGTTGCTGTCTGATTTCACTCAATTTGTATAACATCCGATCCTTTGCATGCTCGATGGAGGCAAATTTCTTGGGTAGCGAAAACCCCAACTTCATAGCGCTGGCAATCATGTAGAATACCAAGAAAATCCTCTGCTCAACTTCATTCCTCTCAACTTCGATATACTTGAGCACATACTCCTCATTACCATTAAGTGTAGGATCTGCCTTGATCAACAAGTCCAAGTTCTGGAAAGCATCGATAATGGATGACGTTTCTTTAATGAGTTTGGCGTATGTCCGTGTGGGAAATTTACCCTTTAATCGAAACTCAACTGGTGCTTGTTTAAGCAATGTTTCGCACTCGGACAAGATCTTGTTTGTACCTTCTTCAGCTTTGAATCCTACCAATTCCATGGTGTCTGGGTTATATTCCAACGGGTCACTATTCCAAATGACGCCCAATCGCAACCACAAGATCGACAAACCATTCTTTAGTCTTGCCCTTGCACTATTTGGTAAAAAACAAGTGGCCATGACCAATGCCCATATAATACCAATGGATACAGCAGCAAATCGATGAAAAGCTATTTCACCAATGATTGGATTCTCTCCTCCTTCGAAATCGTCTTCTGCGTCCTTCTGTAGCATACTATACGAGTACAACATGGTCAAGTTATATGTCAACAAAATAAATCTCCCAAAAGCATTGTTTGCTTTCCAAAATAAAATAATGTAAAATGAGGGTATCGAGATCAAGATACCGGTCAAGGCCAACACATACACATTAGCTTCAAATATTGTCCACATTGAGAACGCGACAAATGCACCGAGGAAGGTACCTATAATCCGCCACTTGACGGTCATGGTCGTTCCACCCAAAGACTTGTTCATCATGATACAATATACGGTCAAAGCCCACTCAAGTCGCCAGTTTTCGAAAATCCCCTTTGTATCCGGGATAAACGCAAAAAGCGATAGACAGGCAGCACCCAAACCGACACGAATACCAAACTGAACATCGGCTCGTTTCAAATATTTTAGCCTGTTCCAAATGTCATAGCTGATGCGTTCTGTGAATGAATTAAACATGGGCTCTTCCTTCTTCAACCCGTACTGATCACGTAAATCATCTAGTGCTGCGTGTAGACTGGTATCGTTCGTGGGACTCTTGGCAAACTTACCTCGCTTGAAGCGAATCCACGACCATGACCTAGGTATGGATTGTGCATCTTGATGTTTGTCAAACAACTTCAAACACTGAAGCAACTCACTTGAAAATTGAGATAAAAGGGTAGCAAAATTTCCACAACATGCAGCAACTTCCTCTTGGTCAGCTTTAAAATAGAAGTTGGCATTTTGGGTAAATGATTCTTGGTTATAAATGTGTTCAAATGACAAGTCTTGCCGTTTCTGGTACATCTTTATGGCGCTGGTCAATGCATTTTGGTAATTGCTCGAATCGTTCAAGTCTCCAGCAACATACTTACCTATCGGAAGACTGTTTAACACATCTCTCACTGTAAAAACTAACGATTTTATGGATGGCGCTAAATGATAAACAAACAAATCAAAAAGTTGAAGTGAAGAGCCCATATCCGTCTCATCAACTTCTGTGCGTGCCGAATTGAATTGGCCCAATGATGAAGAGCTTCCAAACTCATCGCCGCTGTAGCTTCGAAGAGTTGTTGCAGAACTTTTTTCTTCTGACGTGCTATTTAACAAGTTCCATTGCATTCTCGTGGCCGAGCTCAATGCTTGCAAATGACGAGCCAAAGATACAGTCGAACACACCAACGTTTTATAGTATTCCCACTCAGCTTCCTTACCCACTAAACATAGCTCATACTTTGCCTCCTCTAGATGCAGCTCCATCGTTTTGACATTTTTTTTCAACTGGTCAATCAACGCAAAATCTTTCGCATTCAACTGTTCACCCGCCACAAACCGTCTCGTTAAGACCAACAACAATTTGGAGTAATTATTATAGGAGTCATTCAACGTATTCTGTAGCTCCTTGGTTGCACTCACAGGCCAGATCAAATAACAACATGCAAAGGAAATGATGCATCCTGTAACCACAACTTTAAATGTCGCCTCTATCCTTTCCATTGGTATACTGCCTGAACTTGCACTGCCCTCTTTGACAATACATGATACAATTGTGATACAAGCTAGTGAACAGGCGGTATTGAATGTTTGTTTATTCACCTTTTGTTTCATAAATGCAACTACTCCCAACGCCACTGAACTCACGATAAGATCTACAATGTGACTCACCTCATCCTTCCCACCAACAAATAAAATGGCTGAGATAAACCGGCAACCAAACGAGACTGTGATACTAAATACAATAGATATGATAACAAATAGCATTGTTTGGTTCATTGATCCTCTTGATCTAGAAGGGTGGAAATACACCGCCACCGTGGCAATGACATGTTTCGAATCGGTTGATCCTAAGAAATCATCAAAAGATCGGTCAAACACACCCAAAGAAGCAAGGAAGTACGCCATTGAACACTTGAAAACACTGCGGAAAACCTCATTAAAGTAAACTCGTTTAATCATTTGCGCCATTTGATTGAGGTTCGACTGAGGTCTGTAGCCAGAAATGGATTCATGCAGGACATCGTAATCTTGGGGTAGTGATAACGTAACAGCTCTATGTACCCTTTCACCTGTGTTTGCTAATATAACTGAATTTTGGCGAGTGACCCATTTACGTGGAGTCGAACTGTCTGCACGAACCTTGTAAAACAAATCATGCTCATCATGTCTTGATGGCGACAGAGCCAGCTCAAGCTCCACTGGGTCCATTAATCGGGCACTCTCGGAACTAATTGTCGAATCATTTGTATCTCCGTACATTAAAGCTATTTGCTTTAGAGTTGGAGTTATGAGAGAGATAGAGTTTGGAGAGATCATTTTATTTATTTTTCTGCTTTCTCAGCCCCTGACAATTAATGAAGGAAAAAGGCGCACCGCATTATTCTAATCATAAAACTCTTTTTATCTGCATTAAATTAAACTTAATATTATTATTATTAGTTTTTTTTTTCATCTAAATCTACATAAACTCATTAATCTTCGTAACCAATAATGTCCCTAAACAATTCTTCACATGGGACAGTAGCATTCAACCTTGCACAAAGTAAGAAAACACCGCTCAATTTCCTGTGTAGCGAATAGGTTTCTTCTGGTGGTGGGGTTAGTCTTTCACTCAACATCAAACCAATGTTTCCCTTAACTCTGTCGGTAATTGTTTGCTTTGTGAAATTAAATGGATGACCATTGTTGTCAATTGGGGAAAATGCTTCACCCAAACACATAACAGAGTCAACATGGGCCTGGGTCATTGCAGGAGATTCCAATCCGGTCAAATATCCCAATTCAAGGGACAACTCCTCCACCTTCTTGTGGTCCTTCTTGACAGCAGCGCGCAACAATCTGACATAATTGACAATAAATTTGTCACTGTAGTCACGAGCAGCCCCAAAGTCTAGAAGCTCAATCTTGTTGGTTTTTTCATTGAACAAGAAGTTGGCCCAGTTTGGATCAGTTTGCATAAACTTGAACTCCTTGATTTCCAATAAACATAATCTCATAATCTGGGTGGCAATCCAGTTCTTAGTAGATTGGTCCCAATTTCCCTTGACGATCTCAGTACCTCTCATTCTTTCCATGGTTATAACATGCTCGCCGCAGGCATTGTGGAAAACTCTTGGAACTTCAAACACATTATCATCTTTCAAAAATTCCCTCATTCTTATTAAATTTTGAGCTTCTCTAATATAGTCACATTCCCACTTCAACTCAACTCTAGCATTGGCAACTGTCTTGTCCAAAAACAATCCGGCTGGTAATAACGAAGAAGCTGTCAAAATCATCAACATATTGTTCAAATCTGAGTCAATAGAGTTTGCCACCCCTGGGTACTGTACTTTAACAACAACTGGAGTTAAATCTTCAGTTACAGCGGTGTGGACTTGACCAATAGAAGCAGCAGCGATTGGTACGTCATCAAACGAAGTGAACAAACGTTCACGCCAACTCTTTCCCAAGTCGCCAACCATGACCCTTTCCAACTGTCCTGGTGGCATGTAATGTGCGGAGTTTTGTACCCGGAGTAAAATCTGTTGCACCTCTTTAGGTAATATCGATGCATCTTGAAAAGAGAGCATCTGTCCAATCTTCAAGGCAGCTCCTCTCATTTTGGAAAACTTTCTGGCCATACTTTCGATATTTTTTGGTGATAAAAACAACGACTTCATCGTCATTGGATCTGTACTACCTGATGCATAATGCTTCAAACCTTGCGTAGCGGCATTCAAACTCATATTAGCAGCCAATGACCCATAATGGAAGATTCTCGCTAATCTCGAGCTAGGTATCTCACTCTGTGTTAGTTCAAATTCTCTCAATTTAGGTTTCTCTGGTTCAATAATAGTTGCCTTCACTGGTACAGCTGTGTTTACAGGTAACGTAGTGGTGTCTAGACTGACATCTTCACCTGGGTAGAAAGATTTGGTAGAATAAGCGCGTGCTTGTTGAAACCCATTAAACGCGTTTGATTTCTTAGCAGCTTCTCTTCTTGCGTGTAACGATAAAGACCTTGCCTCATCCCACATTGATTTGCTAGAGTCACATTGGCCTCTGACAGTGTTTATTATATTGCTGTTGTGGTAGAAATCACACACATCTTTGGAAACAATCTTGGCTGATCCTTCGGCTATATTGATAAATGTGTTTGTAACAACTGCGATCTCATAGACTCTCTTGCTTATCGACATTAATGATACTGAATATGTAACGTGTAGTAGTATATGCTGTTTTAAAAGAAGAAGAAGAACTATCTATGAATTCTAAGCTATTTTTTTTCAAAAAAGTTTCCAAACAAACACTCTTCTTTTCAACTTGAGCAAATTGGCATATGCTAATTTTTTTTTTTCTTACAGCAAACAATTTTTTTTTTTATTTTTTTTTTTGGCTTTTCTCGTGTTTAGAAAACAATAACTACACAATAGACAATAGCCAATAGACACACAAGAAAGCATAACAATCACACAAATGCTGGCAATTACCAGTCAAGTTAATGCTTTAGTCTATTGTCCATTGCATTTGTGTATTGCTTTCTCAATGAGGGGCCCGCCTTACTTGCTATATATAATATAGTATGTCTCAGTCTATATCTATCTATTGGCACGGACTTCCTTTATTCATTTTATTCTTCTTTGTTTCAATAAATAGCAAACGTGCCCCTTATATTGCTACGCAGGTAAAAGTAACTAACACTCTTGGCAATTACATCATGATTAGTTGCTGCAATTATTGGTGGTAATTGATCCATAGTTGCCTAGATCTATTTCCAACATTGAATCTTTTTTTATTTTTGTACTTTACCTTCTTTTTTTTTAACCACTGCCACCTTCTCACCGAAAATCATCGCTAAGAACTTATTGTTAGTTTGGTGTGCGTGCGTTCAAACGCCACAATTCTATTATCTTCTACTACTTCTTCTTCTTTTTCTCTGTTACTCATAACTTGCGCTTTGTGCAACCTTTGGGCGAGCGGGTGGAAAACACTTTTTGGATGACCCCAAAGGAGTATCTTTCGGAAAAATTATTTATATTGCGCTACCGAATTTAGCTTGTCTCATCGCACGGACTAGTGGGGCAAAAACGTGGAGTGCAGCACGAGGGAAAATAAAAAAGAAACAGGGAAAAATCGTTCGGCTTGTTTACGTCCAGTGGAGGTTAGCCCCTAGGTATTCTTTTTACCGAGATTTGCATCATCGCTCCCCCAAGGTGGCTAATGCATTGATCCCACGTCAGCATGGCTTGAAAGTTGGCTAAGGAGAGGATTTTGTTGTTTTTCTTGTTCATAGTAACTATACTGATACATTGTTGTTGTACAGCAAAGCAACCCCGGGGATGTTGATTCCTTCGGTCCGAAAACCTGAGAAATGGGTGATAGCATTGCAAATTGAATGTAATTGGCAACAACCCCACTTCTCTAAACCACTATAATTCTGGAAGTCTTGGATTAAATGGTTGCAGTCTCAATTATCTTAGATGTCATTTTGCAGAGTGAGATCGACCATAATCACAACGCTCCTTTGTGTCAGAAACATTTGAAAGATGGCACTGCCCTGGCTAAACAAATGGCACATTATCGCTGAGGTTTCTTTTCGGTGGGCGTCACGTATAACCACTCAAAGCAATTGTAGACGAAAGTTAAGTTGCGATCTTGCGCAATTTGTCAAATTATAATTCAAACTTTTGTACCTTGCATAAACATAAATAAAGTTTTGAAATTACCCAACAAGAGGCTGTTTGATTGTTATAACATTGTCCCTCAATAACCTTTTATTGGGTCTATCAAGTCCTAGACAACCTTTCTTATCTTACAAGTTGAAATACACCCAAAGGTCTTTCAACAATTTATTTGCACCAATTCTTATTAAACAATGTTGTAGAAACGTACAGGTATAAGTTTACAACTGAATAGAATAAGCCAATTCAAACTCTTCAAACAGTGAATTGAGTAATTTCATGATTAAACCTTCAAAGTTATTCGAACCTGCTATAAAAAGAAGTGGTTGATGTATGAAAACAGCATACATAGATCTTGAAAAACTATTTTTAGAACCAAACTTTATTTATCATCGGTTTTGTACCAGCTTTAACATAAGGCGCATACAATCAAAGATCTAGACAAGTATTTTATGACAATACTTAGCCTTGTCATCACAAAGCAAGGCAAACGACGCGCCTTGCCTCCTCTCCTCCCCCTGGGAACTGAAATATGTCATCATTATGAAACAAAGAGAAAAACTATAAATCCAAATTTAGAAAAGTTTACTTTTTGTTATGTAAACAAAACTACAACTTTGCCCTATACTCTGAGATTTATTTTAAAGTAAACAACGCTTTACTTTACAGAGAGAAAAAAAAAAAAAGCAAACAAGGCTTATATCAAACCATCAGATCTATAATTTTGCATCGACTGCCTGCACTCGATAAATCATTGATCCACCGCTAGCATACGCATTGGTTTCCCTCATTCGCAGATATAAGTGCAACACACGTTTGTTAATAAATCTCGACCCGTACTCCCCACCACACATTTCTAAATCGAATATAACTGCTCCACTCCCTAAAATGCAATCGAAACGTCTGTCTTTTATTTCATCAATGTCACCATCCAAGCACTCATCGCCTCAATTCCAAGCTCTGCCTACCTTTAACCCTTATGAGAGCATACAACAACAACAGAAACAACTACATAGTGATTTGTATCAACTGCAGTCAAAGTTGAGAATAGTCACCCAAGATGATTCATCGATACCAGATTACAAGGAAATACCAATGTCGGGAAAAAAATCAGACTATAGCATGAAAATAGTGGTTGCTGGTGACGGTGCTGTAGGTAAAACCTGTTTGTTGGTGAGTTATACGCAGAATAAGTTTCCTGAAATCTATGTCCCTACAGTGTTTGAGAATTATGTCACAACGTTGGGTGCACCCAATGGTAAATCGTTTGAATTAGCATTGTGGGATACAGCAGGACAAGAAGAATATGATCGATTGAGACCCTTGAGTTACCGTGATGCTGACTTGATATTCGTATGCTTTGCCTTGGATAACATTACAAGTTTGATTAACATCAAGGATAAATGGTTTCCTGAAATAAAGCATTATTGCCCTACTGTGCCAGTTATCCTTGTAGGAACCAAATCTGATCTACTGGGGACTATTCCAACTGAGCTTCCTCCCCAAGTTGCTATGGAGATTGGTGCTATTGCGTATGTTGAATGTTCTGCCAAAGACATGTATCAAGTCCGTGCCCTGTTCAATGTTGCCCTTGAGCAACATCAAAAAGAAATGGAGAGACAAGAACAGTACCAAGCTAGCAACAGGAGAAGATTGTTAAGACGTTCAAATGCTGGTGCATCGTCAAGTGGCAATTACGGTCACATGAGAAACAAGAGCAGTACGTCTTCGAGTAAACGAGGCCATAAACAAAACGGATCATTGAGTTCCAGTGTATTGATTGATGAACCATTGACTGAAGATACGTATCAAAGCAATCCCTATGGAAGTTTCAACGGAGATTCTCGAAACAATGGTGAATTCGATTTCATTAATGAACGAAAGAAAATGGAAAAGAAAAAGTGTGTTATCTTGTAGATGAAAGGAAATAGAAATAGAGTTATTAGAATAGAGTTATGCCACCTCCACCTCCACCTCCACATTAATTATTGTTAGGGTTCCGTTTACGGAGTCACGTGAATATTCCGAGGCAAATTAATTTTTCCTCGTTGTCGTCTCACGCGCTTATGATCTCCAATTACAGTAAGGCTATGCTATCTTCTCTCCCCCGCTGTTGGTTTTTTTTTCTTTTGGTCCCTAACAAAAAATCAAACAAGAGAAAAAAAAAAACAAAACAAAACAATAAAAAAAATTTGGGAAAAAAAGGAGATGGTTTATACTCTGACGTAGGTATACTAACCATCATCAACCTGCAAATAAAAAAATCGGATCTACCCACCTAGCACATCTCATCTGGCTATTTTATCCAGTTTCAATTTGTATCCAATACCCCTTCTTATCACTGTTGCTTAAATAAAAGCAATAGACGTTCCACATTATATTTTCTTCACCTTACACGTCTTCGCTAGAGCAAAGTTCTGGCTAATGTACCAACCAGTTAAAAATGAAGTTGAGTTAGAGCTGGAGCTAAAACATAGAGGCAACTACCAAACGCCGAAGAACAATGCACCTGAGAGCGAAGTACATGACCATTCAGGTGATGCAGGAAATCAAGCAGATGATCATTATAAGCAACGATTATCACCATTTAGGTACCAATTTCGATCCTACATGTTGCCCATTGTACGACACGAAACAGATGTGTTGTACAAGTTGCAATCGACGTTACGAAATCCTGTGTTTGATTTTTATTTTGCTTGGACTGCCAACTTGGCAAGTCATACATTCTATATCTTGATGCTTCCCCCGCCTATTTGGTTTGGTGCTAGTAAGATGGCAAGAGATTTGGTTTATGTCTTGGGATTGGGGATATATTTATCGGGGTTCTTGAAGGACTTTTTTTGTCTACCAAGACCAAGATCACCACCTTTGCATAGGATTACCATGTCTAGTTATACTACTCAAGAGTATGGGTTTCCGTCGTCGCATTCAGCCAATGCCACTGCTGTGAGTTTGATTGTATTGAACAAAATTATAACGAATCAAGATTCCTTAGGTGTTACGACATATTACAGTCTCATTGCCGGTTTAATGCTTTACTACTTTTCACTAATTTTCGGAAGATTATACACTGGAATGCACGGATTTCTTGACATTTTTACAGGGTCCGCTGTGGGCGTGATTGTGTTTTTATTCCGATACTATTTGGGTGAAGCATGGGATACGTTCATGTTTAGCCACGGATTCTTGTTTGGCACGGCGCTGATTCTTGGGCTTTATTTGTTTATGATCCACATTTATCCGGAACCGATTGACGATTGTCCATGTTTTGATGATTCAGTTGCATTCGTGGGGGTATTGATTGGGTTGGATTTCAGTCACCTTGTGGGTTACCAAACGAGACACTTTTTCAATTTGAATGATTTTGGAGACTATTATCTCCTTCCTTTTATTAATGATGGAGGAGCGTTGAAGCTTTTTGCACGATTCTTTCTTGGTGTTGGCTTGGTTGTTGCTTGGAAATCGATATCAAAGCCAATCATATTTACCATTCTACCTCCCGTGTACAAAGTTATTGGTGTTTATCTACCAAGAAGAAACTATATTTCAACTGCCCATACCAGTGATTCTACAAGACGTATTAGATCTGCGTCTATTAAAAACGATGTCGATCAAATTGGGAACTTCAACAACTTTATAAAGGGAGTATCCGATCATAGCAAACTCGACTCCTACGGACCAAGTAGCGATATCGACTATTACGAAATCATGGACTACAACAAAGGCAACAAGGGCAAACCAATCAGCTTGGAGAAGCTCAATTTCAAAAGCGGTGTATTCAAGGATCGGTATGATGTGGAGATTGTTGGTCGATTGATTGTTTATGCAGGAGTGTCGACTGTTTCAGTATGGGCATTTCATTATGCAGCCAGATATCTTAATTTATGAGCACTCATGTACGACTATAGACATAGACATATATCTTGTACTAGAGTTAAAAAAAAAAAAAGAAAAGAAAAAAAGAGCAAACAGCCCACCTTCTTTAAACTAAGCACTTGTGTAGTTGAACCGTAAACACATCTTTAAAGGAGAAGGGTATTTTCTCTCATTGTTACACAAACAGGGGACAATAAAAAGTGAAAATGAATTTTATGCAAAATTTCAAGTTTAGATTGCACAGCAGTTTCTCTTTCTCAACTGATGTTAAACAAATAATAAAATGGCGGAAAAAAATTCAGCATTAACCTGTGTGTGGATAAATTGTGGGAATATGTCCTAATATATACAATGCAGTGATATCCCGTTTTATGGCGTTAAGGAGGATTTCTTCGTTGAAAATCGTAGACGATCAGACATAAATCAGACTTCGCTATTGGCATAGTTTCTCTGTCTACAACTCCATTTCTAGTGTAGGCCCAAGCAACTGGTAATTGTCGGTGGTTATATCTCTCCTCCTATATCATCCTGGACTTATCTGCAAAATAGCAGTCTTTCTTTCTAAAACCATTCCTTTTATAAAAGATAATTATTATTATTATTATTTTTTCTTCTATTTAAACAAAAAAGAAACAAAAGGGAAGAAAAAAAAAGTCTAGCTGTTTTTCTAACAAAAAACTCATTACATAGGATTTTGCACTTCAGTTTAATTGTTGAAGCTAATTCGTATTCGGCGTCGACAATGAACAATTCTTTCAATAATCTGCAACTGGGACAGCCACTTTATTTCAACAACTCTACGTCTACTTCCGGAACAAATAGTACGGCTGCAGCAGGTGCATCGACAGGAGCAACGGCGTCTGTATCTGATCCACAATCGAACAATAATCCAAATATCCATAACAATAATTCCAACAATCACGCCAATTCTGTCTTGAACAACACAAGAGCGTCGTCAACAAGTAATAATAACCACCACGTTAACACAGGTGACCACACCAATGGACACATGCTGGTGAGTAACAATCAACTTAGAAACAGTACAAGTCGACACCCAAGCAACGAGTCGATAAACCCTGAAAATGAAGCGATCGAAATGAACCCGTCATCAAACGCATTGACGGGCCAACCAACGAGTAACGACTTTTATCAATTGATTGGACAACTTCAGCAGCAGAATACTATCAATAACCAGTTAATGATGAAAATAAATTACCTATCAGACTCGGTGGATGAAGTCAAACGAAGTCTTCTGGATATCCAACAACTGGTATATACCCTTCAGAATAATGGCCCAGCGGCAGCCGCAGCAATGGGAGGAGCATTTACAGGGAACGTGACTAATCAATTCAAGGCGTTTGAAGTGTTTACAAAACATTTGACAAAATTGAATAAGGAGATTGAAGCAATCAATGTCCAAAATCTGGGCGGCCAATCTATACCTCAACATCAGCTTCTGCGACAACAACTGCAGCAACCTCATCAGTCGCACCCTCACTCGTCACAGCAACATGTAAATACAGAGCTACAATCGCAGAACCATTTGAGTGTTGCAAATAATTCTATAGCCCACGACAATAGCCTACATCACAACCAAGCACAATCAACTAATAATCAGCCATTTGATGATGATGCAGACCTCGGTCGGAAAAATGTTGTACTGAGATCTCCAGGTGTCAATTCAAACTCAACATCACCCTACGTGTTTGAACTTGGAGGTTTCCCTACTGTGCGTAACAATTTGAATGGTAATATCAATTATGATAAGTCACCAATTGCCCTGTCGCAAATACCACATCAGCTCAAGCGGTCGCAACAAACCAAACAGTCCATGGTGCCATCTACGCAACCGCAGCAACAAATACAAACATTGCCACAGCAGCAATTGCATGTGGCTCAACACGGGCAATCTCAGAGGCCCCCAAGCCTAGCTCAACATCTGCAACAACAGTTGCACACTAGTAATCACAGCCTGGTGGCACATCCACAACAAGCGTCAAATACCTTTTCCAATTCCTACATGCTCCCCGTACCTCCATTATTGCACGATGACAAAACGGGTGGGTTAACACAAGGCGCCGACTCTTCGTCGCAGTATTTGTTGTCTCGAGACAACAGCGGGTTGTTGACATCAGCATTGAGACAGCAGGCCTCACACACAAGGTCGATTCCGCCACAAGCCAACACTGCATTTTCATTTGATGATAATGATATTGAACAGAGCATAGGAGAGTTAGAACAGCAAACGGGGTCCAGCGCGAGTAGTGCTCATAATGCAACAGCTAACAGCACACAAGTTAATGTGCACAAACAGCTCTCTGACAAACCGTACCCTTCAAAGAAGCGTAAAGTTGCGCCTGAGATTAAATCTGGCGATTTAGAAGAAACAGAAGTACCACAATATAAATTGGAAAGAAGCCTTAAACTGATTGCTGATATCTGGAAAGAATTTGCGTATGGAGTTAATGGCAAACCGCCATTGAAATCACTCGAAGCCAAGTACGGAACCAAATGGAGGAATGAGACCGAGTCGCGAACTTTTCTTCGACGTAAAAAGATTTACGAAGCAATCGAAGTTGGTAAAAGCAAAGGGTACAGCGAAGACGACGTTATACTTGAATTGGAAGATTATCGAAGTTTTGAAAAAAATGGGTCATTAAAGAAAAAACCATTGCTGTGGGTTAGTTCGAACATTCCTGAAAAATTCACTGAGCCAGGGGATGAGTAGTAAAAAGAGGCTACAAAGAATCTGTTTAATAAGGAATGATTTGCAATAATATTAAGGTATGATAATTTTTTACACGTTTGTTTGTTTTTTGTTTTTTTTTTTTTTTCGTTCTACAAATGCGTGATCATTGTATATGTATTATTATAAATAGGTTTCCAAATTATGGTTGAGGAGATGTGAGTTTGCGGTTGTTCTTTGTATTTCTGGTTGTTCTTCCTCCTCAGCCAATAATTGTATGATTAACTGTGATTTATAATGGTGCGGCTTCGATAGTGATTTTGTGTATCACAAGGTACTTTTTGTTTTTTTTTTCTTTAATCACAGAATCTCTCGATGACCTAAAGACAGAAGTTGGTGCCTAATACAGTTGAATACCCTTACAAGCATTCATACCAAACATGGTCCCAGTAGCTGAAAATAAGAAGAGACCAATCACTCCACCACCCGAGAATGAGCAGCCACAGAAAAAAATCAGGCCTCATCGAAAAAGAAACAAGACGAAAAAGTACAAGCACAAACGAATTGATCCTACAAGTCCATTTGGTGTATTAGAGTTTGAAATAAAAGAATTATGTGAAGAGCACAATTTGAATCTTGATGAGATATCGAATGACATGAAAGGTGTTCTTAATAAGCCCGCTATACAAGAGTCATATCATAGACAAGTTGAAAATGTTACAATATTGTGCTTCACATCTAATGGAGAATCGCTTGCGTTAGTACCACATATCGACGAGTCGAAAAAGAAACAGGTTGTAGTGGTACCATTTGGTATCCCTGGTGATGAGGTCACTATTAAAATATTCAAAACACACCCCTTATTTGCTGAAGCTGATTTATTATCCATACAAACCCCATCTAAATTGCGTGACAACTCTTTGATAAAGTGTCGATACTTTGGCAAATGCTCAGGCTGTCAATTTCAAGATATATCCTATGACGAGCAATTGAAAATCAAAAGAATGACGATTGTCAATGCATTTAAACACTTTGCTCCTAAATTGACTGAATTGAAAAAGTTGCCTGATGTGCTTGAGACCCAAGGGTCTCCATTGCAGTACAATTATAGAACTAAATTGACACCCCATTTCGATATAGCGACAAAGAAGACGGGTGCGGATTTGGAACATCGACCCAACTTTGGATTTGGAGCAAAGGGGAGACCTACGTGGAGAAAAAGCGATTTTGGTCCCACAGGGTCTATATTGGATATTGAGGAATGTGATATCGGTACGCAAATTGTAAATATGGGGTTGCGTAATGAACGCAAGAGATTGGAGACTACTTACAAGTCGTACGAAAAGGGAGCAACAATATTATTACGTGAAGATACAAAAGTGAAGGATGAGGCGTTTAAGCTCGGAGAAGCATCAAGAGACGAAAATGATCAAGTTTCGAGTATAACTATAGAAGAAGAAGATCATCAAACTGTGGTGAAAACGTGTGTTACTGAATCACGTCAAGTTGTTCAAGAAATTATCAATGAATTCAAATTTGAGTTTTCAGCTGGTGAGTTTTTCCAAAATAACAATTCAATATTGCCGTTAGTTACCAACTATGTCAAGTCCAACTTGCTACAATCAAAACCTAGCTACCTCGTCGACGCATATTGTGGATCTGGTCTATTTTCCATCACATGCTCCGAGAATGTATCGAAAGTAATTGGTGTTGAAGTCAGTGCAGATTCAGTCAAGTTTGCTCGCCATAATGCCGAACTCAACAATACGGAAAATGCTCAGTTTATTGTCGGCAAAGCCGAGGAGATTTTCAAAGATATTGATACGCCTGCTGACCAAACATCGGTGATTTTAGATCCACCCAGGAAAGGATGTGATGATGTATTTTTGAACCAATTGAGTGCTTACAACCCAGCAAAGATTGTTTACATCTCATGCAATGTCCACTCGCAAGCCCGAGATGTTGAGTGGTTTTTGAATCATACTGAAAATGGATCGAAATACCAGGTTGAGAGCATTAAAGGGTTTGACTTTTTCCCCCAAACTCACCATGTTGAATCGGTTGCTGTGTTGTCTTTGAGATAGGCGGAGTAGCGGAGACTCGTATAGATTTAAACTGAATAGAATTTTATTAGATCATTGTCTCGAAACAGCTCTCTTGTAACCATTTGTCTACACCATAGAGTCTAATACAGTGTACTAAATAAGCTCAAGAAAAATGTTGGATCCTATACTACGAAACTAATGTAATGTACATTTTGTAAAACAAAGGCAAGATTAGCTTCAACTCAAGAAGAATCCTGAATACTTAAATAAAAAGGCACTTGCCAGATCATCAAAACGATGATTGTCAAGCTAAGACAGTATTTCCTTAATCTCCCAACGATGTAACAGGTCAGAATGTAAAAATTGGAGAAAAACACATGAATGTGGTTTTCTCTTGTTATTCATGACCTTGACTAAAATCGTTGGGTTACATAAAAGTCCAGTTTAAACAGGACAGTAGTGCCAGAAATTAAAATAATATGGTGGTTGTCAGTTATTTCGTTACAACCCTGGAGTATTGGTACTCTTCTCATTAATTTTTGTTGAAACATTTTGCTTTCAATGCGCGCTTTGACAATTCGTGTTAGATAGGGCTCTAGACCTAGTAAATAATATGCAGGTAGTCAAAACCAAACGCAAATGGGAAACCTCTCTCACTGAAAAAAATATTCAAAAAGTTTGAAAAAGCGATTCCACACACCTAAGTACTCTCTCAGTATAACAACCACATAATAAGCCAACATGGAAAACGATAAAGGTCAATTAGTATGTGATATAGAGGAGATATAGAACTTTGGGAAACGGGAAGTTTGAGGTATTAGCTTTAAGTGAACGGCAAGGGAGAGTAATAAAGACATTTGACTTTCAAAGGGGGAATCCAAGTCTTAGCCGACATTAAGAAAAGCATAGTACAAGTCACTATCACAAGTGTTAACAGAATGGGCTAGAGTCAACTCTTGTGGAACGAGCCTGTAAACATTTTTGAGGAGATGAGCCACCGCATCTAAAAGCAACAGTAAAGATACTGACAAGGTCCAAATCAACGGCGTGATCACCAAATGCGACGACCTAGAAAGCTGGCAAGTGTACTCCCTTGCAACTAGCTGAGCATACATTTTTTCCCAGTCAAGATTTTACCAAAGCGTAAGCCAGAAGTTGTGTTCATTTTACTAACTTATTTCAATTTTAGGTCGAATTATACGTCCCAAGAAAATGTTCTGCCACCAACAGAATCATTAAAGCCAAGGACCACGCATCTGTTCAAATCTCCATTGCTAAAGTTGATGAAGAAGGAAGAGCTATTCCAGGTGACAACATCTCATACACTTTGAGTGGTTACGTTAGAGGTAGAGGTGAAGCTGACGATTCTTTGAACAGATTGGCTCAACAAGATGGTTTGTTGAAGAATGTCTGGTCATACTCCCGTTAAATATGGATAATAGAATTTTTTGTCTTCGTATACGGTGTGTGTGTATTAGGGGAAATGTCTTTAAGATTTTTAATGTACAAATAGCTTAGGTTAATGCAGCTGTAGAAATCGTGTAGGAGAGGCCAGTGTCTTATGGATGATATGACAAAGGATGTAGGGGCATTTTCTATGGACTGGTGTTTATCTGGGATAGACGAAGTTTAATCGAAAACTATGTTGGGGCTCTTGCATCCGTAAAACGAAATTTTATGGCGTGATTGCTTCTCGGAACAGTCACCCATTTGACATGTTTTTAAGTCCATGCTCCTATTCTGGCAGTTTTTTAAGACAAGAAGACGATTTAAAAATTAAAATTATGGTGGGGATCAATCCAATCATCAACCACAAATATCTTCTATTTTGTTTGTGTTACTTTTGCTTTTTGTTGAGAAAAGTTTATTTATTGTTGTTGTTATTTACCTTTTCAATTTATTTCGTAAAAAACAATTTATTATTATTAACCAGATATTTTTGATAACGAAAAGAAATCCCCCAACATCCACAACCAACAAACAACGGCAAAGGTCATTGGCAACAGGAAATCACTCTACAAATCCTGGATTTCCTACGGAGCGGTTTAAATCTCACATTACTAATCAAAACTTAACGCCGTCATCATTCGATTGAACCCATTACGTATCATTTAGTTTATTACAAATAGACGAAACTAATAGATCCCTGCTCCTATGACAAACGCCATATTCACTCTCATCTATAGTCCTGATTACCTTGCCGGTGCATTTGTCTTGGGCATTCAATTGCAAAAAATAAAACACACAGCATCTAACCGTGACTTTACCCTTGGAGTATTAGTCGATAAGTCGCAATTTACCACTAGTCAGTTAGACAAACTACTCAAATTTTACGACAGGCTCATCGACGTCTCACCTTTGCGATCAACCATATATGATAAGTTGCAGAATGATTTAGGTAGACCAGAATTGGGAAAGACCTTTACCAAAGTCAAACTTTGGTCGTTGGATGAGTATGACAAGGTGTTGTACTTGGATGCTGACACTTTGCCTCTACTTCCATCAGATAATACCACATCCGTAGCAGATCTTTTAAAATTGGATTTTCCAAAAGACAAGATTATAGCAGCGCCTGATTCAGGATTCCCTGACATTTTCAACTCGGGTGTTTTGTTATTAAAACCAAATCAAAAGACATATGATGAATTAGTTGCATTGGTCAAGGAATCAGTTGAGAACCCCCATGTTTCCTTTGACGGTGCTGACCAAGGTTTATTGAACCAGTACTTTAACGCTCAGCCGGACTGGGTAGTACAAATGCTCAGCAAAGATGATACCAATGTTGAGCAAAGACAATTTGTGGATAATAATTGGATTAAATTGCCATTTTTGTACAACGTTACACCATCTTCTGCTTATGAATATTTACCTGCGTTTAAGCATTTTCATGGTGAACCTTTTTCAAATGCGAGTGTCGATCACAAGGATGGTGGTTATGGCCAACAAGCCAATGACGAAAAGATATTGGAACTGACGTCTGAGACTTTGCTGCGCTATCACTTTGCTGCCGTCAAACACATCGTTGCTAATGCTTCTCAGGTTAAGGTCTTGCATTTCATTGGTCCTTACAAGCCTTGGTCATCTTCATCCACTGCAGGTGGGATTCATAAAGACTGGTGGAAATTATGGATTGAAGAGTTTGGGGAAAGCTCGGTACAAGATGTGGTTTATGATCAGTCGCAACAACCACTGTTTGTTTCTGGGTCGCCTGATTCACCTGAGGTCTCCAACGAGCAAGAGTCGGAAGTCCAATCACCAGTAAGGAAGCCTATTAACCGGTCTGATCCTTATGCTTTGTTGGATCCAGCAAATTACCAGCACTTGCCTGATAGTGCTAAACCTAGCCTTGACTCCATGTGGGATCCATCTAAAGAGCCACCGCCAAAGATTGGTCGTTCAAGCGAAGTGGGTCACAATACTTTTGAAGAACAGTTGAGAAAACTGTATGACAACCAATGGAGTCCTTATAAAGAGAGTGATGACCAAGCTCGTAAGCAAATTGATACGTCTGGTGAGGAAGCCTCAGTAGAGCATCTTATCTCACAATTCGACCTGCAGCGAAGCGATTCGTCATTCCAAAGGCCAGATCTTTACGGACATAAGTTTATCAAGCCTGAAAGAGTGTTTGATTCAAGTTCTGATTATACTCCAAGACACATTTTGCGCGATCTTGAGAACGTGAAGCTAACTACCGAAGGTGACAACACTCAGCCTCAACAAGGTGAGGCAGCTCGGTTATCAGGAGATGTCGCTGATTTCAATGCCGTTAATGAGTCATTGGAGAGACAGGGCTATGTAAATACTGATTACTTTGAGGAAGTTTATGACGAAAACCAAGAAGCAGGTACGGGAGAGACATTTGTAAATGACGGTAAAGTAGCAGGAGGAGAGGAGGACCCTAACCCTGCTCCAAAATTGTTTCCTTGGGAGTACAAAGGAGACAATAGGCCTGAGCGAGTCTTTGATTAATTGGTATAATTCTATGTGGTTTAAATAAAACAATAATTTCACATTCTTTTTGCAGTCGTTTCGGATAGTTGTAGGTGTAGCACAAATAAGGTGGTGTCGTGTACTCATGGCCAAACAAACTCATCAAAAAATTTTCTCTCTCTCTCTTTCTCTTTGCTTCACCTCTTTGCTTCAAAAATTTTTTTTTTTTTCAAAAGTTTTTCCTACCAGAGTGCCTCCCCTTTTTTTGAAATCATATCACCTCCCCATACACTATGGCATCCAACGGAATTACTGAAATTGACTCAGGTTTGATTGAATCAAACTACGACAATGTTGTCCACAGTTTCGACGACTTGAACTTGAAACCAAATATCGTTAGAGGTATTTTTGGTTACGGTTACGAAACCCCTTCCGCCATTCAACAAAGAGCAATCTTGCCAATCACCGAAGGAAGAGACGTTTTGGCTCAAGCTCAATCAGGTACCGGTAAAACTGCCACTTTCACCATTTCTGCTTTGCAAAGAATTGATGAAAACGAAAAGGCTACCCAAGCTTTGATCTTGGCCCCAACTAGAGAATTGGCTTTGCAAATTAAGAGTGTTATCACTTCAATTGGTTTGTACTTGAATGTCACTGTCCATGCATCCATTGGTGGTACCTCAGTCAGTGATGATATTGAAGCTTTCAAATCTGGTGTTCAAGTTGTTGTTGGTACTCCAGGTAGAATCTTTGATATGATTGAAAGAAGATACTTTAGAACCGACAAAGTCAAGATGTTCATTTTGGATGAAGCTGATGAAATGTTGTCATCTGGATTCAAGGAACAAATCTACAACATTTTCAGATTATTGCCAGAAACCACACAAGTTGTATTGTTATCTGCTACCATGCCACAAGATGTCTTGGAAGTTACCACCAAATTCATGAACAACCCAGTCAGAATCTTGGTCAAGAAAGATGAATTGACCTTGGAAGGTATTAAACAATTCTACATCAATGTTGAAGAAGAAGCATACAAGTTTGACTGTTTGGTTGATTTGTACGATTCCATCTCAGTTACTCAAGCTGTCATTTTCTGTAACACTAGAAGCAAGGTTGAATTTTTGACCAACAAATTGAGAGAAGAAAAATTCACTGTTTCAGCTATCCACTCTGACTTGCCACAAGGAGAAAGAGACACCATCATGAAGGAGTTCAGATCAGGTTCTTCAAGAATCTTGATTTCCACCGATTTGTTGGCCAGAGGTATCGACGTTCAACAAGTTTCATTGGTTATCAACTACGACTTGCCAGCCAACAAGGAAAACTATATCCACAGAATTGGTAGAGGTGGTCGTTTCGGTAGAAAGGGTGTTGCTATCAACTTTGTCACTGACAAGGATGTTGGTATGATGAGAGAAATTGAAAAATTCTACTCTACTCAAATCACAGAAATGCCTGCTGATATTGGTTCTCTTTTCGCTTAGATATAGAGATGCCGCACATTTCACTTCACACTCTTCTTTTATATAGCTCGTATATAAAGGTTCATATTAATAGGAAGTCTTTTTACATTCTTTGTAAAGAAAAAGCTGTAGAGCTTACTTTGCGAGAGCTTTTTGGTTATCGCCAAAGAAAAAAAACTAGAATGAACGATAAGTAACACTGCTCAACTTTTACTTTATGTATATATAACATCATGACAGAGCTTCCGCTGTTTACTATCCCAGGGGCGTTTCCTCTGGACGGCTCAATATCAACCACTAATAAACGCTCGATGAGTGTGGTCAACGAAACAGTGCAACACCATATGGAAACTAGATTTATTTCGAATCAGTTAGTTAATCGCAAGACAAAGTACCAACATGAAATACTATACCAACTAGAAGCGCTATGTTATGTGCTTACATTTTACCAGCTTGTGAAGTACTGTCATTATGCATGCATTATTCCTTTCCTATGTCATATCATTGTTTTGTTGGCGCTAAACCCAAAAATCATCATCAGCTCCAATTCGAGGACAGTTTTGGATATATTATTTGAAGGTAGTGATTCAGAGGCGAGGCGAAGCGTGTTGGAACGCAAATTACCTGAATACAGCTACATGATTTATGTAAAAACCTTATTCGTCGTTATATATCACACCCTATTCATATCAACATGGGGGGTTTCGCTAGTAAATCGAGAAAAGCTATCAACTATACAGTATGGCACGTGGTGGTTCATATCATTCATTGGTGAAAATGTGCCGGATATTTCACCTGATGCATCTACTTGGAGCAAAGTGACACAACTCGGGTTGTTTCAACTCTTGTTTGTTGATCTACTAATACTTTTCATTCAATTGATTTTATTCCAATGCATTTATTACCAAAGTTCTTTGTTAGGTCTAGGGAGAAGCACTAATGAGCTCGAAGTTGGGGTCATTAGAGGAAGTGATTTGAATACTAGTATTCAAGGAGATGAAAGTTTGGTGGAAGATCATCACAGTACGTTTACTGCGTTGATTGTGCGATTATATGAAAACTTTGAAATACTGGGGATGTTTCCCCATTAGTAGAAGTAAACCTTATATGATGTTTTATAATCAGAAGTACAAGTGTAGAATTGTTCAACACTAGAGTTGATTAGCCAATGGCGTGGGACCTCTTTAACGTGCATGACATCTTTGATAGCACGAGTGAAGATTCTCTTAGTGCCACTTTTTGTCATCTCAATTCTTTCTGTGTAAACCTTCCCAATCGTTCACCAACGCGTTCAAAACTATACGCGTCTATAAAATTGAACATTTTCAAAATCATATTAATTTTTTACTCTGATTTCTCAGCATTTTATTTTACATCACAACAACACCCAACAATGACCACAGAAGCAGTCAAGAAACAAAAATTGGAATCGACCGAAAGCCTTAAAGTCTATGTACGTTCCGAAAGGGCCCAATTACCAACAAAAGGATCTGCATTAGCTGCAGGCTACGATTTGTACTCGTCAGAAGATGCCAAAATTCCAGCTCAAGGACAAGGTTTAGTCAGTACTGATATCTCGATAATTGTCCCTGTGGGCACATATGGACGTGTAGCTCCACGTTCAGGGCTCGCGGTCAAGCATGGAATCTCTACAGGTGCAGGTGTTATTGATGCTGATTATCGAGGTGAAGTCAAAGTTGTCTTGTTTAATCATTCAACAAAGGACTTTGAAATCAAAAAAGGTGATAGAATTGCCCAATTGGTTTTGGAAAGAATTGTCAATGCCGATATAGAACAAATTGATTTAGAAGGATTGTCCAATACCGAACGTGGCGAAGGTGGATTTGGTTCTACTGGTAAAAATTAGACTAAAAAAAAGGGGGGAGGTGTATAATGGTATAATGTACAATTGTTGAAAGGTTATATTTCGAATCTCTATACATATAAATAAGCTCAATGGATTGAGATCTTGTTCTATTTCTCTATCTATTTGGTCTCTTCCTTTTGCTTCTTCTCTTTTTGAGCCTTTTCCTCATCGTGCTTTTCAGTTTCTTCATCTTTGGCATGTTCGGAGCGAATAGGAGCAGTAGGGTCTTCAACTGCTTTGTTGTGAACTTCCTTCTTGGTGTCGTCATTTTCCATCTCCTTTTTCAACCCATTTTCAAGCTCCTTCTCCTCTTGATCTTGTTGATAATTGACACCTTCACTTGCTGTATCCTCATATTCATCCAAGTTGATATCATCCTTAAGCTTGTTAACAGTACCTTTTTCTCTTTCGTTTTCTTCTTCAATCAATTCATCTTGCTCCTTCAAGATGTTCAATTTCAATTTCGAATCATCAGACAATTCCAATTTAGCAACATTGTAAACTTCATCAGGGATAGACGACAATACAGCCAACAATGCATCATAATAAGATTCTGTAGTCTGGTTGTCACCGTAAGTGTAAGCACTACTCAAAATCAATAAAGTAGAAGGAATCTTTTGTCTCAATCTCAAATCCAACCAGGTTTCCAAATCCTCTCTCATTCTACCAGGTGAAACATCACTGGTTTTAATCCCTCTTTGGGAACATGCCATCTGTAATTCTGGTATGGACAAGGATTCAACCCCTTCATAATCAATTACCTTATCATCCTTAATAATTGTCAACAACCTATGTCTGATTTGGTATCTTAAAATAGAATCAGTACCAAATGGTCTCAAAGACATATACTTACACATGGCAACCAATTGATGACGACTCAAATTATCCAAAACCTGGTCATTTTTGAACAATCTTGCAACTTGAATCAATTGCTCTCTAGTGGGGTTTTTACCCATGGAAATGGCATGGAAAAACTGGACGAAATTCTCTCTTTCACTATCAGTAATCTTTTTCGATAATTTCAATCCAGATTGTTCCATCGTCTGTTTGATATATTCACTTGCTGCATTTCTCGTCTTTTTTAATTTATTTCTCTTGATTTGACGATCTTTCTTGGACTCATAGGTGGATGGCAACATATTTGGGAAAAGCTTCAACGCAACTGGGAGAAGTAACTCGGCAAATGGAATAAGAACAAACACTGCAAATGGCACCAATCTAACTACATCAACAATTGTTCTTTGTAATTGGTTAGATTCTCTTCGACTCAACCCGTATCCCGCAATTAATTTCGTCAATAATTTGGTTGATACTTTGACTTCGTAACCCAATAATTTGGTACCCAGCCAATAATGCTGAGCCTCGTGCTTTACCTTTTCCCAAAGCGTAGGTTTAGTTTTCTCCTTTCCTTCTTCCTTTTGCACGAGTTCATTTGTTGGAGAGTTTTCTAACTTTTCAAGTGCTTGATTATCTATTTGCTTCTCCTTTGCCTTTTCACTCTCAAATGTGGTCTCATTTTTCGAAGATCCAGCGTGCTTTACTTGCTCCGAAGATGATGCTTTTTGCTGATCCTTCATTGGTGCCGTAGACTGAAATCTGACCCAATTAACAGAATTCCCGTGCAACTGCAACTGCGGACTCAAAGGGTACCTGCTATGTCCCAAATGTGTTAATGTAGTACTCCTGCGAGATAGAACTCGTTTGGTAAGAATAGCATTATAGCCCGTTATCTCTTTCCGTAAAATCGACGATGAACTCATGGTTTAGGTGGCAACACGGGATCAATCGGATTTGAAATTTTTGTTTGCAACAAGGGTTGAAACGGTGAAAGAAGGTTTGTGCAGTTTGGAAAAAGGGGTCCCTGATATTAAAAGTGACTCTCCAAAATGATATTTTTGGTGGCACAAGTTTTCAAAAAGAAATATAGGCTCAAAGTTTGATTACCCGTTGAAAAAGTTCATGGAGAGAGAAACTGCTGAGACGCTGGAAAGAAGAAAAACTTCGATGTACTGCATATAGCCTGGTTCGTTTTTTTGCTTTTCTGCTTCTGATTACAATAGTACAACAGCTTATTGGTATGGACCACCATCCAACCAATTGATTGATTGCTGTCAATTACCATCTAGTTGGTGGTAATCTGTAAAATATATTGTATTTTGGAGCTTGCACATTGTTTGAAATGCCAGGTGCGAACAATATGAAAGCAATCGCTCTTCAAAAGAATTGGCTATTTTTCAATTATCTTACTCCTTGCCCCTGAATAGACTTCGTCGTTCCGGTTTTGTTGGCCCATTTATCAGAAAAGGTTGATCTACATATCTCTTGCTCTTTTGTATGTTTTACAAGAAACTATGGTACTCCGGTAAAAGGTTTGTTGCTGCCAAAGCTTAAGGTACAGAGCTTTGCAAAGCAAGCAATTCATACCCTTGATTAGACCTCAACTCCATTTCAATCTACATGGAATACAGGTTTTGCAAGTATAAACCATGCTTAGGATCTTCAATTGGGTATCATTTATCACACACACTCTCTCTCTTGTACTTGCAAATGGAGACTTCAAAACTTCCCTTTGCGAAAAATGTCATTTTGTGTTGCAAATAAAAATCGAAACGCAGCGAAACGACACTACAACCTTAGCCCAATTCACTTCCCCTTCTACGAACAGATCAGCAACCTTCTAATACAGTCAAGTCTTTCAAAGGTGCTCTTAGATGTCACAAAGACAAATTCAAGCTCTGGGTCAGACAAACACGACAAACTCACCACTATCTCAACTTCGACTATCACATATTGACTCAAGCGTCAAACCATCCAAACCAAAGACGACGCCTTCATCTAAAGCAAGCCAACCTAAATCACTTCATAGGGATGGATCTCGAAATGGAACAAAAGAATTCAACACTGATGTTAACCTTGACCTGTTTGTACAAAACTCACTAGACAGCTCGACTGGAGAAACGCTTTTGCAAGACGGTGCACAGGATTTGTCTCTAGAGGTCATAACTAAGGATGAAGTGAAAAAGGCTGGTGCTCTTGCCTCACTCTTCCTCGATACGAGAAATATACTACAAGCAGAATGCAATGTTGTTGATCCAGCACCCAACTTGGATCCAAATCCACTCCACCGTGACTCTCCTTTCGGGGAAACAAAAATTAGTCGTAGCACATTCATCCGTGCTGAAAAAGTCAAGTCGATGTTGGGGGTAAAGTACCTTCACATACAACGAATCTACGATTGGCAGGAAGCAAATGGTAGTCACAATAAACATCCAGGAGTTGAAGGAGTATATAACCCGCTTCAAATTTTGCGAAATAGGAAGATAAGGGCAAAGTACCATGAATACCCCAAGACACTACATTTGAAAACAATACCCCTTGCATGTAATGTGTTTAGCAAGCACAATCAGCCAGGTCATCGACATAATCTTAGAAAGGATTGGAAAATGTTATGGGCTATTGAGTTGGAGGAGTATATCGGAGATGCTCGATGGAGAATTCATCATTGGAATGAATTAAAAGATCCACATGGCAACTATTGGTTTCCGGATGACAATATAGAAGATTATGGGCATCAACATCACCACAGGAAGAAGCATAGGTTTAGACAAAGATTGCACGATCGATTGTTTGAAATATCGGATGATGAAATAAGACACAGGCCTGACAGTGGGACGAAAGGAGAAGAGTCACATCATAGAGTACTGAAGATTTCGCTTGAAACGTCGACTAGTTCGGAAAGTGATGCCCGGAATTCTAAATTATCAGGAACAGACACGCACCATAAGCATAGACTCAGAACAAAAGTCAAACGTCTATATCACGGAGATTTGTCTTCGACTAATTTATTGAAACAACTCACTACATCGGATGATAAGCTCCATACTAGTCTGGCTGGATCGGAAAAAGGGGAAAATATTTTGGACCAGACACATACTGTCTCTGGCACCAATGGATCCTATGACGACAAACAGCAGAACATACCACTAATTCAAGAACCCCATGAAGAGGAGACACAAATGAGCAAAACAAATAGTCAATCAGTAGGTCCTCCCACAATACGTATCGAGGAAAGTACACCGGACCCTACCATTCAAACAAAGTTACAAAACGTTGAAATTCACCACACGAAACGAGGTTCTAGTGACGAATCTCCTCTGAGTTCTGCGTCGAACGAAAATGAGGATGGGTCGTCCCACATTGAAAAAGTCGACACTAAAATGGTAAATGATCGACAAGAACAAAACTTGGTGAGAGTTATTGGCTGTTTGACTTATTTGCGAGACTCTTGTCTTACTCGTATGCAATATTTGTTATCAATATATCCCAACTATTTGCAATTAGTGCAAAACAAAGTCGACCTTATCAAGTCAAGATCGATTGATGATGTTTTACAATTGATGTCACTCATTACTGATGAAAGCTTACCAGCGTTTGAGGATTTACATCGAGGGTGTCTTGATGAAAGTAAATCAATTCTTCATATGGTGAATAATAATTATTCAATTAAAATTGATACTTTGCTTAGTGCTGGAGATCGATCAATTTCCGAAATCAATGCGTCTCTATCGCTTGATTTGAGGAAAACCACTGAACGATTAGATTTATTGGAACAATCATTGTTAAAGACTAATAGTGCAAAATTGAAGCCAGATTTCACCACTGATGCTAATATGATTTATAAAATTATCTATTTAATTCTTGAGAATATTATTGTGGGGTTGTTGAAATTGGTTTGGGTAGTGGTTAATATTTATAAGGCTTTTGCGTGGTGTGTATTGCTTGTTTGGAAACTTTTGCGAGTATTTATCTAGGCTAATGAGATGTGCAGGTAAGACTATATGGTTTAGGTAATTGGTATTATGTAGAGTGCGCAAAATACACGTCCACAAGCGCAAGTCCTTGTAAAAAAAACAAAAAAATAAAAAGTAGAAATTAAAAGTCAACTATCTCCTCCTGCAAGCAACTAATCCCCAAGTTTCTCCTAACTCCACTAATGCAACCGAAATCAATAACACTACTACAAAAGATTGATTCAATAGTTGAACAAATCTTATTCAAATTTCAGAATATATTGGAAGTTCTCACAAACAACTCAAAACCAAAAGAGTTATTGTCGATTGAATCTTTGACCATTGAAAGTGATGCTATACAGATTATTCGTTATAGTCAGGACTTATTATCAATACTGAGAAGTCTAAAGGAAAGTTGGGTTTTGGGTAGTTTGAAAGTGAAAGGAAGGGAACCTGAACCGAAGAGTGAGGGTGGTGGTGAAGCTAGTATGGTGACAAATTGGAATGAGAATGAAGTTGATAAAGTGTTCAAACTTTTCAACGAATTGACGGATAGTATAGCAACATTTGAGAAACCAAAATCGGAAACATGATTGCTTTTGCAACCTGAGTGAAAAGAATGCTGCTCTAATTTGATTTTGGTTGATATTCAATATTAACAATCTAAACATAAAATACATAACATTAATTTAGTACAACACTTAACGGCCCTCAGTTAGGGATTCGGCAATGCCGTCAATCAAACTATCAATGTCTTCCACGCGTACACCACAACTCAAACTTAACAATTTCCTATATTTGTACATTGTGTCATCAATACCAAACATTTTAGTCCTCTTGGCAATCTCTCCCACTAGTTTGTTTCTTTGTAATTGATACTGGGTTAACTCGATAGCCAAATCAAACTTTTCTTCATTGGCCAAGGTTTCATTGTCGTCTTCATCTTGATCATTTTGTTTTGCCTCCATAATAGCTTGTTCTTCCCTTTGCACCAAAGAGGCTAATTCGTAGGCTTGATTGCGCTGCATAATGTTTGTTGTTCTAAATTCATTCTCAGTTATGCTTTGTTGACAGAACTCGATATGTTTGTTGACGATTGACTGTGCTTCTTCGAGATTGGTGATATCCTCGTTTTCCTCATCAATTCCAGAACTAAGAAATAATTTCCTTATATGTTTCATTGACTTTTTCGTTTCGCTTTGCTTACCAGCAATTGTAGACTTTAATAAATCAAGTTCCTTATCTAGCTTTTGCGACTCATCCTCGTAGGAATCAGACAACGAACTGATCATTCCTGAAACCATGGTAGACAAGTCCTCAAAGGGAAGATGTGGCTTGCTATCTTCATCCTTAATGATCCTTCCCTCTTCGTCTAACTTGGGAGGGTTTGGTCGTTTGAAAAGCTGACGCAGAGAATGGTGACTCTTTTCGTTCAAACTTTGATGCGGTATTTTAGTATAGTGCGATTGTGGTGATTGTTGACCAATAACTGGGTGTTGGCTACTTGTGACGGATGCCGGAGATCCTGCGGTATCGATTTCAGATATCACAGCTAGAGGTTGATGTGCCGATGTGAAATTATTCCTCTGTCCAGGCGACGACACATTTTCACCGTGTTTTTCAATGAATATGTTTTCTTTATCATCATTCAATGCATCAAGATGTCTGTCATCGACTCTGGCCATTTCTTCGTCTTCTTCTTCGGCTTCATCATCTTGTACTGTGGTTTTTTGTGTATCGGGTGTTTCAACTCGATTGAAACTTGGCTGAATTGGAGTCGCCAACCCCTGTATTGGAACTTGTGGTTCTTGCAAAGTACGCAAAGTACCCTTTGGTTCAAAGAACCCCATTGATAATTGTGCTTGATAAGCTTCTTGTGCAGCCCCTACTTGTGCATAATTCGGTATGAGATTATACTGCATTATTAAGCCACCTGCTGTTTCTCGATTAATGTTCTCTATGTCATCTCTTGCACCACATTTAAGTAAAGTTTGAATGAAACTGATACACCCTGATTTAATTGCAATATGTAAACAGGTATCGCCTCGAACATCCTGATGGTTCAACACGTTCTTCATCAAATTAACCAGCCTTGCTTGACTCTGTTCAGTAAGGATTTGCAATTTTGTCAAAATTGAATTCAAATACGATTGCAAGCTCTCAAATTTAGATTTGACTTTGGCATATTGGCATAGGTAATGTAGTGGTGTCCTTCCGTTTATATCGGTATTGATCAAGCATAGCTCTAGATCATTCAAGACATTGTCAAAATTTCTCATTTCATAACAATTATTAAACGAAATTAACTTCGACAACGGGTTCAAACCAAAGTTATTCACAATCAACGGGTTGGCACCTTTGCTCATTAAAATATGAATCATCTCGAAGTTACCAATAGACGCAGCCCAATGCAATGGCGTATGCCCTTCGTCGTCAATAGGCTCATTTATGTTGAAGTCAGATGGTGGTGAATGAATGAAATAGGGTATATCGGCACTATCTTCACTGAAAAATTTTAAAAGTTGTGCGGCGTAAGTGTTGTCATCCCCTGGACTTGGTTCTTCTTGCGGGAATTGGTTGCCATCGTTATACGCTTTTCTTTCGTCGACACTAGAGTTCATTGATGTGTCGCTCTCTTTTGGATCATGATGCACTGACCAGTTTGACTCGTTGGACGATTGCGACGATAGTACCTTACCCTCGGCGTATACTTGCGGTGGGATTGGGTTGGGAATGGGAACAGGAAATTGTCTCACGTTACTATTTTGTTGAGGGTATACCTGAGGAAACTGTTGTGGTTGGAGTTGTTGAAACCGCAGTAGCATTTGCTGATTCGGATACCCGTTCTGTGAATTGGATAAACTGCCACTTCCATTGATAGCTTGGTAATCAGGTTGTGAAAACGAAGCACCTGCACTATGAGGTGTTAATGCAATGTGGTCATACAGATGGGAAGCGGATTGTGGTAATGGCTTTGCGACTCCTTGTTGGCCATTGTTGAATACCTGGGGGTAAGAATTGGGGGGAACAACGTATGAATTTTGTCTTGAAAGGACGCCACTTGTATCTTGAGATACGAACGAGCTATGGCCTGATGCTGTGATACCACCCATCAGGGTATCTGCTGCTGCTGCTGCTGCTTCTGCTGCCGCCATCTCAGCTGCTTGTTGTAAAGCTGCTTTCTTACCAGTCTTGTACTTTTTTGGTGTGTCTCCAGGCTCTTTCGGTTTCTTGACGTACTTTCTTTTAACTAAATTGGTATTTTCCTTTGGTGGAGGTTTTGCTTTTACTGGGATTACTAAATTTGGATCGTTAAAATCTAAAAATAAAACCGGTGCCAACTCCTTTGTCACTCCGTATGTAGAAGCTAATCGGCGAGCATCCTCAAGTGGTATCCACGTTCCTTGGAATCGTCCAAATCCTCCTTGAACTTTTTCGTGTAATCCTTGCTGTACACCCTTTTCTAAAATTTTTGTCCGTTTAGCCTTGGGGAAATTGCAACATTTTAAAATCTGCGTTGCATTGACCCAATCGTCTTTACACCTCCTCATGATAGGAGATTCATTCATATCACATTCGTAAACCTCGGTCTATGCACAATGGTTAGTAAAAAATTGTCCTGCAACTGAATATCTTTGCTGTGTTGGGAAATGATGTTTTCTCCCTCCTTCATGACGCGTCAGGGTCGAACAAAGATTCAAGGTGTTGGCTAAAAGTCGTATGATATGCTGAATTTACATACATTTGAGTATATAGCTCGAAATACCGGTGGAGGGCCAGACATTATGACTATGTATATATGGTAGGTATATGCGCAAAGTATGTAGTCTATTGCTCTCTCTCAATCTGTAGTATCGATGTTGATGAACTTTTGAGTGGAAAGAAATTTAAAATTCGAATTCTTGACTTTTTTTTTTTGTTTTAATTTTTTTTACTTTTTTTTTGGTTCGACTTAGACTCACATTTTAGGAACCGCGTTCTCTGCTCTCTGTCTCTTTATCCGTATGCATTATAGGTTGCAGCTTGATTTACAATGCGTTGATAGAAGATGGCAAGAGAGCAGGGAAGAAGTAGACTCAAGAGCTCTATATTGCAATTGCATGTAGAGATTATTCAGGCTTAGATGAAATGTTTACAGTGGCATAGAAGTGTTCCGCAAGTAGGTAACAAAGATGCGAGCCTCTGGAAGAGAAGAAGAGGATTATATTGTAAGAACCATTCATCAATCAGTGCTACGAATGTACTTGACCGAAGCAAAGAGATTGATGAATTCGGAAACGGAAAAAAAAAAGACGGCATAAACTGAGACACGTTAAACAGAGAAAGGTTTAGGAGGTTCCACTCCACAACAATTTTTAAGATCCCTCAGAACAAGCGGCTGCCACCCCCATGAGATTTGTCATATTTCTGCCTTGAATCATTTAAATAAGAGGATAATATGTGATGAAGTGGCAAGTGCGTGCGTAGTAACGATCAAGGCTGTCTCTTCGTGTGCAAAGGGAAGGTGGTTCATCCTACACAATATGATACAACTTGTACTTTAGCTATTATAAACGAAGGTTTAATGTTGGCGCGGAGAACATTCCATCAGACAATTCAGGCCATTGTTTGCAACCATTCGCGTCTCGCATTCTACTTTTTTTGTTTTGCACAAATTGTTTCTTGGCTTAGATGGCAACACCAATTTACAACCAAATGACCTCCACTTATGGAAACATACTTACTAGTGGATAGTGCGCCGCAAGTCCAATCAAATACCTTGTATAAAGCTCTCTTTTATGGCTATGGATGTTTTGTCTAACCTAAAGTCTGGAATAGTTCAGTTTTCTAAACTAAGCTTGCGACAGACGTTTTCTCGTAGAATGAGGCGTCACGTATTTCCGTCAGTGAAAAGAGGTCCAAAGACAATACTCCCTTTAAAAGACTACTTAATAGTATCGAAATTAAGCACCACCTTCCCAACATAAAACCAACGAATCAATTTGTAACTAATTGATTAGGGTTTTGACTGTTGATGTCACAATTTCCAAGGATGAAGATTATCTGGCCATGCCGTAATGTCACTGATTCTAATCGTATTGTAGTGTTGGCTTTGTATTTCTCTTGGGGCCAAAATCCTTTTTTGGGAGAGCTTTATGCTTGTCAAAACGATGAACTAATACTGACTATTTTGTAACGTCAGTTGTTATCTCTATATTACACCCATTTGAGTTGGTTGCAAAAGTCACCGCCTCTGTTCTGTGTCGTGTCATGCAATGTCGTGTTGTGAAATTTCCTTTTTCTAAAATTAAATTTTAATTTCTTTTTTATGTTTTTTATTTTGTTTTTTTTTCTTGGTCTTATCCTCTTATTACTTCATTTTTTACACAATTTACATGTTTGTATTAAACTAAAATTAAAATGGTGGTTATCAAAACAACAATAACAACAACACCCAAAGTTATATTAAAAATCGTCCACTGAACATATACCGTACACGTTATAGCATTAAACAGTATTACTGGCTGGCACAGAATACTATTGCCCATTCATTCCATTCATTTACTATTAGCTCCATCTACACCAACAAAAGTTTTTAGTGCTGTATGATGATGACGACTGCGCCCAAAAAACCCAAATCATCGCTTGGTATCAAGCAACCAGCAGCAACAACAGTCACTGGTACTATCGTCATGCTTGATGATCCAAATGAAGAAGATGATGTTAATTCTATGAAAAGATCAGCTACGGGAGTCATATTAAATCCCCAACCCCATGATTCACCCAATGATCCCCTTAACTGGTCAGTATGGAAACGTGATTTATGTTTATTGATTATTGGCTTTGCCAGTTTCCTTGGTGGTGGTCAGTCGCCGCTTTTAGCGGCTGGTTTAGGGTCATTAGCTACTGAGTTTGATAAGCCATTGACTACTATCTCCTACTTGGTTGGGGGATTTATGTTGTCATTGGGTGTGGGATCTGTTTTTGCTAGTCCGACTGCTGTGCTCTTTGGAAAGAGATTAGTGTATATTGCAGGCACGTTGATTTTTATGTTGGGGGCTATCTGGGGAGGCGCAGCCAACAGCTTTGGAAATTTAATGGGAGCCAGAGTTTTGACTGGTATTGGAGCATCCCCTACCGAATGTCTACCCAGCTCTACAATTGCTGAAATCTACTTTGCGCATGAAAGAGCTTACAGAGTTGGACTTTATACCATGTTGATGTTGGGTGGTAAGAATATTATACCTCTATTGTCAGCTTTAGTGTTTCAATATTTGGATAGACATTGGCTATTCTGGATTTTGGCTATATTCTTGGGATTCACCACCATCATGATTGTGTTGTTTGTACCTGACACATTTTGGGATAGAACACCAACGCCGTCGAAGAGATCAATTGCTGAAACTGAATTGGCGCAAAATGTCAAATCGTATCACCCACCTTCGCAAAGACCAAATGCATTTGCATTGCAAAATAACCGTCAACAAAATAGTTCGCAAGATATACACAGTCTTTCTTCTTCTGTTGTCGATTACACCGTACAAGGTGTAACGGAAACACCAGTGGCTATAACAGAAACAGCCCAACCACAAATTGACTACAAAAGAAATAGTTATTGGAGTGATTTAAGAATCTACCAAGGTCGTTTTACCAAAGATAGCTGGTGGATGGTTGCCTTGAGACCATTTGTCTTGTATACTTACCCCCATGTGTTATTTGGATCCTTTATCTATTCATTAGCTGTTGTGTGGCTTATTGTGATTTCAGAAACTATTGCCGAAATTTTCAGAAATCCTCCTTATGGTTATAGTCAACAAACAGTTGGTCTTTTCTATATATCACCATTTATAGGTGGAATCATTGGATCTTTATCTTGTGGATTGATATCAGACCGATTGAGTCGGTACTTTGTTTCTAAAAATAGGGGTGTTTATGAACCTGAGTTTAGATTGATTATGATCATACCATCTACATTGCTTATAACTATTGGGTTGATGGGATATGGATGGTCCTCAAAGGTGCAAGACCCGTGGATTGCTCCAGTAATCTTTTTCGGTGCCATGTCCTGTGGCTCATCAATGGCATCAACAACTGCCATCACATTCTCTGTCGATTCTTACAAGATGTTTGCGTCAGAGAATTTGGTTTCATTTAATTTTCTTAAAAATTTACTTGGGTTTTGCTTTTCATTGTTCAACAATAAATACGCTGATAAACAGGGTTACAAATCGGCTTATGTTACTTATGGAGGTATTCAATTGTTTGTTAGTTTGTTTGCTATACCGTTGTATATATACGGAAAAAGGATTAGAAATTGGACCGATGAAAAAGAATTGATGAGGAGTTTGTATCATGAAGACAATGTGCCACCTAGTGTGTCATCAAAGAGCAAATATGACTACGAAGATGCATCAATGAGTAACACGTCAAGCAAAGAACGTACCGGCGAGTAAGTGGGATGAAACTTCATAGGCTAAGTTATAAAAAATACATTCACAAGTCTAACTTTATAACCAGTCTACCTTTATATTTAGTGCTGGATTATCACGTTGATAAATATCAACCCTCTCTTGTAAGCTTTTACCATTGAATTTCCATCCGTCTTGACACACTTTAGGCATACCTAGTCTTTCAATAATGCACCCACTAGCGATATTCCCACAAACACCACCAATCTGCCAATCACCCTGGCTCAAATACCATCCCATTATAAAGCCACCGCAAAATGAATTTCCACCACCTGTAACATCCACAACATCATCTTGATTCTGATGATATGCTGGTAGTTCAAAGTATCTGTTATCTATGGTGCGTATGCAACACCCGTCCTCGCCACAACGAATGACGGTGCCGGAATTGGTAAGTTTTTGAAACCGGACGAACCTTGAGCAAAGTTCTCTAGCATTCAAATTTGTACCATGAGGCAAGAATGAACAGGCTTCGTCCAAGTTTGGTGTAAATATATCAATAAACGGTAGTAGATTTTGTAATTTGTCATAATTGGAAGAAATGCAATCATCGGGTAATGGCTCATAAATGTACTTAGCATTCGGATTGATCTTCTGGATCTCCTCAATTATACCTCGACAACGATCAATTGAGCAGATTAAATGATAGCATTTACTATATGTCAAGTTCTCATATTGTAAGATATCTGCTACATCGATCCTTCGCTTATCTGTTTGGTAGTGGAAATGGCGAATGCCTTTGATATAGGTGTTAACGCCTCTTGTAGTCAATCGGTGATTGTTTTTTCTAAATATGACACCCGTGTGCCATGAATCTATCTCTTTATGCACCAGTGAAGGAAAATCTGTACCTTCGTCAATAATCCCGCTAATTAGTTGGCCCAGTTTGTGTGGTGATACAATTCGAGCTCCAATTATAGCATATGTACCAGCACCGCCAATGATGTTGGTTTGTCTAGGTGCTGGTGGGTCAATGTATTGATTTTCATCAATTATAAACATGCCCAAAGTGGTGAGGATTGACATTGCAGGTGTTAGTGTAACGAGTGGTGCGTAGTTGTTGTAAGGTAGACAAAGTGTATGATCGATTTTTCCATTTTGTCTTTCTTTTAGCGATTTGTTGCAAAACGTAGAGACTAGCTGTAGTGCAAAGAATAAATAATGAATTGTTACAAGTATCTAAATAAACTTCTACATCTACCACTCCTACTCATCGTCCTCATCATCATCATAGTCGTCCATATAAAAGGACTGAACTAGACAGATAAGAGCAAGCATCCCTAAGATAACCCATGGCACACTCCCCATTTCATGTTCGTTACACCAAGTCATGAAATGACCGAATATAATTGGACTAATACCTCTAGCCAATGAATTCAAACTCAAACTTGATCCATTAATTAGAGCTCTGTGCTTTTCAGGAGAAGCTCGATGAACCAAAATCATTGTTGTTGGGAAGCTTACTGAAACAGAGGCACTGATTATCATACTTGTAACATATAATAAACCTTTTGATAACCATTCCAGATTGGATGAGTTGTAGTCATGAGTAGTAAATAAAAAGTATGGAATTATAGCGTAAGCTATAGGAACCAAGGCATACGATAATCGTAAGATGGTGATTGACCTGAAATGGTGGTCTAGTACAGGAAACAAAAATATCACTGCTATACTTCCAATTATTCCTGTCGATGATAACAAAGCACCAATGTCATTGGTTTGCCACCCAAAGCCTCCAACTATGGTAAATGGGAACACCAACTTGTCAACCAATAACTGGCTAGCTAACAAGACTGGCAAGAATTCCGAATACAATACCGTGTGGAAACAAAGTAAGAAATTGGACAACACCGATTGTATAACCGGTATAGTAAAAACTTCTTTGGTGAAAGACTGGCTCACGTTGGTTGACACTGAATGCCCATCAGTAACTGGCCCAAGTTGTTCCGATGAGTATCTTCGTCTAGCTGCATTTCCAAATCTCCGCGATACTAACGCATTGTCAATGTCTTCGTCACTTTCTTCTCCTTCTTCTTCTTCGCTGCCGCCAACTGCAGCATATATTGCAGTTGGATGTATCAACTCTTCTCTCTCATGAGGTTGTTCAAGATCAAGAGCCCTATCCCAGGGTCTCTTTGGCACTTCCAATCCTAATTTAAGAAAAATCCAATCACCAATCACTAAACCGTAATCTTTTCTATTTTTAAACTTGTCCGCAGTTTCCTCCAAAAATAAGAAACCCAATACAAAGCTGAGAAAAAGATATCCTGCCAACACAATATTTGACATGGCGTACGGATGTCTTTTGACAAAATCACTATAGCTCACCACCTCTATCAATTGTTCTTTTGTCTTTCCGGGTCTTGTAAGCCATGGACTGCTTCCAATTAGAGGACCGATTATCAGACCAATACCCCACATCACTGATAATGCAGTAAAAGCCATATTTTGGTGTTTCTTTTCCACAGCAATTTCACCAATTGCAACTCTCATAACAGCTATGTTTCCATTCAATGCGCCCATCAATGACCTAGCTACTAATGCCATGCTGAAACTTGACGAGAACCCAAAAAGAATACTTGATACAGCGGTTCCCATAACTCCAAACAACAACACTGGCTTCCTGCCAAATTTCACTGAGGCCTGTGCATATTGAACTGAAAATAAAAATTGACAAATGGCAAATGAGGCTGATAAGTATCCAGCATAAGTGGCAATTTCAGAAGCATTTTTGGCGATACCGAAATCTTGGATCATAAAAAAAATGTATGCGAAAATCGACGTAAACACCATTGGTTCACCTAATCTGATCAAGCATATCAATGTTAGCTGCCATGTAGGAAACCCTTTCATTTGTTCCCAGAACCCTTTCGACATTAGCTTTGGTTATATATATTCTTCGCGCAGTTAGACTAAATGACTAATTCTATAGCAAATAGTTGTTAATTATTAATGGGGTAAAGTATTTGGTATGTATTCACCTTATTATGATAAAGTTTCAACACGAAATACAGGTTCATTTATCTAATTTCTGAAAATTTTATATGAGTAATGTTTTGACTAAAAATTGTAGATATGACAATAAAACATTTTCCATTGTTTTTGTTTTTATCTAATTAAAGATTGCGTAACTCGGCTTAATAAAAACACCATTCCCGTTTAATTAAAAAGTTTCCACAGAGGAATTTCTACTCAGTGTCAGAATGAGTATCACGATTTGGGGCTTTCATGAGAATAGGAAACTGTTTCCAACAAAAAAGCTTTCTGTTTTATCTTGGAAAGTGATAAAATAAACTGTGGCTCTCTTATATTTCACGTGCATAAAAATGCTACGGTGAGTTTGCAGAAAGGTCTAACAGACCGAAATTTAGCCCGCTTGGCCAAGTGGTAAGGCGCTCCACTCGTACCATACAATCGAAATGGAGCGATCGTCGGTTCAATCCCGACAGTGGGCAAAGTTTTTTTTACTTTTTTGGCAGTTGAGTATTATTTTTTTGCTTGCTTGTAATCTTGAAATGCACTTGTTGAGATTAAACAGCTGTTAGGTAGTAGTTTTGAGAACATCAATGAAGCCTAAATCAGTTACTAATTTAGTGTTGTTGCTCATGAATTTTATGTGTGTAATTTTTTTGGATTGAAATGTTGCAAAATATGTTCTCGACTTACAAGATAGTTATTCGATCAAGGTTGCTTATGCGCAGCTGTATCTTATGAATATGCATATTCTTTAAACTCATTGCCTTTACATTGCAACCTACCTTTTTCTTAGCACGTGTTCCTCACACAAGGTCCAAAAAGAAAATAAACAATTCATTCGTGGAGTTTCGGGCAAAGGAACTAAATTGGTTCGTAGATCTACAGTAATATCAGAAGCCAACACATTGTCCAAACGATTTCCAAGATTTAACATTGTAGTGTGGGAATAGCCTTTTGATTACATACAAGACACCTCTTATGACTAGCATCTCAACATGTTGATGTTCTTTGCTAGGCAATGTAACTGTAGAGCCTACAACAAGAACAGTTGAACCAACTATTTCACAAAAGCATAAACGTAAACAAAACACAACTTTTGGGAAATTTCAATCTCTCGCCAAGACGTCTTGACCTCGCCCAGACTTCCATCTTGCATTATTGGATGAATTTAACCTTGTTATTTAATACATAATTATTGCCAAGTTCTTTTCAAAGAGAAATGTTTATTGTAACATAATCTGGAATGTGACGAGTAACAGGATAAAAGCAGATTCAAAACAATCATTCATGGTCCAGCTATTTAATACAGACCACCAAACTCATTCTGCTGGAGAATTCACCTTTTCCTTTTTCTCGATTAGCTAGTTCTTTACTTTGCCTACACATAATATCGTCTACAATTTATACTGCCATGATGAATACCCAACAAGTATCATTCTCTACCTACATATGAGGACCTTTTAACATTGAAGTTTGCTCCTAGTTATTATGAAGAGTGGTGATAAATCACAATTTGTCTGGACTAATCCCCTCTCTTTTCCTTATATGCACTCGAGGTGACTCCTTACTTTGGTTGCCATGTCGATACACATAATGTTCATTCTGTTGTCAGCAAACTTATATTCAGGGGGTTTACTCTCCAACAAAACCAACGCCACGGGGTCTTGTATCAATCCAATGAACTTATCACAACTCACCTAGACACAAGTTTCACCAATCGGTGCTTTAAATATTTAGGCAATTAGCTTGCATCTCTCACTCCATACTCAATGACCAGGACATTCATGAGACTTTTGAAAATACAGAAATTTTATTCAAGCATGAAAACGCTCTTCTGAAAAACTAGTTTTGCAAATGTATAGTTTCTGTATGTTTACAAATTTCTTGCTTCTTGTGATTCTTCCAGATTTTGAAAATTTGGGGCTGGCTGTTTTTTCTACATCATAAAAATAGAAAAAGAAATTATTTTCGCGCAGTGCGTGTTGTTTGGCCCTCTTTGTGTAATTTATTGCTGCGTGTCAACAAAACCATAAACAAAGAAATTGGACTGCAGCCTCAGCCCAGCCTCAACACAGCCAATTCAAACGTGCCCCAAACAAAGACTTGCAACCCCCCTTCCCCTGACTATAATCTGTCCAACAAGTGTACACCCTTGAAACTGTGAATTTTCTCATTTTCAATTGTCAAGCAATCTGAGATAGGATGTATGTTGCTTTGCATTGGTTAACCAGCACATACACTGACAAGATTATACATCATACAAACTGCTCAATTATATTTTAATTCAATTTTAAACCGTTGAGATTGGACACAAAGCTACTCGCTACAGATCACAAGAAAACAAGTAATATTTACGTTGTGCTCGTATTTATAAAAACGAGCTTGCAATAAGAAAGATTTTGTGTAACCGTTACTTTTGTAAAAGAATAATAATTGATTTTGCAAAAGACACAATTGGTGATGTAGAACGGACTATATAAAGAGAGTTAAGTATGTCACTGTTTTGACAATGAAGTTACATGTTTTGGTATCAATTCACGAAATAATTTGCCTTCCACTAATTCCCCCAGTCTTTTGCTAAAAAGTTATACTAAAGTCCTATTTACTACCAATCTCCAACATCATGAATTTGATACTCTTCTTGACAGCTATATTTCCCTTCATTGCAGCCGCTGTCGTCACAGGAGCCAAGCAAGATGAACCATTGACAGTCACCAATACACATTACGTTGACAGCCCATGTATCTCATATTTTGCTAGCAGTTTATTACCAAACAACCCAGAAGCATTGACCACTGGTATTCCTATTGTTTTTGTCCATGCCCGTGATGGTAATGGAAACCTAAAGGAAAACAGCCAGGTCATTTCTACCATTACTCGTACAAAAACCCACATAGTATATCAGACCGGAACAGCTCAACTAAAGGGCGGAGTTGAAAACGCCCCTAAAGACGAAACTACCGAGATTGGCAATTCTACAAACGCAATAACTTCTTATTCAACAGCCATACAAACCACCCTGTCCTGCTCATCTGAAGGATGTCAAATCGTAACATATACCACCGTTGTTCCTTGTATTGTTAGCGACACCACATATACAACTACTTCAAGTTCAGACGAGAATGCAGCTGGCGAAACAGAATCCAGCACATTAGCTGGTAATACTGGGCAATTATCTCTCACTACGGATCTCGCTTCCTTTCAGACAACATCTGTTGAGATTGCTCAAACAACAACCACTTCAACTATTTTCAGCGCAACAGAAACACCTGAAAGCACATATAGTCCATCCACCTCTTTGGAGCCGTTGCCAACAACAAAATCTGCTCCAGTAACATCACAATCCATTGTGTCAGAGAGCAAGTCAATCACCATAGACCTTTCCTCAATAACAAATGATGTGACAATATCCAATAATGCTACAGAGACATTTCCTAATACGAAAAACTCAACGAATTTACTGGAATATTCATCAACAGCCAGCGAATTTTCTTCCAATTCATTGCAACCGATTGAAACCACGTTGTCAACCATATTGATCAGCTCTTTGTCAACCGGACCATACCACAACTCTTCAGTAGCATTGTCGTCAGACTTAACAAGTGCTACATCAACTGAATCATCTCTAAGCCTCCTTTCCAGCACACAACTTTTGCCAGAAACTTCATCTGAAGGAGTATTATCATCAAGTTCCTCAACACAAACAGGAGCCGCTATTGCCGCTACTGATGTTTGCTATTCAGGAGATTTGTTCTCACCTATTGATACGAATGCACCACCTTCAGTCTTTCCTAGACAACAGTTGCCATTGTCAATTCCATCAGGAGTGAACAACAATGGTGCACCCATCCAAACGAATAAATTCTATGCCAATTTGTTTTTGAGCAACCAGGATCTGATGGTATACACCTATCCTTACGGAATGTACTGGAGCAAAACAAATTACTATGGGTTCGGGGTTCAACACACCAATATTTCCAACCGAGTGTTTGGATCTCAAAATACAAACAATGTGGGGGTGTCATCATACTATTTCAATCCAACCAATAGTGGGGAAATGATTCTCTCAGCCACTGAATTTGACCGAGATTCAATGTACATGGCACTTAGTGATATGACAGAAATGGCACTCAAAGTCAAATTGTCGGCCACAGCTGGTGACAGCCTAAACTATATCGAGATTCCAATTGTTCAGGGTATGGGATTTGCCACTGCAATTTACAACGGTGATTTGATTGCCGAATTAAATTCGTTATACGGTATTCAGACATTGAAATTGGAAGAATCAGAAGCTTTGTTGCCAAATATTTTAAAATACAGGGCCACTTTGTTCAATGGAGTGGAATGGTTGATCTACATCACGTTACCCGCAGAAGATGACGACTTTGAATTTACTGCTGAAGATTCATTCCACTTAAGAGCATCAAAGTCTGTTGATGGTTTAATCATCCAAGTGGCTGTAGCTCCCGAATCTTCAAAGGACCAGTTTTATGACGCTGCTGCAGGTATATATGTCACAGATGCCACATTACAAGGAACTGTTGCTTGCTCATCATCTGCATCATACCTGTTTGTTTATGAAACTTCTGGCTCTTCATCCAGTGGTAACCCAATTATTTTTGCATTGCCACATCACCTTCAAACCTTGACTTCAACAGATGGTGCTACAGGAATAACAATTTCATCACAAACTAAAGGGGAAATGACAGCATTCTTAACAAACCAATTATCATTCTCGGAGACAATTGACAAAAACATTCAATTTTTGCCTTACCATGCTGGAAGATCGGATCAATTGTCTTATTCTGCTGACCAGTTAAGTTTAATAGCCAAATCAGCAAATGAGGAGCTTGCTGCTGACATTGCCACTACCGTTGAGAACATGAACTCAAATTACTTCTCGGGTAAAGTTATTGACAAATACGCACAGATCTTGTTGGTAGTCAGTGAAATTATCAAAGACGATGCGGTGACAAGTGCTACCTTGGAAGATTTGAAAGATGCATTTGAAACTTTCTTGAATAACCAGCAGTACTATCCTTTGATGTACGATACGAAATTTGGTGGGGTTACCTCTACTGCCGCTCAAAATGGGGACGATGGTGCCGATTTTGGAAGTGCCTTTTACAACGACCATCATTTCCATTATGGCTACTTCATTCATGCAGCAGCGGTAGTGGGTTACATTGACAAAAAGTTAGGTGGAACCTGGGCTAAGGACCACAAAGATTGGGTAAATTCTTTAGTTAGGGATGTGGCAAATCCATCAAGAAGCGATCTGTATTTCCCTGTGTCAAGATCATTTTCCTGGTACGACGGGCACAGTTGGGCGGCAGGATTATATGCAAGCAATGATGGTAAAAACCAGGAATCCAGTTCTGAAGATACTCATTTCGCTTATGGTATGAAGTTGTGGGGAAATGTTATCGAGGATTATGCAATGGAAGCGAGGGGTGGCTTGATGTTGTCAATAATGAGCCGATCTTTTAACTTGTACTTTTACTACAAGTCTGACAACACTGTGCAACCACAAGAAATTCTCCCCAACAAGGTTAGTGGTATATTTTTTGAAAATAAGGTCGATTATACAACATACTTTGGCACTCCAGATCAAAACCCCGAATATGTGCACGGTATCCACATGTTGCCAATTACAGCAGCCAGTTCCTCAATTAGGATACCGTCTTATGTCCAGGAGGAATGGCAGGATCAAATTTCAACATTCATTGATAATGTGGATAGTGGCTGGACGGGAATCTTGAGATTGAACCAAGCACTCATTGATCCTCAATCTTCCTACGAGTTTTTTAGCTCGGAGGATTGGAAAAGCGGCTACTTGGATAATGGACAAAGTCGTACATGGAGTTTAGCTTTCTCAGCCGGTATTTTATAGTAGACTTATATATAGTTCTTTCGTCGAGTGTATTTTTTGTTAGGGCGTTTAATTTGATTTTGTTAAGCCGCATATAATTTTCATTGAAGAAAAAAAAATAAATGCCAGTTTTTGTTGAATGTTTACGAGTCAACAGGTTTGGTTTCATCAATTACTGCAATGTTCTCCTTTGCCAAAAAGCTAGTCGACAGATTCGAGGGCCACACTACACAGGAAGCGTCCCTTAATGATTCTTATTTCAAGAATGCTACACAGATAAACAACAGAGGGTTTGCACTCCGCGTTCTATACGTTGAACCTCATTCGGCAGCACATTCCAAGGAGTTCGAGGCATGGTTCGACTATATCATCAAAATCAATTCGCACGAGTTACCGATGCAATATCCCATGTCCAATTTTCCATACTCGATCAATGATGACGGTAGTATAAACTATGGCTCAAACACCACGTCTGAACAAGCGTCTGTTGTGAATTTCGATTTGCTAGCTCAAGAGTTGCTGGCTTTAGCTAAAACAAAGCAAGAACTTAAACTTGATGTATGGAATGCAAAAGGTGGAGTAGTGAGACAAATAAGTGTTCCATTGCAAGATTTCATCCCCGATGAGGAAAACGACGATGATCTTTCAACTGTCAAATTGTTTACTGACAAGTTCAAACGGATCGGGTTAACTGTAGAATCGCAGCATCTAAACACAGCTACGTATGTCTGGAGAATCCTAAATACTCACCAAGGCTCGCCGGCTTTCAGATCACAATTGGTTCCTCAATCTGATTTTATCATCGGGTGCGATTCTGCCTATGTTACTGACGGAAGTGGCAAAGGCTTACTTACAAAGGGAGGCGAAGCTCTTTTGTCAAATACGGTATCGAATTACTACAACTACTACCATGCGCAAACTCACGAAGAGTACATTCCCATAACATTTTATGTGTACAACCATGATTACGACATCTTGCGTCCTGTCACAGTTAACTTGTCTCGCAACTGGGGAACTGGTCATAACCGAGGAATTCTTGGATGCGATGTCGGCTACGGTCTACTCCACCGTATTCCGGAAGTCATTGGCAAGTTTGAAAACGACTCGGTGATTGACGATGTGTTGTTCGAAAACAACCTTGATGTAGAGTATCAAGTGAACTCAGCTACAGCGGCTGATCCATTTGACTCAGAGAAAAATATTATAAACACGGCACCACCACCACCAATGGGATCGGTTTTACCCCCATCAACGATATCACCACATCCACCAAAATCATCCAGTCGGAAAAAGAAACATGTATCGGCTCTCAATGCAGGAGAGTCTTTGGACGATTACATGAACGAAGAGTTGGAGAAATCAAAAAAGTTGGATGAGAGCTCAAAGCTGAAAACTTCAACCGATAACGTACCACCCCCACCAACCAGCAAGTAGATCAACTGTACTAGCGAAAACACTGAGTACTCTATTGTTTTATGTAGTTATAACATGTACAATAAAAACCCCTCTTTGTGGCATTCTTTGCTTTAGAGATCAGACCATTGTAGCTCTTTATAACGCTGGAAAAAGAGATAAAAAGAAAGGAAAAAAAAAAAAGGACGGAATCTTTCTCGACCCCACGAATGAACCCCAGCTTTTTACTGTCAGTTTTCAAATGGTCTCGATTGTTGTATTAGGAGCAGGAGTTGTTGGTCTCACCACAGCTATTGAGCTCAAGAAATGGAACCCTAATTTGGAAATCACTATTGCTGCTCACCACTTCCCTGGTGATCTTGACAGTTCCTACACTTCGCCTTGGGCGGGTGCTAACTGGCAGTCTTTTGCAACTGGACAAGATGTTGAATTACAAAAGATAGACCGGTCAGGCTATGACAAATTCATGCAATTAGCTGCCAATGACCCAAGAGCAGGTGTTTGGATTGTTGATAATACATCGTACTACACAAAATATGAAGTAGCTTCGGCTAAAGGCAACCTTCAAGGATTCATCCCCTGGTACAGGGACTCTGTAAAAGGATTTAAAGTAATCGAAGAGGACAAGATCCCCTTTGACGATGTTTCGCTTGGCACTACTTTCAAAGGCGTGGTCATCACCGTGCCTATATACCTTTCCTACTTGGTGCAACAGAATAAAGAATTGGGCAACAGGTTTCAAAAAATACCTCTCATCAAGCACATAAAAGAGGCAAGGACTTTAACAAATGATCCGGACTATGTGATCAATGCAACTGGATTAGGCGCCACCAAAATCAGTGGTGTAGAAGACAGGAAAGAAAACTTCCTGGTAAAGGGCCAGACGCTTTTGGTGGAAAACAGTGCCGACTCAACTATTTCAGTTCAGGGATTTCCGGGATTACCTGATGAAATGCTTTACGTCATGCCAAGAAGAGATGGTGGATCAATCATTGGTGGGTGCTTCAGGCCTGGCGATGAATCTGTCGAAGAAGACAAGGAACTAACTGCTAGGTTGATAAGACGAGCAGTTAAGTATGTCCCTCTGTTGATTAACCCTAAGTTCAAAAACAACCCGACAAAGATTGAAATTAAGAGAGTCAACATAGGTTTTAGGCCATTCAGAGAAGATGGAATTAGGATTGAAGTGGATCCGAAATACAAGTGGTTGATTCACGACTATGGTGCTGGTGCGGGTGGATACCAAGGAAGTGTTGGAATGGGTCGTAAAGTCGTTGAGGTTTTGCAGAAAGAGTTGTCGCATTTAAAGTCAAAGATCTAGAGCCCACATAAAGGATTTAGGCTTTTTGGTGAAACTTTATAGAGATAATGAGACAGGTAACATACTGTTGCTAAGTTTTCCTAGCTTTCATGAGCTCTTCAATTGATTTTACGAGTAGTCGAATACAAAATTAATTTATACATTTGAAGTATACTCTATACGTAAATTTATGACTGTAATTGTCAACCCTTTCTCCGAGCGGCTGTCTTTATCTTTCTAAAGTGCACAATCTCGTTACATGAACGGTCTTTGGACCCTTTGTTGCATTGGTAATTGGCTACCCTTAACGACATATAATACCAATCAAAGCATTGAATAACGTTTTTCCTCCCTGTTTGGCATACTTCTTTGTATGCTCTTTATCAGTGTGTTCAGATATAAACTCAGAAGCCTTGTTTTGGTGTGCCAGAAGAGGAGTTGGCTTATTGGAATATGTATGAGTTTTAACATCGAGATCCGTATATCCGTGTTGCGGAGGAAAGAAACCCTTGTTTTTTGGTTGCTCTGGAATAGACATGTTTGTTGATAAAAAGTGGCGATTGAACTGTTGCGATGCTAAGTGGTATCGAGATTGGATGGGGTCCTTCTGTTTCTGTTTTTTGTTTTTTCTTTTTTGGTTGCTATGGTGTGGACCTTATCTTTTGCAATTTTATTTTTTGTTTTGACAGGGGAGCGGCTGTAAGCCAAACAAACTTTGTTCGGAAAATGAGAGCTATTCCGTTAGGGAAAAAAGACACATTGTCAATACCGACAGTTAATCAAATACAACAAGTTTAGAAACAAGCAAGGTTGCTAATCCAAGCTTGTCATGCTACAGCTTTATTCCTCTCAATGCAGTAGGATGTTTTAAAATCAATTGGTAGCACCGCTTCTCAATTAACGATTTTTATAAGATGAAAAAAGAAAAATTTTAACCAGTTACAAGACGAATACCGAGGTTACGATATACGGCAATGAGAGCAACACAAGTACTCAGTTTCCAAGCATCAGTCCAAGCGACTTTAAGAAGGCCATGGAAAACGTTTAGGGACGGCACCTTATACTACGGGCAATTGAAATCTGGATCAAAGAGACACCCGTTAACTACGAAACAAGGAAACAAACATTACTATAAAGGTACAGGTTCAACTGGTATAGGTCATTTAGATAGCCGTGGTAGGTATCACATAGATTGGAACAAAGTCAGGACTTATGTAGTTCCAAGTGGACTAAATACGACGAAGTTGAAGGCATTGGTCTCACCCAACTCGCCTCAATTTATTCAAAAAGTAGAGGGATACGATGATAGCTTCAAAAGTCCCGAGCTAGCTTTGCACAATGCTATCAACTTCATAGAAAATGGTTCCAATTATAATCAACTTGATTTAGAAAAGGAAGGGTATATAGAGAGAATTGTGCGCCCCAAATCAAAGACAGATGGGGAGAGCACGGAAGAGAATGGCGAAAAACAATAGACTGAATGAGGGCCTTTTTCTTGTATATAGATAACTAATGGACGACGATGTGCTTTAATGACACCTGAAGGAATGTAAGTGAAGCTTTTTGTATCGGAAAGGTAAAAAAGAATCAAAAAAAAAACCTTGACCCAAGACGCGTTGAGTGTACATTTAACTACCCTTTGTCAGATATGAGCGACGATAAGAAGACAGATAATCATTCGGTCGAAGCAGGTTCCGAGCCATCTCAGGCGATTTCTATGGACATTGATAAAGTAGACACAACCAATGGAGAACAGGATAATGGACAGGAGTCGCTGCAAATGTCACTTCCCATGTCGAAGATCAAAAAGATTTTCAAAATGGACCCCGATTTCTCAGGGGCCAGTCAAGGAGCCGTTTACGCTACTGGATTGGCAACAGAGTTGTTTGTTCAGTACTTTGTTGAACAGGCTAGTTTGATGGCTAAAGTGGACAAGCGTAAGAAAATTCAGTATAAAGACTTTGCGAACGCTGTTAGCAGTCATGATGCTTTAAACTTTTTAGGCGACACCATACCCAAGACATACCCAATAGGAGACCTAATACAGAAGAAAAAGGTCAATACGATAGAGTCTATTCAACAGAGACCGAGCAAGCCAGTAGAGGACAGCCAGAAGAGTTCAAATGCATCATCCCCTAAAGTTTCGTCAAAACAAGATCCAGTACTCCCCAAAGGTCAACAAATTCTCAATTTTGGTTCCACATCCAAGAAAGAAACACCCGTGAAGAAAGCAGGAATTAATGATTTGGTTTCCGCACTGAACGAGGGTGATATACAAGATGTACAAGACATTGTAATGAAAGAATAAATTATTTACATGATTTAGATTTTATCTTCAACACTTCTAAGATGCAACGAGTATCTCGCGTAAGCTCCAAAGTTTGCGGAATTTCAAGCCTGTAGCACAATTTAATCAAATCAAACCTTGTCAAATCAGGCACTGTTTTACTATAGTTTTGGACCCCTGTGATTAGAAACTCCACGAGTGAATCTTTCAAACTGGGGAAAACTCTAAACGTTGCTAATGCCTTCTCTGCGACAACAAGTTCGGCTGAATGCTTTCCCTTTACCGTTTTCGATACCAACTCAGAATGCTTTGAGAGATAGCCCCAAGTTTCTTGAAACTTTCGACCAAAGAAATACTCTTGTTGGTCACCATCACGATTCAATATTTCAGTGACAAACTTGAGCGACTCAATTGCGATGTTTATTTGCTCCCGAGAAAGGGAGGACTGTACCACCGCTGAACTTGATAATGAATTGGATGCTGTAATCAAAGTAATCAATATTGACCAGTTACTTGCCATGATCGGCAAAACCAGCTTATAGTCGGTGCAAAGTAAGGGGAATATAATTCTGAGAGTTTTGATGATCTGTGCTTTCAAAGTGTACGATGGCTGTGACACTAATGTGAACCCGTAGTTGAACATGCGCTTCAAGACCTCATAAATTGGTTTTGGGATCGGCGAGGTCCACGGTTCCTCTTCACTCGTATTTTTATCCTCCTCTTCCTCCTCATCATCAGAATCATTATCCATCTCGCTAAATGGTTTATCCTCTGTCCTCTCAAAATATTCCTTTTCGCTATAAAATTCAGCAAGTGGACCAACATAAGTTTTGTCTTGTAGGAAATTTATCAATTGTGCTTTGTTAGTCATGCCCCACGGTTTAAACTGAGACTCAACTCGGATTGAATTCTCAACTGCTCTATCATCTTTCAAAAACATTAGCTTGATCTGTTCTACGACCACTTCAAACACCACGAAGAAACCTTCCACCACCTGGTTGTACCCATGGTACGAATCTAATATCACAAAAATGTCTGAAAATACATCAAATAGTTGGTTGCTTTCCAACAACTGAACACCGGCAATCTTGATCAAGATTACCAATATCCCAGGCAACAGAGGGGTCAAGTTACTAGCCACTGTCATTTGCAAACTTATCGCGTCAATTAAGTAGTCCAGATTGTCCATGATCATCCTTGTTAATGAACCTTCATAATAACCATTTACAATGATTTGAAGGGTGTTCCTGGCCTGAGATTGAATCCGTGACTTATCCGTCCAAGTAAATGATTGGAACAAACATAGCAAGTAGTCCATTAGTACATCGGATCTGAATTGAGCCAACGGTATTGTGCCAACGACGCATCCAATCGCTTCAATAGCAGAAACAAAAGCCACCTCTTCCTCACGGTTCGTAAAATTACCACTTATGTCGGCCAAATCATCCAATATACCTTCCGCCTTCACTAGCAAAAGATAGGAGGCCTCATTTTCCTTAGACACGTCATCAATATCCATATCAGAATCTTCGACATTTATAAATTCAGATGGGTCAAAATAGGACTGGTTTCGTAAACCACTTTTAGCAAAAATTGAAGCAAACCATAGGGCGAGCCCTTTTTCCAAAGCACTGGAGTTAACCGAGTACTCTAATAAGTCTTCCAAATCCAATAAATCAAGCTCTTTTCCGCCACTGTACTTTAACTTCGACAAGAAGGAAATAATCGAGACCAAATTCGACTCCAAGACTTTTGAGCCTAAACCAATTGTCAACTCAGCTTCAAGTGAGAGCGAGGTACGACTCCACTGAGAAGATATGTGCTGTAGCTGGTGTAAGTACAGAACCTTATTTGCTGACGCTGAATTCAGTACTGTCTTGACGCTTTTCGCATTTACATATCCCGGGAGTTCAATAGAATCTAATTGATTTTGCGAACCGTGTAACAACGACGGAGTTGTAGTCGTCGACTTCTTCGAATTTTCCAATCTCACGAGATCTACCGTCATTTGCAACAATAGTTGTAAGCACCTCTTTTTTAACGACTTCAACTCATTCGAGCCAATATCCAGCTTCCAAGATAGTTGACTGAGCATCGCAAAGTGAAGCTTTATTGCATTCAAATTTAAAGTCACCTTGTCATCATCTGTGGAGAATATGATGACGGATAGCTTGTTATCAATTAAACTCGCTAGTTTTCCTCTCAAAACTTCGTAATAAGCGATGCATTTATTATCATCGGCTTCAATCACCTCCATAATTCTAGAGCAGACTTCCCAAATTTTAGTGTTTGAATCTTCTCTCTCCCAAGAAGTGGCAAATATCAATATAGCACAGATGTCTAACGCCAAAGGGGCAAACTCAGCATATAAGGAAATAAAGCAGGTACGCATCACGGATGTTACAAAATCAAGTACTTCGTCGCCTAGCTCAGACCTTGTTCGCAAACGATCTTTATTTCTTGAGCTAAGAAGAAGTGATTTGAAAAGAACGACCAAGGTAATCTTCAACTGCTTAGAAGTTGCTTTAAGCCACAGCATAGTTCTATGACCTTGCTCTTTGATGGAAATATCATTCTTTTCAGTGCCATCAAGTGTCCTCTCATCATCATCCCATACAGCATGGATATCAGTGATATTCTCAATGCTGTCTAATTTTAACTCAGCATGAAGATCTTTATCACTAAATGAGGTACAAATGACATCTGATAACAAACGTAATACATGTGTGAATAATCGGTAGTTGATATTTGAATTTGAGGTGACAAAATTAGTAATGGCTGAAACAATACCCGGTAGTATTGTGGACTTTTTGTCGGAGTCTATTTTCAGAAGCAGTTTCTGAACTAGCTGGAAAGAGTCAACCAGGAGACTAATTGCCTCTTGGTTGCTCGCTTTGGTCGAATTAAGTATGTCGAGTGCTAACAGAATGCTGTTACTCAAGAAGTGGAGCCTCTTTTCAGTCTCCTCAAAATAAGCGATGCTAAGCGAATGAATCATTTCATCAAGCACATAAACAGACGATGTCTTGTATTGGAGTGATTTGATACTAACTCCACAAGACCCGGGTTTCGAGCTATCTCCAATGAGAAAAAGCACCAACGGAAACAATTGGTCAAAAAGAGAGTAATTGACGTTAAACTTCCAACAGTGTTCCACCAAATGACCAATAATTGTTAAGATGTGCTTGACGACCGCGTCACTCAACTCCGGCTTCTTGAGCAAGTTCGAAATGGGGAAAAAAATGTAGTCAGCAACATTTGGCAAAACGACAAACTCCACTTGTGTTTGGCTATCTTCACGTACCGACTTCAAGCCACTTTCAATTGATGATAAGAGTGATACCACCCTTGCTTCATTGAAACTTGATTGCGAAAGTGCTTCTTGAGTTAGCTCAATGCAAAATGGCTTCACCTTGTGAAATACCTGCAGTGAGAATAACCTTTCTTCTTGACCATTCGGGGTATTGCCAAGTGCCATGCTACGCCATACAAGATGAAAATCAATCAAGAACCAATTGATCCCAGAATGTTCTTCTGTGTAGTTTTTACAGAATTGGAGTGCATATAAGAAAATCCAACACAAAGCAAAAAATCTTTCTTCCATTCCCAAATTTTCAGAAAATGAAAAATTTTCATTCAACCAAGTACTTCTCCTTATACACCATCAAACTACAATAAACATAACAAGAGTATGTTTGCCATCTTCACCTCAGTTGCCACTTAGAGCTTATGTGAATCAAAGCATCAAATTTGAGTTTTTCATGGATGTGCAAGGAATTAGTTTGTCTTTGGTTGTTTGATATAGGGTTCTACGTGTTGCACTCTTTTCATGAAAAGAGTGTACATGTAACTTTTCATCGAATAACAACGAGAGAGTTATTCAAGCTTCTGCTATTGGCTCTTCTCTATTTGTTTTTAACTTTGCTTCAACATGCAGAGTCTATTCAAAGAGACTAGTAATACCCTTGCATTTTGACATGGCTCATGACTCCAACATTTAGTCTGGACACTCATGTGGCTTTTAATGAAAACTCCCACCCATACTAACGCTTTTTTTTTCAAGTAGAATAATGACTAGAACTTCAGTATTGGCAGACGCTTTGAACGCTATCAACAACGCCGAAAAGACAGGTAAACGTCAAGTATTGATAAGACCATCGTCCAAGGTCATTGTCAGATTTTTAACAGTTATGCAAAAGCACGGTATGTACAATGCTCATTAGAGATCATCGCTGTTTTATTTTTTTTCTCCACCGAATTGATAACTGGATGGAATGATCGGTGTTCAGTCCCTTTCTGTCTTTTAAGCTTTCGGGATATCAAGGCCAGGAAATGCTTTCTTACACGATGAGAACTTTGCTTTAGGTTTTTAGTCGTTTACTTTTCCTCGACATTTTCCCCTTTTTTGTTCTTTTTTCAACAGTGATATTTGGTCTGCAGATATTTTGAGGATTCAATACTAACGAATAAATTAGGCTACATTGGTGAATTTGAATACATTGATGACCACAGATCGGGAAAGATTGTTGTTCAATTAAATGGAAGATTGAATAAGTGCGGTGTGATCTCCCCAAGATTCAACGTTAAAATTGGTGACATTGAGAGATGGACCGATAACTTGTTGCCAGCTAGACAATTTGGTTACGTTATTTTGACCACTTCTGCTGGTATCATGGATCATGAAGAAGCCAGAAGGAAACATGTTTCAGGTAAGATTTTAGGGTTTGTTTATTAGTTTCTCTTTATTTGTAATAAAATAACACTATTGTTTGATCGAAATAATCTGTAGGAAGAGGACAATCGAAAAATTTCCTAGAAGTGGTGCACTGGAATAAAATCCCCAGTTTCCCCTAAACTACCTTCAACAGAACACACATGATCATACCCGAGTCGTTACAGTTTGCCATTTCCACTTTGTCATGGACGCTTAGAGCAGGTTGTCTAGCTCATATAATTCACGAAAATGTTTACGAGTTTACAGAAACGAGGGGCGAATCGATGCTACCCACAGTGCAGAACCAACATGATTATGTACATGCATTCAAGAAATATAAACTCGGACGAAATTTGGAAATGGGAGATTGCGTCGTAGCAATGAAACCAAGTGATCCATCGCATCGGATCTGCAAACGTATTACGGGTATGCCAGGGGACATTGTTTTGATAGATCCATCTTCATCTTCGTTTTTGACAAACACTCCCAGCGAAATCGTTCAGCATGACGGGTTTAACAAATTTATAAAAGTACCGGAGGGACACGTGTGGTGTACTGGTGACAACCTCTGTCATTCTTTAGATTCAAGGTCTTACGGGGTGCTCCCTAAGGCGCTAATCACCGGGAAGATTGTTGCTGCAAACTCCATGAATGATGGAATCAATGGGTTCTTCAATTTCAGGTGGATAAAGAACACATTTGTTGATGAAACCTGAGTGTAAATAGCTAATAGCATATACAAAAAAACTATACAATTCTATAAAAATTCGCTATTGTTTGCCCAATGCACGGTTTTGAGCCAAATATTTCAACACGCCAGATCCAAAATAAACAGCAGCAAGACCCAAAAAGAAGCCATTGAACAATGTCGTAAAAATGGATTGGTCCAAGTAGTACATGAAAAAGTTTACCTCAAACCCAATCAAGGTGACTAGGAAGCTGATATTTTGCAACAATTGACCGCCGGAAGTGGATTTGACAGTTCTAAAAAGATCATTTAATCCAATGAATCCAACCCAGGATCCAAGAAGCGACAAAAATACAACGGTGGCAATTGCAATGAAAACAATGGGTACAATAGGATTGACAGTTTTGGCATCCTCTTTGAATGTGTGGTGTATCTCCGGTTGAATTCCGAATTTGAACCTCTTCTTCTCGTGGTTGGCTGCACTAGCCAAACCAGGAGAAGGTTTAATGTCTACCAATCTTTTCACTATATTGGATTTACCACTGGAGTCTGCTATAACAAGGCTCAAGGTTAATGCATCCTTCGAAATCAAAACATCTGGAATTGAGCTTGCCTTAATGGTGTATCTAATATTGGCACTCTTAACTTGAGGAACGTAATGTGTAACTAGGCTGGCCTTCTTGGCGTCGCTTAAGCTGAGCATAATTTGTTCTGGCTGACCATCTAATTGGCCATACTTGAGTTTGATATCAATGAAATCCTTAACTGACTCTATAGGCAACACCTTAATCTCTTGTGTGTCAATTTCTCCAAAGTGCACAGTTTTACTGCTGCTGGATACTGTTCCGGTTACAGCTCCATAGCCCAATGCACTTATAGCTAATGTTAAGATTGGAATGCTGGAAGTGAATTTCATTCTTAATGCAGTGTATATTTTCAAAGTGTATGTTTCTGTGTTGAAGTTTCGACGTGGTTAAGTGTTGAAAATTTATTTCTGGGTGAATTAAAAAGACACGCACACTACTAAACTGTGTTTCATTGTCACGTAAATATCAAACCCTCTAAACTATTCCCTATAATAACATCTTCCGGTAGTAAAATTGCGAAAATAAACATGGCTCCGCTGACAATTTCTATCATAAAAAACAAAGGTACAATTATGAGACCTGCAAAATGGGGTTAATACCTAGGCAACATATCCGTCTTGGCCAATACTTTCGTACATACACACCAAAACGAACAAGAGAAAGAACACCATAGTTATAACAGCCAATGAAATTGCAGAAACTGCAAGCATTTCATCCGGAGCGCTTATTGTTGGTGTGGAAATCAATGTGGGGACTGATTTGACAGAGTCAATATAGTAGGCAGTCAGGTGTAGGATATAATATATCAACTGATAACGCGTCTCCTCCTTCTTGATATTTAATTGAAGAGGAACAGCTACTTGTCAAGTGATTTGCTGGTTGAGATTTCGTTTGAGATGAAGTCAAGGGGGGTGTATGTAAGTAAAATTTTGCAACACAATTTGAAGTGTATAAAATACTTTCCAGTAAAGGAAGTACAGAGAGCAACTGCAGGTCATCGTAAATCACAAGCATAGGCAAAGGCAGTTCATATTTGCATACTTATATACTCGATTTACACGTTTCAATACCAATAATTCATGCTAAATGTAAGTGTCATTGGCTACAAACACGCCTCCCTTATTATACTATCAAAGCAAATCAGAAAAAACGGAAGCCAAAAAAAAAAAAAAGAATGGGAAAAAACCCCTCCGAAAACCTCTCTTCTCCCAGATATACTTCAACATCAATGCAATTCCTCAGCTCAAAGTCGCTATTATATATCAGGATTGTTTCACACTTTGTGCTAGCGTACTATTTGGTTCAAGATCCGGAGGGGCTCGTGTCGGCAGGATTTGTTATACTCATGGGCCAAGCAATGCAGGCACCAATCTTACACTTGAGTCCGAGCAGTCCAGTTTTGGGTATGTTGGCAATTTTTGTATCGGCCCAAGCCATAAGTGATTTGGTCCCGTTGCTAGCTGAAAATTGGAACCATTTTGAAACTTTAGTGCCAGTGAGATTGTTTTGCTACTTTTTGATCACCGCATACATATACTTTGTACCCACCAGCAAAGTTAGCAACAGTTTAGTTGCCACCTATGCCATGCTTGAAGTTTGGACAAACTTCCTTATCTATAATAACTTGAGGGACGAAAAGTTTTACAGGATGAAGAAATTTGTCGAGGAAAATGCGGATGCTATAAGGAAGGCTCAGGATGACCAGGTGAGAGTTATTGAAGATTAGTCTGTATATAATCTATTTATGATGAAGTGAAATCACAAATAAGCCATTCTAGAGATTCTTGCAAATCATTCCGGTCAAAGTAGTCATTCTGCAACACATTTGTTCCATTCATATTACTCTTGTAAGCATTCATAGACTCGAACCTCGTGACTGTAAGTTTTGTGATCAAGTCAACAAAGACCTCATTACTCGTTACTTTTATTACCACGTTTAGAACTTTTTCGTGTTGGTTTTGTATGGTCCAGCTGAAAACGGAGTTGGGAATTTCAATTGAACGCTTAAACGGGTTGGCTGTTTTACCATCTAAATTCGTGTACTTATCAAGCTTAGGCGAGGGGTCTAAATTGTATTGGAGGGCCAAATTGATCAAAATGTCATTAACGTCGTTCAAGTACTGCCTATGACGCATGTTACCCAAGAGCGGGCGCAAAATTAGTGGATGAGAGTTGCTTTGCTTCCACTTGGTCAAGGATGTGGGGACTTTCTGCTTCAATTTCAAGTTGTACTTGTAAAAGCAACAAAGCATCAACTTCAAATAGATTAAAATCAACTGGCACTTCTTGTTGTTTATAGACGACAACGAGCTTACATTTTGGTAGTAATTCTCTAACTCTTCCTCGTTTGCATCATCATAAAGGACGTTTTCAAATTCAATTATTTCGTTTTCAGTTCCAATTGTGACCTTGTCGGTTGTGGCTGACACGTTGTAACTAAACAATATCGCAGCTTCTCTGCTAATTTGGTAAAACAAATCTTCTTCAAAGAGGAAAAACCTGGCCATCTCTATTTCATTAATGATATCATGCGATGATTTCTTGCATTTGTAATCAAAAACAGACTGCCCTGTTAGCATGAAATCGGAGTCTATTCTGCTTAACATGCGCACACGAACGTACCGGTATGTTTTAGCAACTAGATTGTTGCCACTCGTAGATAATGGGTGGAACGATACTTCCCCGGTTTGCACGTTTTTGCGAAACAAGGCTAAACCTTTATCCTGAAAATCAGACCCCGAATCGCCATATCCATATTTAACCCCAATTGCTCTAGCGTTATTCGCAGGGTCCCTCATTCTAAATAAAGCTTCGTCATTTGACCACACCAAGCTGATCATGTTCCAATATTTATTCTCCTTCTTTACCTGTGTGGTTAGATTTTCACTGGATTGCTTGAATAGGCACGTGATTTTCGAGGCCGCTTCCGTTTTCCATCCATGTCCTATCTTGGTAGAGCGTGCTGTATCTTTCTGCAAGGTTTCTTCTTCTTCTTTAGCTAATTTGTCTGAGTTTAGTGAGGATGGTTTGATGAGTTTTTGCAAATGTGGCGACATTGTGTTTTTAGCAATATTTGGCTTGACGGACGCAACAAGCAACGAAACGAAATCAAGTGATAGTGAAGTTTCATTAAGAGCGTTATTGATATTCCTTGTAAGCTCAAATTTTTGAATATTGAATTTCTCTTGTATCGTATCTTCAGTTGCATCTTGAGCCCCTATAGGGGTTAGCTTTGATTCGTCAACAGCATCCGAGCTTTTATCGACTGACTTTGAAGTTTCAAGCAGCTCAATTTCGTCGACAAGTGCTTTCTCTGTGATATTAACGAAATGTTTACGCTCTTGTAGGATTCGTGGAATAAGTTCTTGTAATCCCAAATTAGCCCTAATTGGCGAATGTTAGTCTTCTTGCTTTTGCAATCACAACTGGTTTAAGTACATACTCATCTTTTATAAACGGATCAACATGACCATTATCGTTGAGGTCAAAATCTAGATAGACTGATTCATTACCCATCTTAATTAAGGGAGGATAAGAAGTTTCGTAAGGAACTAGTTAGAGCCATGTTTATTTTTTCAGGAAGAAATTGTGCGCGACTCAGAGTCCCCGTCATGCTCCACGGCTTTCAGAATATAGGGAATTAAATTTGCTACTTCTGCAACTATTTATCTTTCTAAAATGGTTTATACTTAATCCATGAAATCATCCAAATCACCTTCCTCTATAGCCTTCAACAACTCAACCTCATCACTAGGTTCCACCTCCTTGTTAACTGCTTGTTTATCATCATCATTGGGAAACCTCATCGATTTGACACTGTCGTTGTGCAAAGACAAGCAGAACTTAATCCTATGATCAAATTCTGTCTGAGGTAATTTTGTGGAGTACACATCTAATATCTCGTTTGATTGCATATAACCTTGTTGGTGGTTAATAGTAGCTTCAATGACACCATCTCTTATTGCTTTCGACACAATGTATTCAGTGGACTCCTCTGAATCCAAGTGTAATTTGATGCAAATATCCTTCAAAGAAATTTTTGAGTAGGACAACGAAATAATTCTAATACCGGTCTTGATCACATTTTGACGCAACCTTGAAACCAAAGTGAAATTGTCATCCTTTTTAAAGAACTCCTCATAATTTTTCAATACTTGTCCAAACAACTTCAAATCACCCAATTTAACGGCTTTAGTAACATTGAAATAGGGTTCATAACTACCCGTCTTACTTTTAAATGTTTTCAATTCGGGAATCTCCCCCATGAGCAACTCGATGATAATATTCAACTTTGTTGCTGCTTGCATGAACCCGTTTGTCAGTTTAGTTTGAGGTGATTTCCTAATTGCAGCAATTACACACTCATGAGCTGTTGTATAATCCAACTGGACAGCATTGATCCTTGCTAAGTAATAATAGTATCTTGCAACCAAGGCGTTTGCTGCACTTTCCGGGAAGACCACCTTTTCTACAAGGTTGGCAGCTTGTTGAATATCATGCGACAACAAGTAGTTTCTCAATAACAAGGTGATAATAGAAGCTGTAGTCTCTGTGTCATGTCTCAAACTGGCGGTTCTCAAACTGTACAACAAATCGGCACGCACCGATAACAAGTCACCGACCAATTCCTTTCCCCTACTAATGTAAAACCACACTTTTGCTTGAATAAAATCCAAGGAACGTCTGTTGTAGGAATTCATTAATTTCACTAAATGGCTGCTCAATTCGTTCAATTTCTGTAACTGATTCGAATCCAACAAATATACTTGGACTAGCAAGTAGACGTACAACTCCACTTCAGGAATGACTGTTTGTGCTTTACCAGTATCTGATTCGACGATGGGAGATGCTTTGAATAACTTGAGTAAATCTCGCTTTGCAGAATGGGAGTCAGGAAAGGTGTTGTTAATTACAGTAGGCAATGCTTGGTCATGGTTCAATAGCCTTTTTCTCAACGGGGTGAAATCGCGAAGCACCTTCGACACATACCTGTTGTCAAATAAACTCGCTGCCTTCTCCAATAGATTAAATGACTGTTCAATTTCCTCCACAATCGCTTTCGTTTCAGCTGTAGAGTCATACTCTTCACCTTTCATCTCGACATCTTTGGCTTCTGACATGGTGCTTGCAATAGTGATTTGGGTGGATTAGTGGTTGAGTGCGTTCGACTTGGTGGCAAAGATATAATTTTCGAAATTTTTTTGTGTGTAAACGAGAATTGGTTACTACACACTCTCACTAGACTAATCAATCAACAGAGGCGAATGCAGAAAGGATACTTTCCAGTCGTTCATAGACTACTACATCGAAGGAGCCTAGGACTAACGTTCTGAATTCCTTTTCTCTATTTTGTACTGGAAAAACTTACCAACCTACGAACTCTAACTGATGTTTCACGGGTCCAAGACGTGTCATTCTATGTCCTACATAATTATATACAAACTTGCATAGCTAACTATTAATCTAAGAAAGAGACTCTTTAGGCTTGTATGGCTCCTCTAAATACTTAACCTCCTCATCACTCAACTTGACTGTTGTTGCCCTGATTATATCTTCAACTCTTTTCTCAGAATTCAAACCAACTATTGGATTACATCCTTTGCTGATCACCCAAGCTGTTGCAATAACAGCCATACTCTCGCCGTGATCCTTAGCTACCTTTTCTACTCGTTTGATTATTTCTGTATCGGCATCGGTCAAAGCATCTAGTCCCAATAGAGCAAAAGTCTTGTCAGTCTTGTTTCTTTTACTTTCTAAAGCTGCATCAATGGGTCTCGTCAATACACCCCTAGCAATTGGACTCCAAGGAATAATTCCAACTTTGCTCAAGTCATTGTTTTTGCAAAATGGTATCATTTCCCTTTCCTCCTCACGATAAATCAAGTTATAGTAGTTTTGCATACTGATGAATTTATACCAGCCGTTTTGTTCAGCTATAAATTGCAACTCGGCAAACTCGGTAGCTTTCATGGTTGATGCGCCAATGTATCTAGCGAGTCCTTGGTCAACAACGTCATTCAAAGCCTTCATTATTTCCTTCTTCGGTGTAGTTGGATCCAATCTATGGATTTGCAATACATCCACATAAGTTCCCAATCTTTTCACAGATTCATTGACTGCATCCAAGATATGCTTTCTTGATAAGCCTTTTGAGTTGGCAAAATCCTTGTCGCTTAAAGAACCCGCTCTTACTGCATTGAAATCAGGATCTCTTGGATTCATGGCCATGAAGCATTTGGACAAAATAACAACTCTTTCTCTTGGGATGTCGTATTTTTTGAGAAATTTACCCAAGATAATCTCCGATTTTCCATTTGAGTATACATCAGCAGTGTCAAAAGTTCTTAACCCAACATCATAACATTTCTTTAAGATCTTGAAAATCTCTTCCTCATCCTCCAAGATCCAATCAGCCCATTTCTTGGATCCATAGGACATGCATCCAACAATTAATGGAGCAATCTTCAAACCGGAGTCGCCTAAGTTGTTGTATTTGAGTTCAATCGACATATTTGTAGAGGGGTACTAATGAAGACTATCCAAGATCAATTCTTCAGCTTTGCTACAAGTTGCTTCCTTTTTATAGCCAAAGTTTTAATTTATTGAATGCGAGGCTTTGCAATCGGACTTACCTGTTTCGGGGTAGACCGATTGTTACGGAAAGCAGTATCTTCTTAACAATGGATTATCTCTCATTCCCATCCAACAACTTGCTAGCCACTTTTGTGCAGCTTACTAATCCAGGATTTCCAGCATTTCTGACCACAAAACCCCTGTTTTCATTTAACAGGTGGTTGTTTCGACTCGACAGTATGGTTTCTACACTACCTCGCTACCAATTACAGCTTTTGCGTCGCCCGTGTCAAGAGTCGTTCCTTTCCCGTTCTTTTACCTTTCTTTAACCAACATCTCAACAAACTATGCCTGGATTAAAATTAGCGCTTCCTGCAACTCCCAAGCAACCTCAATTGATCCCTGTCTTTACTTTTAACCTCAAATTGGCCTCTGATCCGGTAACAATCTTTACTAATTCCAAAATCGACAAGACTTTAAATTTGGCCACCATTACCCAGGGCGAGGTCAAGACTGTTGACAATGATCTTGGATTGAAGTTGGAAATTAACGACATTTATGGTACAGACGACTTGAACGTCAAGAACTCGGTCAGTACGTCTTACTTGGATTGCAAGTTATATGGAAAGACTCCAAATGGTTCTGGTGTGTTCATATATTACGGTGGTCGGGTTCAATTGGACTCCGCTTCTGTTGGTGTGCTTTCCCATAAAACGAAAGAAGCATCAATAGAGGAGAGCTATGTTACATGTAACCCTGTTTTTACCTTTGACGATTCAGTTGAGGAAGAGTATAAATGGGTTTTAAAAGAGAATTTAATCGGCAAAGGAAGGTTTGGTAGAGACGACAATGGCGATCTCTACGTGCAATACTACATTTATGTTATCCGTTGATAATATCGAAATGCCTCAAGAAAATGTATACAAAACAGAAGCAATACATAGATAAAGCAAATAAACAGAAGTAATTTCTATAATTGTGTCAGAATATTCACTCAAGTAGTTTAAGGAAATGTAGGTAGATTTATTAGAACAAGATATAAATGATATAAACAAAAGAGAAAAAGCTTTAGCATCTCAGAGCCTGTACTTTGTTTGTATCTAACAACATGAGTTGGATTGATTGGAAGTCAATGATTCACCCCTCAAGTTGACATTGGACTTGCCCTTGTTACCAGCAGCATTACCCACATTGGAATTGCTGGCCATTTGTGCCTTGATCTGTCTTGCCATAGTGTAGAAGGCCTGCTCAACATTAGTTGAACTTAATGCTGAAGTCTCCAAGAATGGGATATCTAACGCATCAGCAAACTCCTTAGCAGCAGTGTACTCGACGATCTTTTTGTCAGATAAATCAGCCTTATTTCCAACCAACAACTTCATTACACCCCCTGTTGCGTAACGATCAATCTCTTGTAACCACTGTTTAACGTTATTAAAACTTTCTTGGTCTGTGACATCGTATACAATGATTATACCATGGGCACCACGGTAGTAAGAAGATGTAATGGTTCTGAAACGCTCTTGTCCTGCAGTATCCCATATTTGCAACTTGATAGTTTTACCGTCTAGCTCAATCGTTCTAATCTTGAAATCAACACCAATCGTAGAAATGTAATCAGGGGTGTACGTGTCGTCGGCAAATCTCAACAACAAACAAGATTTACCCACACCGGAATCCCCAATCAACAACAATTTAAACAAATAATCGTACTCGTTATTCATGATGGTAACGTAGTTCTTTTATACTTCTTTATTGAGAAAAAGTTTGCACTGGTAATAGAAAAAGGCAAATAAATTTGAACCGATAAGTGTGATATGGCCGGCTACAGATTAACTTGCTGTTTGGTAGTTTCAAAAATTAAACGTGATATAGGAGCACTTATTATTATACAAATAATCTATGCAGTGCTTGTGTGTTCCCTTGCGTTGCTGTCCTTAGCTTTGGTTTCTGTTTTGTTGTTTGATTTTATTAATCTTTTTTTTTTTCCTTCCTCTTTTCTTTCTACCAGACAGACAAAACAATGGCAAAAGAGCTTAACAAGGACAATCTAATAAGGTTTTAAAACTATTCCTAAATAGTTTCTGAATGTAATTTTTATATGTATAAAAAGGTGTGATCTACATCAATTATACTCTATTGGTTCCCTATCTCATCTCCTTACTCAATCTTATCTGCAGCCTTTGCAGCCTTTCTAGTCGAGCGTTGTCCCTTGGCTTTCTTTATGGCTATTCTGACCATTTTGTAGAACCAGAAAATGTTCAAAGTATTCAAAGCCAAGTTCATAGTCAAGATGGTTGCTGGTGCAAATATGCTAACTTGGTCTAAAGATGCTGACATATCCATTGCCAATTGCACAACAGCGTAGAGTCCCCATACGATTCTGACTGTAAAGAACACGAAAATTAGCAACAATCCATTGATTATGACAAACCTGTCACTGAAAGTTCCTTTTGGCATGCGTGAAGCAAACCAGTTCATGTTCACGAATGGAGTACTTAATTCAAAAGATAGAAATGCCGCCGCCCATGGCTGGCAGTAGGGAACAAATCCACAGCCAAATGCATACATTGCAGCAATTGCATGAAGTAGAAATCCAATACCAAACAAGTCGAAATACCTCAAACACACCATCAAATCCCATACGAAATATCCCGCGGTGACAGAGATAACCATTGAGCCAAATGGCGTAGATCCCAATAAGGAATTGACCGGGTCGTTTAACCTATTTTGCCAATGAGGATTGTTGAAATGGTAGAACATAAGCACAGCAGACACAACACATTGGACCATTGATGTCATATGCACGTCAAAATCAATTCGGGTTTTTCTGGGTAGATTAGTATATCTCGAACCAAGGACATACGAGCAAATTGGACCAGATACGGACTGCACTATGTAGTAAAATAGCGCGGAGAAAACCAACTCGTGCCAGTGGGATTGAAATATGGTCTTCGGGTTGGACGGAAATGGTCGGAGCTTTTCGAATGGATCGAGAATCACTGTTGGTAGATAAACAGACATGCTAAGCGTGTAAATAAAGAAGCTAGTGAGGCAGTGGTTAAACAATGTGAGACAGAACTGTCGAACCCTGAATACTCCCAAGTGGCGGATAAGTCAACAAGCTTGGTACTCTTCAAACAAGTTCAAATCCTTAGGAATGGTTTTTATTGTCGCAATTTTCTCCAAGCAACGGAGTTATAAAGTTGAACGCAACGGAAAACCAAACACAAAAAATTGGAGCCGACACAATTTCCGCTTAAATTTGTTGGGCCACACCAAGAAGTTGTTTATCCATTTACAACACCACTTTCAGCACGATATGATAGGCTCTACATGGACCACACAGGTGGAACCCACACTTGAAGTATCATGACTACACTAGTTTTCAGAACAATCTTCTAAACTACATTCTATTTCATTGTCTTGTGATTTATTCTAAACGACTCACGTGACTAGCCATACTAGCATGTCGACTTCTTACAGGGCCAATAAAAATACTATGCCCAAGCTCAGTAAAACCCTTTTAGCTCTATATATAAGTCTAATCACCCTTTTTATTCAAAGATCTCTTTGCAGCCTTCTTTCTTGCAATTCTTACCATCTTGTAGAACCAAAACACGTTCAAAACGTCCAAGCCAAAATTCAAAATTAAGAGTGCTGCCGGAATCAAAATGTTTATTTGGTCCAACGAATAGGTCATATCAATGGCCAACTGAAAAATCGCGTAAAATCCCCAAATAATCCTAATAAAGAAAAACACCACCATCAATATAAGGCCATTTATCATAACAAAACTGTCGCTGAAGGTGCCCTCTGGCATGTGAGAAGCAAACCAGTTCATATTAACAAACGGGGTACTAAGTTCAAAAGCAAGGAAGCTGGCTGTCCAGGGTTGGCAGTACGGTATAAGCGTACAAATCATACCGAACAAAGCTGCTGCACCGTGGAGCAAAAAACCAGCACCAAACATCTTGAAATGTTTAACACAAACCCACAAGTCCCAAATAAAATATCCAGCAGAAACAGCTCCTAGCATACCGCCAAATGGTGTAGACCCTATTAATGAATTCACACGATCATTTGCTCTATTTTGCCAATGCGGGTTATTGAAATGATAAAATGTAAGCACAATAGATACAATACACTGGACCATTGAAACAATGTGAATATCAAAATCAACTCGGGTCTTTTCTTGTAACGAGGTATAGGTTTTTCCTAGGATCAGAGTGGCTATTGGTCTAACTGCCACCTGAATTGAAAAGTAAAATGCAGCAGAAGCGACAATTTCATGCCAGTGGGCAGCAAACAAATTGCTGGGGTTTTCTGGAAATGGCCTATATGCTTCAAAGGGATCTGATATAATCGTGGGTAAAAAGTCCAACATGGCTTAGTGTAGGCAAGCAGAGGTAGTAGGTCTAATGATATTCTTTCGGTGGAATATGGTTAGATTTTTCCCTTTTCTTTTGGCCGCTGTACCATTTTTCGTGGAAGACGAGTTTTGTGTAATTTGAACTCTAAAATTCTTACACTCTCTCGAGGTTGACGCTTTGAGGTTAATCCACTGTACAAGACGCTAAACTCCTAAAAATAAGTTTCAACAGAGGTTATTTTTGGTTGTTGTCTTTGGTCTTCCCTTCAATTTGGCAAAAGGCTCGAAAATTTGAAAATCACTACACAAACGCATCATGAACTCCAAAAGCACTCTCGCCACAAATGATATCTATCTCTCAACTTGGATCAACAGAACTAAAAACACTACAACTATGTGTTCTTCACACTGTTTTATGCGGTTCAGAAAGTAAATATATTTAAAGCTAATACAAGTGATCTCTTTACTAAATCTTTGCGTTCCCCTGAAACAAGGACAGAAAGAACGTAACTGTCACGAGGCCTTAAAAATAGAAAAGAAAAAGAAAAAAAAAAAACAAAAAAGAAGGAACATAGAAACGGTCTTAAAAATAAAAAAACGATAGCCTGGCAACCCCACAGAAACATTTCGATTCAATGGACCAGCTTTCTAAAATCTCGTTTCCTTACTATGAGAGTCGAGATTCAAAAGTACTGCTCAATAAGTTACTTTTAAGCAACCAGGATGATTCGGAGTCAATAGACATTTATCTTCAAGAAGACAAGCTGGTGGGAAACATCAATCAACAGGGCTATAAGTGCCTCGAACCCATTAGCTATATTGAAAACAGCGATGAAACCGAAACGCTGAAATTCCCCTTGCTTGTAAAGGTTGATCCGCAGGCCAACAAATTCAAATTGCATGTATCTATCAAGCCCACAGAAGGATTTCGTGATAGAAATTTATTGATTGTGAAATCGGTGGGGGTGGCAAATGTATCGACTATGCGTGAGTTGACGGGAGATGCTACTAGGTCAACTGTTGATGTATCGAAAGTGCTATGCAGAAATTTACCCATAGAAGATAGTGTAGAAGAGTTCCAAAAACTAATCATCAATGATTCCTATGACCCATCGACAATGAATGGGAAAAAAATGTCGATATCCCTTTGGGACCATGATCCCAATTCCGACCAATATGATTACCTTTTACATTGCAGCATATGGATAGATAGACTTGTTGCTCCCAAATCCGAGAAAGAAAATAAGAGCGAACAACCAGAGGTGAAGCAGGAAACCAAAAGTTTCTGTTTAGGAGAGTTTAAGCGAGAGTTTTGTTTCAACATCGAAGACGGTCCTGAATTTAGAAAACATTTAAGCAGGCTAGAGGAGTCCATTCCTAAATTGCGAGGGGATTACTTGTCGTTGATAGAGGATTTTAGAGTGTTGGGGTCGAATGTTCGTCGAATATCCAGCTCCAAATTGAAAGTGGCTGAGGGGATAAACCGGATAATTGGCCATAACTCGCAACTTATTGATGCATTTGGATTTAAACAAGAGTTTCAACGTGCATTCCTTCGAATATTTGAGCTGTTTGAAAAGAATATCAACTTCTTTTTTGAACAGATCTGCAATGATAAAGCTCTAACCAGAATAATCAACAATGCGCCTTTTCCATCATTGGAGAACGCCGGCCAATCCGAGCTACTACAAATGAAAAAACAATTTGAAGCAGATTCGAAAGAATATTATGCTTGGATGAATAAATATCTAGCTAATGAGAAGGAAAGACCAGATTCCAAGTTATTGGCTAAAAGAAAGAAGTTTGAGCTATCAAAGTTTGACTACTTGAACCAGCTAAGTAAAACTACGAATAACCAATATGCAAACAATTTAGCAGAAAAGCTCTTCAAGTTTATCAATTTATCTTACAGCAATCTGCACCCAAAGTTGCTAAATTTCAAGATGTTTTTGGATAACACAAACTCCGGCTTAATTGAAACCAACTACCAAATATATTTGTTCGCTTTAACTCGATTCAATAGTGAGAAGTACCAGTTGAGACAAAAAATTGAAGCATGCCAATCCAACGAGGAGTTGACGAATTTGATACGACACAATAAGCTTAACGGTTCAGGCTCAAAGGATGGTAGAAGCATCAATGAGAAAGCTATTGATGAATTTGTAATTACAAAAGACAACATCGACCTAATATTTTCGGATATTCTTCTTTCACGAGAGTCGCATACTAGTGATTCGGAGATGTTTGGTATTTTATTCGCGTTAGGTGGCCAGAAAAATTCCGGTTGGCATAAGGAGTGGGTTGTTCTTAAGGACGGGCAGTTGACGGAGTATTCGGATTGGCGCAAAGGAAAGTCTCCTATCAACACCCCAATCGAAGTTGCCTTGTCCAGTGTTAAGGCTGTAAATCACTACAAGAGGCAATACTGCTTTGAGATCTTGACCTCATCTGGCGAAAAACACGTTTTTCAGGCGTTTGACAATGATGATAGAAATAAATGGGTCAAGGCCTTACACAATGCCGGTCAGCTTGTAAATACCAAAAGATTGGAGCAGAAATTTGCAACCACGCACAAAAAGGAAAAAAAAAATTTGGGCAAAGTACTCACAGACTTCAGCTCAAAGCCAATAGTGCCTGGAAATAGTGATGATACAAGTGTCTCCCCTGTTTCAATTGTGTCCAAGAATCCCTTGTCAGAGAAATCTTATTTGCATTTGGTCCGACTGATCCCCGACAGCGATAATGATATGTGCGTTGATTGCGGACTGACTGAGCTGGTAGAGTGGGTTTCTATAAACTCGTTGATTTGCATGTGCGTAAATTGCGCTTCGTGCCATCGTAATATAGGATCACACATTAGTAAAGTGCGGTCTTTGACTCTTGACAATTTTGCAAGGGAGACCGAAATGTTGTTGAGGTTTGTCAATAACCGTCTGGTTAATGCTTTTATGGAAGAAAATTTAACAGTACCTAAAATTCATGCCGACACTGACCACGAGACTAGGTTAAGCTTCATTCGGGATAAGTACTGCAAGAAAAGGTTTTCTGTGGTTTTACCAGACGTGAATAATTTATTGATCAAATCAATACAACAAATTCAAGTACAAGACGTCCTAAAAGCAATCTTGTGTGGAGCTGATGTGAACCTGAATATCCAAATCAAAACGTCAAGTCATGACGAGAACATAGTGGTTTCCATATTTGAATATAGCTTACGAAAGTTTATTGAGGTCGATACAGACAACGTCAAGAGAAAATATTTTATTCTTTCTGAACTTTTAGTGCTAAACGGCTGCACTAACTTTGGAGAGTTGAAGATTTCGAAAGCAAGCTCGGGTTTGTCTCAAGAAGCTTGCGACTATTGGAAGCTTAAAAGCACCGCTTTGAATGGCGGGTCTTTCTAGGGCTCTGGTCCTTTTTATTCTTTTTTTGGGTGCTGAGTTTGTGTAACATTTTATTATATTTGTTTAAGGGCGGCAATATCAAAGTTACCACAAATACCACAAACATTCTTATTATTTTATTTTGGTATTTCACATTCTTATACAATATTCTGCAAAGGAAACCAAATATTATCAAATGGTCGGTTACATGCTGTCAAGAAGAGATAGCAAACAAATCCCTTCACCTCAATCACCTTGCAAATACGGAGATTTGAACATAATAGGAAGAGGTAATTTTGGAGATGTTTATCGAGCAACCAATTTGACCGCAAGAAGAATTGAATTTGTAGCAATCAAGGTGATTAATATGGATAATTCAGGGGATGATATAAAACAAACCGTCAAGGAGATACAGTTTTTGAACAGATTGAGAAACCCCAATGTAGTCAAGTACTACGAAAGTTTCACCCATGGAGTGAATGTGTTTATTGTTATGGAATACTGTGGTGGAGGTTCATGTTCTGACTTGATTAAACTTCACAAGAAGATTCCAGAGAATGTTGTCGGGTACATTATAAAGAAGGTTTTGGCAGGGTTGGAATATCTACACGGAGAACACAAGGTCCATCGTGATATCAAATCTGCCAACATTTTGCTCACAGAGGATGGTCAAGTAAAAATTGGAGATTTTGGTGTAAGCACTGATATTACATTGTCAAACAAGAAAAGAAATACTTTTGTTGGAACACCATTTTGGATGGCGCCAGAGGTAATAACTAGAGGTGGATCGAGAGCAGGAGCCAAGACAAACGAGGGATATGACTACAAAGCCGATATATGGTCCACTGGAATCACTGTTATAGAGCTAGTCACTGGTGCGCCACCATTGGCGGAGTATGATCCTATGAAGGTGTTGTTCGATATTCCCAAAAAGAAGCCTCCGCAATTGAAGGGGAATTACGGTGATGATATCAAGGAGTTCGTCAAATATTGCGTGACGTCAGACCCCGACAAAAGACCAAACTGTTCCAAACTATTGCAACATAATTTTATGACTAGATTACAAGGAAATATAAGACAAGAATTGGTTCAGATGATTAGAAAGAAAAGCTCACCTGTTAAGAGGAAGATCTTTTCTAACCCGCGCCACAAGCTAAATTGTGATTTAGTTGAAAATATCGATCATGAGACTGCTGGAAGCGAAAACAGGTGTGACATAGAGTGGGAATTTACTCGAACATTACATATGCAGTTAAACAATATGACACCTAATTCGTCTAAAGTTGAAGAGGTTGAAAGCACACCAGTTGATAATGGTGGCGATGAAAGCTTGTATTCTAATGTGACTTCTTTGTGCGTGGCTAATATGGAGGCTGCTTCCCGTCAGCAACCGGATAAAGCCTCACTATTGTTTTACGGCTTACGTCAAGTTCTTGAAAGGGGCAAAGATGAAGAGACGCGACGTGGGGTTGAACGGGTTATTGATGCAATACACCACTTTGAGTTGAAGCATCCAGGGTTGTGTCATGCGTTGGTTGAAGAAATCGAGCGTGCCATCAAGAGATGAGTGATGGTTATTGCTTGCGCTGGATCTGGTCGTATTGTATATGAAGTACTTTAATAGCTAAATATTGTAATCAAATTGTCACTTAAAAGGAGGGAATTGTTATCGCCTGGAGAAACGCGTAGTGCACAATTTCGTGTTGCTGCATTGAACACAAAAACGACCAAAAAGAAAAAAAGAAAACAAAATTTAAGGCAAATTAAAAACTTTTGATGTTGCGTGTTTTAGGCAACACACAGGAAAAATACTGTCTACAAATTGCCAGACGTGGTATCAGAACATCTTTCGAAAAGTACATTCTTCCAAATAGAGCTACACTTTTAAACAGCTTACTGCTTCATACCTACTGTGACAACAAGGAAGTTTGCGTAAGCTTTTTGAACCCAGACAAACCTGCTCCAAGGACAGAGATCAAGCAAGTAAATAGGTATTTACAATCCTCATTGACAACGATAAGGTGTTCAATAGCATGACGAACCCACCCTCGATAGTATTAGAGCCAGCACCGCCGGAAACGCCGAGAAGTAAATCAGCACAAAGTATACTGCAAGGACTGAACCGATTATCTACCCCTTCGTTTCTATTCGGACTAAGCTTTTCACCGACATTCCATTTCAACACTCCAAGCGGGATTTCACCAAGCAGGCTCTTCAGCCCGGCAAAGGCTTCAGGCAGACCACATGTGGATAAGAACGCCACACAACTAACAAGCAAAGACCACAACAAATTTCTTGCCTCCTTAAATTCAATTTCTCAAGCTACTGATGCTGGACGTCAGAAGAGTTGTTCTAACTTAAAGGTTAACGCAGAGGAGAAAGAAGAAGAAGAAGAAGACGATGGGGAGGAGGAGAAAGAGGAAGACGTATGGTCATCCATGAACATAACACAACAAAGCCAATCAAATCTTACTTCTATCCACGAAAGCGACAAAGACATATGCCTGTTTGATCTCGATGGAAGTAAATTTGACCATTTTCTTACACCTGATAAGGTATTTGATCACAAATCCAACGAATCACTTGCAAAACTGGGTTCTGATGTCTCTTCTCAAATATCTCCGGCAAGAAGTGGATCTTCGATTTCGTCAAGTGATTTATCAACAAAGAGAAGAAAACTAAGTGGTATTACCGACACCCCCAATAACAGAATAGCGAACAAAATAGACTCAACAATGGACTCACCGGTTTCTGTGAGAAGATTAAGTAACGCTAATTCAGCTGCATCCTCATCTGCAAGCGAAGTTTGGAGTCGAGAGTTGGATGATGTGTTGATAAAATCTTTCCACAAGTACCAGAAATTCAAACTGAGCGAATCTTCCAACGAGTTGTCCATTTTAAAGAAGACTTCCCAAAATAAAGTCATTTCCCGAATGATCTTCAATAGAACTGGCGTTTTGAGAACGTCCAAGCAAATATCTTCTCGAATTTTCAGATTAAGTAAAGCTGGAAAGCTAACAAAAGAGACAAAAACGCCACAAACCAATGCTTCAACAAGTGAGCTTGAGGAAATGATACTTACACCGTTGGAAGACTTGGTCAATAGTCAACAACTACCAGAGTCCGCGCATACAGATGCCTTGATCGATCGCGAATTAGATATATTGTTGACTTCGTCTCCGTTGGATGACGTTTTTGACGCAAAAACAAAGTACATGCTTACTCCAAAAGATTTTAAAATGTGCTTTCATGATCACAGACAGTCAGTAATCTTTACTCGTCTTAAGAAACAGATGCGCAGTGACAACAAAGTCCTTGACAAGTTCGGTTCGCTCATTCCTTACACAATAAACCTGCGCAAGATACCGGTGTGGGTATTTCAGCATGACTTGGACTTGCGTATTGCAGATGTTGCCACGTCTACACCACTGTCACAATCCTGCTCCCCAAATTTCGCCAATGTAATGAGTTTATCTCATTCCCAATTCGAGTCCATTATGTCAATTGATGTTTATTGCGATGGAAGGTATACACCGCTGATGCTTACTTGGTACAGCTCTATTGAAGTATACAAGGATGGCAAGAAACTACTCCTGGCAGTTGATATAGTTAGTGGCTATTGCAGTGAGGATTCAAGACTGTACACTTTAAGGGTTCCTTTTGTCAAGACTTTTTTTGCCGGGTATTTTAATTATTTGATCAATGGGTCTGCCATAGGTTCGGGCGAAGATATCAAGATTGTACAGTTTATATACAACAACGCTGATGAATCAAATTCACAATTGGACTTGGAAAAGTCTCATTTTCATGCATGTATGGTTCACGATTTCCATGTGACGGGCACAAGGGGAGAAACAGTTGTCACGATCGTGGACTCAAGAAATGTTCCACCAGTCGCTGAATCCGATGACAATGAAACAGTCATTGCTGAGTCATCTCCCTGCAGACCGTCAAACACTCCTCAACCATCAACAAGGAACAGGGAAACTCCCAGCAAGTTGAAAATCGACATAAACAGGGCAAATGTCAACCACAATATTCCATCGGGGCCAATGACTGCCCCCATTTATAATTCTAGCCTCGTGAATGAACTAAACCGCAACACTTTAGGAGCGCTTGAAAAGCAGAACAGATTCACTCATGCTCAGCTAGTACAACCACCACCTGAACAGCAGCAAACTGATCAGTTTGCTATGTATCGGAAGCAGTTACAATACTCCTTTGACTCGAGCCCTGATATTAGATCTAATATCAATGACACCGTTGATATTGAGAGCATGGGCAATGTGTCGTTGGGGAAGTTTCATTCAAGAGCTCAGCAGGGCAACATGCCTAATGTAGCAATCCATGATAACCAGTACAGGGTGCCTAATAATGGATTACAAGCACAAGCTGTAGCCGCTCGTGCGCATTTGGACAGTCATGTGCGCTCACAAGCTCAACAGTCATACCCACAACAGTTTTATCAGTTTCCTCAACAGCAGATGCCCCAAATGGCGACTCAATTTCTACAAAATGACCCCCTCGGTATCCCAATCCCGTCGGTAGGTAGACCAGCAAATATTCAAATCATGTCTCAACATCAAAATGCGTCGACACCTTCTCAGTTTCATCTTCAACCAGGGCAGCCTCGTTGTAGTCATTTGATCCCAAACACAAATACAAATACTACGAAATACCGCCCTAAACAACATCTGCGTACACACCTAGCGCATTCAAATGGCGATAAAGAAAACAAAACAAAGGAGATTACTTTTGGGCCAATTTTAGGATATGATCCATCGAAAGATGCTAAAATCACACGAGCACAAACTAAGCCCACCAACCAAGCAAAAGGGGTTCATACGTTCCCCTTGAATGAACCAGTCATGTACAAACCGAAAAAATAGAACTATGTCGTTGTAAGATATTGGGGTGTGCTGTTTATAGCACTTGCACTTGAGTGTCGTCAAGTTTTATATAAATTTGCGTTTACAGAGTTTATCAGTTTGTGTTACTTTTCCTCTATCTCCGTACCCGATGTTCAAATACCACCGAATGCGCGGTGTTATTAGACCGTGCAACGAAAAAAATAAACTTTGTTGTAAACAGCTTGGAAGAGCAAGTTTTTGTCAACTAAACACCACTTCAAAGCAAATTCACAGACGCAACAAGTAACCGTATCCAATATGCAACCGGCATCGAAAGGTTTGCCCAACAGTGGTCAAAAACCGCAACCTCGAGACGCTTCCCAGCAAAAACAATTGCTACAATCGACGCAAAGTAGTAAGTCTGTGCCAACGAAGAAGAAGACTAAGCATCAAATTTTGAGACAGTTTAAGTTGATATCTGTGAACTTTAAAGAAGCAGCATTGGATAGTCCTAGCTTTCGAGCTTCCGTAAATCACTTAGACATACAATTGAGCAATATAGAGCAATGGCTAGTGGCCATAAGCTCATCTTTGAAAAAAATGCCGAGATATATTAAGGAAGTGGAAACCTTTTGCAACTCGTTCTTGGAGTATTTATTTCCAAGTTTTTTGCAGGAAGGGTTCATAAATCAGGAATACAGCTCGCAAGCTTTACAAGCAACTCTAGCCGGCTTGAAAGAAATCTGGGGTAGAAGTTTGTTTGCGTTGAACCTAAACCCATCGGTTTTGAACGAATTGATTCAGTTTCGAACAACGAATGTAGTCAAGTATCGGGAATTGCGACAGAGGTTTGAATCGAGCCAACGAAAGTACGACAGGTATACAAGCGTATTTGCGAGTTCATCAAAGTCTAAAGATGCAGTAATGGTTATGGAGGATGCCAAACAATTGTACCAAGTACGAAAGGAGTATTTACACGTATCACTTGATCTTGTTTGTGAATTGCAGAACTTGAGTGGGACTTTGGATAGGCTACTTGTATCGCTAGTAACCAGTCTCTGGGAGAAAAAGTATTCAATATTTGCAATGGGCCAACCCAACAACCCCCTCAGAAAGAATTACGACCAAATTAAAAGGGTACTGAGCTGGAGCAATTCTATTGTGACTGCGTCAGATGAGCTCAGAAATGACATGTTGCTTGCGCGCAAGCAAGTGGAGGACGGGTCGAACGCTCAATTCCAACCTTCTTTGAATGCTAATGATTACAAAGTAGCAACAATAAGCTATAAATCTTTGCGCAATATAAATGAGCCTGCATTTGAGAAGCACGGCTACTTGTTTATGAAAACATGGACAGAGAAAAGCCCAAAAACAATCTGGGTAAGGAGATGGTGTTTCATAAAGAATGGAGTGTTTGGGATGTACTTGTTGAGCCCGGAACAAACATCAGTACAAGAAAGTGACAAGATTGGTATTTTTCTCTGTAATATGAGGTACGCACCAAATGAGGACAGAAGGTTTTGTTTTGATATAAAGACAAGTGACACTACTATAACGTTACAAGCAGAGGCGCTTATTGAGCTAAAGTCATGGTTGAAGGTGTTTGAAAATGAGAAGGACCGCATTTCCGCGTTGCCACCAGAAGATGACCTATTCAGGGTCGCCTCTACTAGATTTCCGCCAATATTTGCCGAATTTGCCTCGACTGAAAATACGACTATGGATCAGGAATTGTCTAGTCTGAAGATTGTTAATTCTACCGGACAGACAATAGTATCCAGTTCAATGATACGCAACGTCGACAGATTCTGCAAGTTGTATGGGGTTAATTTGTATGCGGATATGCCTCGAGTTCATCCCCCGTTTATGACTGACAGAACCAAAGACTCGTTTGTTGCTTATTGTAGCAGCTTCAGGGCTATAGATATTCCCCAAGCTTTGACAGCTAATGTATGGGGATCGGTGAATTGGGGGTTATATTATCTCCAAGGAGCAATTGACCGCACTGATATTTTTCCCCGGGCCCCGATAGTTAGAGATGACACAATGATAGAGTTTCAGGAAAAGTACCACGGTTCAGCGGTCCCTTATCCCCAGTTCTACCCACGAGAGTTGATAACCTTTGACATTCAAATGCGTGCATTATTTGAAACCATAGTTGAAGCAGGAGAATACTGTATTATGTCTTTTTGTTGCATTTGGGCCCCAAATTCAAAACAGGAATTGAGTGGGCGTTGCTTCTTGACCACGCGTCACGTATACTTTTACATGCAGGCTTTGGGGTTTGTTGCATTATACAAATCATATATTGGTGAATCTGTGTCTGTTGAAGTTGTGAGTCAAACGGACTTTGATACTTTAAAAGTTTACTATGTCGACGGCGTCATAAAGTTGAAGTTATTTATGGAAGATGCAAAAATGATAAAAACAAAATATCTTTATCTTATAGATAACATCATCAGTGACAGCCCAAAGAATCTTCAAGGAGTGTTGAACAAATTTAAAGAAATTGAAGCCCAAGTACACCAGGAAGCGCAGGACAAGGAGATAATCCAAGAAATCAACAACTTAACGAAAAACTTGTCAAATAAGGCTTTGATAAATAACAGGTTGTTGATTGGTGGGGATGCAGCTTCGATATCACCTAACAAACGTGGCACAGTGACATCATACCGAGTCGATTTCACCCCTCAATTTTATCTAGTGGGTGAAAAGACTTACCCTTTGCCTCCAAAAGCCGTATTCCATGCTTTGTTGGGCGACGACTCAGATATATTCAACAGGGAAACTGCAACTGTCAAGTTTGGCTTTCAGGTGAAGAAACCGTGGAGATTTGTCAACGAGAATGGTAATAATTTGTACCGTCGAGGGGTAATGCCAGTTTTACTAAATGGTAAGAAAAAACAATTGGAATACAACCAAGTTATTGAAAGAATGGATGACAATACTTATTATGTTTTCACACATAAGCTTTCGCAGTTTAGTTTAGGCCTAGGCTCACCTTTTACTACGGTGGGAAAGTTTGTCGTTGTTGGCACCGCAGGGAAACGAACTAAGATTTACTTCTATTCACAAACTACTTTTGAACACAATTCGCCTTGGAATCCACTAATTAAGCAAATAGTAAGGAGCATTTCTTTAGATCAGGTATCGAAAATCAATTACAAATTAAAGAATGCCGTCAAAGCTATAGGAACACATGGGCAGATTGTCAAAGCCATTTATTTGTACGGAAAATTGAGTCACACGAATGAGCCAGACACGGAGGTACTTCCGCTAAAACCACCTACAGTTCAGCTTGGCATGGATGATTGTTGGAGTTTGCTATTACAGAGACTCTTCTCCTTTTGCAGGGATTTGATTATAGGGTTGATATCCTTAGTGATTCAACTCATAAGGGTTACGTTCACCAATCTCAAGTCAAACCAAATATATCTTGTTGTAATCATTGCCTTAATTGGTTCAAATGTTTTCTTACTAGGCAAAACTACTGTTACATATTGGACTGTACACAGGGGTAATTCTTTAGCCAGTGAATTTGTGAAACAAAACCCATTGCTCTTGCAAAGGGCGGTATATTCCCAAGATGTGATGGATGAATTCAAGAGTAAGATGAGTGCGTTGAACTCGACTGTTTCAAGCAGTAAACCCTTTGAGCTTTTTGAAGCAGAGTCTTTCACTTATAATTACCAAAACCTATCAAAATTATTCAACGATGATGAGACTCTTTCCAATAGTGATACTCAAGAAATTCATAAGAAATTGAGAGCCGAATTTAGGGCAATCGGTGTTGAGCGGTACAACTTGTTGGTTGAATTGAGACTTTTGCAGAATAAAGAAAAAGAAATCACGCAGAGAGAATTCACAAACTGGTTGCTAAATGAGATTGATAGATGCGACTCTATGCAGGAGTATGTCACCTCTCAATTAAAGTCCAGGAAAAAAGGAAAAAGCATACATGGACTCGGTGGCACTTCCCAGCAAAGTCGAGAATTAGTGGAAGGGGTTGACGAAGTTGTCAGTTATTGCAACAACTGTAAACACTTATTGGGACAGTTGCTATAGTAATGAAAGCTTCCATTGTCTTCAATCACTAAGTTAGTGCAAACATGGTGAGTTTGTGCCAGGGTTATTTATGTCGTTTCGATGGAGAAAGTTGGCAGCCTGCAGAAGAGGAAAAGGGCTAATAAGCTATGACACACTTAGACATGTGTTACATGCCCTGCCCCCTTTTTTTAAAAAAAAAGAGTTTACAGAGGAGTGATGTGAAAGCGTAGTTAGTGCTGTATTAAAGAAGGAAAATATATTAGCCTAAATTAATGAAGACCAAATAAAAAAATCAGAAAAATAAAAAAAGAAATAAAATATTTCTCAATTGTCATTTAACTAATTCCGTAATAGATCAGCTTCCCCCACAAAAATATTGAACTCCGAGAATTGATGAGAACAACGCAGAGAGGTTTAATAAAGGCTATAAGCCGCTTTCCTGTCATACTTCATACCTGTTTTGAAAAACAGTTGTCTTTGTCACAGAGCCAGGGTTGTTTCTGTAAATATGACACAGTTGTAATGCATGTTTTACTAAACTCTATTTCCGACATTTTTAGTTGGTACTATTTTTTTCTTTTTGTGATTATCTCTGCACCAAATTTTTTATTATATGTCGCAGTCTGTATATGCAAAGGAAAAACGGTTGCCCACACCAACTTACATTCAGTGCATAGAGGAGAAGTTACTATGAAGTGAGGGGTCTTGCAATCTTATAAATCAAGCCTTCAATCCCCAAAGTCACAATTCCAGTCCCAACACAATAGAATAGGCCATCTTTTTCAAGGCACACAAATTTAGACCCATGCAGGAAGAAAGCAAAGTTTACCCATCAATCGTTGGTGGCAAAGAGATCTTTAATGAGGACGACGAAATCGTTGTCAAAAGTGCGTCCAATGAGATATTGCACCGCTTTGCACATTTTTCGATATCTGATAAGTCTATGAACCAATTGATAATCAATGCGAAGGAAGGCTTTAGTGAATGGTCTTCTATCCCAACTGAAGAAAAGGTCAGGATTTTTAACAAGACCCAAGTGCTCTTGAAAGAAAGAAGATCAGAGTTTGTTGAAAGTCATCTAGAGATTGGCGGTCCTGGGTGGTTTGCTGACTTTAATGTCGATGGAACTATAGATCAACTCCAGGAGTACACGAGTCAATTGTCACGATCACCAGGGGAAATAGTTCAATCCTCACATAATGATTTAGCATTGACTGTCAAGCAACCCATTGGTCCTGTGTTATCGATTTCACCTTGGAATGCTCCAGTTATTTTAGCTGGAAGGTCTATATTGGCGCCACTAGCAGCCGGGTGCTCAGTTATCCACAAGTCAAGTGAGAAATCTCCAAGGTCCAGTTATCTTTTAGTTAAATGTTTTCTTGATGCGGGTGTTCCACCTAAAGCGTTGCAGTTGGTTCACCTCAAGCCCGAAGAGAATCCCGTTTTCATTGATGACGTTTTGAAGTCCGGTGCAATTAAAAAGGTAAACTTTACTGGTTCGACAATGGTGGGAAGGAAAATTGCGGAAAAGTGTGGCAGATACTTGATCCCATATTTGTTAGAATTGGGTGGGAAAAATTTGTCCATTGTTTTATCTGATGCTAACTTGGACAAGGCAGCTGGGGCCATTTTATTTGGCGCTTGGTCCCATAGGGGGCAAATTTGTATGAGCACCGATAAAGTATTTGTGGATGAGGAGATTTACGGCAAATTCAAGTCCAAATTAGTCGAAGTAGCTCAGGAATTCTCAAAGGATAAGGATCACCAATTGAGCCATAGAGATGTGCTCGGTAGAGACAAAGTGATGGATTTGGTTGAAGATGCTATACAAAAGGGAGCGAAATTGGTGTATGGTCTGTTTGATAAGAATAAAATTTTAAAATCAAACGTTATTGAACCAATGGTATTGGAAGATGCGGACTCTCTGATGTCCATATACACACAGGAGACATTTGGGCCCGTTTTCACAATACACAAATTCAAAGATGTGGAAGATGTCATTACCGAGGTCAATAATCATAGTTATGGTTTGAAAGGAGCAGTTTGGTCCACAAACATAATCAAGGCTCTTAACATTGCGAAGAAATTGGAAATCGGTGGTGTCCATATAAACTCGCCAACAATTTCAGATGAAGCAACAGTGCCTCATGGAGGAGTTAAATCCAGTGGAGTTGGAAGATTCAATAGTCACTGGGGTATGGATGAGTTTCTGATCATTAAAGCAATTACAATCAACGAGTAAATGTGTATGTATATATATCTAAACTTTTTATGTAATTATTACGAATAAAATTTCTCACTAAAGCCCTCTCTTTGCCAATTTATCAGCAATGTCCAAGTACAAAGCTATAGGATCAAAAGGAGGATCTTGTGCCCACATAATCTTGTCAAAGAAACTACGTGCTCTGTTTGTCCAGTTTATTAGATCCAAATGATCCACTTGATCAAGAGTGCCAATATAAGTCCCCCACTTTGCACTATCAACACTTACTAAACCATCATTTGCAAAGTGTGCTATGTTTGCAGATTTATTCCCTTTCGAGTTTTGTTTACCTATTTCGTAATTCATTATTTGCCAAGTTATGTTGAACAAATTGTACCAACGGGGATTGAATTTAGCGCCAAATGAAAAGTACTGGACATTAGGATCATCTGGCACATTCTTGTTGAATTTCGCCATCGATGACGTCGTAAGCTCGTATATGGATCTAGGACAAATTTGCTTCAACAACGGATTCTTCCCAACAAGATCAACGAGAAAATCAGCGCATTCGGAGCCATGATGAGGCGTCGAAATGGTGGTAAGCGATACAACTTTATAAATCTTTTCATTCCTGTGTATTTTCGATATGAGATACCGAGAGTCCAACCCACCCATTGAATGGCTAATGAGATTAATTTTAATAGGCTTGCCCTCCTCTTTGAAAGTGTCATGATTCTTGTGTCTATCATCTGTATATATTGTTGACTTTGATTCCCGCTCCCTTAATATCTTGCATTGCTTTGTTATGAATCTGTCCAAGCTGCGGGCCCTACTTTCAATATCGCCAAAGGCAGGAACCTTGGCTATGAATACTGTTGACCCCAATTTCTGCAAAGCTTCTTTTATCCCAGCCCAGTATTCTAATTCAAGTATCAGTTGTTTCGCTTCCTCTGCTTTCTGTTTGTCGTCTTTCATTGCTTCTTTGGCTGAACTCACGGCCTCGCCTATTGCAAGGTCTGGCTTGGCTAGCAATGTCAACTTATCAAACCCAGAGAACCCATGGCACAAAACTATGGGGTATTTTGGTACATCATAATGTTCGCGTAATTTGCGGTAGTTGGCTGTTATGGACTGACTCTGCTTCAATGGACTGAACGCATTGTAAAATTGTCTCAAAGAAGATTTCATAAAGTTTGCTCTGCATGGAGTTGCAGTTGCTAAAGACTACTGGCACAAAAAAAAAGCAAAGTCAAAAGTAGAACATTTTCGATTTGCCAAAAGAGGAAGCGAAGTTGCTGTAGATGCACCACAAACGAGGACAAAACCCAACTTTGACACTCAAAGAGGAAGACTTTAGGATTGTAAAATCACCTACTATTCTACATAAGGCATATAACACTTCCCGGTAAACAGGTGTTCATTAATTCGTTGCAATACCGAAAGAAAAGGTACGTTGCGATTTACGCAGGGTCTCTTTATCTACCACTAACCAATTTCATCATGATGTCTTTAATACTACCAAACATGTTTAATCCTTTCATACCAGCACCCCTGGCAAGTACTAGCGGATAAAAATCGGTTGAAAATATTTTGTGTAGCTTGTCACAAGCACCTAACATGGTATGATTCGCAGGCCAAGCGTTTGCATTGTACTCTTCCAACACCAATGTCGAGCCCAAATCCATGCCTCTGCTAACCCCCTTTTCCAATGCCTCTACCAAAGCAGCTACATCAGACTGTCCCATATTCAAGCCCTGTCCTGCTAATGGATGTATCGTGTGTGCAGCATCTCCAACAAGAGCCACCCTTGGAGCAACATAGGTATCAGCGTGAGACATCTTTAATGGAAACCTAGCCCTAGAGTCAGGAGCGAGCTCGACTACAGGCAAAGGGTAGTTTTCCTCCAAGGTTCTAGGATCATATTTGGACAATCGCCATTCAATATCTTTCAATACTGAGAAATCGTTGGGATCTTCTTCCAAGACGCTGTAGATGTAGTTCAAATCGACCTCTTCCAACACCATTGCGGCAGTAACCAAATGAGGGAAAATAGCTTCATTCACCTTCAACAACAAACTGCTTAGTTCTGGCGTAGAAGACCAAACAATCGTGGCATTGTCTTCTGTCAATGGCAATATGGCCAAAGGACCAGTCGTGAGAAAACGTTGCCATCCAATAGACCTGAAGTCCTCGTAGTGCAACTTTACACATGCAACAACTCCAAACCGGTTGTACTGCCAGCCTCGAGACTCGATATGCGCATACTTGCGCACTGGCGAGTTATAACCGTCAGCACCAATTAACAATCTGGCTTGAATGGATTCTCCATTAGATAACTTTACAATTGGCCAGTCCAAATTCGAGTTTCCAACAGTAATGTCGGGCTGGTTCAAGTCATGGTTGTCCAAGTCTCTAGACTCTTCCACTGGGTTGATAATCTCTGTGACTTTGGTCGAATCCAAAATTTCAATCCCGCTTGCCGGATGTATTGACAACTCCTCCAATTTTCTCAATAACGAACTCTGGATATTAATCACCTCGCACATTGTTGCTAACGTATCTTTTCCAATTGACGTTATGTCAAATTCAATTCGTGCTGAAGCATCTTGCGAGTCATAGGCAACGATACCATCGTATTCCTTCACTCGATCCTGGTGGACGTATTCCCAGTTCCCAATTCGGTGTTGCATAAACTCAATTGATTTGGGGGTTAATGATACTATTTTATTGGTGTAGTTCTCTGGTGGATTGACTTCAAATTCTCGTACTGAATCCAACGATTGCCCCTCCACCAAAGTACATTGTAGATGCTTTAGTTTCGGCGACGTTTTCAAAGCCGATAAAAGGGTCAACCCTGCTGGACCTCCACCTATTATCACCACATCTTGAAACTTTGCGGCCGTTCTCGTAGCTAAGGTCCTTATAAAATTCATAGTACTTGAAACGACTAGAGCTATATTTTCAGGGAAATAGAAAACGAAAAAAAAATTGGTTTTTACATCACACCATATGCTAAATCTGTCGGAAAAGAAAAAATTCAATATCCATATATATATATATATGTACTAAATCTAAACTCAAGTTATGCTTTTGGAAAGTTCTCTAAATTAACCTTTCCAGTTTCAATCCAATAGGGATCCATCAATTTGTCCTTTTCTTCAAACAAATACTTGTATGAAGTCTTAATAGTTCCATCGCTGACCCCAGTTTTATCAGAGATCTTTGATGGAGGCAACTCCACGCCAAAGACCAAAGACGCCATGTAAATAACTGTAGCTGCAATTGTCGTGGGCGACCTACCGGCCAAGACCCCAACATCCTTACTTCTTCTTGCAATATACTCAGCACCATTAGTGACTTGCGAGGTCAATCCAAGATGAGAACAGAATCTTCTGATCAAATCTTCAGCTGACGTTTGAGTCGTTTGGATGTTATCTTGACTATAATAAGCAGCAGACTGTGGATTGGCTTCATTCTTTTCACGAATGATGTTATTCATTATTCGGAAAACCTTGCCTATTTCCTTCTTAGGCACATTGGTCAAGGCCCAAATTTCTTTGAATGTACGAGCAACTTTAGCCTTACGACAACCAATGAAGATCGATGCAGCCATTATTGATTCTTGTGACTTTCCACGTAAACGTTTTTCATCGTAAACCATTTTATAGACTTCTTTCGCTCCATCCTGGACAATTTTTGGCAATTGATAACCCTCGCACATCTGAGAAATCTTGGCATATGCTGCTGCCAAAGCGTTGTCCTTCTTGTCCACCAATGATTTCGACTGGGCTCTGTTCAACTCTCTTCCCGCTTTCGAATTGTCGGGAACGTAAGAAATCATGGTCGACAAATCTTCCGTGTCCAACAACGGGTTACCTGCATCACCTACACGCGATGGGTCATCACCGTTTTGGTCGTCATTGCTAAATGTTCTCCATTCCGACCTAGTATCAACTACTCTATCGCTTAAAACCAAGCCACAACTACCGCACACAATATCTCCTTCGCTAAACCTCTCAATCAAATCAGGAGGGAAAATCTTGCACTCGGGACACGTTAAAGTGACATTCAAGTTAGGTCCAATGTACTCTTGAATGTCTTGGCTGGACTTAGATGTAGCCTGCGCTGTTGCTATCGATGACATAAATGATTAGTATATATTTGTCGAACTTTCTTCTTACAGCTGGTGCTATTTATTGTGAACACGAACTAACGGAACAATAAATGTGTATCTGAGAAAAAAAAAACAAATGTGGTGAAGAACTTAACGCACTGCAAGACCGTACCAATATGGTGATTGACAACGGTGGTAAAAAGCAGAAGGGTATATGATCCTAGAGAGATGGTGATATTAAAAGGTATTAGTAATTATTCTCCCTTTTCTGTTGCCTTTATACAAATGAAAATTTCTATTTCACTTAGGTCGTGCGAGAGACTAAATTCTTTTATCATACATTCACTGGTCATGTCTAATTGCAATTCTGTAGTATTCTAGAAACTAAAATATATTCCTCCACCCCGATTAAAGTTTAATTCATCGAGTTTTGGGTTATTACCTTTTGGGAAATTGAAATATTAGATTATATGGTAGTCAACTGAGAAAGGAAGAAACCTTTGTCAGCCTGGAGAATTGATGCAAAATGTAACAAGCAATAAACAATAAATTAAATTCTATTAAACAATCTATAATCGCCCCTCTAAGTGCTTACTTTTCTCTCTTTTTAAACAACTTACTAGTCAACTTTGGTGATCCAAAATCAGATCCTAATTTATCCAACCTAATACCAGAGCTTGACCTCGAATGCGATGCCGAGCTGCTACCCAAGGGCACTTTTAAGTGACCAGTACTCAAGTTGTGTCTGCTATTAAACATAACTCTATTTGGAGTCGAGGAACCCGACCTCGATCTTGCGTCTTCACTCCCACTACCATCAGAATAGCTTGGTGCAAACCCATCTTGAATATAACTATCGTCATCGTCGTCGTCGTCCATTGCCTCATTATACGATGGGATGTGTGAATAATCAACACTTTTGGCCTTGCCTTTTATCTTTTTCTGGTTGAGTTCAAACGCCTTTTGTATTGGCATGTCAAAGTACCCATTAATGTTGCTAAAAGAGTTATTAGCAGACGCAATTGGGGAGCCAGTTTGTGATCTTAGCTGCTCGAGTGGTGTTTGAGGCAAGTTCATATCAAACACCTTATCAAAAACATGCTTTTCATATAATGGTGGTGCACGCTCTTCGCGATCCAAATCATTGTTACTTTCTTCGTCTGTTTCATATTCTTCTTCATTCTCGTCATCGGAAACAGCTGGGGTAGCTGGTGCAGAGTCCTTTTTGTGGAATAACACGTCCTCCTTCTTATAATCCAACTGGAAAGTTCCATGGTGATTGTCAACTTCATAATGCCTTCCAACAACATGACCGACATTGGCACTCAAATAAACAAATATGGGCAAGTTTGCTCTTAACTCACTCGTATGTCCTGCTTTGTTCTTTAACTGGATGGCGACCCTTAGTCTGTGTTTTACAACAATCATGCTATTCTTCACGTCACAACTCTGGGAAAGTTGCCTTATATGGTCAGGAGTTCGGAAATGTGTCTTTATCACCCACCGATCATACTCCAAATCGGCACTGTTGGGGATCTTGAGTTCCTGTTTGCCACACAATCTCTCGTACTCGGGAGACCTTTGATTATCAACTTGAATGTGATAATGTTCCACGATACAAGCATTCATAGCTTTCAAAGATAAGCCTTTGGCTATTGGAATTATTGTGATATGTAAAGGCACAGTGGATCCAATCGCCACCGCTTTCTTGGGCATACTAACGCAATACTGAAGCTTGCCTACCCAAGTATTTTCAACATCAATAGAATCACACAAATTCATATTCTGTGGATGTAATGTTCGCACTATTCTTATGTGTTTGCTTATTTGATGAGATTTTTCAAATCTTCCTCTCTCGATGGAGCACTGCAACTTGTACAACAATGTACCTATTGGCAAGCCTTCAATAGTCTCACAAACATTGGCAGGTAGGTATACTTTAAATGGTAAGCTGTAATTTCCCTTGGGTAACAAAAACGAATGGCCTGGGTCGTCCTTCAACTCTTTAAAAGGTGTTCCGTCGATTCCTGATTTTGGAATTTGTATAATTTTAGACAGATCCTTCGGAGCAAATGAGTTTAACATAGGCGTAGATTTGGTTCTTCCATACTGAGGTCTAGGCGTGGATGTTCCCGAATTACTGCCTGACCCAGGAACTGAGCTTTTATCGCTGGTGCTTCCCTTTTTCATTTTGTACATAGGCAACGTCCCATCACCATAGTTTCCAAACCCTATCTTTCCTTCGTCGTCAGTGAGTAAATTATTCCAATCAACTTTCAACACACACAAGCGGTCCAAAAACTGCTCGTGGGTTTCTTTTAAAGAATATTCATAGTAAAACTCTCCAACAAGACTCAACTTTATCTTTTTAATATGGATATCTTCTTTCAACGATAACTTGACACTGCCTTCAAATAATAGATTCTCCACGTCATACTCGCTTCCTTTGATTAAATACAAGTTTTTATGTGGCGATCTAAGTTTGATGTCGAATAATGCAAGATGCAAATTTTGAGTGAACATTGTAGTTTACTAGCCTAAGAATGTTTCATCGAACTGGCTTGGATAATAGAAGCCTTCCTTCACTGTGATAGTTTCTCTGGTTTTGTCTAAATTGTCTGATTCAGCTTGTCCAAAAGTGTGAGTTCTTCAGTTGGCTCTAAGTAAAGCGATCTTTGAATGAGGCTGTAGCAATGTAGCATTTAAATTTGGCTTTTGTTTTTTCCTTTTACTTTTGGATTGACAGATCTATGTTTTGTGCAACCAAATGCCGAAGGAGAGAAAAACCATAGAAACACACAAAGACGCTTTTACATTTGCTATGTGTACTGTATAGAAGACAACGTAGCTTTGAGTAAAACAATAACAACATACGATTTCTAAAGGCGGTCTGTATTCGTCTAATCTGCAACGGAAGTCTACTTAGTCAAATCCGTTTGGTCATTTCTTCGGGCGAAGGTGCACCCTTCAAACTAGGGTGCATGTGCTCGCTAAACTACGCATCTTTCCACTTAAATAATATCTATAAGACGTAATATTAAACATGAGAGTAAATGAGTTGATCTGCCTCCATTTATGTTTGGGCCCCGTAACGTGTCGCTAAATGGCAAACATCATAACGGTATGCGTGAACCCAGGACATTGATCAGTAGTCCCACTAATGCTCTTTCCCAGGTATACTTAGCTCTGAGTTGGCCATTCCAACTTTTTATCCAATTCACCCGCTGATTACAACTCTGTATTCTCCAAAAAGAAGTAATTACCTGACAATTTTTGCTCCTTATCCATTTGCGAGTCCAACTTGTTGATTCTTGGCCTGTAGGAATTTGGATCTCTTCTGAAAGTAACGTTCAAGTTTTTCAAGAATTTGTTACAACCCGTCAACAACGATTCTGGGCTTCTTGCAAATGCGTGCCTCGAAGGCTGTCCGTCAAAGACAATGACTCTATCAGCTAAATATGTGGCCATGATGAAATCGTGCTCAACAATGAAGGCAGTCTTTTTGGCGTGCAAGATGAATCTTCTAATGACTTTGGAACAAATAATACGCTGTTCTGAATCTAAATATGCTGAAGGTTCGTCAATCAAATAAAGGTCTGCCGGTATACCTAATGCCAACACTATTGCTACTCTTTGCAACTCACCACCAGACAAAGTCTGCACCTCTTGGTCAATGATATCCTCAATTTTCAATGGCTTAACGACATCAGTTTGAAACTGCGGATGTAAGAAAGACGCCCTAATTTTTTTGAAAAACAATTGTCTCACCGTTCCTGTGAATTTTGGTGCAATCTTTTGTGGTTTCATTGAAACATTTAGTTTTGGAATTTCTTTTCCTCCGTCTGGAGCAATAGCACCTGCTAACAACTTACAGAAGGTAGTTTTACCAGTACCATTTTCTCCCATCATGACCAAGATTTCAGAATTGGTGAAATCTCCTGCCTCTACCTCCAACTTGAAATCACCTTGTGTCTTGGTCATACTTGGGTATTCTAACGAGTTTGTTTTGTCCAAGATTAAATCATCGGCGGCATCTGCTAATCTGAATTGCAAGGATTCGGTTCTGAATCTCATGTTCTCGGTGGGTATATGACCATCTAAAAAGATATTTATACCTTCCCTCACAGATGATGGTAACGTGACAACACCATATACAGATGGTGCTCCATAAAGAATACAGATGAAATCCGACAAGTAATCTAAAACCGATAAATCGTGCTCGACACAAATGATGTATGTCGTGGCAGATAAAAGTGATCTTATAATTTCGGCTGCTCTTAATCTTTGCTTGACATCCAAGTAAGACGATGGTTCGTCAAACATATATACATTAGCATCCTGGACGCAAGTGATACCCAAAGCAAATCTTTGTAGCTCACCACCTGATAAATTTTCAACGTCTCTTTCCAAAACATGCTTCAACTCCAATACTTTCAACACATAATCGAATGCTTCAGGTCTTTCATTCTTTGATTCTAAAATCGCACCAACTGCTTTAACCTTTGATTTGGCTAATGCACGAGGGATGTTGTCCACATATTGCGGCTTGATAATGGCTTTGATGTTATCCTCCAAAATTTTAGTAAAGTAGTTTTGCAATTCGGACCCTCTAAAATTTCTCAATATTTCTTCCCAGTCTGGTGGATCATCATATCTTCCCAAGTTAGGCTTTTGTTTACCGGCCAAAATCTTCAAGGCTGTGGATTTACCGATACCATTAGTACCCACCAAACCCAAGACTTGACCCGGCCTAGGTGTAGGTAACCTATGCAACTTGAATGAATTTGCAGAATACCTATGAGTCGTTTCAGCATCCAAATTGGTTGGCAAGTTGATGATTGTAATTGCGTCAAAAGGACACTTTTTCACACAAATACCACACCCAATACACAACGTTTCGGATATGAATGCAATCTTGGATGCAGGTGTAACTTCGATACACAACTTTCCAGTCTTGACCACAGGACAACTCTTTCTGCACTCTTGTTTACATTTTTTTGGCTTACACCTGTCGGTGGATATAATGGCAATTCTCTCGTTCTTTGAGCTTGTATCTCCCTTGTTGTTCTTGCCTTTACCCTTGGAACTCATTGTAATGGTGTTTGATCCTGTAGGATTTCTTTGCTTATGAAACGTCTCAAACTTTTCAAAGACATTAAAAAAAAAATTTTTTCTCTCTATTGTTTGTTGTTTTATTTTTATTAACTAACGCGAGAGATGTGCTAATTAGTTAAAAGAGACAGAGAGACGCAGCAGACAAAAAAAATAAAATTTTTTTTTCTTTTTCTTTGAGTTCAATGTGTGCGGCGTCATAGTGATTACTAAATGACCAAAATTCATTGGCTTATCTCTAGGTTTGGAAAATTCAAGCAAAACCAAATAGGCATACACTTCTAGACTGAAGTGTAGGATCCATAAATACAGAATTTTTCCCACCTTGTAAAAATCAAATTGTATCTTAGTTATAATACAACTTTTCTGTTTTCTTGAAAATTAGCATTCATTTGACGGGAAATTTCGAAGAAAATAAGCAAATTTTTTGTGTATAAACGTTCTAACGACCAGATACAAATATTATTACACGTAGATAGTGAAGTACCCATTTTAGACTCCAAACTTGCTTCGAGGTGACTGCTGCTCCTTTCTTGATGTAATATTAAGTGTATGCCGGGTAACCTTTACTGTCGTGCGCCACGATACAATTATTTTATTTTTTATTTTTTATTTTCTATTTTTCCTTTGTTGAGAATTTCTTTACTTCTCGCCCTCAACGAAATTTCCCTAATTTTTTTGTCATCTTTATATACTACTTCTTTTCTCAACCTAATTTCATAGTAATCTTGTGTATGTATGTGACTTATTGACTTTGATATCTGTCAAGAGTTCCAAAAGCTGAACTGCTATACCAAGAAGACGACTTTGACTTTGAGTGCCGACTGATTACATGTTCCAAAGGGTTGTTGAAGGTGCTGAGCCGCTTTGTTATTACTTGAAGTGCACTGAGGGATAGTCTAGATTGAGCTGTATTGCTGGTTTGGCTTGAGTTGGAAATATCTTTATTTTTAAACAAGTTGTATTTGCCGACAGCGTTCATTTATCCCTCATTTGCTCATTCGTCACTACAAAGAGGTCTTAGTATACTAACTGCTGCTGCCTAATGTTGTTGCTGAAATTACTGATTTAATGGTTGCAAAATTGATTATCACCGGATTAGAAGGTCCGCTAACATAGCTCCTTTGTTAGGAACTTGCAGAGTATTATCCAAATAGATACACTTTTTAACCGTTGACCGTCACCAATGCTAAAGATGTGTTGGCCCTATTTTGTGATGGCTGCAAAATATGATTCTGACGTCTACAGAATGGCCAACAAGGCTGGCGTTTCAAGTATAGCCCTCATTCACTATAAGCATCACCGAAGCCGTGTTTATATTGTCATAAATTTATCCTGAATGAAGTCATTGTCGATATAACTATTTCTTGCAATTTTCATATTCTCGATGTCGCCCTTTGCCGTAGAACCTAACCGTTCATAAGCTCAAATAGAAAACAACTGTCTCTAATTCTCCCTCCTCATAGTACAACGTGTGCGTTTTTTTTCCCTTTAGAAAATCTTGAAGGATTTATCGTCGTTGGTCAAACGATAATTTTTTCCAAATTTTCCTTTCAAACATATCAACCTCGAAATTCAAACCAACATCTAAGAGAACAACTTAGACGCTTAGATCAGTTTAAGATTAAAGTATCCGACCTTTCCCATCTTCCATTTAATACTTGATTCACCCTCGGGTTGGTTGTGCCTTTCAGTGTGATTTTTTGATCTACCAATTTTATCGAGGTACTTTCTGTATTCGATCACGGTTGCAAATTTTAACAAGGATACTCATCATAAGCAAGCTTTGATTTCAACGGTGGACATAATTCTTTTAGCAGCCCACAAGCTCATCAGTTTAGTTTAAATATTGGTCCAATTCAGGGCACAGTTGTTAGAAAAATAAAAAAACTTCCTAATGGTCAAATTGTTGGTGCCGGAGGAAGCTTCCCTCAACCCGGAACTCTACGGTTTAAGAAGGTCGCATCGAGAAAGGAAAGGGCCTTCGATCATAGAATCAGAATCAGATTCAGATGAAAATCCATCTACAAGAAAGAGAAAGAAAGTGATGGACGAATACGATGACGAACTAGAAGATGAGGACGATGAGGACGAGGACAAATTTGACGATGGAGATGACGATTTTATAGTGGAAAAGAAGAAAAGATCTTCTGGACCATCCTCGAGAAGGAAAAGCAAAAAGAAGAAGACTACCTCGCAATCTCCGAAAAGCCCACAAGAATTGAGGTTCTCCACAAGGAATAACAAACAAGTCAATTACACGATCGACGAGGACAATGACGAGGATTTGTTGGAGAGCGACTTTGACGAGGACGATGAAGAAAATGATTATTATTATTACCAACAAGCTATCGCCCCTGAGGATGAGCGAGGCATTGATCTTGTTATGGATCACAAGTTGAACACAGACAATCCGGAATTAACCAACGAACCCAAGTTGGATTACTTGTTTAAAATCAAATGGACTGATGCATCACATTTGCATAACACTTGGGAATCTTACAACGACTTAAAGGAGTTTAAAGGGTTCAGAAAAGTCGACAACTACATCAAACAGTTTATAATATACGACAACGAGGTGAGAAATGACCCTTTAACCACAAAGGAGGATATCGAAGCAATGGATATTGAAAGAGAACGAAGAAGAGATGAGCAGGAGGAGTATGTGCATGTTGAAAGGATCGTAGATAGTCAAAGAGTTCAAAATGATGGCGAGAGTAGGTTAGAATACTTTGTCAAGTGGAGAAGATTGTATTACGATGAGTGTTCGTGGGAAGATGCAGAAGAGATTGCAACGATTGCTCCGGAACAAGTTAGTAAATATCAACAACGATTGAACTCGAAAATACTTCCCAATTTCTCGGCAAACTACCCGTTGTCGCAAAGGCCAAGGTTTGAAAAGTTGGTGAAACAGCCAGTCTTTATTAAAAATGGGGAACTTCGTGACTTTCAGTTGACTGGGCTCAATTGGATGGCGTTCCTTTGGTCAAGAAATGAGAATGGAATTTTGGCAGACGAGATGGGGTTGGGTAAGACGGTTCAGACCGTAGCATTCTTATCTTGGTTAATTTATGCGAGACGACAAAATGGGCCCCATTTAGTTGTTGTGCCATTGTCAACTATACCCGCTTGGCAAGAGACTTTTGAACAGTGGTCTCCAGATATTAATTGTATCTATTACTTGGGAAATGGTGAAGCGAGAAAGACAATTAGGGATTATGAATGGTATACGACAAATGGAAAACCCAAATTCAACGTTTTGTTAACAACATACGAATATATTTTGAAAGATCGAGGAGAATTGGGGTCGATTAAGTGGCAATTTTTGGCAGTCGATGAGGCACATAGGTTGAAAAATGCCGATTCCTCGTTGTATGAATCTTTGAAAAGTTTTAGATGCGCCAATAGGCTTTTGATTACCGGTACTCCGCTTCAAAATAATTTGAAAGAACTTGCAGCGTTGTGTAATTTCTTGATGCCGGGAAAATTTGATATTGAGCAAGAGATTGATTTTGAAACCCCCGACGAAGAGCAAGAACTGTACATCAAGGATTTGCAACAGAAAATCAAGCCATTTATATTAAGGCGATTGAAGAAGGATGTAGAGACTTCCTTGCCTTCGAAAACCGAGAGAATTTTACGTGTTGAATTATCCGATATTCAAACTGATTATTATAAAAACATTATCACCAAAAATTACGCAGCTTTGAATGCAGGTAACAAAGGCTCGCAGATTTCTTTATTGAATGTCATGAGTGAATTGAAGAAAGCTTCCAATCATCCTTACTTATTCGATGGAGCTGAAGACCGGGTGCTTGCTCGCGCAGGATCTGCTACCAGAGAGAATATTTTGAAAGGTATGATTATGTCTTCGGGAAAGATGGTTTTATTTGAGCAGTTGTTGACAAGATTGAAAAAGGAAGGCCATCGAGTGCTTATTTTTTCTCAGATGGTGAGAATGTTGGACATTCTTGGTGATTACATGTCAATCAAAGGTTATCAATTCCAGAGATTGGATGGAGGTATTCCATCAGCTCAGAGAAGAATTTCAATTGACCATTTCAATGCTCCTGACTCAAAGGACTTTGCTTTCTTACTATCGACGAGAGCTGGTGGGCTAGGCATCAACTTGATGACGGCAGATACTGTGATTATATTCGACTCCGACTGGAACCCCCAAGCTGATTTACAAGCCATGGCCAGAGCCCATAGAATCGGGCAAAAAAACCATGTCCTGGTTTACCGTTTTGTTAGTAAGGATACGGTTGAAGAACAAATATTGGAAAGGGCCAGGAAGAAGATGATTTTAGAGTATGCCATCATTTCCTTAGGTATTACTGACCCCAATGCAAAGAAAAGTAGCAAGACTGAGCCTTCATCAAATGAGCTTTCACAGATTTTGAAGTTTGGTGCAAGTACGATGTTCAAAGACAATGACAACCAACAAAAACTTGAGAATTTGAATTTAGATGAAGTTTTGAATCACGCCGAAGATCATGTGACGACACCAGAATTAGGCGAGTCCAACTTGGGTTCAGAAGAATTCTTGAAACAATTTGAGGTGACTGATTTCAAGGCCGACATTGAATGGGATGACATCATCCCCCAAGATGAGCTCACGAAGTTGAAAGATGAAGAGAAGAAAAAGGCTGATGAAGAGTACTTACAACAGCAAATTGCCATGTATTCCAAACGGAAGGCTGCAGTACGGAAATTTGAAAATGGTTCTGTTGTGCCTAGTGACGTGGAAGACAGTGCAGACGAGCTGAAGTCTTCTAGAAGAAGAGTAGCAACAGACAATCAGTTATCAGAAAAGGAGATACGTGGAATCTATCGGTCGATATTGAGATGGGGAGACCTAACAGGAAAATGGGATCAATTGGTTGAAGAAGGAAGCATTAGTAACAAGAACCCAGTTTACATCAAACATGCATATAATGAGATTGTGAATACAGCAAAGAAGTTAGTAAAGGAAGAAGAGGCAAGAAGAGCACATGCACTTGCTGAGTTGGAGAAAAAAGCACAACAACAAAAAGAAGATCCAAAAAGTGTGGATCAAAATCAAACGGCCTTGTGGGTAGCCAAGAAAAAGGAGAAAAAAGCAGTACTTTTTGAATACCAAGGTGTCAAGAATATAAATGCCGAACTTGTCTTGAATAGGCCGGTCGACATGAAAGCTCTTGAAAAAATAATCCCTGATGGCAATCCGTTGGGTCTTCATTTGCCTAGGCATCCTAAAGCGGTGCAATCGTGGTCTTGCGAATGGACCGCGAGGGATGATGCGATGTTGTTGGCTGGGGTGCACAAGTTTGGATATGGATCTTGGATTCAAATCCGAGACGATCCTTTATTAGGACTCCAAAATAAGTTGTATTTGGAAACCCCATCAAGTGGCAAAGCCCCTTCAACTGGCGAGAACCCGAAAAAGGTTCCTGGTTCAGTTCATCTAGGTAGGCGGGTTGACTATCTTTTCACACTTTTACGCGATGATGCTGACTCAGCAGCCAACCCTGATCCAAGAAGGAAAACTAAACGAGCCGATAATAGCTCTAATAAACCCAAGAGGAATGTCAAGTCTGAAACACCAGATACCTTGCGTCCAGCTAAAGTTAAGAAACAGCATTCTCACAATTTGCAAAATGGTTCTCATCCGATAGTAAGGAAGCCATCTGGACATTCTGTGGTGAAGCACGAGAAGGGTGCTATTTCTAAACCATCGCCTAGCGCCCACAACAAGGAAGATACAGAGTATGAAAGTATGGATGAAGTAATGCAAAAAACGTGCAAAAGTGCGCTATATCCTGTTTTCAAGTCCCTCCATACGTTACAAAAGGGAAATAAAGGGCTAGATAAACACGAATGGGCCAAGGTACTACGTGACGAATTAATGAATGTCGGAAACCATATTGAGTCCGAGGCAAAGAAAACTAAATCTGGTGTCGATCCAGCTGCATTCAGAAAAAATCTTTGGTCCTATGCAGGAAGATACTGGCCGAGTAAAGTGCCCAGTGATAAGATTAGTGAAATGTATAAGAGACTAAAGTTGAAGACAAAAGAGTAGGGAGAGGCTAATGTGGAGTTAGTCAATAGTATTTGTTTAACTGTTATATAGAAAAGAAAGTAAAATGTTAGTATAATTATTTAAACACTGTTGTCTGACACTGTTATGCCTGTTGAGCTGAAGGTAGTGCAAAATGGTACAGATTCGTCTGAGGTTTCGGAATCAGAGAAAAAAAAAAATTTTTTTTCTTTTCTTCTTTCACAAAGTTGAAACACATCGCTCTTCCACCTGTCTTTCTTTGTACAATCTCGCAGACTGTTTTAAAGTAAAAGCGTAGCTTAATCATTCAGTTCTGATCTCATTGAAACTAGAACTTTCTCTTTACTATAAATAAATCACAACTAGAGATTCATCACATAATAAAGAAAACTGAGAACTTTTCCTTTTCCTTTTCTTTTTTTTTTTTCTTTTTATATTTTCCTTCACCTACTTATTTTATACACGAAAGGTTTTATTTTTTTTATTAGAGGATTCTTTTTTTGAAAGAAGGGAGAAAAAAAAAAAAAGAAAAAAAATTTGAAAAATTTGTTTTAAAAAAAGACCTATACACAATTCTTACAAACTCTTCAGTTTAAAATTCATACATCAATAATGTCAGCTGCTGAGACTAACCAACTTCAAGAGTCCTTGGAGAAATTGAACATCGACTCATCATCATCATCCACTGCTCCTGCCGAGAACAAACAAGCGGTTGAATCCGATGTTGCAGCTGAAGGTGCTCATGCTGAACCTTCTTCTGAAGAACAAGGTGAATTAGGTGGTGTTGCAGAAAACTCAGCTTCATTATATGTTGGTGAATTAAACCCATCAGTTAACGAAGCCACCCTTTTTGAGATTTTTTCTCCTATTGGCCAAGTTTCCTCTATTAGAGTTTGTCGTGATGCTGTTTCCAAAAAATCTTTAGGTTATGCTTACGTTAACTACCACAAATTCGAAGATGGTGAAAAAGCTATTGATGAATTGAACTATAGTCTTGTTGAAGGTAGACCATGCCGTATTATGTGGTCTCAAAGAGACCCATCTGCCAGAAGGTCTGGGGATGGAAACATCTTTATCAAGAATTTGCATCCAGCAATTGACAACAAGGCCTTGCACGATACTTTCTCGGCTTTCGGTAGAATTTTATCATGTAAGGTTGCCACTGATGATTTGGGACAATCTAAATGTTTTGGATTTGTTCATTACGAGACTGCTGAAGCTGCTGAAGCTGCCATCGAAAACGTCAATGGTATGTTGTTGAATGATCGTGAAGTATACGTTGGTAAGCATGTGTCAAAGAAGGACCGTGAATCCAAATTTGAAGAAATGAAGGCAAACTACACCAACATTTACGTAAAGAACATTGATTTGGGCTTTTCTGAAAAAGAGTTTGAAGACTTGTTTGCTCCATATGGTAAGATTACTTCCATTTACTTGGAAAAGGATCAAGACGGAAAGTCAAAAGGATTTGGTTTCGTCAACTATGAAGACCACAAGTCGGCTACCGAAGCTGTTGAAGCTTTAAATGATAAGGAAATCAACGGTCAAAAGATCTACGTTGGTAGGGCTCAAAAGAAGAGAGAAAGAACTGAAGAATTAAAGAAGCAATATGAAGCAATCAGATTGGAAAAATTATCCAAATACCAAGGTGTCAATTTGTTTATTAAGAACTTGGATGACCAGATCGATTCAGAGAAGTTGGAAGAAGAGTTCAAACCATTTGGAACTATCACCTCAGCTAAAGTTATGGTTGATGACGCTGGTAAATCTAAAGGATTTGGTTTTGTTTGTTTCAGTACCCCAGAAGAAGCAACTAAGGCAATCACTGAGATGAACCAAAGAATGATCAATGGTAAGCCATTGTACGTTGCATTGGCTCAACGTAAGGATGTCAGACGTTCGCAGTTGGAACAACAAATCCAAGCAAGAAACCAAATGAGAATGCAAAATGCTGCAGCTGCAGGTGGATTCCCAGGCCAATTCATGCCTCCAATGTACTATGGTCAACAAGGATTTTTCCCACCAGGTGGAAGAGGAAACGCTCCTTTCCCAGGTCCAAACCCCCAAATGATGATGAGAAGAGGAAACCAACCTTTCCCTGAACAATGGCCAAGACCAGGTCCAAATGGACAACCCGTTCCAGTCTATGGTATGCCACCTCAATTCCAAGATCAAAGACCTCAACAACAGCAACAGCAACAACAACAACAGCCAAGAGGTTATTACCCTGCTCAAGCTGGTGTTAAGGTTCCAGCTAAAGATTTAGCTGCCATTATCTCTAGTGTCCCACCAGAACAACAAAAGAGAATTTTGGGTGAAGAGTTGTACCCAAGAATTGTCTCCACTGGAAAGGCTCAGGAACCTGAGGCTGCTGGTAAGATTACTGGTATGATGTTGGGATTGGAAAACCAAGAGATTTTGGATTTGTTAGACGACGATGAGTTATTCAACAACCACTTCGAGGATGCTTTAACCGCATACGAAGAGTACAAAAAATCTGAAGCCGGTGCCGCTGCTGAAGAAGAGGCTTGAATGTGACGAAGAACTTTAATGAATAAGGCAATAGGCATTAGAAAAAGGGAACAAGGCAGAGCTTTCTTGTTTTCCCGTTTGTGTTGGTCTATCTTATTTCTGTTTTTTCCAAGCCCTATTCGTGTTAATAATTGAAGCTGAACTTTGTTGAAACTTACATGGACGTTGGACTACTTCCAATCCCATTTTACGTGTATACATATGTTTACTTTGTTGATAATTGTGTGAAAAGAAAAAAATTGGAAACTTTTTGTTAAACCTGTTGTGGGAGAATCTACGTTGTAGTACGAGAATGTTGTTTAGTTTACGTAGATTAGCATCTTCCTCTACTGTTGTTAGTGATCAGCTAGCTTTGTTACAAAGGCCTTCTCACCTCTAGCAAATTTTGTGTGTCTAATTCGATTGCTGCTTTAATGGACACAACAACACGGTGGGACAAAACGAGAATGAGAACAAAATTAAATAAATTACAACCGCAATCTATGGCAAATGAACTTTTTCTTATTTGTTGAATTCCGTGATATTTATAAATTTATCACAGACTTCAACCGACACCTCCGTTACATATCGTTATAAAAATTGGTACTATAGCACATCACTTTCAGTAACCTTTACTACCGATCTAGACATAGAAAATTACCCTGAAATGCCTGAGTTGAATCAATTGAAAGTATCTCCGGCCATCACTCGTACGGTATCTCCGAAAGATTTTGCAAATAATGACAAGGTAAAATTATCAGGCCGTATTCTAAATGTGCTGACAACTTTGCCTACTCAAATTGTCAGCAACTATGACTCCAAAGCCAAACGTTATTACTGGGACGTTGACATTGTACATGGTAGTCTGGCTTTGTTTTCATCGCAGAGCTTTTTACAACAGCACACGGATTGGGAAACCCATGTTATTGCTTGGACAGGAGAGTTGAAGAACAAAGTGAAGAACACAGTAAATGTTACTGCTGATAACTTGGAAGACGACCCGTTGTACCTCGACGACGAGGACAAGGAGGAGATCGAACAAAAGCTTCAAAAGGCCATAGGGTCGCAGAACATCCATCCCATCTGGTTGTTAAGACGTGATCAAGAAAGATGGAGAAAATATGCTGAAAATGTAATTTGGCCAGTGTTTCACTATTTCCAGGGAACTCCGTCTGATGGGAAAGACGAAATTCAAGAATGGCATGATTATGTAAAATTCAACGAGGCCTATGCCAACAAGATCAAGCAGATTTACAAACCAGGTGATGTCATTTGGATTCATGATTACTATTTGTTGTTGTTGCCGCAGTTATTGCGTATGGAATTTCCAGACGCTTACATCGGCCATTTCTTACATGTACCGTTCCCTTCATCTGAGTATTTTAGATGCCTCTCAAAGAGAAGTCAATTACTCGATGGTTTACTTGGCGCTGATAAAATTGGCTTCCAATCTGAATCGTTCCAAAGACATTTTGTATCCTGTTGTGCAAGAGTCTTGGGATGCGAGGTGACCAAAAATCAAATATTTGCTTATGGAACAACAATTTCGGTGGAGACATTACCGATAGGTATTGATACTTTGAAAATTGAACAGGATGCATTTTCTGAGTCTAGCAGCATCAATGAAAAAGTTGAAGCTATCCGGAATTTGTACAAAGGAAAGAAAATCATTGTTGGAAGAGACCGGTTGGATAAGGTTAGAGGCGTGGTGCAAAAACTTGAGGCTTTCCTGATGTTTTTAGAAATGTACCCCGAGTGGAGAGAAAAGGTTGTTTTAATCCAGGTTTCAACCCCAGGGTATAGTCACTCTGCCAATGTCGAACAAAAGGCAACAGAGTTGATAAATCAAATCAATTCGAGGTACGGGACTTTGAACCATACGCCGGTGTTGCACTACCAAATGAGAGTTCCCAAAGACGAGTACTTGGCTTTATTGCGTGTTGCAGATTTGTGTTTGATTACTTCTGTTAGAGATGGTATGAATACAACCGCTTTTGAATTTGTGATTTGTCAAAAGTACAATAATTCACCATTGATTTTGTCGGAATTCACAGGTACTGCGTCGGTATTAAACTCGGCCATTTTGGTTAACCCATGGGATTCTGTTGGTGTGTCAAAGACAATTAATGATGCGTTATCTTTCAGTAACGAAGAAAAGCAAGCTTTGGAGAGCACTCTTTACAAGAAGGTAGCTTCAAACACAATTCAAAACTGGACTTCGAAGTTTATCCGTGATATAATTGGCCATTCAGTGGTCACTCACTCAAATCATTACACTCCAGCTTTAAATCGACCACTTTTGTTGAGGAATTACAACCACTCCAAAAGAAGATTGTTTTTGTTTGATTACGATGGAACCTTGACTCCAATAGTGAAGGACCCTGCAGCTGCTATCCCCTCAGACAAATTGAACCGGGTGTTGGATATTTTGGCCTCGGACCCACATAATCAAATATGGATAATATCTGGAAGAGACCAAGCTTTTTTGGAAAAATGGATGGGCAAAAAGCACGTCGGATTGTCTGCTGAACACGGCTGCTTTATTAAAGATTTGGGATCGAAAACTTGGGTCAATTTAGCCGAAGCTTATGATATGTCGTGGCAACCCAAGGTGGAAAACGTATTCAAAAAGTATACAAAGCAAACACCTGGATCTAACATCGAAATTAAAAAGGTTGCATTGACTTGGCATTACAGAGGAGCCGACCCTGAATTAGGAGCTTACCAGGCTCAACAGTGCCTCCAAGAACTAAATGAAACTATAGCAAGTGAATATGATGTTGAGGTGATGTCAGGTAAGGCAAATATCGAGGTAAGGCCCAAGTTTTTAAACAAGGGCGAAATTGTCAAAAGGCTTGTCACCCATCCACATGGTAAGAAGCAATCGCTTGAAGAAGAATACAATGGCGATGTACCCCACGAAGAATTACCTGACTTTGTCTTGTGTTTAGGTGATGACTTGACTGATGAAGACATGTTCAAGTCATTGCACAAGATTGAGAACCAGTGGAAGTTGGACAATGCTCCAAAAAATGAGTTTGGAACTTATGGAGTCTTCCCGGTTGCTGTGGGACCAGCTTCGAAAAAGACAGTAGCTACCGCACACTTGACAGAACCAGCTCAAGTTCTCGAAACGTTGGGTTTGTTGGCGGGAACTGTATCCTTATTTGAGAGTGCTGGTTCTGTAGACTTGGACGACAGAGGGCATGTTGCCAATAGTGCTAGTTCAGTCAAGTCGAAAGATGCTATACTTCAAGCATCATTAAGGAGGAAGAGGAGCACTGAACTAAAAGGAGTATCTGCTGCCAAGTAGGCACCAACGGTGTAGATTTTTAGTTTTCATTTTCTTAAATAAAGAAAAAGACAATAGAATTGAGAAATCTTCTGCCACTCTGTTCCTTTGTAGCCATTGCAATGGTTGGATCTCGGCTACAAGTGTGACGTTGACGAAAAAAAAAAAAAAAAGCACACCGTTATTGCTCACGTAGCATAACACAGGTGTCTATAACTAATTCGATCACATCAGCCACCTATGTCTAGTGGAACCCCGTCAACAGGTCAGGTCCAAATTCAGACTTCGGCTCAAAAGTCTCCTGCTGCTATCAACGTGGCAAACTACTTGTTCCAGAATCCAATTTTGAAACAGAGGGTCGGTTTATTCGACAACAAAAATGATCTTGAGTTTTTCAGGTACAAGCGGTTTGAAAGGGCGCTTTTGAGCGATGATTACAAGACTAAGCAGCTGAATGCAAGGAATGGATTGCCACCTATTTCCAGTGTGGAGGATGTGCAAAAGGTGTTTGTGTTGTTGATTCAAAATCAAATGATAATACCGGTCAAGAAGTTACACTACGCCGAAGTCAAAGCAGTTAAAGGATGGAAACCAAGTCGTGAAAAGCCTACATTAAAGAGAGCAGAAAAGGCTGTGGTTGATCCTAACTTTTATTACGGATGGTTGTACACCAAACCTAACCCATACATTTTATTGTACAGTATATTAGCGGTTGCTGGTATTTTCACCGTCATCTTGTTCCCATTATGGCCTAATTTCATGAGGAGAGGAGTGTGGTATTTATCAATGGCTGCTTTGGGTTTGATTGGGTTGTTATTTGCCACTGCAATTGTGAGGTTTATCATATACGTGATTTCACTCGTAGCGCTCCCTAAGCCATTTTGGTTGTTCCCCAACTTGTTTGAGGACTGCGGTTTTTTTGAAAGTTTTGTGCCACTATATGGATGGGAAGAGCCTAAGAAGAAGAAGTCAAAGAAGTCAAAAAAGTCAAAAAAGTCTGCATTGGGTGACAATGCCGAGGGTGGCGAAAAAGTGGAACCTATTTTGACGAGTGGGGAGAAAAAAGCTAGTGGTGTTGAGGTGACAGAAAATGGGTCGAGTGGAGCTAAAAAGAACAAGAGAAAGGTTACATTGGAGAATGTGGCTGATGAGTAAGTATTTCCTTTGCCTTTGAATATAGATTGAGGAATTGATGAAAAAAAAAAAAGGATCAAAGCATTTTGTAGAGATATGGCTGCATTTACAAGTAGGTGGGCGTCTTATTTGCTTTTAGAATTGTCATATTCAAGTTGGTGTGACCTGAAGTACCTCTATCTACATTTTCCTCTGTTGCGAACTCCGAGGATGTAAAAGACGCGCTTAAAGAAAATTTGGAGCTAACCCGATAAACAGAATTCGAGCAACAAACAACTGCCTAGTCACTTGATGGACTACAACTACTGATTAATTACTAAGATGACCAAAATAAATAATATTTCATTCAACCCCGATTTCTCTTTGGTATCTATTGCCACCAGCACCGCAAACAAGATATTCAACTGTGAACCTTTTGGGGAGTTGTATTCATCTTCCGAAACCCAGCTTCGAAGGACATTGTCAAATTCAATAGATAGCTCTGATACTGCGTCAGACACTAATGCAGCAGCTGCTGCTGCTGGTTCTATCAGTGGAAATTGTCCCACGAAACTATTGAAGATGCTATTCTCTACAAGCTTGACTATCATTGTGCCCGAAGCTAACTATAACCGATATTTAAAGGTTTTCAATCTCAAGCAGAATCTAAAGATTGTCGATTTGGAATTTGAATCTAGTATAGTTGATGTGAAGTTGAACAGAAAGAGACTAATAGTTGCTTTGCAAAACGGGGAGCTCCATATCTATGATTTGAGTTGTATTAAGCTACTTTCGGTCTTGAGACTAAGTCCTAATGTTGACACCTTTGTAGGGGATTTGAGCATTGATGATAAATCGTGGTTGTGCATACCTGTGATTTCAATAATAGATGAGGACCTATTTGTCAAGCCACGAAGAGATAGTAATGTGTCTACTAGTTCAAAAGATTTGAATAACACTCAACAACCCCATCAGCACACCTGTCTTGGCGAGTACATTGAACTCACTCCAAAAGTAAAGCAAACCAATAGCGCTCTTACCAATTCAGATGTGACACTTCAAGATATACAAGATGACGGTGAAGGCTGGCTTATGATTTACGACGCAATGAATTTAGCACCTGTTTTAATCTTCAAAGCACATGACTCGGCAATTGGCCAGATTTCAATATCGCACAGGGGTAATAAAATTGCAACTGCATCAGTTAAAGGCACTATAGTGAGAGTATTTGAGCTTTCCATTGCCGAAGGGGGAAAAGTGTCCTTAAATCTGGTAAAAAATCTACGTCGTGGACATAATGTGGCCAAAATAAATTCGCTCTGTTTTAACAATAATGAGACAATCTTGGGCTGTGGATCGGAATCAAATACCATTCATTTCTTTAAACTCGTTCAAGAAGAGTCCTCTAACGAAACGGGAATCAATAATGATACATACGAAACTGATCATGGAAACAGTTTTAGTGATTATGACGATCAAAGCGACGGGGAAAACCATCGATCTTCGTCTGAGGATCTCAATGAAAGTCTCGCCAACTTGCTTGTTTCAAAGGCGCTAAATTCTTCATCTAATGAGCAAGAGGAACTGGGCAACAAGGCTAGAAAGTCGTGGTTTAGTAAAACTAAAAGCAAATTTATCCATAACCCATACACAACTTCATTTTTAAACAAGATTCCATACAGAGACTATCTTGATAATCTTATTTGGGAACCACCAAGACGGTCGTTTGCTTACATCAAATTGCCAGAACATGCTTGGTCGTCCAACAACAATAGCAATCATAATAAAGTAGCCATTGGATTCAATGGGGGTCTAATCCTAATAGGGTCTTATCAAACGGGGAAATTTTATCATTACCAATTACCGAAACAATATACGGGAAATTTTTCAGCCGTGAAGGCTAATGGAGAGGAAAAGGATAAGCGAGAGGAATGTCTCCTTGTAAGTCAATACGATTTGTTGCAGTCCTCCTAGTCTAGATAAAGCTATCAAGCCCATTCAGAGCTTTTCAGGGTGGCTGATGAGATTGATTTAGCAAATGTATCAAATGTATTACAATCACAATTTTAATTTTTTCTCTTCGATTAGCCTATAGTCCATCTTCATGCCAATAAAATGCCATATTCGTTATGAAGCCATGTAAAGGAAATCGTCACATCCTCTGATGACATGTTGCTACCAATTGATTTTTTTCTATTTCCACGGCTTCTTCTCCCTCTCTCCCCACTCTCCACACTTTTTGACAGAAACCTCTTTGCTTTGGCGCGTAAACTCTTTTCTTTTTTTCTTTTTTCTCCGTCTTTTTTTACTTACAACCCTCCCTCCTCTCTCTTCCTTCAACCCGCCTAAAAATCTATTGGCTATTATATATATATTGTGATACTTCGTTAAATAATACATTTTCCAACAGTTGTGTATGTTTAAAATTTTCCTATCGGTCAGGTACACACATAGATTGCAAACAGCTAGATCCCTAAGAAACGTTTCATCACTTAAGCAAACCAGAATGTCTCATTTATCAGCAAACCCCACTTCAGGCTCAGCACTAGACGAGGCAGTTGTTTTGCACTCGACAAAGAATCATGCAAGAATTATCACTTTAAACAGAGTCAAGAAGTTGAACTCATTGAACACGGAGATGGTCAACTTGATCACCCCAGATTTATTAAAGTACGCCAAGGAACCACAGAATAACGTCATCATTTTAACCACAAATTCGCCAAAGGCATTATGTGCTGGTGGTGACGTGGCTGAATGTGCCAACCAAATAGTCAAGGGAAACCCCGGATATGGTGCTGACTTCTTTGACAAGGAATACAATCTTGATTATATTATCTCGACTTTGCCAAAGCCATATATTTCCTTAATGGATGGAATCACATTTGGAGGTGGAGTTGGATTATCTGTTCACGCTCCATTCCGTGTTGCGACTGAAAAGACGAAATTGGCTATGCCAGAAATGGATATCGGCTTCTTTCCTGATGTAGGAACAACATTCTTTTTGCCAAGGTTGGACGATAAAATTGGATACTACACTGCCTTGACTGGTACAATCTTGTCTGGTTTGGATGCATATTTTGCTGGATTTGCTACCCATTACGTCAAGTCGGAAAAGATCCCCCAATTGGTCAACAGATTGGCAAACTTGCAACCTCCAGAAATTGATAACATTTCAAAAGTCTCATTGGTGTCTGGAAACACTCAATACTTCCAACAAGTAAATGGCATTTTGAATGAATTTAGCGAAAAGAGGTTGCCATCTGATTACAAGTTCTTATTAACTGAGGATGAGCTTGCATTGAACAACAAAGCATTTTCGCAAAAGAATATCGACGATGTGTTGGCCTATTTCAAAGAGCAAAGTGAGTCGTCACCATTTGCCAAAAAAACCTTGGAAAAGTTGTTACAAAAGCCCAGAACATCCTTGGCTATTGGATTTGAGTTGATGAATCGTGGTTTGCAAAACTCAATCAAAGAACAGTTTACATTGGAGATGGTTTCGGCTACTAATATCCAGAAATTACCACCAAAGGAAAACGACTTTGCAAAAGGCGTTATTCATAAATTGGTTGATAAAATCAAGGACCCATTCTTCCCTAAATGGAACGACCCCAGCATTGTGACCCTGAAATATGTTTCTGACATCCTCACACAAACAGATGAGACGCTCAAGTTGTTACCTAACCCACCTTTGATCAAAGAATGGTTTGGCTTGGATTACAAAGATTATCCTTTAAATTTTGGCTTGCCTAGAAATAAAGAAGTTGCAGCTTATATTGCTGGCACTGATGGCTCAAACAGAACCTATTTGCCTACCCCTGCTGAGGTCTTTAAGTACTTCAAATCCACTACTGGCGACAAATTGGGTGTTGACTTGAAGATTAAACAAATCTTGGATTTGCATGGCGAAACCGCAAAATACGACAATAAGTACGTAACTTGGAAGAATTGAAACTTTTGGCTCTTATGATACATTTTATAAAGTAACTACTATTATATAAGATACAATTTTTTTATTACGAATTCTACTTGAACTTTTCAAGTATCAAATCCTCTCCCAACTCTTCGTAATCAGCCTTGGAAATAAACCAATTGTCCAAAGCAATCTTTGCACTGCTTGAGTTCTCTTCGTTCTCGTTCAACATGCCTGCCAAATTGCAAGCACCCAACCAACTTCCAAATTGTCTATCCCAAATATCGGCATTGTCGTTGTTTTGCGTGGGTCTAATTTGTTGAACATGGTATGAAAAGGGGTAATTGGGGAAACACTTTTGCATCAATGCCTTGAGGTCATTTATTATATGGTCGGGCAACTCACTTGCCAACGATGTACCACCAGTTATTAAAACATTGGATAACAATTGTTTGAAGATCTCCATAAATCTAGCGAACCGATTTTGCGATTGCGCACTAGGATCGTCATTGCTTGGTAATAAAGAAGATTCGAGATTTCTGATGGCTAAAAATACCAAATTAGTTAAGCCTTGGGAAGCAGGTAAATCAAGTGATGGCTCGGGTAATGTCAAGTTTGGCAACTTGTTTAAAGTTGGATCAAACAAATTTTCTAAATAGTTTCGTTGATCGCTAACGTCCAAGAATTTGTGGTTGTAAATTTCAAGATTGGATACCTGATAGTTTAAAGATAGGTTTTTATACTCCTGCAAGACGTGGGATGACATGTAGTACGACTTGAATGATCCCGACGCAGTTCTATAAGAAGCGGGCAATAGTTCATCAACAGATTGCACTTTTCCTTCCAAATAGTTTAAAATGTGCAAGTTGAGAAAGTCACCGGCGAATTTCGAATGAAACGAGGATTTGCTTTGTATTACTCCGTCCAAAATAGGTGTAACGCTAGCAACACTAGACCCCACGTCAATGACCAACCCAGTCGATTTGCCGCATCGGTACAATTGGCTCAACGGGTTTTTAACAAGACTAAACAAAGGGACCTCAAACTCCTCAAATACAATCTGACACGTTTTCACCTTTGACTTCATGGTATTCCATGACTGTTCTGTCATTACCAAGGGAAATTCATTGGAGTTTATTGCGTTGTGGTTGTCAATGTTGTTATACACGTATCGCCAGTTATGAGCGATATTGTCAAAATTGTAAATCAATCCATCTTCTAGTAATGTAGATACCTGGTTCTGGGAATACTGCTCCATCTCATCATCTCCTACAATCACCTGGTTGGTGGATTGGTCGACTATGTAATTTGAGTTGAAAACGAGTGAAGGTAGATCATCCAGAGCAAATCCTGCTTTAGTTGTGTATGACCCATTGTCTATTACCACTGCTGGAGCCGTATAAGCCATTATAAGACGATATGTGTGTTTGTCTTGGAGATAGTTAGTAATGAAGATGCAGTTTTGATATCAATTGTCAAGTCGCTATGTTTTCACTTTTGACATTTTTTCTTCTTTTCATATTTTTTTTTCTCTATGTATCGCTACCAAGTTTTAGAGGTGATCTTTTTTTTGTCTATAGACTTTTAAATTATTAATCCAAGTCTTTTTCTATTAAGTCATCATCTATCAACTACAAATCTTACAGTACATATTACACTTTTATTCCTTTCCTTTTTTCTTCAACAAGATGCTCAGTACCATACGTATACTTAAACAAGCAAAGGCAGTATGCCCACGTCGACTTTTGGCTACGGCGGCAACGCCTACTCCAACCTATCAAACATCAATCTTGTCTAATGGGTTGACGGTGGCAAGCGAATCAATGCCTGGAACAAAGACTGCTACCGTCGGAGTGTGGATAAATGCAGGGTCAAGAGCAGACAATCCCAAATCTAGTGGTACTGCCCATTTTTTAGAGCATTTGGCTTTTAAAGGAACAAATCGAAGAACTCAGTTGAATTTGGAATTGGAGATTGAAAATTTGGGCTCCCAGATAAATGCCTACACATCGCGAGAGAACACCGTGTACTATACCAAGTGTCTAGCTGAAGATTTAAATCAGAATGTCGATATATTGAGTGACTTGTTGACGAAATCAAAATTAGAAGAGAGAGCAATAGAAAACGAAAGATATGTCATTTTACAAGAAAGTGATGAGGTTGACAAAATGTACGACGAGGTGGTTTTTGACCATTTGCATTCTGTTGCTTTTAAAAATCAGGATTTAGGAAGAACAATTTTGGGTCCACGGGATTTGATTAAAACAATAAATAGGCAGGATTTGAGAAATTACATCACCACGAATTATAAAGGTGACAGAATGGCCTTGATTGGAGTTGGGTGCGTTCAACATGAAGATCTCGTCAAGTTGGGAGAAAAGTATTTCAGCAATATAAAAAAGAGTGATAAGCCGTTTAAACAAAGTGGTGATGATTTGCCAATTTTCTACGGCGACGAAATCAGAGTGCAAGATAATGCAATGCCAACCACCCATGTTGCATTGGCCGTTGAAGGTGTAAGCTGGTCAGCTCCTGATTTCTTTGTTGCTTCTGTGGCTAATGGTATAATAGGAACTTGGGATAGGTCCATCGGTGTTGGGTCAAATTCACCTTCTCCTTTAGCTGTAACTGCTGCAACTGGGGGGGCCAACAAAACGCCCATTGCTAACTCGTATATGGCTTACACTACTTCATATGCAGATACCGGTTTGCTAGGTGTCTACTTTACTGCCGACAGCACGGCAGATTTGCGTATATTGGTCGATGCTATTCAAAAAGAATGGGGTAGGCTAAGTTTGGGAAACGTCACCGACGAAGAAGTGGAGAGAGCCAAGGCACAACTCAAGGCTTCGCTCTTGCTTGCATTGGACGATTCTACAGCAATTGCGGAAGATATCGGACGGCAAGTGGTCAACACGGGATATAGATTATCACCAGAAGACGTTTTCGCTAGAGTGGAATCGATTACCAAGGATGACGTGGTGAACTGGGCCAACTATAGATTGAAGAATAAGCCTGTAGCATTGGCGGCTGTTGGTAATGTTCAAACCTTACCTTCGATTTCGGATATACATAAAGGTATGGACTTTAAATAGAAGGAGTAGATCAAACTCCATTGTAAATAATACATATCTATATACCATTTTCTATCTACTGTGTAATTAAATCCACAGCATTCGAACCGGTATTGTCACCCTCTTCATCGTTCAATTCTGTGTCAACTGTGCCTTCTTTTACAAGAATCAGTTCTGACGGTTCTCGCTTCATTACTTCTGGCGGTGGAAATAGCTTACCGATGGAGTCAATCCACCTTCTTCGTTTCTCCAAAAGTGCCCTGAGTCCGCTGTTTACTGCTTGTTGTTGTGGTGCATTTGCATCTACTTTCTTCTTTTTGCCTTTTCCTTTTGATCGTTTCATGTACGCCAGATCGACTTGCTTATCCAAATCCTCTAATATCGTACAGTATTCTTGATAAGCAATACTATCTTGAATTATGGGAACCAACTTCCTCTTGTTGGCCCGGTTCCTACTTGTCACCTCTCTTAATTCATTTTGCAAAGTCCTTATCTCGGCACAAACCTCGTCATCCTCTTTATTTCGTATCCACTCGTCATTGTCAACTATACTGATTGAAGGCCTCTTTGGTGCCCGTCCAGACGTCTTACCTGCTTTGGCTTTTCCATCATCCTTGGTGGGTAAATTCATGAATATACCAATGTATTTGAGTTCTCGCTTGAGTCTATCTTCGATTGACTGGTAATCGTTTGAATCAGTGGTTACTCTATAATCTTCGCTGCTATTCAATTGAGTAGCAACTTCATCTTGCGCTAACAAGTTATTGGAATGGTCATTACCGTTTTCACTCTTTCCTGTTATTGCTTTTTGTACATCATCAGTTCTTTCATCCTCGCCATCTTCATTAGCCACCTCATGATTGCTTAGTATCGCTGATAGCAATCTGCTAGATAAAGGCCCACATGAAACCTCCTCGGTGTAAAGCTTATCATCACTTAACGAATTTATAGACCCTTTTGCTTTGTACGCATCAACCAGATTTGCATAAAGAGCTGGTGAATTTAGTTTAGACGCCAAAGTAGAGTCTTCCTCGGCCCACAACTCAGCATAAAACTTGCCCACTTTTGGAATAATAAATGGTGAAACATCGGGGTCGTAACCTGATTTTTCAAACCCGGGAGGGATTACATTTCTCTCCTCGAGGAATTTCAAATCATCGTTACTGAATGAGCGGAAATACGATTCAATATACGATTGGAACGTACTAAACTGAACCTGATTAGTTGGTGGCTTATTTTTTGAGAAATCTATATTCGGTATTTTGCCAGGTAATAAGTCTTGTAGGTCATTTTCTGGATAGGATGCCACGCCATATTTCCTCTTTAAGTACTCCTTGCCGTGGGTTTCTAAGCCGTGATTGTTTTCGGAATAAAGTCCGAGAGCAGAGATTGCATCTGCGGATAGTACTTGCGGCTCCACATACTCCGATTTGGGATTCTTGAGCCTTGTATCGTTATCGTGTGAAAAGGATCCTGATTGAACAGGAGGAACTGGGTCGTCCTTCAGGTTTAGCCTTTCCTTCTCCTCTGTTACATCATTAGCTCCGTCATCATTTGTTTTAGAATCTAGCTTCCTCCTCTTGACATCATCATCTTCGTCATGGTCCACATCGCCTTCCTTATCATCTAATACTCCACTAGGACGCTTTTTCGTTTCGTCTTTACCACCTTGAGTCGCTTCAATTTTTTGCAACACTATTTCATCATTCTGTTCTAGCAGACTCAATTCCTTCTTTAGATTACTAAACAACTTGTTCAAGTTGGTTAACGTGTTTACGTTTGGGATACTTCGAATCGAATCACCATCCAATAGACCATTGGATGCATCGTATGTTAACTTTAATTCATTGATGATATCATCTAGTGTTGTTGATGCATCGTGTGTATTTCTCATGGTTGAATTTGATCTATCAAAGTTTGTCGCTTGCTACCGCACAATGCACATCAATAAAGTTGGATTAAAGAGAAAACGTTTCGGCTTTCAGTTTTGTTGATTTTTTTTTGTTTTCTTGTTTTACCTTTCATTCATCAAAACACACAAAAAGATTGTGAAATATGCGCGCTATGCGGAAAGCTATATACATTATTAAACTATAAAACCATTCCCATACGAATCAAGGTGAAATTTTGCCAAGGTGGTCGGAATCCAACTTCTGTTTACTCATCTCTACAAGTTCATTTATAATTTCGTGTCTCTTTGTTGGAGCATCTTGTGGTCTCTTCCATTCCTCAGGAAAAGCTGGCTTTGGTTTGGTAGTCCACGTTTTCATGTGACGTTTGTCTAAAGGAATATCAGCAAAAGTTTCCTTACTAAGGTCCTTGGATTCTGCTACAAGTTTATTGAAGGTGTCAATTAACCAATTAACGTTCTGAGCTGCATGTGGATACCTTTCACACTTTAATTGAAATGAATCAGTTCCGTAATGAAATCTGCGACCAGCAAGTATTTTAAACTTGTGCTCTTGTTCTTTGTTAAGCTTCAAGTCCTTCAATTCAACGTATAATGTAACCTTTCTGTTGTGCTTATTGGTTATGTCATCACCGAAATCAGAGTTGTATGTCAATTTAATTGGCGCTTCTGTTTTCAGTCTTGGCGTGTAAGGTTGTTGGTATTTGGACAACAAGGGCATCTCAAATGCGGATACCCTATGCAAGTTATCTATGCGTCTAGCATGGTGCGGTTCAACACCAGAGTTTATCACAAACATGTTGCTCAATTTCTGAGGCTTGCCTCTGTCCTTCATGGGCGTATTGTTCATGACTCGTTCCTTGAAGTTTTCAATTTCAAATGCATAATCCAAAGTTGGTTTATTCGCCGTTAGCGATGTAATGGTGGATAATATAGCTGTTCTTTCCTCATTGGTTGGGTTGTACGCATCACCCAAGTATTTCTTTCTAATTTGGTGTAATTGAAAAATTTGATCTGCTGGTAATCCTTGCCAGGAATGAGGGTTGAGAAACAAATCGGGTTTGCTCGCTGGTGAAGACGAGTACGATCTTATACCGCGGATGATAGAAGAGCTGCTAAGTTGTTTCATTGAGAAGCGGAGTGTTTGTTGAAACTACATGAAATACAAAATTTTCAGAATTTTCTTTTTTTTTTTTTTAATTTTCAATTCGCTTGTGACTGCTACCAAAGAATATCTCACACTGTTAGTCTCCTTCAATTTTGACTTTCTTTGAAGAGTCGTCCCTACCATGTTTGGACCTTTTTGATGATGGTTGAGAACTACTTTCCGTTTTGACTTTCATCTCTTTACCATCTTCACTTGGCTCTTGTTTGAAGCTGCTACTCTCGACATCTTCTCCCTCCTGCTTGATGCTGCTGCCTTTGGTATTCTCCCCCTCCTGCTTGACATGCTTCTTAAAAAAATCTGAAACCCCCTTTTTGCCATTTACCTTTTTGAGAATGTTTTCACTCTTGTTACTTGGATTTCCAACATCGTTTGACACTTGGTACGCCTCTATACTCGCGTATGCTTCATTCGTTTTCGTGTTTAGAACCTCGTCAATCAATGAATCATCCCATTCCCTCTTTGAATCGAGCCATTTAAACCAAGCTGCCGAGCCTGGCTTGATAACCAAAGTCTTCCTCGTGTGTAACCAAGATAAATCATACTTGTCTAACTTTTCAGCAGGTGCTGTAATCACTGTAAAGGTGGATAAGCATTCATCTTTGACATTAAAATTATCCTTGTAATTATAGTTGTGAGAGAAAAACCCGGCTAAAAAGATCAATGGTGCCGTTTGGGAGTGAACAAAGTAAGGCGTCTTTTCATTCTTTGTCTTTAGCCACTCAAAGTACCCTTGAATGGGTACAACACACCGATGCTTTTTGCAAGACGACCAAACTGCACGATGTTCGGCGAGTGACTCCCTCCTACAGTTAAAGTACTTGCTTTCGTGCTTGCCCAATTCACGAGAGTATTTTTCTCCTTCGTTTTGCTTGCCTTTGTTCACCGGTGTAGGATCAGTTGGTTTTGCCCATGATGGAACCAACCCAAATTTCAGAGGTTCAAAAACGTACTTTTGGGTAACGCCTTCCTGTGGCTCAGCCATGTAGACCATCAATGCAGTATTAGTTGGCGCTATATTGCACGAAGGTGTCCACTGAGAAACTCTTGACGAGTCTGGTACGTTGTTCTCAACACTCTCATCATTTGTGTTTGATATAGCTTGATTGAATTCATTTAGAATATCGTTTAAGTCCTGATAGTTGCGTTAGTCGCTTGTTATTCTCATTAAGATAGTCTACATACCATGCCTTGAGCAAATCTACCACACATGATGCAGTTGCACAAGGATGACTGGTGTTTCTACTGCGAATCTGAAAAAGAAAATGTTTGTCTTTGCGCTTATCGGGGGTATCTATTTGTACATTGTCAGAGATTTCATTGCATAAACAAACTACTTACCATCCCTCATGTCTTCCAACACACATGAATAATGTGAGATTTATCAGAAATAGACTGATATAACTGTCATTCCAAGTATTCTGGTTGTGGATCGTCACTGAAATAGTCCGGTTGTGAGTACCTATCCAAAAACTCATCATAAGATTTTCCAAAGTTGTTAGTACAGTCAGGATCGTCGGAATATTCACTCGCTTCATCGCAGTCAGTATCGGTATTACTTTGTTGTGATGTTTCTAATTGGTTAGGCTCGGCTCCATTTGAATCACCATTGGGCCCCCCGTCTTCCAAACGCTGTCTTCTAGCTTTCTCCTTTGCATACTGTTTATAATCGTTGTAATCATCAACAGCTGCTTGCTCTTGTTTGTATCTCTCATCGCTAACATCTGGGTCTCTAGCAGTACCCAAATGTGTATCTTCAAGAAACTTGACCAGATCCATGCCATCAGGAAAGTACGATTGCTTTACAACACCATTCTCGTAATTGGGGTTGTACTTGTAGGCATCACCGAAACCCATATCTTTCATCAAACGAGTTGGAGCATTCCTTAAATGAATAGGAACAGGTAGTCGAAGCACGTCCGGTTTTTCACTAATCAACCTTTGAGCAGATCTCAATGCACGATACGATTTTGTAGATTTGGGTGCCCGGGCAAGCTTGGTGGTACAGTGAGCCAATATAATCTCACCCTCAGGCATCCCCACAAATTCAAAAGCTTGTTTTGCCGAAACTATAAAAGGAAGACATGAGCTATCTCGGAGGCCAATGTCTTCGGAAGCTATGACGGTCATTCTTCTTAATATAAACAAAGGGTCCTCGCCGCCGGATAACATTTTCACTAAATAAAACATGGCCGCGTCGGCATCGGATCCTCGTATTGATTTATGGAAAGCACTTATAATATCGTAGTGGGCATCGCCGTCCTTATCGTACATCTGGTGAAAGTTTCTCGACTTTAAAACCTTTTTGAGGTCATCAACGGTTACATTCACCGTGACACCATCACTCGTTTTCTCCTCAAACCTGTCGGCTGAAAGGTAGGCATTTACAGTCTCGAGGACATTTAAAGCAGCACGTGAGTCACCCATGCACAAGCTGGCAATATACTCAAATGAATCCTTTTCGAGTGTCATGTACGGCAAATTGTATAGTAGCTTGCGTGTTCGGTTAACTTCGAAAAGAGCTCGGTTTAAAATTTTCACAATTGCCTCAGTACTGAATGCTTCCATAACAAAAGTCTGCATCCTCGACAATAACGCGTTGTTTAACGAAAATGATGGGTTTTCGGTTGTAGCTCCGATTACTGTGCAAACACCTTTTTCAACCACAGGAAGTAGCAAATCTTGTACCGCTTTGTTGTATCGGTGAATCTCGTCAACAAATAAAATTGTGCGTTGCTGCGTTAGCTTCTTGTGATTTTCAGCTTGGACAAACACCTGCTTCAAATCTTTTGCTCCACTGCTGGCGCCAGAAAGCTCCACAAATTTGCAGCTTGTTGACTTTGCTATAATTCGACCCAATGTCGTCTTACCGCATCCAGGAGGACCCCATAGTATAAAGGATGGAATCAAGTCCGATTTGATGATATTTCTCAACGGAGCACCTGTTCCTAGCAATTTCTCCTGGCCGATGAAATCATTCAACGTTTTTGGTCGTAGTCTATGTGCTAATGGAATCCCAACTTGCCGCTTCAATTCTGCAATCTCCCTAGCCAAATTGTTGGAAGAAGGTGATTGTGTAGGCTCGTTTTCGTTGTCGCGTGTTTCCTCTTCTTTAATCCCGTCATTCTCACTCGGTGGTTGTTTAGACTCTGCTATGCTTTTCTGAATATTAATGTGGTTACCCACTTTCAGTTCACTCATAGGTTTCCTCTTTTTAGACGCTTGCACATCTGTAGACGCCTTCAACCCTAGGGCGCTAAAAGCATCGCGTTTCTTTGCCACTTTCAAATCGACGGAGTCAGCCGTCGTATTTTCAGTATCCAGCTTGACCTCTTGGTTATCTAAGCAACTATTGACATGTCGTTCTAGGAGCAACTTGGAGATTGGCTTGGAGCATATAGGGCACAATTCTTCCATTGGGGGTGGTTGTCAGTGGAGAGAAAACGCGTTTTCAAAAAAATATCACCGGAAATAAAATCAAAGCTCTTTTCAATCATTAAAGAAATGAGTGCCGGGATAGAGCTCCATACATCTCACCATGAGCCACATAACAACCTTCTTAAGAGAAAGAAGGTGCCACATCTGTCTTCAGCATCCAAGAGGAACAAGCAAGGGATAGTAAAGACAGAAATGGTGGACATTGAGGAAACCAGCGAGGAGATAGCCAAACAATACAAGAAATTCACAAGTGCGCCCAAATATGACCTCGACAGTGAAGAGCTTTTCTGTATATGTCGAAAGCCCGATGAAGGAGAGTTGATGATTGCTTGTGATGGGTGTGAAGAATGGTTTCATGCTAAATGTATGAATGTTCGGCCCGAACTCTCCAACTTGATTGCCAAGTACTACTGCAAATTCTGCACATGGAAAGGGGAAGGCACCACCTTATGGAAACGCAAGTGTTGCCTCGAGCACTGTTATAATCCTATTGCAGAGAGTTCCAAATACTGCAGCGAAGAGCATGGGAAGGAGTACATGCAACAGTTGCTCTTCGAAAATAGTATGCTTGACCAGGGTGTCATCAAGAAGGTATTGACACACGTAGGCAGCGATGTGAGTAAACTTCATTCATTGGGGGCGCAATTCCCTGAACTTGAAGAGGTAAAGAGCTTCAAGCAAGATGCCACCAGGATAGATCAGTTTCCTCGTGCGGTACGTGAGCAGGTAGAATGCTTGCAGCAAAAGATAAAAGAGGTCCAAGAAAAGAAACAGTTACAAATGGAAGAGCTAGGACGTCTCCAATCGATGAAGGAGGATGTAAGGGCTATCAACGAGAAATTGTCGGCGCTAATATTCCCTGAAGGCGAGGATGAGAAGCAAGTCAAAGCCAAGTCCAAGAGAGGGAAACAAAAGAAGCGTGTCGATTTATGCTTGTGCAGCAAGGGCAATAATGGTCTCATAGGGGAATTTGCAGGCTCAAAGGAGTTGCTTGAGCAAATTGCAGTCAAGGTTAAAAAGAGAATGAACGATGCAGAGGAGGAGGAGGTGGTGGATGAGGAGGAAAATGAGAACGAGAACGAGGGCAAGGAGCTTGACGATCTCGATTGGTTCCGAGACATTTGCATCAGAGACAGGAAAAAGTGTTATCGCCACAATGGCTGGTGGAACTTGTTTTACGATAACGCAGAGAAACTATCGGAGCAGCTTCAGGCCAGAGAGTTGGATATCGAGAGGCAGATTGACGAAGTTTTACGAAACTATTGTGTTGAACAGTATAATAAATAGAGTTTAATCAAATCTCCAAATTACTTGGCTGGTACTCTGCAGGTTCTCTAGGTTGACGAGCCTGGATTGTGTACTTTTATAGACTATGTAAGAGGCTAAGCTTTAACTGTGTATTACACAATATCTTATGTAATTACTACATAGTATACATCTTTGTGTAATGGAGAATTGTTTTCGCAACAATTCACTCACATCACACTGGAAGTTTTTCATTTCCTCTTTCCATTGATAGTGGCGACAATTCTTCTTGTGTGTTTGTAGTTTCTAAATTCACACAACCAGATACCCTGCCAGGTACCTGTGTTCAATTTGCCGTTTGTAATAGGGATACTCAAGCTGACACCCACAGTGGAGCTCTTCACATGGCCAGGCATATCATCAGGACCTTCATCAGCATGAATGTAATGGTCACCTTCGGGAGCAATCCTGTCAAGAGCGGCATCCATGTCGGTTCTAACATCTGGGTCACAATTCTCATTTAAGGTTAGCCCCGCAGATGTATGTTGGATAAACAAATTAATGATTCCAACTTCGTAATTTTTGATTTGCGGAACCTTTTCTAAGACTTCTTTAGTGATTAAGTAGCATCCCTTGCTCCTTGGACTCAATGAGAAGGTAACTTGGTCCCACGATGACATTTTTCTGTAGTTTGATTTGGGTGAGTTAAATAATCCGAATGTGAATGTTGTTTGATCAAATGGGTGTAGTTTTTTTTGATTTCTGTGGATTTAGTGGTTTGCTGAGTCTATTTATTGATCAACTGTGTGTGCTTGTTGATCTCTGTGGATTTGTTGATAGTTTGAAAAATAATCAAATGCAGATCTTTTTGTTGTTGCTGCAAAATAATATGATAAAATTCAACAAAGTACGTAACGCTTGCAGTGGTTCACAATAAATTCTTTATCTGTATATTTAACAATGTATATAGTTAGGGTGAGTATCTTGATAAGCTTTGGAAGAGTAGAGCTTACCAAGGTTCCGTAAAAACTTTTCACCTTTGCCTCTCTAAGTAAAGAACGAAGAAGAATTGAGCTGTGCACGCCTTTGACTCCTTACCTCAGACAGTATTTTGCCATTGAGACGATTTAGCAACATTTGCACGAATTTTCATTTTGTTGTTGCTGCAAGATAAATATGACATGTGGACAAGCCATGAGGTCTTGCTTTACTAGAATTAATCCCCGAAGCTACGCATATAATTCCCTATCAGGACTTTTAGGTGATGTATTGTAATTCAGTAGGTGAAACGCAAGAAGTGACTGCATCGTACAGTCAAAGCAAATACTAAATTAGATTTTATAAATAGAGCCACTCCTTAGGGTTTGAAATGAACTTACAAGTGGAGAGTGATTTCTTGCATCAATGCATTTTCTGTGAGTTGGTTTTCAAATGCATTGATTTTCGTAAAGTAGACAGAATGTCTCGATTAATTTGGCGCAAAATTTTGTTGAAAAAGATACCAGCACGAAAACATATAAAAAATAGGAGAATGAGATCTGCTGACCTAGAAGTGTCTCTTGCCACCGTTTGAGTGCTACTAGGGATGTAGCTCTCCCTAGAAAAATACATACCGCCTAGAATGCCACTACAAAGGCGCTGTTGCAAAAATGTTTCCCGTTTTGTGTTTTACAAAATTTCTCACTCCTTCTTGAAAATTTAGTGAGATGAGATGTAACTCAATAATTTTTTCAAATCCTTTTTAAGACAGCACTCTTTTTAACACAAGTCAATTAGAGATGCAAGTTGCAGTACATCAGGAAGATGCTGACATTTTGCTCAAGCAAAAGAACATTCTCAATGAAGATGTGGTAGAAAAGTATAGAGTCGCTGGTCAAATTACTCAAACTGGGTTGACCTACTTTACATCGCTAATCAACAACTCATACCATTTGGGGACTACCGCCAAGTTGACCATCCAGCAACTATGTCTATTAACCGATTCCTTCTTAGCAGACTTGTTATCGCAGCACTACGTAAAAAAAGTTGACGAGAAAGGGATCTCAACTCCAACTACAATAAATGTAAATGAGTTACTAAATGGATTTGCACCCGAGATTGATGACGAAAGAGGATTGTATTTGAATGAGGGAGATGTTGTAACAGTCAGTTTAGGTGTTCAGATTGACGGTTATACTTCCAATTTGACCCACACTTTGGTCATTTATCCAACAAATTCAGAATTAAAGCCAAATGGGCCATTATTGGGCAATAACGCTGATGCGATCTGCGCTACGCATATTGCGACTGAAGCAGTTGTTGCGCTTCTTGGGTCTTCATTGTCGCCGGAAAAGCTTCCAAGCCATTTGAAAACCGGATCGAATATAACTGGTACCCAGATACGTCAGCTAGTTGATGCTGTGGCCACCTGTTTCAATTGTGTTGTTGTACCAGGTTCAAAGATTAGGAGAATCAGGAGATTCTTGGCTGGTCAAGCTGAGGGAATAGTGGCTGAACGTGATTTCAAGGGTGTCGTCTGGGATGAGTCTCATCAAGAAGCTAGTCTCTTGAAGCAAAGCTCCCCTCAATCTTCCGAATTGGTGGCACACGATAACACAAAGCCGGCATCCACGTCAAACTCCAGTGCCATACCTACTGATGAGTTTACTGTTGTTCCAGGAGAAGTTTATCATGTTGACATTCGTATGTGTGGAGTAAACTCGGAGGAATTGGGAATAGTCACGACTGAGGAAATTGACCACTTTAGTGGTAAGAATAGCAAACAAGACTTTAATTCTAAAGCATCTATTTTCATTCGTGATTTTGCCATTGTTCATCAGTTGAAGTTGAAAACGTCGAGAAAGCTTTTAGGTGAGATTGATAAGTCCTTTTCCGTGTACCCATTCAAATTAGACTTTATTGGCAAGTCGTTCCCTATCAAGGTTGATGCAAATGAAGATGAAATAAAAACACAAATAGATCAATTGAGAGAAGATTTAAAGGGTTTTAGATTGGGTGCTGCTGAATTGAGCAATCGCCACCTTATACAAAGCAAGCCAATCCAAATTACAAAGTTCATTCCATTGAAAGAGATCTTGTTAACTGCGAATCCAACGGGAAAGCATGGTATCGACGCTGGTAAGCCAGTCCTACCAGGCATGGAGATCCCTTTGCCACAATTGAATATATCGTCAATCAAGTTGAAGTCGTTGTTGAAGAAGGGCCACAACATATCCAACGTGCGGGAAGCCACAACCGTGTTAATCAATGACCAAACCCAAGAGGTTTTGAGATTGAATGGAGGTGAAACAACGGCAAGAGTGAATTGGATACATTCGCAATACAAGTTGTCCAACGAAGTGAACGAAATTATCACCCACTTGGTTCAATTGACCAAAGATAAACGTTTTGGTATCAAGGTGAAGGAGGTTGGTCCCTACAAATTGACGCAACAAAGCTTAGGGGTAGAATCTATGCAAATGGACTGAGTAGTAGAGGATATAATAGAAGAGTTCATTATTTATTCAAAGACGTGTAGCAGTCTGACATGGTGGGACATACCTCGGTGTTAATTGCCAGCCAAGGCTTCATGGTTCGACCTGCTGCGGACGGGGCGACGATCGCCCCATAGCTCTTTTTTTTCTCAGATAGCAAAACATCCATACCTACATAGTAACGCGAGAGCAAAAATAAAAATAAAAATAAAAATAAAAAAATAAATTTAAAAGACGCTGTTGTGCATGATTTGTATGTGTGCCAGTGAGTGTCTGAGAATAAATAATTTAAACAACTCGCTCTCTTTTTTTTTTTTTTGGTTTCTTTGTAAGTAAGAGTTATTAATTACTTGAAGGTATGTGTACCAAGAGATTGTCGAGTTTATGAATGATTGATATGGAAAGACGTGAGATGTATGCTTTGTGTGGATTACAGAGAGGGGAAGCGGCGGGCAAGAGTTCGATTGTCGACGATCCAAATCTCAACAAAGTTATCCACCCCTTTGTCGACTAGGAAAAAAAAAGCAACAATGATATCATTGGCCAAAGTGAGAGTGTTTGTAGAAGTGCAGGATTGACAGATGGCTTATCCTTATAAGACACACAGCATTGAGTGGTTTTGCAAGAGCAACCGCAATCTCATTTCTACACAACAACTATGGTTCATGTTACACCGCCAATAAATCTTGTTTATAGTTTGTGTTGTCAAGTTTTTTTGCCATTTTTCTGAATTTTATGACAAGACACACGACTTTCACACACACACCCACATACAAAATTTTTTCCAAAGAAAATTGTCGACTCACACAACGACGACAAACGATTCAACGAGACAGGAAAAAAAATCAATCAAAAACGAAGTGGTCAACATATCAATTGAGTTTTGCCCCCCATTATTAGAACTTCAACTAGTTTCATAATCCATCAAAGAATTGAATCTGAGATAAAGACTTTGCCAAGAAGTTTTAAGTAGACATAAATTGTATGTCAAAGATCCCATAACAAGTAAATCGTTGGAGAATTTGATCACGCACAATTGAAATCAGTCGTCTCTTCTTCAATCTATTCATTCACTTGACTTGATCCATAGATACATATTTACTAACATCGTTCAATAGTTTATTTTTTGATTTCACATTCTAAGTCGATTCCCTACAAACACACAAATACAAACACACATCTCAACCAAACAACTTCAAACACCAAAGTATATCAAAAATGACTGTCTCACGCGAAGATTCCGTTTACCTTGCCAAATTGGCCGAACAAGCTGAAAGATATGAAGAAATGGTTGAAAACATGAAGGCCGTTGCTTCTTCTGGCCAGGAGTTGTCAGTTGAAGAACGTAATTTATTATCAGTTGCCTACAAGAATGTCATTGGAGCCCGTCGTGCTTCTTGGAGAATCGTTTCTTCTATTGAGCAAAAAGAAGAGTCTAAAGGTAATGAAAACCAGGTTGCTTTGATTAGAGATTATCGTTCCAAGATCGAAGCTGAGTTATCTAAAATATGTGAAGATATTCTCTCTGTTTTAGACAATCACTTGATTGCATCAGCTCAAACCGGCGAATCAAAGGTATTCTACTACAAGATGAAGGGTGATTACCACAGATACTTGGCTGAATTTGCTGTAGCTGACAAACGTAAGGAAGCCGCTGACTTGTCCTTAGAGGCTTACAAAGCTGCTTCTGATGTTGCTGTCACTGAATTGCCCCCAACTCACCCAATTAGATTAGGTTTGGCTTTGAACTTTTCCGTGTTCTACTATGAAATTTTGAACTCCCCTGACAGAGCTTGTCATTTGGCCAAGCAAGCTTTTGATGATGCCGTTGCCGATTTGGAAACATTGTCAGAAGATTCGTACAAGGATTCTACTTTGATTATGCAATTGTTGAGAGATAACTTGACCTTATGGACTGATTTGTCTGAAGCTCCACAAACTGAAGAACAACAACAGCAACAACAACAACAACAATCTAGCCAACAAGCTCCAACATCTTCAGAGGCTAAGCCCGATCAAGAATAGAGTTAATGTAAATTTTATAGTTATTGTATCTGTGTGAATTAAATTTTTGATTAAGAAGAGAACTTTGTAGAGTAGGCCTTTGATGATGCCATTTTGCAAGCAACCAAGTGATCTGCCTCACACTTAGATTTCCTCTTTTAAGGCTGACCTTCTTGAATAGTTTGTTCCCAAAGGACGCGTTATATTTTGAGTTGGACACGACGATCAATTTGTTATGATTGGGAATGCGTGTTAATACTTCTAAAACAAAATAAAAATTTATAAAAAAAATAAAGACAACAACGAAAAAGAAAAAAAATTGCAGAAAGAGTGAGAGAAAGAGAGTGAGAGAGTGTCAGAGATCAAAACAGTCGAAAACAAATTGTGTTTATTTTGTTTCAACAAGGGTCTCTTTGATTAAATTCCATACGTGTTTCCAAAAAAAAAACAAAATAACAATATGCCAGAACCAGTAGGAGTAGCAAATTTGCCTAATCAACGGTATGTTTCCATCAGCTTGGCTTTCTATGCTTGTTTTTTCTTTTTTTTTTTTTTTTGATCTGGGACGAGTTTTTACAACCAAATAACAGCAAAGAAAATGACGGCTTTAAAACGCTAAACCTCAACATCATAAGATACTAACTCAATGTCAGGTACAAGATTGTTTCCAAGGAAGGAGCTACATTTACCGTCATGGTGGCGGGAGAAAGTGGGTTAGGAAAGACAACATTTATCAATACTTTATTTCAAACTTCATTGAAACCACACCAAGATCCTCGTACTAGACACAACAAGTTTACGTCACCACACCAAACTGTCGAGATTGACATCGTCAGAGCCATTTTGGAGGAGAAAAATTTCAAAATTAGATTGAATATTATTGACACGCCAGGTTTTGGAAACAATGTCAATAATAACGATTCTTGGGTTCCCATTATTGATTTCATTGACGACCAACACGAGTCTTTTATGAGGCAAGAACAGCAACCTTCAAGACTTGCCAAAAAGGATTTAAGGGTACATGCTTGTCTTTACTTTATTAGACCAACTGGTCATCTGTTAAAACCGTTAGATATCGAAGTTATGAAGCGATTGTCGACAAGAGTCAATTTGATCCCGGTTATTGCTAAAGCAGATACTCTATCTCCTCAAGAGATGGATACCTTTAAAAACAGAATAAGAGAAATCATCGAGGCTCAGGACATAAGTATTTACATTCCTCCTTTGGAGTTGGATGACCCTGCTAGCGCAGAACATTCCAAGCAGTTGATTGAAGCGATGCCATTTTCCATCATTGGCTCCGAGGAGGACGTTGAAGTTGCTCCTGGTCAATTTGTAAGAGGCAGAAAGTATCCATGGGGGGTAGTTGAGATTGAAAACGATCAGCACTGTGATTTCAAGAAATTGAGGAGCTTATTATTGAGAACAAATATGTTGGATTTGATCTTGTCGACGAATGAATTACACTATGAAACTTTCCGCTCAATCAAATTAGGTGGAGATGAAGGAGAGAACGGTGGAGAGAATGGGGCGGAAGAAGGATCAACCGAGGAATTGACCAATGAAAAGGGTGAAGTTATCAAGAAACCATCATCTAAAAAGCCAAGAAGAGTGTACAATCCAAAGTTCAAAGAAGAGGAGGATGCTTTGAAGAAATTCTTTACTGAGCAGGTCAAAGCAGAAGAGCAAAGATTTAGGCAATGGGAAACTAACATCATCAACGAAAGAAACAGATTGAACCAAGATTTGGAAGAGATGCAATCGAAATTGAAAGGTTTGGAAGAACAGGTTAAGAAATTACAAATTACCAAACGTTGAGGTAAGTTGATCAGTAGATTTCATTATTGTTATTTTGTCTTTGACATCTGGCTCATTTAGTTTGTTTTAAAACTTTTGTTTATTTCTAATGTATATTAATTCTAAAAGTGATTGTAAGATTGTATACTTCGCGCTAGCGGCTATAGGTGGAGCAAACAGCTTTACACAAAAATATTTTTCCAACCCCTTCAAAAGTATCAAACTAAGGTCCTTTCTACGTCACTTGTGTAGTCTCAAACATAATACATTCTGTTCAAGGGACATCAACCTGCAGGTCTACAATACATCGCATAACCAACAACATTTTTTGGGTTCAAAAGTTAAGCGATGCACACTGGTCAAAGTCCAACCCATCAAAATGAAACAAACTACGGCACAAGTCAAGCATATGCCATGCAAACCCCGCTAACACAACACAACTCACTGCAACTGCCGCCACAAGAACATAAATATAAACGAAACTACCGAGCATGCCTTAATTGTCGTGTGCGTAAAGTCAAATGTGATTTGGGACCCGTGGATAATCCCCACGATGGAAAATGTGCCCGATGCTTACGTGAGCGGAAAGACTGTGTTTTTGTTGAGAGTAAACGTGGTGGCGCTAGTAATGTGTTGAACGGGAGACGCAAGCGACAAAAGCATAGTAATCTGGGAGAGTATGAGAGAAGCCAATCACCTGAACTTGCTTCGAATGCTTTTCGTGGAAACCAAGAGCACAATGCGAAAACAAATGCAACTGCCTATGGCTCATCGCCGCAATCTTTACCGGGTATAAATAGTCTATTACACGAGGGAGACCTACAGGATATGACTAACTTGTCACGACCAAGTCCGCAATCGCATGAGTCCATGCCAAATGAACCGACCCCATCGACGACAATGGATAAAAACAAGAACGACAGCTCCGAGCAAAAGACAGGACAGGGTAGTCACTTTGCTACCATGGAAGGTGCTTTAGTGTTTTTGGCTAGTGCCGCAGGAACAATTGCCAAGGCCGATGAGAGGGACAATATCGATGCAAGAACTAAATACGATCAAATTGAAGCCATGACAGGAAATAATAGCCACAGAACTAGTATAGACGAGAACAACCTTCTGCCACAAATAAATCAAGGGAAAGGAAACACCCCCTACATGCTGAGACATGGATCGCAACTGCAACATACACAAAGCCAGAGCTCCAATTTCGATGAGGCGGCTAATAGCTCATGCCCAACGGGCAGAGACGACCTTATCACTAATCAACAACGTAGTAAAGACTATCCGCCTCAGCCGAGCCGTCACAATTCTACAGATAATACCACACAGCACGTGTATCCATTTATGAACCCAACCAGGAACAAGCGAATGACTATGCCTGCTGCAGAAAGTGGTTATGCAATACGCCCTAAAGCATCAAAGAAGTTGTCAAGTATCGAGTATATCGGCTCTGCTCCTCATGGAATCCTCACAGAAGAAGAAGCTGAACGTTTAATCAATTTGTTTTTCTCCACGATGCATCCTTATTTCCCTCACATTCCGAAATTCCTCCACTCGCTGAAGGTATTGTCAGGATATCCGATACTTCTTTGTGCTATATTGACAATATCTTCGCGGTATCATCCATTTGAAAACAATGCCAGCAGTTTACAAAACGGAAATGTACCGAGAAATATCGAAGTTCACGACCGATTATGGCTTTACGTCCAACGTTTGATTTCGCAAACAGTTTGGGCTGAGGCGAGTACACGATCAATTGGTACGATATTTGCATTTTTGCTATTCACTGAGTGGAATCCACGGGCTATTCACTGGAGGTGGTCCGATTATGCCAACAAGGCAGAGGAAGGAGGCAATGAAAATGATGCTGGTGTGGGTGGTTTAAATGCCCAGGGTGGCGGCCTTGGGGCAATGAATGCAACAACAGCTGCATTTGGCAGAGCAACAGGTGGAAACAATGGCGGTAGTGCTGATGGAAGTGATGGTAACGCAGCAGTTGGAGGTCTGAATCTTGCCGGATTAGGAGCAATGAGGAGAAGTCATCGTATGGCGTGGATGTTGATTGGAAGTGCTGTGCGTTTAGCCCAGGATATGGGGTTTATGGAGATGAGCTCAAAGACGTTAATTGCAACACATATCGCTGAAATCAATTCAGTTATGGATATATCACGTCGATCAATGCTTGCACATTCGTTATCAGAGATTGATTTAGATGAGGATGAAATAAGTGAGGAGGATACCGAATTTGGTGAAGATGTCGACGATGATGTCAACATTATGAAGATGAGCGAGGAGGAACTTAAACGAGCAGCAAATGAACACACATTCAAGTTCACTAAAGCACAAAAGGCGCAAATTGAACTACTACAAATAATGTCCTTGGGACATGAATCCTTTTATGGATACAAGGCGCAATTAGGTCAGTTATCGCAGCGTCAGAATTTGGCAGTGTTGAACATAATCAGTCCTTTAATCAACAACTGGAGTCGCAAATACAGGCAACTATTAGTTCCCACGAGTGGTAAATTGGCCAAGCATGTCTCCAATTTTCAACACCAATGGACGAAACCCAACTCCAAGATATGCCTTGAGGTTAATGAGTCCATACAACAAGAGTCGTTTATTTTTGAATTTAATTATGTTAAGCTATACATATACTCATTAGCACTCAGTCCGTCGCCGCGGACATTGATGGGGAAGAAAAATAGCCGGGTATCGTTAAAGTTGGACGAATTATCAAGGTCGGCTCGGTTCATTGAGCAGGCATTCAATGCTGCTAATGAAATGTTGAACGCTGCCCATCGGATCCACAAATTTAAAATGTTGCGATTTATGCCTGTGCGTTGGTTGACCAGATTGGTTCGTGCTGTGGCTTTTATCGTCAAATGCTACTTGACAATTACAGCACAAAAGAATGGCAGTGGCGGTGGTGGTGTTGCTGCGGCATTTGGATCCTCATCAAGAGAGACTTATGACCCTACAGTATTGTCATTCAGCTTGATTAGCATTGATGATATATCTTCCCTGATACATCGAGCTGCGTTAACGTTGAGAGATTGCTCACCGGATGAATTGCATTTGTGTACGCGATACTCCAATATTTTGATGTATTTGTACTCGGAGATGAAGAACAAAAAGAATGATCAGGATGAATTGGATATCGATCGCGGGTATCATTATTCTCAAGGACAGGACTCTGTATCTGACCGTTACCAAGCTTATGAACGTGAGCGTGTGCAAAACATTGCACAAACAGGCATGTCGAGCGCTATTGCCGGCACAAACCAACTGCAGCAGTCTCATAAGATTAGCTCGAATGATTCATTTGAGCAACTAACACCCCAAAATCAACCGTACGAGAAACTGGATGCATTCCCTTATGGTCCATATTTCAAGCAGCCCACGAATGTTCCTACATCGGCACCAATTGCAGTTGGTGTGACAGGAAAGCCAAACAGTCCAATGCAGCATTCAATTTCGAACACTGCTTCAGCATCTGCATCGGGTTCGGCTTCAGCGTCGGCCACAGCACCAGCATCAGCCGTGCCTCCACCAGAAGATAGGCAGCATCAGACGAAAGCTTCGATTCCAACAGCAGCCACAGATCAAATAGGCACATCAGGGGGCGCTTTTAGTCAACCAACATCGGTTGGAAATAACACTAGTGGTGAGGGAACCAGCGCAGGTATTGGTGCTGCAACAAACAGTAGTAATGTAATAGGCATCGGTGATTCAGAAGTGATGGATTGGTTTATGAATAATCAAACCATTGGATTGGACTTTGTCGCTCCATGGACAGAAATGATTGAACAACAATTGAATTCGACCGATCAAAATTTCTACTTTTGAATAAATAGAGAGCGTTTACAGATAGAAGTGTTAGTGGTGGTTATAGAAGAGGGTGTGTTATCTGTTATGTAGTTGTTAGTTTGGCTGATATAGGCGAAATAGTATCTTTCCTGCAACAGAAGCTTTTAATTTAAGATTTCGCTGCAAAAAAATAAAACTTGAGTTCAATATACACGTGTATTCGTAGAAAAGCATATAATGTCGGTCATTGCTTTCATTTTTCAGTAGATCAGGTCCCATGAATGTCTCAGACTGACAGTGTTTGTAGGTTACTGCATCTCGCTGTCATTTATATCCGAACCACGAAAGATAAACAAAAAAAAAAACACGAACAATTTTGTGATACTCACGTTACAGAAAGTAAATTTAACCGAAAGAAGAAGACGACGATAACAACTACAACTACTAACGTTTACCGGAATACAGAATAAAAATTTATCCGAGACTTTAAGGCTGTAGCCGCATTTAACTCGCACCACAAGATGGGACCTAATTACATCATATCCGTCATTGGAATATTCACTTGTCGAGTAAATTAGCGATACCATAACGATTCTTTAAACCACAGTTTCCAAGGTTGTCAATTCCAACACAACCTTTTTTCTTAGCAGCCGGTACTATCAGGGGGATTTGACTTGTATTGTTTCGTTCTCTTCCCCATTGTAAAGAAGACGGCTATGCCAAAGGGACAATGAAATGGTAAAACAAAAAAAGAAAAAGAAAAAACAAAGACAGACACGAACCTCTAATTCAACCGCTTCAGTGAAATTTTCGTAGTTGAGAGAGCCACCCCTTTACTCCCCCTCCCACCTGCCACACCTCCTCTATTGTGAAAGCCGTATTGTTTTGGGTCACTGTTTTGCAACTGTGCGTGTGTACATTTCATAAATCGCAAAAGCCTTTGTCATAAATAAGACGTTGCCTCTGTCGTCAAACTACGATTGTGTTGTTGCTGATAATAACTTGATAGCCAATCCTTCTTGGTTTCACATTAAGGAATGTCGTTATGAGACAATCATTTGCCTGAAGTAACTTACAATTGGTTCAAGTATCGTGGCAATGCACATGCTCTACAAGTCGCTCTTCTTTTCTACAATTACATTGCGATTCTCTGAAACTCCACTAATGTTTTGTTTCGTTTTGTTTTATTTTAGCATCTTCAGGGGTAAATCGGATCAACTGCGCTTTATTTGATCACATGTAAGTAGCAATCATTTCTGTGGGACTATTTTTAGTAAATGCTTGGCTCTATTCGTATCTAGTAATTATATTTCATTGTAAGTCTATAACATTCAATTTAGTGAAGTATTAGTTACTGCATAAAATTAAAAATAAATGAAAAAGATGGCTGGCTATTTTATGATTTACGTCAATACAGTTGTTCTCCACAATTTGCGATTGCGGAAGACTAGACACGTGGCGGACCGGGAAAGGAAGTACCGTGATTGAAAGCTTACTATTGAATGACCAACATACTGCATTAGTGGTCGGCATCAGCGGTCAAAAGACTAGTCTCTTGCTTTACTTATTTTTAGCTCTCATGATCCCGCAAGAAAATTTTATCGAGTCGTAAAATAGTTTAGGGCGGGGGTTTGGCGTGGGCCGTATCATAGCACTCGCCTCAACTTTGCACCCACTAATCACTCTAAACTACACCCACAACCTCGATCTGTGCTTTCTAGTGTGAGGTTTCTAGTGGTGTATGTGGGTGAATGATTGAGTGTGTTTATTAGACAGTTTTGTGTCAGTTTGGTTACGAACAATCTTTTGACACGCCGAGAACAGACTTTTTTCCTGACGACGACATTTTCAACTAATTTCCAAATATAGAAAATTAATCAACAATAAAGCCATAATTAACAGCTCACATACATATGCACAACCTTTAAAGATTGCTAAAATAAGTTGATGGGAAAGGTGATGGCGGCAAGTCTTTGAATAGATATAGAGCAGAACAAGGGGATGAATTTATTATCAGTGTTGGATACTAGTTCTTTTAACCCAAGAACTAGGTGACTTAATACATTAAACAGATTCCCACTATTTATGTCGTTTCTTTTTTTAAAAATTTCATGCGCAAGGGCGAATCAAACAAAAACAACAACAAATTAAATCTCGAGAGACAAAAGTTGTTTGAGGTAAACAATACTTTAATAAACGATGCATAAGGCGACAACCACAGAACTCATCTACTCGTTGTATAGAGGTTACTCTATAATTGTGTCTGGTGCAGGAAAGCAATTTTAAAGTATTGTATGTATGTGTGCATTGTTGTTATGGCAAATGCAGGATCAGAGGATTGAACACAAAGTTGCACAAACGAATTTCGAGGCTATGTTGGTGATGTAGAGCAAAAAAAGGAAGAAAATGTTACGGAAAGAGGGGCACTATTGCGCTGACAGTCAGCCCAGTGTATGATCCTTTGCCACACACAGACGCATATATATCCTCTCTCATCCCCTAAAATTGTTGCAAACTTAAGCGCTAGTTGCACTAACGTGTAGATGCTCTTGGCTTTCTCGACACCCTCCCCCTCTTTTACGGAGTCAAACCGAGGATTTTACTAACAAAATGTCTCCTCTGGCGTTTTGTGCTACTACTCCTTTCAATGTCGCTCCTCTTCTTACTCCCTATCTGACACAAAAGTGAAAATAATTAGACGCTGAAATGGGCGCTTTTCAACTTTTAGTTTTATATTTTTACTCGAGGATCGGAAACACCGGAGGAATGTTATGAAGCTAGGGGATTGTGCAATGGCTCGCTACATCCACTTCACCTTATCTGTTGACCTGGCTGCCGACAAGCATTCCTGACAGTCTAGTTGTTTATTTATTTGTTTGTTTATTTTATTTGTTTGTTTATTTTATTTGTTTGTTTGTTTTTATTTGTTTGTATGATCGTCAAGTTGAGTATTTCTCAATTAAAGTAAATGAAAAATAAATAAACAAAACAAACAATACCGCAGTACAGAATTGCACTAAGAAAGTCAACACTGAATTGTGTGCATTTATCTGCTGGCTGAGTCGTTGAAAGGAAAATTTTTTACCTCTTTTTCTATTTTGTGTATACAACAACACATACCGTATTGTCTAAAATAATGCACACTAAAATATTCACTATTATACTTCAACATCATAGAGTAACAAAAATAGACTACTACTATACAAAGCAAAATGCGACATTTTTTTAGTTCATTTTTCACCTTCGCCTCTCCCTCCAATATCTCTCTATGTATTTATTTTTATTTTTATTTTCAGGTCCAACAAATCCGCTTTTTAATTTTTTAATTTTTTTTTAAGATCAACAACCAACGAGTGGAAATATTTTCACAACCCTTTTTTCCAAAAAATTTTTTGTTTTCCTTTTTTATATTTTCTTCTTTCTTCTTCTTCTTCTTCTTGATAAAATCATACTTACTTTTCTTCAGTCCGTTCGCTTTTTCTTTCATCCAACCTTAATTTCAATTCACGTTACCTTTTCCAAATAACAAAGATCATGCAATTGAAGAACTTATTGGCTGTTTCAGCTATTGCAGGTTTAGTTTCTGCTGCCAACAGTATGTATTTAATTACCAACACAATTACTATTATTATTGTCATTTGTTATTATTTTATTTTGTCCCTGGCCAATGGATGTCTTTATTTTCAGAGCATTTTGTCCAATTATTTTCTTGTGAGAGGGGTTTCACCAACTTTGAATCGATCAAAATTTTGTTTGGGCTAAGCAGATCTACCGGCCCTAACCAGATTTTGCTCGGCACGGGTCTAGCTCGTACCTACATAAACTTGCATTATAAACACACAGAAAGTATTAGAGCATTCTAAATGTACTTTCTTCAGTCATATAATGTTAAACGGCACCAGTCAGTCCACCTTGTTTTGCTTTGTTGATTTCAAGCCCCACTGAGATCGCTTAGTCCAGCAACAAAAAGAATTTTTTTGTTTTTTTTCAGGTGACAAATTAAAATGGACATGGTTACTATAGCAATATGATAGCAATGACAATAACACCATAGGCACTTACTAACTTCTCCTCTTTTTTAGACTCCACTTTAACCACAGCTACTCCGCTGGTAAGCAGTGACTGTTCTTTCTCAGACTTTACCGCTACTGCTTCATCTCAAGTATCCCAAGTTGCTGCTTGTGAAACTGCTGTTGGTAACATTGTCATCAACGGTGACGCTTTTGGCTCAGTCGAATTGACTGGTTTGCAACAATTATACGGTGACTTGGCTATTAGAAATGTCACCAAGGCTCAAACTGTCAATGCACCAACCTTGCAATTGGTTTCTGGTGACTTGGAAGTTAATGCTTGTACTGTTTTGTCTGACTTGAACTTGGCTCAATTAACCACTGTTGGTACTTTGGAATTGAATGCTTTGCCAGCTTTGGAATCAACTGGTTTGACTGCTGGTTTGACTTCAGCTGAGTCTATTATTGTTTCCGATACTGGATTGAACCATTTGACTGGTATCAATGTCTACCAATTGAAAGTTTTCAACGTCAACAACAATGGTGATATCGACTCGATTGATTCAGGTTTGAAGGAAGTCACCGACACCCTTGATATCTCATACAATGCTGATAAGGTCGATGTCAACTTGGATGAATTGACTTCAGCCAAGAACATTGTCTTGCAACAAGTCAACTCGTTCCACGCTCCAAACTTGACTGTTGCTAACGGTTCAATCACTGTCACATCATCTTCCCTTGAAAAGCTTGAGTTGGCTCAATTGAAATCAGTTGGTAACGCCATTGCCATTAACAAGAATGATGACTTGGAAGAATTGGATTTCCCTAAATTGACTACCATTGGTGGTGCTTTGCAAATTTCCGACAACGAACACTTGAAATCATTGGATGCCTTCTCAGAAGTCACTTCAATTGGTGGATCAGTCAACATTAACGGTTCTTTCGACAATGGTACTTTCAGCTCATTGACCAAGGTTGCTGGTGGTTTCATCTTGAAGATCGACGGTGACTTATCATGTTCCTCATTCAACAAATTGAACTCCAACGGTGATGTTAAAGGTGACAAATTCCAATGTCAAGATCAACAAACTACCTCATCATCGTCATCAAAGAAGAGCTCCCTGTCATCCGATTCATCTGACTCAAGTGATTCCGGATCAAGCTCTTCATCATCATCAGGCTCTTCATCATCTTCATCAGGTTCTTCAAGTAAATCCAATGATGCTACTTCTTCAAGAGTTGGATTATTTGCCACTGTCGTTTCTGCATGTATTGCTGCTGGTGTTGCATTATTCTAAGTGGGAGAGACACTTGCTTGAAATAGATAATTGTGGTGATTTTTTTTTAATGTTTGATTTTCTAATATATATTATTTCAGTCTGTTATAGCTGAATATTGCGTAGCCTAATAAAAATATAGTACATTATTGTTATAAACTATGTCAGTGGTGGAAAGGATTCGTCTATAGAATGAGTTTGTCTACACGTTCCATCTCTAATGCTTTAGCCACCTCTATGGAAAATAAATCGGCAGCCTGGTCTATGCTTGGAAGTTCGTCACTGTATCCTCTCTTTTCCAACTCCTCCTTCAACGACGTTGCTTGTTTCAGCTTTAATCCACACATTTCAAACGTGTTTAAAAAGCTTAAATTTGGATCAATATTTAGGGCAATTCCAAATTCAGTGACGCCATGACGCACTCGAACACCCACGCTGGTAATCTTTTCCTCTTCTTCACCATCACTATTGAAAACCCAAACTCCTGGATTTTCGTCCAGGATTCTACCTTGTACACCAAACATTTCAAGTATATTGACGACAGATTGGAGCAACACTTTATTGACAAAACATTTAGCCGAAAGCTTGACAAACGATTTCAAATCGATCACTACGTATGCTACAAGCTGCCCTTTTCCATGCCAAGTTACTTGACCTCCACGCTCTAATTGGTAAAACTTGCACCCGAACCTGGTGAAATTTTCAATATCTTGTTGACTGATTTGTTTCTTCAGCTTCAAACCAGAAGCGTACACATTTTCAAATTGGAATGTAAGGACCGTAGGACGTGGCTGTACTCTCTGCAATTGGGTTAGCCACTTCTGTGGGAAATTGGATATCGTAGGGTTTTGTTTTTGTAGCCGTCGTATCTGTGAGTCTAACTGCTTATAAATGAGGTTCTGTTCCATTAGAGCCGACTGGATATCAAGACCATGTTGGAAAGTTGAAGTACCAGGGAAATGGATGTGTTGAAGTGTGCGGTTAGCTTTATTTATAGTGTGATAGTAACGACTCATTGGTGTGTATCCAGCAGCTTGGTCCTGAGCATTCTCATAAAAATATTCTTTTGTTTACTTCTGGAAATTTTGATCCGTATACAAATAAACAGGTACAATCTGAAAAAGAGCCCCTGCCCATGGATCCCTTTCAGGACAAGATCAAGCCTAGATCACGACCTGTGTCGGCGATTATATCAACTACTACAACCAATGTCACTTCTTACAATCACGGAACGCATTTTCTGCCAACATCTGCAACGCTGGTAACTTCAAATGTTTCAGATCAAACTTCCCAAGCACAACCCACTTCAACATCAAATCATCTTTTGCAAAATGCCAGCTCCACATCAGAACCTTTGAAGCTATTGCTGCGTGCTCCAGTCGAGAAGGAGTCGAGGAAGTCACCTATGTACATCACAAAGAAGGATATTCTCAAAAATGAGTTGCGTACTGGGACAACATCCGGGCTTAACGACTCTAACCATGACCGAAAAGAGTTGCAATTCCTTGTTTCGATTTACTCCCCCGGTCTCCGTCCGTTACACCACACAAGTTTAGTCGACCGATTGAAAAGCAGGTTGCCCAAGATTGTGGAGAATAATACTGATGTCAATTTATCATTACATTTATTTCTAGCGACAATCATGGTGCAGTTTGTCAACCTGTGGTACTTGACGAAACTCAATACCAACAACTTGGAGTTTTTAAAGACTGTTTATGATGATATCTTGGTTGTTTTGGTAAGAGACATAGCTAAGAGAATCGGGGCCATAAATAGTTTCGATTTATTGCACGTGGCTGATGATTTGATGTCAATCTTGAATACCCATTTGACAGAGTTGGTTGGCAATGTGGATGGAAAGTATCCCTATAAAGTTATCGACGATTATTACAGTCTGGCTGAGAGGGAAAACAATTTATACTACGATTCGTCTAAGGATCCAAAAGATGTGCTTCAGATGTATCTTGCACAAAAGCATCTCATTTTTGACCACTCCAATGAGCCAAATGAAGAGCAGCTCCTGCTATACTTGCGAGTAATGGTGAAAGAAATACTACGGAATGTAATGCAAAACAATGCAAAGGATTCAGTGTTTACTTCAAAAATCACAAGTGATTTGCTAGTTTTGATAGTAGGGGATTTGGTGATGAATAGACTTTTGCAAAAGGTGTCGTCGCTGAAATTTTTACTAGGTTCGATCAACAAATTTGTGACAAAACTGTTGATGGGAATGAAGGAGAGGAACAAGGGTAAGGAAAAGACTCTGCAGAAGAGTTCACAGCAATCGCTAATTACTACAATCATGGCGACTGCGTATACCATATGTGAAATGATTCTAACCTTGGTGCTATCAATCAGAGTATCTTCTGGATATGCAGCTCCTTTCGACGTGATTAAATCCTCAATTTTTCTCCTCTTGGGAACATTGTTTGCTCTTCGGGAGACCAAACCGTTGGTATATACCCTTGTGGTATCGGTGAAGTACTTCATTTTGAGCATTCCATGGTTAAAAAATGGTATCAATAACGTGGGTCTGACTTTTGCAACAGATTTTTTGAATACAATACTTACAGCTGAAGCGGTGCACAAAGTTATAGACGAATTGCGGATTCAGCTTTTTTATTCGGATCGTAAGGACACAGGTGGAGAGGATGAGATTGTTTCAGTTGACATTGTCGCTGACAACGTTGCCGAGTTATTTAATCACTTTCCCATAGGGAAACAATATTGTCCGGATCGAAATAGAATCAAGCAGGTCTTGATTGTATTTGACCGTGATGAAGAGCTAGATCCTAATAATAACACCAACCAGTATCTAGTTATTAAAATGTTTGACCGTATTGTTCATGCAGCATATAATGATATTTAAATATATGTATATATTTGCAGTAAAATCGAGCGCAGAAAAATTTCTCAGTTTACGAATCATACGACCACTTTTGATACGTTTTCATCTCCTTTTAAAACTACCAACTTGAATCATTTTTATTTTTCTTTTTGAAACTGTTAGTTTGCTCTTTAATGATGATATTGAACATCACCAAAGGGTCTTCCCTACTATACACGTCAACTCGCTCACAAGCCCGCCCATTTGTGCTTACTACACTAGCACCCCTTTTATTTGGGTCAGTTCTTTGGTCCAAAAACAATATTCTAGCATCAAAGATGGAAAATGGTGAATTGCACTATGACGACCCCAACAAGAAGTTTAATTTGGAGAAGCGGCCAGCATTCCAACGTCCGCCTTCTGAATACCCGGGGCACATCCCATTGTATAATTTCGAAAAAGCATTGATGTTTCTTGGATCGTCAATTGGGTCGTTTTTCCACCCAGAGAGAAATGAGTTTATTGTTGCCCTTGGGGAATCAACTGCCATTGAGCCAGTGTTGAAGCAGTTGCAAAGAACCATGTTGAGTGATAAGACGGGACGTGAAATACTTCGTGAAAGACCACGCATCACATCGACATCATTGGACTTAGACTATTTACGTTCTTTGCCTGACAACACTATTGGGAAACAATACATTATATGGTTAGACCGCGAGGGTGTAAGTCCAGACACCAGAGTTCCTGTTAAGTACGTAGACAATGAGGAGCTTGCTTACATTTTCCAACGTTATCGCGAGTGTCATGACTTCTACCATGCAATCACAGGATTGCCTATAATTATCGAGGGTGAAATATCAGTCAAGGTGCTCGAGTTTCTCAACATTGGAATACCAATGAGTGGATTAGGAGCGTTATTTGCTCCATTAAGATTAAAGCCAAGCCAACGCAAGCGATTGAGAGAAATTTACTACCCCTGGGCTATGCGAAACGGATTGTTTTCCAAGCCTTTGATCAATGTGTACTGGGAGAAGATCTTGGAGAAAGATATCAATGAGTTTAGAGAGGAAATGAGTATCCAACCTCCTCCAGATTTGAGAAATATGAGAAAAGATTACTTTGCAAGGAAGAGAAGGGAGAAAGAGATAAAACAAGGTATTAAGCAGTGAGCTGAATAACTTAGTACTACTGAAGAGTTATTAACATCTATGTAAGTGAAGCAATTCTATTTACACTGTTCTCAACTTAGAAAGCGATAAAAGATACATAGAGGCTTCGCAGCCGTTTTTTATATTTTTTTTTGGGTCATGTCAGTCAAAAAGAAAAACAAAACCAAAAAATTTAAAGTTGCGACAGTGTAACTTTTTGTTTGTGCTTGGTATGTTCTATGCGGCAGTAGCAATGCATAAATAAATAAATAAATAAATTTCAAGTTCCAGTTTTCAACAACTTTGCTTTGAAAACTTAGGATCCTACACCTCTATCACATTCAATTGATATCACAGAATGTCACAGCTTTTCTACAAATACTTTCTACAAAAGGTACGGTTCCTATTCATCAGACGACAACATTCCTTACTAACAAACTTCCCCAGGCAAATCTTGATCATCTCGTAACCTTTGGTGAAAACGAGGATCCATATTTCGAAGAGATACCAGAGCAGGAGCTACATTTTTACCAAAGAAAAGGTGCCAAAAGAAGAAGGAAGTTGCCGTCATTTATTCCCGAACATGATTTAAAGATATTGAACAAGTTCAAGAAACGTGCCTACAGGTTAGATTTACAATTGAGTTTATGTGGGTTACGTCTTGGATGGGCAGGTATCATTGGCTTGATTCCAGGCATAGGTGATGTTCTTGCTTTATTTTTTGCCTTGCAATTGGTGAAACTCGCTAGAGAAATTGACGGAGGGTTACCCAAAAGTTTAGAGGCGCAAATGATGGCAAATGTATCATTCGACTTTGGTATTGGATTGATTCCTTTGGTTGGTGACTTTATTAATGTCTTGTATAAATGCAACTCGAGAAACTTTGTATTGTTGGAAAAGCATCTAATTAAAAAGTATGGAAAAGCATCAGCTATGAAATCAGTGCCGGCGACTGCCACAGTTCCCCATGACGGTGGAAAGGTGGTATATGGTGATACTTATGCCGCACATGCCGCGAACAAAGTATAGCATTCATAGAGTATATCGAGTAACAGGAACTACTTTAAAACTTTACGGCTTTTTACCGAACCCCCGTTCAATGGCATCTAGTCTTTGCTTGAAATCGTGTACAAACATCTCGAGTTGATCAATCTTCATAAACTCCTGTTCTAGATCGGTACAAGTTTTGAGCAACTTGTCAATCTCCTCGTATTGTTGCGGTAGATTCAATTGTCTCTCAAGGTAATCTTGGCTGATCTGATCTTGTTTTAGAAGCACGGATGTATATGTCTGATCGGTCAATATCTTTATGTAGTCCTTTATTTTAAACATCAAGTAGTCGTAACTCAATGCCAACTTGTGTAGTTCTAAAGGGTCGGTCTCTTGTGATGGTGGTACATGTGAAGATTCAGAATCTATTTGCGCCGTTGCTCCTTCATTGAGATCACTTAGGTCCGGGGTTACCTCATTATCAATATTGTCCACATTTGAGCCCTGCATATGTGTGTAGTTGGTTCTTCTAGCTTTACGCTTTGTAGTAACTTATGCTGTTGATCACTCTCTATTCGCTTACACAAAATATGTCGATCAACAACAAGAAAAGAAAAAAAAAAAGTCGGACAAGTTTGAGCAAACTTCGAAGGGCCACACCCACATCAAAAAATACATCAATTGAAAGAACAAACCTCACTGTTTATTTCACACATTTTGCGGTTAATTTGCTTTAGATCCGGTATACTTTGCTAATATTTGAATAATTGACATCCTTTACTAGCAAAGATGGCGTCATCTTATTCACTTGATAAGATCAATCCGAAGCTATTACGTCGTATTTACCGAGCATGCAGACCATCGAACGACGAACCCAATCTAGCCCTCAATTTGGAGATTTGCGATTACGTAAATGCCAAGAAGGGATCTGCCCCTAGGGATGCAGCTATTGCTGTTGTTAAATTGATTAGTCAAAGGGATCCACAGACTTCGGAATTGGCTCTAGCATTGTTGGACAATTTGGTCAAGAATTGTGGATACCCCTTCCAATTGCAAATATCAAGAAAAGAATTCTTGAATGAATTGGTTAAAAGATTCCCCGAGAGACCCACTTTGAGGTATTCTCGTGTGCAGCGTTTGATTTTGGCACAGATTGAGGAATGGTATCAAACCATTTGCCGTACATCCAAGTACAAGGACGATTTTAGTTACATAAGGGATATGCATAGATTGTTGGCCAATAAGGGATATGTATTTCCCGAGGTCAAGGTGGAAGATATTGCTGTTTTGAACCCGGGTGATAATTTGAAGTCGTTGGAAGATATCCAAAAAGAAGAAGAAGAAGTGCATTCAGCAAAATTACAGGAATTGATCAGAAGAGGAAGACCGCAAGACTTGCAGGAGGCCAACAAGTTGATGAAAATAATGGCCGGTTTCAAGGACGACAACGTCAAGGAAAACAAGAAACAGTTGAAGGATGATATTGTGAGATTGAGTAGAAAAGTTGAAATCTTGGGTGAAATGTTAAGCTCGATTGAAAGTTCAGGGGGCAAAATTGGTGAGGATTCAGATGAAGCATTACTTGAGCTATATAGTTCAGTGAAGAGCTCACAACCTATCATTGGCAAAATTATAGAGAAAGAGGGCGAAGAAGGAGATGAGGAGGTCAACAATCTCTTGGCCTTGAATGATAATGTGAATAAGGTCATTCAAAAGTACCAATTGTTGAAAGGAGGCAAAGTGGATGAAGCAAGCCAACTTAAATTATCCGGAGGAGTGGGAGCAGGAGCAGCTGCCGACTTGAATTTGATTGATTTTGATGACGAACCAGAAGATGTTACTGCCAGTAAGGAACAAGGGTACAACGACTTATTGAGCGACTTATCTAACTTGGCTTTTGGTGACAACACCGGTGGTGCATCGGCAGCCAACGGCAACAAAGTAAATCCATTAAATTTGTACGGTACTGGCGGTTCGATATCATTGGGCGGAAACACAACTCAGTTGCACCAGCCCACTCCAACAACCCAGTCAAGCTCCTCCAACTTTGACTTGTTGGCTGATTTGAACTCTCCATCGCCACAGTTGCAATCCAATACAGCAAATGCCAAGCCTGCTTCAGGCTTGGACCCTTTTGGATTCGATTTCCCAAGCACGACACCATCAAGCTTGCAAAAGCAACCGGAATCTCAAGGTTATTTGAAAATGATCAACGTCAATGAATCGAATGGCTCTTCAGCTAATCTCAAGGTTGAAGTTGGAGTGTTGCAAGCGTCGCCTTCGTCGTTTAAAGGAAAAGTTTTGTTCTCAAATGTCCAAAATCAAACAATTTCCCAACTCAAGTTTATGCTTGCTGTTCCTAAATCATGCAAACTTGACTTGAACCCCCAATCTTCTGATGTTATTTACGGATTCAACAACCATGGCGCTTCACAAGATTTTACGATTGAAAATCCACAACAGAAACAATTGAAAATTAAATGGAAGGTTGAGTATAAAGTTGGCAATGAACTGCAAGAGGATACAGGTGTGAGTATTTTGGAGTAGAGGATCTATAGGTTATAGAGTTGTACAATGAAATAACAATAAAGTCAATGAATAAGAAAAGAACACAAATTACCTGCTAAACAAAAATTACCTACGAGAACTAAAAGAAAATTATATCCGCCCGAGCGAAACACCCCTCAAGGTTTGACCAAGGAATCATTAATTACAAAAATGAAACCATTTTCAACTTGTCTCACAGTGGTAACTGGGACCCATTCACTTTGTTGTGCAGCAGCAACTCTAACGGAAAAAGTTTGGCTGACCAACTCTTGTTTAATCTCTAAAAGTTCACCACTATTCAACTTAGTGACAACAATCTTTTCTTTGTTTGCATTGCCATCTTGGATGCTTATCTTGTCCTGGAAATCAGTTACAACATGTCCGTTCAAGTAGTTTTGTAAATTCTTTTGCAAGATAATATCCTGTTCTTGTTCAGTCATTGCTCCATTCAACAGAGTAGGGAACTCCCATGGTTTCAAGTTGGAAAGCTTATTCTCTATAGCATCATCAGTAGGACTGATAATCAACATGTTTGAATCCAGAGATTCGGTTCTTGAGTTGAGTTCTTTGTTGTCTCTAATATATCCTGCAAAAATGGAGACAGATTTTAATTGGGGCAAAATCGACTGTAACAAGTTACTGTAACAGTCAGCTGAGTTAAAAGTAAATACGTGGTCATTTTGTAATCTTCTGTCATCAGGAAGGTCGAGAATGTCCTGCCCGTCACGTCTTCCGCTCGATAATTCAGCGTACTTTCCGATGTTGAATGTATTCTTGGCGTCTCTTTTTTCATTCTTGTTTTCATGAATAAAGTCTGAAATCTTAAATGTATTCTTTCTCTTAGTCACTCTATCAGAATTCTGCAAAAATTGGTTATTCAAATTATCCAAATTGGGAGTATTTTTGGCATCTCGTTTCTGATTCTCCTCATCGTCGACTCCAACTTTCAAGTCTTGTAAATTGATGACATTCTTTGGCTCCGCATCTCTTTTTCCATTGTCTGTATCTAAAGACCTCTTCAAATTTTCCAAATGTGGTACATTTTTGGCATCGCGTTTATCATTGGTGGCCCGGTCAGTGTCTTGAATAGAGTGCAAATTGTACACGTTTTTCGACGAAACCATTGAGAATAGGCCAGCAACTAATACAATGATTGAAGCTCTCATCACTGTAAAGCTGATAATAGATTGGAAATAATGGTATTGATATATTAACTAGTACCTTAAACCTGTCCGTTGTAGTGTGATGTAACAAAAGGTTTGTATGTTAGTTTTATAAATATTTATATATATTGTTAATTGGCAAAGGGATATGTTAAAAGGGGAGAGAAAACGAGAGAAAAGGTAATTAAAAATATATATACGAAACTTCTTTTACCTTTTTGTTTGTCTTGCTTGTTTTGTCTCTTTGTTCCCAGTTTTGTGGTTGTTTCTTACGACAAAATCCGGATAACCTTTAACTCCGAAAAACACGGAATAAAAGAGACAATCAAACAAGAGTTGATGAAGCTGCAAGTTACCAAGGTCAACATTGTGCAATTAAAGAGAGGGATATAAACGATTATTCAATTGTCGAGGAGGAGAAGGAGGAAGAGGAGGAGAAATGTAGGATTGTTTTCTTATCACCATTTAGCTGCTTTGTTTCAGTCGTTGTTACTATAAATAGTTTCTCTATATAACGCCAGTTTCCTAGTTCAGTATCATTTCAGCCATAGCTCGGTACAAGAAGCTACACCACTGAAGCCTATGACTGCATCAAATTTACATTAAATTGCAATCTTGATCTCATGTTTTGCAAATCTTTCAATCTCTTCAACTTTTGTCTATCATATCTTGAATCTCGCAGTAGCTCCTCTGTGTTTAATTCCCATACCTCTCGTCCACTGCGATAATTGCTAAGCTTTTCTCTTGCCAAACTGAGTTCCTGCGCCAATTCTTTCAGCCTAAGTTCCAACTTGTTCGTTTCTTCTTTGAGTTTTACAATCCTTTTATTCACTTGCGGTGTAATGGTCTCCGAATAGCTCTGCTTAGCATCGTCCAAGTCTAATTCAGGCACTAATCCGAATATTTTCCTTGTTGATAGTATGTATTTCAAGCGAGAGCTGTCACTTGTAGACTCTCTCAACTTTTGATTTGAACTTCGTAGTAGCTCAATCGACTCTTTGATTGAGTTGTTGCTGTTTTGTAGATTGTTATATGGGTGATAGGAAGGTGGTGGTGGCATGTCTCTAATGTAGTGTGGCGGTGGTGGCAGTTGGTGGTTGTTTGTTTGGTTGTGGGTTTGTTGTGGGTTTGGTAAGTAAAAATTATTTTCGAATTTACACGCGAAAGTTTTTGAGCTCATGATTTTATAAATCTCTCTCTCTCTAATTACTGAGAGAGAGTTAAACAAAAGACGCTGAAGTGAAAAAGAGTTTACCTTTAAACACCAGATCATAATCATACTCACCGCGAAACTCATCCACTGCGTTTAGACTATTACAGTTTCAAGAGACTTCCCTTTAATACAGACCAAGACACAGCAAAAACTTTTGTACATATCTTTTTGCCATTTTTCTTTTGTTCCCACTTGGAGGAGAAGTAGCATCAGGAAAGGGAATTGAATCAGCATATTCTTGCACAAATACATTACACTATAAACTAATGAACCCAAAGTACATTACAAACGCATCAAAAGGGGAATAAGCAATAAGCTGGTATTATTGTGAACGTTTAGTCAACTACAGTTCGCCATAAATCACACAACTCAACAAATGACACAATCATCGAAAGATTTGGGCGAATCACTCAGCATCGGTCATAGAACGACCTCGACTGGTAACATCAAATCTGGGGCAAACTTCAATCAATACAATGTTGAGTCGATACTGCCATTCCCAACTCTAGAACATCGAAAAGGTGGTGTCATTCATATAAAACCACCCCAAGCAACTAATGCCACTAGCCACGTGAATACCACTTCCTCAAAAGATACAACATCTGGTCCAATTACCAGGAAACGATCTGATTCCAAATCGCAAGTTGTCAACTATCCAATGAACATAAAGACTACACGAGATAGCTTGGAGACAAACTCATATATCTATTCATCAGCTCCATCATCTAATCCATCCGCCAGTTCCCAACCTCGAAAAAGGGCCCAAATGCAGTACTATGTAACACTAATACCTTTGAATGACACATTTGTTGAAAAACATTTACCTGTCGCTATATTTCCAGAAACCACAAAGCTAGGTCGACCCACAGGAACAAAGCACAAACCAGACATGTCCAATGGGTATTTTGACTCGCGAGTGTTGTCTCGTAACCATGCTCAAATTTATATAGACCCGACAACGGGGAGGCTAATGTTACAAGATTTGGGATCATCAAATGGAACATATCTCAATGATTCTAGGCTTGGCAATGAACCAACTGAGGTTAAGATTGGAGACATAGTTTGTCTTGGTTTCAACGTTCAGGCTGAATCAACACATAAGCAAATCAGTCTCCGGATCGACAACATCAATGTGATTGCCAACACTAAATCGGATCTGAAATTCGCAAGCAAGTCACAGCTAGACACCCCAGAGTTCAAACACTTGTCATTCATAGAGGACATCTATCGCAAAATTAATGATGATGGGATACGAAGCAAGCAATGCCTGTCCGATAGTTTTGATAGTGCACTTTATGGAGATATAAATCCAACTCTAGAAGACGATTTGTTAGGCTTGTATTCGTCAACAAATTCAGGCATATACAACAACTCTCAAATCACAAACACAGGGGCACTTGAGAGTATGGTTAATACGTTGATGTCAAACTTCACCAAAGTCAAACAACAAGCTTCTGCTTTAAGCTCATTGCGAACTTTCTTGCTCAACTATCAAAAAGAATTAGACAGCTTAAATGAGACATATTTAGAAAACCAATATAAGCTAAAAGTACAAGGAGTCAAGGATGAATTGGAATCAGAAAGGATAAAGACAAAAAAATTAGACGAACAACTAGTGAAAGCGAGGGCAGAGTATGCTACAAAATTGGAGATCATTAGTAAAGATTTGAAGTCAAAAGATCATGAGGAATCACGTTTACGAAAAAGAGTGCAATCATTGGAAGAGCAAGCTCAGAAATTGGAATCAGAAGCTTCATCTGCAGCAGCAGTTATAAGTAATCTCAAACAAGAGCGGGATAACTTGCAATTGTTGCTCAATGAACGACAGCCAAGCCTGACCAAAGTGTTGAAAGATACTTCTACTTCTACTGCCGATGACGACATACTTGAAAGTGGGCACGATCTAATTTCCGACGCTATAAATGGATTCATAATGGATTTGTCGCGCACTCCTTCAGTTAGGGATAGTGCCAAATCCTTAGACTCCAGAAATGGTACCTCACTCAAGGACGCTATAGAGCTAACCCCACCACTGTCTGATCACGAAGGAAGCTCCGATGAGCTAGATTTGCATACAAGTGCGACTAATAGTCGCCGCCCCTCAAGAGATTTACCCATTGAAAATCTTTCATCGTCGTCGGTGATTACGACAAACTACATACCTAATGATGTTGAACCGTTTCCAAAAGTTGAAGACTTCCCATCACTGGCGTCCTCAAGCTCAATCCTGTTGAACAGAGAAATGCAACCATCTACAAAGTATCATGATAAACTTTCATTCATTAAACTATCTGGCGAAAACAAAACCGTAGTGCTGAATCTAGCAATAGCCACTTCGGTGCTACTAGTTGGTGTTTACTTATATCGTCTATTGAATTAGATGTTAATATACAAAGCATGTCCTTCTTCTCTTTACCTAAAAACTTAAATTGCCTTGTTTATGCTTTCCATAATTTCGAGATTATGGTACTTACTCCGCCCTCTTTCTTTTCAATCTCATAGATACCGTAACCAGCAACACCCGTTCCAAAAGTTAAAAGATACATAGCGTAGTTGAACCATGATCCATACACTCTTTTTGGGATATAATCTATGATACAAGATTGGAAACCGGCATAACAGTGGTACAATAACAATGCACTCAAGGTCGAGTCGACAAAAGTTGATGCACCAGTCAACATTGGGGCCAAGACCAAGGGCACCAAACCAGCACTTACTAATCTTTCAAGTGTCCAGTGGTATGAGCCTTCCAACTTGTGTGGTTTTGGTCCAACATAAGCGTCATTAACGGTACCAACAATGAATCCAGGTGGTTGAGGAATAGTTTTTATACCTCTGATCAAAGATGGTTTGATAAATCTGTTTGATATTCTGGCAGTGTGACCGACTCCAAGACGCGACAACATTGTGATATGAAGGAATAAATAAAGGTTTAGTGGTTTGGCTCTAGGTGTGACTACTAGAAATCGGTATTTGTTTTTTTTTTATTTTTTCCTCTAACCTTTTTCCCCGGGGTATTGTAATCGCTTATGTACCGAAAAAAGATGATTGGTCAGAATTACATGCAGGTCAATATGGGAGCTACCATGACATTAATAAAGTGGTAAATCCTACCCAGCAGCATATCGGTGGCAGTGTACGACCGGAGTGCCTAAGCATATTAGAATGCGTTATTTGGGATAGTTTAATCTTGAACCGAATCTGTGACAATTTCGACATCTCTTTGTATTTTTCAAGGAATGAGTTTATCCTAAACTTGCCAGGTTTCAAACATACGTACTTTCTCACTCTGTTAAAGTTAAAGAAAGTGTCAAGGCATATGAATGTGTCTCTTTTTACCTAGGTATTACATTGAAGAGTTAGCTGCATTAGGAAAACAACATTTGGTGTTAATTTGTTGCAAAAATATTATTAAAAAAAGGCTTGTACCATTAATTCATGTTTTATCACACAATATACTCTTGCAAACAGTATGCGACTAATACTCAGCTGGAATATAGAAGCTAAAAGTCGGGATTCTTTCTATGATACCAAGTATCTCAGAAATCTACTATTTGCTCACTATTGTCATATCATCTGGTAGCATTTGCGCCGGTTATGGAATTGCAAAGAATGCCAACGGTGTCTCTGCAGGTGAAAAAAAAATAAGTCTCCAAAATTGACAACAAGATAGATACACGCCACCCACAATTCAACTACAATATGGATCTCGATTTAGAACCTACTTTAGAATCTTTGATTAAACAAGACACTTTGAAATGGATTTTCGTCGGAGGTAAAGGTGGTGTGGGGAAAACCACCACGTCATCATCAATTGCCGTGCAATTAGCATTACAACATCCAGATTCGGAATTCCTCTTAATTTCCACCGATCCTGCTCATAACTTGTCGGATGCTTTTTGCCAAAAGTTTGGCAAAGAGGCAAGAAAAGTCGAAGGGTTGTCCAATTTGTCATGTATGGAAATAGACCCAGAAGCGGCCATGAGCGATTTGCAGCAACAAGCACAGCAATACAACAATGATCCAAACGATCCGTTGAAAAGCATAATGAATGATATGACGGGATCAATCCCTGGTATAGATGAAGCCTTATCATTTATGGAGGTGTTGAAACACATCAAAAATCAGAAAGTTGATGAAAATGATAGCAAGGACAAAATATCATACAGGACCATTATCTTTGATACTGCACCAACAGGGCACACCTTGCGTTTCTTGCAACTTCCATCCACTTTGCAAAAGTTGTTGGGAAAATTCCAACAGTTATCAGGTAAATTGGGACCCATGATGAGTATGTTAGGAGGAGGTGCTGGTGGCCAACAAGATATGTTTGAAAAATTGAATGAAGTGCAGAAAAACGTTACTGAGGTGAATGAACAGTTTACCAATCCGGATTTGACAACATTTGTCTGTGTTTGTATTTCGGAATTCTTGTCATTGTATGAAACGGAACGGATGATTCAAGAATTAATGTCTTACAAAATGGATGTTAATTCGATTGTTGTCAACCAATTGTTATTTGCAGACGATGATGAAAACCCTTGTCAAAGGTGCGTAAGTAGATGGAAGATGCAAAAGAAGTACTTGGACCAAATGGCCGAGTTGTACGAGGACTATCATTTGGTAAAAATGCCGTTGCTTGGAACTGAAATTAGAGGAGTTGAAAACTTGAAAAAGTTTTCCAAGTTTCTATTGACTCCTTACGATCCTAAGAAGGATCGTGGTCTTATAACTGAAATGAAGGAGCAGTGAGTATAGAAGGCAGTAAACTATAGTTCAATTTTTGTTTGTTATAGGAACAGCTTGTAGTCATGTCCTGCATATAAACTAACCATTTCGTGTGTAAAAAGTGGTCCAAAGGACCAAACTTTTTTGGCCAATCATGTCCAACAGGAGCCGTTCCAAGTGAATCACATCTAAGCTAGGACGCAAAAAATAATCGAACCCACATTTCTATAACCTTAACCATGGCCAGAGGAAACCAAAGGGAGCTTGCGAGACTTAAAAATTTAAAGAAACAAGAAGAAGCGAAAAAGGGCCAGAAGCAAGGAGATAAGAATAAACGAATGGAGACCGATGCTGAGCGCATGAGAGCAAAACAGGCGGCAGGTACGTATACAAGTAGATGGAGGCAGATGTCACATAACTATACTAACACTCTATTTTAGCTGACGCTAAGAAAGAAGCCGAAAGATTGGGTAAGTTGCAGAAGAAATGAGGAAACCCAACCGTGTGACTTTGTCGATGTAAATACTATTATAATGGATGTAATGAAAAGATGTAATACGTTGTTTTACGAATTTTCCCTTGAGCACAACCTTAGCTGTGGTACAACCTATGTCCAAACAGTGTGCTCTTATCATTAGCTTATAAGTGTCACGAGGGGATGCATGGATATCATGCATCTTTGAGTATGCCAATGTATGATACTCAATCTCCTATTCATATTTTTTTTTTTTTCACCGAACAATCGGAACCCCAACTTTAAAAACCGTTTGGGTATTTTTTCTTTTCCTTCTTCGGAGCACCACCGTCAACGTATACTAATAGCAGCAATGTTGATTGAAGATTCATTCACTGATGTGAAAACCAGCGATGGGACCACAATGAGGATTTTCACTTTCCATCCCAAGATACCCAATTACCCAAAGGTAAAATTCCCTGGGGTGGTTGTCTATAGTGAGATCTATCAAGTGACCCCACCAGTTGCCAGATTCGCTAGAGACATTGCTGGACAAGGTTTCATTGTTGCATGTCCATCAGTATACCATAACTTCGAAGGCCCAGAGGCATTGGCGTACGACGACGAAGGTACAGACAGGGGTAATAGGTACAAGATTGAAAAGGAATTGAGTTCATACGATGAAGATTCTAAGTTGACTATTGACTATTTGTTGAGTTTGCCTACATGCAATGGAAGCATTGGCTCAACAGGAATGTGCTTGGGAGGTCATTTGGCATTTAGAACTGCCTTGGATCCTCGCGTCAAAGCAGCTGTGTGTTTTTTTGCAACTGATATACACATCCACGCACTTGGTAAGGGTAAGAATGACGACTCTTTGAAAAGAAGCGGTGAAATTAAGGGTGAATTGGTGATGATCTTTGGTGACAAGGATAATCATGTTCCTTTGGAAGGAAGAGACTTGATTAGAAGCGAATTGAGACGCAACAAAGTGCAATTGACCTTTATTGAGATTAATGATGCTCAACATGCCTTTATTAGGGATGAGAACAGTAAAGGAAGATATGATCCAGCCGTGACGAAATTGTGCTTTGATTGGTTGTTGGAATTGTTCAACCGTAAATTGAAGTTGGATTATGGTGACCACGATGGAAAGCCACAGGTGATTGAAGATGTCTGTTAAGTATGATACGTGTCTCTTTATACTCTTGACTGATCTCAAGAGTATTTACTTTATGCCATTAATATATGAATCTTTTGAACTGCTATTTCAAATGCCTTAAAATGAGTACCTCTAATCAATTACCAATTTCCTCGTCTGCAGTTATAATCAAGCATTCTACTTTCGAGAAATTGGAGTTTCACGCGTTGGTGACACTTCGCATGTGGAAGTTGCATCAGTGTCAGATCTCGCGAGGAGTTAAAGTTCATCAGCATGTTAGCTTCTTTTACTCTTTCTCGAAATTTACTAGTTAATTACAATGCTAATATCGCTAAATCTACATCTCTGTCATGCCCCGTGTATATGGTCACTTGTTAAGGGTAGACCAATACTCTAATCAAGCCCACCAATATTGCATCGAATCTGGTAGTCATACACGACCAAAATAATTTATGGCAAAATTTTCTTTTTTTTTTTTCACTTTCTGTTTTGGCTTGTTCCTAAGCATTACACCACCAACGGGATCAGCAGCAGCAACAACAGCACTACAAACACAATAATGAGACCAATCAAGTTAATGGGACACGAGCGTTCTTTAACGCAAGTGAAATACAACAGAGAAGGTGACTTGCTATTTTCTGTTGCAAAAGATAATGCTGCATCAATCTGGTACTCATCAAACGGTGAAAGATTAGGAACCTTGGAAGGACATCAGGGTGTAATCTGGTCGATTGATGTTGATCCAGAGACAGATTTATGTGCTACAGGTGGAGGTGATTTGGCAATAAAATTGTGGAAGGTTGAAACCGGAGAATGCATTTATACATGGAACAGTCCTTCACCCGTGAGAAGAGTTGCCTTTTCACCTGATGGGTCAAAATTGTTGGCGATTGCTGATCAAGTAATGGGTCATATTGGTACGATAAAGGTGTATGATATAAATCATGATCCAAATACTTTGACGCAGCAGAGCGAAACCCCATCTTTGGTTATTGAGAGGGAGGAAGGTGGGTCCAAGGCCACTGTTGCTGGATGGTCTGCTGATGGAAAATACATAATAGCTGGACACGATGACGGGTTTGTATCAAAATATGACGCTGAAACCGGTGAGTTGATAAAGAGAATTCAAGCACATGGTATACATAATGAGGAAAAGATAGTGAGTGTGACTGATATTCAATTTGCACCAGAGGATAGATCATACTTTATAACTTCATCAAAGGACAAGTGTGCCACTTTAATTGATGTCGACACATTTGAAATATTGAAGGTTTATAAAGCTGACGCTCCAATGAACACAGCAGCTATCACGCCGTTGAAAGACTTTGTTATTTTGGGTGGTGGTCAAGAAGCAAGAAATGTCACTACCACCGCCGAGTCTCAGGGTAAGTTTGAGGCCAGATTCTATCATAAAATCTTTGAGGAAGAGATTGGGCGTGTCAAGGGACATTTCGGTCCATTGAACACCGTTGCCGTACACCCAGATGGAACAGGATACAGTAGTGGAGGAGAGGATGGTTTTGTCAGAGTCCACTCGTTTGACAAATCATACATTGATTTCCTCTTTGATGCTGAAAGAACCGAGAAAGCAGCTGCAGCTGGAACCATCTAGATAATGTATAGTATATATATATATATATATATATATAAAAGACATAATAGAAGCTTCATGTGCTGCTAAATGAGGTGTAGAGTTACATTTCCGTAAGACTCGTATGGTCGGTTGACGGTTCTGACATTTGATTGTAGTGTTTTCTGAGTCAACCAACTTCCTTCGGCTAAATGGTACTACTAAATGACATGAAAAAGAAATTTAATAAGTCAATAATAAATGAGATGCATATTGTGAAAAGTTTCTATATGCAGTTTTGAATCATTTAGTGAAATCTTTTTGTGAAAACCAAAAATTATGAATTTATTTTGCCATAAATTTCAGACATATTTCTCTCAATTCTTTATTATACTTTTAGCAATTATAACCAACACCACCACCACCACCACCACATATACATCCTACAAATGAGTAGATCTAACGCACAGTACAACGAAGATATTGATTTGGACTCAGTATCTGACTTGAGCGATATTGGGGGCGGTTTTGTGGTTGGCGACACCGATAACAAGAGAAGAAGAGCAACGGCAAGAAGAACACCAAAAAGACAAACCACCAAGAACACAACATACACCGAACTACCTTCGGAAGACGATAGTGATGGTGAAATCGATTCTGACACTTACGCTAACGTGGAGGTACCCTCAAGATCAAGAGCAACGCGTACAGCACGCGCAACACACACGCGTCGTAATGGCAACCGACGCAATGTGGCAATCACCCAAGCCGACGAGTCATCATCTGACGACGATGAAGAGTTCACCTTGAGCTTAGAGGATGACAAAGACACTGCATCATCTGATGACGACGATGTTGAGTATCTTGGAGCAACAACTGTGAATGCAAGTGAGACTAATGATAGAACAATCATAGACATTTCTTCCGATGATGAGCCTTTAGCAAGCTTGCCTGCTAGAGAGGCTCCAGCAGCGCAACCAAGGCAAGTGAAGAGGAAGCGAGCACCTGCAAGGGCGAAAAGAGTGGCGAAACCCAAAATTTCGTATTATGAACGTTCTACAAACAATCTTTACACCAATCATCCTGAGATAAAAACCGTCTTTACAGACTTGGCTGGTTACGAGAAAATCAAACCGGAGCGTGCTGAGCACCCTGTAGGTATGTCCATAAAATTGTTGCCTTTTCAATTGGAAGGATTGAATTGGCTTTTGAAGCAAGAGGAAGGTAGATTCCAAGGAGGCATTTTAGCTGACGAAATGGGTATGGGTAAAACAATACAGACTATCGGGTTGTTTATGCACGACACCACCAAGAAACCAAACTTGGTTGTTGGCCCTACTGTTGCCTTGATGCAATGGAAAAATGAAATTGAGAGACACACAGATGGCAAATTGAAGGTGTTGCTATTTCACGGTGGAAATCGTGTTAACAAAGTTTCTGAATTGGAGAGCTATGATGTGATCCTTACATCGTACGCGGTTTTGGAGTCTTCTTTCAGGAAGCAACAGTATGGTTTTAAAAGGAAAGGAAATCTTGTAAAGGAAAAATCGGCATTGCATGAAACGGAGTTCTACAGAGTAGTGCTAGATGAAGCACACAACATCAAGGACAGAGCTTCAAATACAGCCAGAGCAGCAAACCACCTCAAGACAAAGAAAAGATGGTGTTTAACAGGTACCCCGTTGCAAAACAGAATAGGTGAAATTTATTCCTTGATTAGGTATATGAAATTAGACCCATTTCACAAGTATTTCTGTACTAAATGTGAATGTGCTAGTAATGATTGGAAATTTTCCAACGGAAGAACCTGTGACTTTTGTGGACACCCAGGGATGATGCATACTAATTTTTTTAATCATTTTATGTTGAAGAATATTTTAAAGTTTGGATTGGAAGGAGACGGTATGGATAGTTTCAAAAATTTGCGATTGTTGCTAGATAATATGATGTTGCGAAGAACCAAGATTGAACGAGCCGACGATTTGGGGTTGCCTCCAAGAATTGTTGAAATCAGACGTGACAAGTTCAACGAAGAGGAGAGAGATCTTTACACATCGCTCTACAGTGACTCCAAACGAAAGTTTAATGACTATGTGGCCGAGGGTGTTGTTTTGAACAACTATGCCAATATCTTCACCTTGATTACCAGAATGAGGCAATTGGCTGACCACCCAGATTTAGTCTTGAAGAGGTACGGAACCAATCAAATTTCTAATGAAATTGATGGTGTGATTATTTGTCAACTCTGTGATGACGAAGCAGAGGAACCAATAGAGTCAAAATGCCACCATAGATTTTGCCGCATGTGTATTCAAGACTATATCGAGTCATTTGATGGCGTCAACAGTAAATTGACATGTCCTGTTTGCCATATAGGTTTGTCAATTGACTTGGAGCAACCTGCTCTCGAAGTGGATGAAGAGTTGTTCACAAAGGCGTCAATTGTGAATAGAATCAAACAGGGCTCACATGGAGGTGAATGGAGGTCTTCAACTAAAATAGAAGCACTTGTGGAAGAGTTATACAAACTCAGGTCCGATAAGCATACAATCAAGTCGATTGTGTTTTCGCAATTCACCTCAATGTTGGATTTAATTGAGTGGAGATTGAAAAGAGCTGGGTTTCAAACAGCGAAATTGTCTGGTTCTATGTCACCTCAACAGCGTGACAACACGATCAAGTATTTCATGGATAATATTGAAGTTGAAGTGTTTTTGGTTTCGTTAAAGGCAGGTGGTGTCGCCTTGAACTTGTGCGAAGCGTCGCAGGTATTTTTAATGGATCCTTGGTGGAATCCAAGTGTCGAGTGGCAGTCTATGGACCGTGTTCATAGAATAGGTCAAAAAAGGCCGATTAGGATCACCAGGTTTTGTATTGAGGATAGTATTGAGCTGAAAATTATCGAATTACAAGAGAAGAAAGCTAATATGATCAATGCTACTATTAATCACGATGAGGCTGCGGTGAGCAAATTGACTCCTGATGATTTGCAATTTTTGTTTATGAATTGAGCGGATGCAGGTATATTATTTATATAGGTATTTTGTACCAAAAACAAACACAGTGCTATTGAAGTATAAACGCTACGTGTAGGGAAAACAAAAGAAAAAAAATCTTTTCAAGATTCTTTTATGCAGCCTGCATATAGTAGCTAAATGTTGGGAGTTGAGCTTAAAACGTCAACATTTTTTTGTTTTATTTTGCAGCTTAAACAAGAAGACAAACGAAGTGACCTTGTTGCAGAATTTAGCATCAC